TTCTACTTTAATTCCAATCTTATGTAATTTATATAAATTTTTTTTATTTTTGAAAAATTTTTTGAAATTATTATATATACGTATAATTTTTATTTAAATACGTTTTTATTATAAATAAAATTAATATAATAACGCGTTTTTTTTATAACCTAACCATAATAAATTTTTTAAAATTATTTAAAAATATTTTTAAACTTAGATATAAAGAAAAACTATTTAATATTATAATAGATAGATATTATAAAAATAAAAAAAGAAATTTAAAAATTAATTTTAAAATATTTTAAAAATTTTAATTAAATTAATATATTAATTTTTAAATTTTTAATAAATAAAAAACCTTATATAATACATTAATATTTAAAATTAATATAATTAATAACTTATTTTAAATTTATTAAATAATTTATTTAAATAAATTTATTATTATATCCGTATTTTAAATAATATTTTACAATCTTAAATTACAAAAAAAAATAAATGTTATATAATTAACCTATTTGAGTATATACTATTAATTTACCGTTAATTTAACTAGTTCATGCCTTAGATTCAATTGTTTCTTAGTGGATGCAGTAGTATGGATGGGAGTGGGAAAAGCTTAGACTGGCTTGGGAATAGCTTAATTCACGTGAACGGGGCTAGGATGGCGGAGTAGTTTAAAAGCATCAATCAGAAGCTAGTACTGTTCTGCTTACATAAAAAGATGCTGACTAGCACATGATTTCTACTCCAGAAAGAGACCGAGAAGTTAATCCAATTTCGGTCTACTTCAATTGGGATAGCGGCCTTTTCCCCTTGTATTGTACAATTAATAACACCGAAGTATGTTCAACCTAGCGAAAGGGAACGAGAAGAAGGCAAAACAGCAACGGCGTTACACGACACATGTGATTTGATTTGAAGGGGGGGTTGGCAAATAAAGATATACAGTACATACGGTTGAAGGCAAATAGGAGTCTTCAGACCTCCCTTTTGACTTTTCGAGTCGTTGCTCACGTTACGCGTCCCATCCCATGTAGCCGAGGAGGGGGGGAAGGGTTGGAGGGAAGCAAATAAGTTTGCCTCGTCTCCCTACCGCGTGTTGTGTGTGTTGTGTCAATCTCTAACAAACATACAGTAACTAGACAGGAAGCAAATATCACATGTCCAAATACAGATACACATACACATACAAATACACTACGCATACACATACATATACAGTGTACTGCACGCCTGAACCCTGCGGATTATCTATTTTATTTGTCAAGGAAAATCTTGATGTACCGACCTCCTGAGTCTGGTCTGAGACGAAGCTACCAAGAACCGGAGAGAACATCCAACAGCGTGGATCGCGTCCAGTTTTACTTTCTTCTAACCACGTGGGGCCGAGACGTCGGGACTTCTAAGCTCTAGCTCAGATCTCGTAAATATACACTACCAGTTAGTTACCATACATACATACAAGTATGTCTGTCCATATATCCGTCTAGATATGTGGTGGTAGGTATACATGTGTAAGTACATCCCATCCATACGGCAACTAGTTCCTCGAAAGTGGAGCGCACCAGATAATTTCGCGGGTGCCAAAAGTCGTCATCATAGCTCAAAGGAAAAATTCTAACGGACGGATTCTCTCAAAAACCTCCACAATTTCGTTTCCTGCAATAACAAAGGAGGATTGAATTGAAAATTTCTACCCCTTACCCTCACCCCCTGCTACTACTCTACGTAACGTAGCCTCCGGGGCTACATATCTGTAGCGTAACGAAAGAGCCGCTACGGTACATCGGATGTCAGATGGGAGGAAACGGCAGGCCCTCGAGGTAATTCGCCGATCACTCTTAACCCGTACATAGCTAGCTGCCCGCGACGCCGCGACCTGGACCCCTGGTGGTCTGATGCTGGCGAGCGGTGCGGCCTATAACCGTTACGGCGCCGGTGAGCATCCTACGTATCGGCCCCGAAAACGCGTAACATGAGGACCCACGGAGCCTGCCGGTAAGGAAGCTATGTAACGTCGGTCTGACAGTGCCAGCAAGGAGTGTCTTTCGGTTACCTATTCAATAGTTCTTCGAATAGAGATCCGGGCCAACGGAATCGACTACATTATCAATTCTTTGCCCAATATAGCATGATGCTCTCGTGTGAAGAGAACGAATCCCCATTGTATTTGATCCAGGTCAGCCCACAATACATAGATATGTATTGGACGTGGCTTGTTCTCTCCGCAAAGTATTGCAACTCAAAACATTACCCATCAAGCGCAACCCCATGGGCATGGTGCTCGGGAAAACTCTAAATACCTCCCTAAGGAGAATATAGAAAAAAATATTATATTATTTTCCATCTCCATAAATAATATTTTGGATTTATCGAATTTAATTCTTGGCAGCGCGGACCACCCGACCTCAACGTCAGACAGAGTTTTGAGCCGCATTAGAGTAGAAAGGTCTAGCTCGAACCGAAACCCTGGGAAGAGAGTAGTCAGAGTCTAGGAAGAGGATTTTGGCTTTGGCTTTGGCTCTGGATTTCTCTCCCCCAGCCTCGCGGGGACCGTTTTGAGACCACCATCTTAGCTCAAGAGCCGCAGGCCACGCGCGCCGCCTTAGCTAACTACACGTACATCATTACGCGATGCCTACGTCCCCAACCCTCCTTCCCAGGCCCTCCTCCCAGGTAGTGTAGGGTAAGGTAGCGTCTCCGGCACACTGGATCGAAACTTCGTTTAGAGTACATATAGTTTTTTGACAAGGCTGGGCTAGGCCAGGTCGTTGACTCCGTCCCATCCCACCATAACGACTCGTCGCTATCCATCCATCTGCCTTAGCTTAGCGAAAATAAAATAATAAGGTAGGCTAGTTAGAAGTTCGGTCGGAGGCTTGCCCGGTACATGCTTTGCCAATGATACCATAGTGTCCAGTTTATCAGACGCTACCATGCAGCTGCCGGTAGCAGTACCTCCCTAGCCTTCTCGGCAGAGGTAGCCGCGGCGTAACTGGCAAGGCTCTGACCTACATATGTACTGTGTTACCTAGAGAAAACTTGAATAACTAACTCGGCACATTGACGGCATATCATTTCCAGAGAGGGTCAACCAGCCAGTCTAGCCCTCCTACCAGGCCGGCTTATAATGCTAAGGTTTCGCTAACTCCTAGTTCACTCCCGCGCACGCGTGCTCTGGCTTAGTACATAGTAGCCTCGACTGCCTCGTATTTCCGGATAGACAGGCCTCCGCCTCTGAGAAAAGCGGAAAAGCGGATCCATGGCGCAGTTCTCGCTTTCCGGGAGAGGAGGATGTTGCGTCATAGGTAGGTAGGTAGGGTCGATATGTATGTAGGTACGGTTCGTTCACTTGCGAGCAGCCAAGTAGCTCGGCCTCAAGTCATGTACATACCATACATACCACCCCTACGCATACTAGGTACCGTTCTATCCTAGCTGTAGCCTGTAGGTAGTTACGGGAGCTTGGCTCTGCGCGCGCAGGTGCCGCTACACCTTACTCGATTCCCATCTGCTCGGGATCTGTGGATTGCGTTAGCGATCTAGATGAAAACGATTCGCGCTGCGGTTAGCGGAAGTTTATCGAGGGATGCGCGTTGTCATGTTACCGAGGGGGGGAAAGAGTTGGGATGGGATGGACTAACCTAAGGGTGTTGGACTAGGCGAGACGATAAGCTCTGCTAGGCTGTGAATTATATCTTAGGGAGTGCTGGTTAAGAGTTGTCTAACCTAGTAACCTAGACATCCGTACTCTGCACTTCGCGAGGTCGCGTGCGTGCTGCTGTTTGGCATCTGATTGTGGTCGCGTGCGCGTCTAAAGTATATTTGGTATTAGCTACTGGTGTAGTTGTCGCCCTAACCCCCCGAACAGGAGGCGAGGATGGAAAGATGATAGCCAACACATGTAGCTTTAGCAGACATTTTCGCGAAAAGACTTACGTAGTGTTATTGTACATGTCAGTAACTGTTAATACTAGTAAACAAAATGCTTCCTATAGGGAAAACAGAGCTTAAAATGTCATAGACGTTATAGTCGCATAAGAGAATTCATGCTGAGAATATTGGACACGAGCACGATTCATTTCAACGACCTCACAACAGTACGGTAGAGTGCCTTGACTAAGCGCTGTGATCCCTCATACTGGAAGAGAGGTATTGATAGAACATTTAAATTGCTATATTTATAAAAAAAAAAAGGTTTCTACAAGACAATATAAAACTTTAAAATACACCGCTTGAAAGAATATCAGTAGGTAGGATACATAGAGCGGAAAGGGGGTAAGAGGCTACCTAGAAGCGGCGTAACTATCGAATGCCACTATCTTATAATTTGATAACCTGCATAGGAGAGATTAACTAGGTATATATAAGAGAAGAGTTACTGGATGATGGATTATACAGTTTCGATGCAAGTCTAAAAGTCTATATACTAAGCTTCGCAACCGCAAGACATACGCATAATACATCTCGTAGCTAGGCAGCGCTGCTTTTTCGCCGTTGAATCAATTCGTTATTGCTGGATGGAAGGGACTTGCCTATAACGTTTAAGCGGTGCAATGATTATGATGATTATACTTATGTCAGAATAGTAGTTATTGGCTAGAGGTATGTAACAAAAGCCGGGTTTCGTTATGGAAATATGACTGGGTACTTGAGGAGAAATATGGATATAGGCAGTGACTATAGCTGAGAGTGGTTGGCCTAGTTATTTATGCGGGATGGATATGGTGATACTCTAAGGCAGGAGGGAGGGGAAAGGGGAATAAAAGGAATTATATTCTCGGAATCTCATACTAGGCGGGTTGTTCAATAGTTCCCCTTTAACTTGTTACAATTTATTGAGTGATCATTGATGGGAAGCAATAGAACTCTTAATACTATAGGGTATACAAGAGATAAAAACTAATGCACAGAGTTAATATTCGACTTGGAAAAGGTATCTTATAATCGATCGCTACATTATAAGACCCCCTCATGAAGACCACCGCGTCAATCCACATCGAGAAAAAGAGGATCTACCACTTAGGCTCGTCCCCTTCTACCTTAGGCGTCCCAAGTGCATTTCTATCAGCGAATGGATCGTTTTCATCTTCGTCTGCGTAGTCATCTTCATCCGAGTCTGGAGGGGAAGGTTGGCGAGGAGCTATCACTGGCTTAGACGCAGCAGACGGCCGTGGAGGCGGCATCGGTCTAGGGGGAGGGCTTGGGTTTATACTGAGTTGGGCCATGTCTGATACCGGGCTAGATGGGCTTGTCGGCGACATGGCCTGTTTGTGCTTCTCGGTCGCCACTATCCCTAGTTAGTAATATACATGGATATCATTTATGAAAGGAATAGCTTACTCCTATAAAGATGCGCTTGTTCAGCTAATTCGTCCTCCGAATCGCTATCAGCGTCGATAGAACGATCCAGTTGCTCATATGTCATAAGGGCAACTACGAGCTCATCGTTGGCATGAAGAAGACCACCAAGCCATTGTTCATCTTCAACATGATGAATCTACCAAGGTAAGCAAATAGTCATCATTTAGCATTGGGCTAAGACGTACGTAGCGTAATATTTTCCTTCGTAGCTTTTTGCAAGTCTCGAATCGATCTACAGCTGAGGGATTTTCTGAGATCCTCTCGCGTTCTCGATTTATGCTTTGGAGAGCATTGGTTAAGTTCGTGGCTGCGAGGGAGGACTCGGCGATTGCGACTTTCATGGTGTCCTTTTCTGCTTCAAGGTTGAAAGGCTTGTGCTTTCTCTTACCTTTTTCCTTATCCTTCTTCTTCTTGTCCTTATCCTTGTCCTTGGTGGAACTAGAGAAGAAGGAACCAGAACCAGAGCCAGATGATGATTTGACATGGCTGAATGACTGTACGGTTTGGGTGGGCTGAGGAAATGCAACGGGTTGTCGCGAGGACGAAGCTTGAGATGGGGAAGTTGGGGAGGCTGGGGTCTGTTCAGCTTCGTCCTCGGAATCGCGGAAGGGGTCTTGCTCCGTTTCACGCAAGACCTTGGATTTCGCTTGAGTGACAACTTGTTTACGCCGCGGGAGTTCCTATCATGGTTACTTTTTAGAGTTCCAAGTTTACCTAGGCTTCTTACCTTGTATAACATGGCAACTCTTTCGAGACCTGGTGTATTCTTATACTCTGTAGCCCAGCCTCTGAACAGCTCAGAACATTTCTTCTTGACATCGGGATCAGACAGGTCCGAAGTACCACAAACTCGCAAGCGCTCAAGCAATGGTTCGTCTATAAAGGTCCTCTGAAAACGCGGACCAGCATTCTGAATTAAGCCATCAAGAAGCACAAGAGCTCTAAGCTGCCTGTGAACACTACCGTACTTTAGCTTTTTCCTCAAAGCTCGAGCAGCTTCTGCAGGGCCAGATGCTTGAAGTTTGATAACCTCGACCAGGTCAGGGATCCCACTAAGATCGTCTTCTTCAAACTGCTCGCTAGTGAGGCGCTCAACGGTAACGGTGACAGCCGAGTATGGTTTTTTCTATGAGGCAGGTTAAACTAGTTCGTATATAATGGCAAGAAGCTACTTCATTTACAACTTTCAGAAGTAGATTGGGGTTGAAATGGGTATGTAAAGATATGCATATATATATATCGATGGATATATAGATGGAGGTGGTGATTATAAGAAAACTTAAGATGTGGAAACTATTGGTATAGAAATCTTGTCTGGAATTAAAATATTATGAGACTTTGAACGAATATGCAACTTACCTGAGAGAACATGGCTGCAAATAATCAAGCTACCTGTAAAAGTGTATTTGGTATAATATTTAGATAATTTGTGTCCCTAGAAGAATCAAAGACGATTAAAAATATGCCTTTTGTAGGCTGTGGTGGTGGATGATGATATGCCACAGCCCCAAGGTAAGCAATGCGTTGTAATGCGTGTGAATATTGAGGAGGCGCACGAAGTGAATGATGTTTCACACCGAGGCAACACAAGATAGTAAACAATCTCATCTATCAGTGATTCCTATACGTATGCCTTCTTGTGGTACTTAGGCTAGTTGACTCTATTTTCCTTATTTATTTCCTTAAAAAAAAGAGAGTCTGCTGCAGTATGCAAAGGCTTAGCGCCCAGCGTCAAGGACCAGGTTCGTTTAATCTGACTTTGCCCTGTACGATTGAACTTTGATCGGCAGAACACGAGGGAAGAACTCCGACGATACGGATCAAAGTCAGCACTACATGTAGTGATATGTAGGTATCAAAGATTAGAAGATGGGGTGAATCCAAAGGTGGGAAATCAATTTGGAGCGGGGTTCGATAATTAGTCTAATCAATATGTTACAGTGATGCAGAGATGGAGCAGTGATATGTCATTTCTTTTAAATGAATCTCATCTATGTATTATTGAATTATTAAGGTCTCTCTATTAACCAATCCAAATCCAAATTCTAAATGGTTTAGCACACCTGCCTCTTTGTTCTCAGCTATAGACTTGGAACTTACCCTGTGAAGTAGTTTCCTTATTTGAGTTGATGCAAGTAATTTCATTGGACTTGAGTAATTGTTGAATTATGTAACTGTGCACAAGAGGTAGGAACTACTTATAGCTGACTCATATATGTACTTACACATAGTTGCTACTTTGACAAACAAAGCTATTAACTATGCAAAACATTTCACCTACCTCACTCAGACATGTCTCCCTATGATAGACGCCTAAGCATCTTATAATGAGTAGCTATAATCAAATTAAACGGTCAGAAGCATTGGCTTTCTAAATCATCACAAGAAGCCGCACCACCCTATGCTCATTTCGATGTTACTGCGACCATTAATAATGAAATACAGAATGTCGTTTCAGAAGAACTCATCCGCAGCGCTAAAAGTCGGAGCTTAAAACGCAACCGAGAGATGTATGAAGAGGATGATGGCGCAAAACACTCACCTCATAGGTTATCTCTACCCGCCGTACCATCTTCTAGCCCCTTTCAGACACTCAGAGTCACGAAATCTGGTGCCACAAATGGCAACATCTCTCTTCCTAAGATAGAAGATACACAAGCTTCTTACAACATCAAACAAGGCCAATTTATCGATCCTCGGTATCCACTAGGACATACTACTATCGAGCAATTGACTCCTTACTCTACTCCAGCACTATTCAAATCCAAGGACCAGCAGAATCACAATGGCGTAGTAGGGTCATCGAAAGAATTACATATAGTAAATAGTTTTTCCTTCGCTGGGAACCTGGGAGGTTTTCCTGTGACGCTTCCGTATACGCCTAAATCAAACGATACTTCTTGGAATTCGAGCCACGGGAATCCAGTTGGCACATCAGTTGTTGGGCGACCCACCAGCCTAACACATCTCACCACATTAGGTAATGCACATCCCTGCAACGACGTTGACAACGACAACGAAATTCTAGGCAAATCGCCCAAGCCGGATAATCTGAATGCTGACGCCAGCGACGAAGCCCAAGATGAATATCCCCTTGACAGTGACTCGATGGAGGAAGACATGGCCTACGTTCTCGGAACGGCCCTCGATAACTTCCAGGAGGCGCATATACCCCCTTCTAGCGTTGCTCAGGCATGGGATCGTGACTCGAGGTCGGCAGTTGAATATGACTCGACTCTACAACACTCGTCCCCAAATGAACCAATTGCCTCGCATATAGTAGACACGGCTGAGAACCCTAACAGTAACCATGATGATCTTCTCGATGAAGATGTTGACTGGAATGTCGTATATACTATGACGAGCATAATTCCGAACAGCGCATCGAGCACTAATCTCCAAAACACAGCTAATCCTTTGCTACAAGGGAAAATCACTCGCATGGAGAAATTTGTCGAGTCCGGTGCTCGCATTGAGAATATGAAGCCCTTGAAGCCATTCGTGCGGCCGCCCTTCCCTGAAAAGGTCCGTGGTCATTCTGTCGTCTCGGAATTGTCGCCGCGTACGGTGTTACGGACCTGTTTTCGAATAGGAGAGTTGGTCAACCAGGCGGTACATTGTCTAAACCATCGGCAGGATGTAGTCTTCGAGCTGTTCGCGAGGGTAACGTATTCAAGCCGCGAGAGTCTTCAAAGAAACCAACATTTCCAATTTATTGACCTATTTAAGGATCAGCTTCCATACCCGGCGGGGGTCTTCTCGAACTGGCGAGTAGGCACGCAGCTGGATCGCCAAAGTGCAGCGTTCCTAGATACGAGGGCGGAGCCTAAATTATGCCGCTGCGTATGCAAGCCCAGGAGAGATCCAAAGGTCGCAATCGGCCTAACTCTTGTCGTTACTGCCATCAGAGAAATTGACTGGGCGCATATCATATTGGCCAAAAAGACAGTCTGCGGGGGATCGGATGATGCAGCCCGAGATGCTGTCACACAATAAAACTACGAGAATCAATAGTGGGCTGATGGATGGGTGGATATGTAGAGAAGGTGCCAGTACCTAGGTTAAGTATCTGTCGACGGGCTTGCTATGATACAGGTGGAGAAGAGCTTTGGGGGAATTTCGTAAAGGAGGCCAATCGTCTAATGCATTTAACGATAGCTTTTGTTCCTGTCTACACACAGATGGGTACATGATCGCCGATAGTCAAATCAAGTAGAAGAGAGTAAATTGCTGGGTAACGTCCGGTAGCCAATGGTTCAACATAATATGAAGATAGCATGATACTGTGCCAGGACAAGAGCCCGGTGCCTAACATGTTAGTAGAATCTACCAAGTAAATTTGAACCAAGTTTGAGAGTGCGCACTGGTGGATGGACACTCCGCACGGAGAGCAAATCCGTCAGAAAATATTATGAAGGTGATGAGGTCTCACCAGGAATACCCGTTAGGTGGAGAGTGAAACAGACCTGGCGCTTTAGATTAAGACGGAGAGGAAGGGGCTTGGTACGGTACATCATAACATAACTGTTTTGAAGACTTATAGAAGCGATTTTAACGGAACAGATAAATTTTACCTAATAGAAACTGTGTATTCAGCAGGAGAGAGGGAAAAAGACAGAAAGCGCTACTTATCTAGGTACCTAAGATATTTCAGGTATCTTATTCGCTTCGTTGAGATGGATGAATATGTTGAATATGCGATGCTGCGTCAAAAAAAATTTTATGGTAAAGGTAGGTAGTAATAAAAATGGTTACTTGTAAGTTACTTTGTACGTAGTAGCTATTAGGGTAACTTATTGCTCATACAGTCATACCCCCGTTTCTTTTCTCCGTCTCCCGTATTCCCCCCCCTTACATACGTCGCACACATCACGTGTTATTCCATCTCCACAAAGTTCTTAGCTAGTACCTACCTTAAATCATAAGCTCCATTTGGGCTCGGAAACCCTTCAACCTTTTTGCGACGAGCAAAAAAATTAAGAGGACGCGTTTGTCGTATTTTCAATCACCTTTCAATCTTAAGTTCTATTTACTTTCCACAAGGTCGAACTATGATAAAAGAGGGGATTCCATTCTCGTCTTAGTCCTCATCGAAATAATCCACCATCCAAATATCTCCCCAAGCTCCTGAGGGGCTTCTATCATTCATCTTATTGCACACTTTAGGCGGCAAACATCAAAATTTCGTCCTAGAACCGTCTACATCGTCGCGCCAACTAGCAGTAACCGCCGAAATAGTATCCCTCCCAAGTCTAGGAGGCAAGTTTATTCCTAAATATAATAGCACTAAATTGTCACCTATAGATCACATCTATGGGGTCCTCAATGTTGTTAAACGGACAAGATCCGGCTGCTCTTAAAGCAGAAACAGAAGGCCGACTTACTACTTATTACCAAGTTGATAACGAAAGACAAGCTTTCATCCATGTACGTTAAATGCTGGCATTCCTGTTTCTACCCCTGGACTCTGGGTAAGTCCTTATTGCGCTAATACATATCTGATAGAATATGCTCAACAAAATTGAGGCAGATGCTAAGAAGATTAATGAACTTGAACTTGATCTAGATGATCAGAGGAAATCTCGAGCTGATTATCAGTACAAGGCTCGTACACTTGAGAGTGAAGTGCAGAGGATAGCACATCAACTTGTCTGTTGCGCAATGATTCCGCCATTTCAAGTGACAGATTGGCTGACGCTTACAGTAGAATAAGGATTCGTTTGTTGTTGTGCTAATTGATGGCGACGGGGCTAAATTTCAAGACGAATTCTTGCGTGATCCTAGTGGTGGTGCCGAAAGGGCTGCATTAAAGCTCAAGCATGCCGTTCGAGAGAATCTTAGAGATTCGGGAGTCTCACAAGATGATATTCCTATTCTTGTCCGAGCCTATGCTAATCTCAATGATCTGTCTAAGTCGTTACGCCTCTCGAGAATTATTGAATATGATGAAGATATGCGCTTGTTCGCCGAACGCTTCACCAACAGCCGTGCGGACTTTGACTTCGTAACGTCGGCAAGGGCAAGGAGAATGCCGACTCTAAAATAAGACGTACGTTTTGGCGAATGCTTCATCACAGTAGCTATAACATCATGCATGCTTCAAATTTACTCACATACTTTTAGGTATGCTTAATCACTACTACAGAAATGTGCAGTGCAAGAAGATATTCCTTGCTGGGTGCTGCCACGATAATGGTTATCTACACGATCTTCGTGACTATACAGGAGCTACCGAACAGAGATTGGTGCTTTTGGAGACTACGCCCGCAGAGCCAGCTTTTAGATCCCTTGGCTTTCCTATCGTACGTTTTGATGATGTTTTCCGCTCAGAGCCATTAGGCAACGAGACAAAACATATCTTTTCAAACATTACTGCTCCGCCAGGATTTCGCTCTCCCATTCAGCCGTCTTCTGCGCCCGGTCCAATTGCTCGGCCTACGCAGCCTGTACAGAGATCGGCCACGACGGCCGTGTCGCCTGCTGCACAAGAACAAAGACAAGCATCTACCCCTATTCCTACTACCTCTACACCAGTTTCTATTAGTACTCGTCTCGTCGCCAATACAGCGCACTTCTTCTCCTGAGCAGCAGGGAACTGCTCCGCCACGTGCGTCAAGTGTCATCAGCTCCGGAAATGGCGGCACTTCGATCAGTTATGCTACTGCAGGCGGGGTCAACGACCATCAAAATGTCACTGTTAAAGCACCCAAGCCTAAGAAACAACCAAAGGTTATATTTTACAACTCAGATAATTATCGTATTGACTCGCCAACCCAACATCCGCCCAGAACCCCGGCGCAATCATCTTACCAAGCTAAGTTTCAGGCTATTAAGCCTTCGGTTTTCTGCAACGATCATTACCTTAAGGGCCGCTGCAAATGGGGTATTAGCTGCGATAAGACGCACGATGCTGAGTTAACCGTACCGGAACTCGCCATCCATCGTTATAAAGCTCGAACCAGCCTCTGTCCTAATGGGCCTTACTGCGTCGACTACGACTGCTATCTTTCCCACCATTGCCCTCGTATCCCGTGCACCAGAGGAGAGATGTGCCCTTTCTCCGATACCGAGAAGTGGGGAGATTTGCATCTAACTAAAGAGCAGCTTCAGCCCTCGTAAGTTATCCATTGGGGGCCGAGTCCTTGTCCTTGTCCTTGCATATCCCGGCTTGGCTTGGCCTTCTTAATATATTAAATATTGTGCTGACATAAGACCCCTCATGTAGGACTCGGTGGACCGAAGGCAATGAACTTCCCGAACATATCTAACCTAACCGGAACTCGCACCTGAAAATGAAAAGAATTGGTGGGAGAAACGAGCAGTTACGCACATGCTAGGTTGATGTTTTTACTACTCTTAGACGTTAAATTTTACAACAAAGTGGACAGGAGGGGCGGCCATCCATCTGTTCTAGCAGAGGCCGGGAGAGAATGTTTGGGGTGGTATAACAATTGCAAAAAAAAAAACTTTTTTGAGGACATGATGCACTCCTTCCTTTTTCCCCTCGCCGACAAGAATAACAATATATCGGATGCGGGGCGGATATCACTTATGGAATTGAGGGTTATGTGTGGTGATGACGAAAACGCCGTTACTACTACCTCTTACTTAGAATTTATCGCCTCTTTATATTACACATTAGCAGAAATTGACTCGACATTCATTTATTCGTTATGTACTTGTTCATCAACTAGTATGTATAATGAATACATGGGTATATATATATATATATAGTACTCCTTCCTTTGCTTATATTAGGTACCTATTATTCAAGCTCGGTCGGATGGGTGGGTGGGTTAGTAGTAACCCGACGCCTTCTTCTGCTCGTTCTGCCGCTCTTCCTCCTCGACTCTTCTCAGCGCATCTTGGCCTGACCCGCCTTCCCTAACGACGGCCTGCAGCTCTTCTCTAAGCTTCTGCTCTAGCTTGTCTAAAATCCACTCCGCCTCCTCCCGGGTATCCAGTAGCGGGCTTCGGTGTCCGATCCAGCTCCACTTCGGTATTTCCGCCGCGGGACTCGCTTCTTCTTCTTCTTCTTCGCCGTTATTTTGTTGCTGTTGCTGCTGTTATCTTCGTCGTCGTCTCTGGATCTTGGATTGTCATCTCCGTTCATGGGAGTGGCGGATTCCCCGTGCAGCCGATTCGCAAGGGTGCGAGGACGTCTACCGTGGCGTCCCTCCGGCGGCTGGTGCTCGGGTCGGCGGTGGTTCTCGGCGCTGCTCTCGTCCTCGCCGATGAGTCGGAGGTACCATGCCCTGCTCCAGGTTAGCGCGGAAGGGATGGCTATTAATTTACCTGATGTATATATACTGGTATCTAGCAATCCGTCGAAGTATAAGACGGAGAGCTGAAGATGGAAAATCCGATAGCTAGTAAGGAAAGGAAAAGAGAGATGTGATAGTGGGGAAACGCGGAAATGGCTCGGGTTTACTGACCACTCCTTAAAGGTGTACTTGCGCGGCGGCGAGTGCCGCAGGTGCTTAGTCACGCGGGATATCTCGTCGATTAGGACGAGGTGGTACTCGGCGCGGGATTTGGGGAGTTCGGTGGGCAGGCTTTTTCGGGCTACGGAGGCGGAGCGTCTCGGTGACTTCGTCTTTAGGTTTTTGGCGGATCGAGATTTGTGTGTGAGTTGTGGTCTATTAGGAGATTGTTTAGTTGAAGTAGTTAGCGGCGATGACGTTAGCCGCAATTCTCCGTTTTCAGCGTCCCCCTGGGCTCTTCGGTTGCTTTCTGCATTATTTATATCGGTTGAATTGGAAGCCCTTCCTTCATCTTCTTCGTCGTTATCCTCGTCGTCGTCTGTATGCTGCTCATGCGCTGCTCCTAAGAAGCCGGGGGGAGATTCTTCGATATCGTCGTCCACAAACAGCATACCACAGGAAAATTTTGACAGCAACTGCTTCATTTCTTTCTTGAAGCCATGTTCTCCAGGCAATATTGTGAGGTTTCCAAGTAAAAGGGTGCCATCTTTAATGCCCTTCACGATCGTATCCCCCGCGTTTGATATAAGGACAGTCATAGTGGGTAAGGCGAGCAGTGACCAGAATACAAAGAATGCCTTGGCTGAGTTCGAGACTGGGGTGAGGTCACCATACCCGATCGTTGTCAAAGCTGTGAATGAGAAATAAAACCCGTCGAAGTAGGACCATCCTTGATATGGGTATTCGCACTCTTGAAAAATCTTGGCACCTACTAGCCAGAGCAGCAGCCAAGTAATAAACGATACTGTCATGGCGGTCCATCTTTCTCTTTTTGATGCTCTGTTATATGTGAGTATTATAGGATGGTACATGGATATTTGGTACCTTGATATATTCACATATCAGGAGAAAGAACGGAAGTCCTTGACATGAAAGAATGTGTAAGAAAGAAAATTTGACCACTTACTACCCCAAGTTAGCATATAATATAGATAGAATAAAAGGATAAAAGGAGGGAGAAATAGTCCCTAGAGACCACAAATAGAGTGTACATACCTGTCGTTGAACCTTGCGCATGAGTTGAAATTCTTTCTGACGGCGCTCAAACTCTGTCCAGCGAGCATTTGAAGGGAAACCATCCGAAGCTCCGTCGTCGATCGGTTCAAGAACACTACTATGTCCTTTCCGCAAGACGCGCCGTATTAATAGCCGCCGTTGTCTCTCTAACATGCGCGCGTCGAGCCTATGCTTGCCGCGATCAAGAATCAAGCTCCGGATAGATCCAATTACCAAACCAAGGCTGATAACACCAATCAGCGCGTATGGAACGAGAATGCCACGTCCAAGACTGGTCTGTGGGGATAGTTCCCCGAAGCCAACCGTGAAGAGAGTGACATCTGCCCAATATACAGAATCAAGGTAGTTCCAGCCCTCGATCTTGGAGAAGACAAAAGCGCCTAAGAGTAGGTATACGAGGAAGAGGATAGTCTGAAGCATCAAAGTCCTCTGGCTAGTTGTCAATTCAAAGTCTTTACCGTAGTGCCCAGTTTGAGCACCCCAGACCGTGATGACCATAAGAGAGGCAACTATGAAGTAGATGATAGCAGCAAACAAGCCATAATAGAAGGCTTGGGACCAGACATATTCAATTTGTGGCTGAAGATCTAACGGTCCAGTTGCTGTAGCACACAGGGCTATGAGACATATCGCCGATATGTACCAACCAGCTATCGTTATAGGTTGCGCAATCGAAAACCGCACCCTCTTCGTCATATTCAGCAGGAGAAACACGTTCGCGATTATAGCTAGGGCTAGTTGGACGGCATTCACTACTGTTAGCCACAGAGGGTCCTTGACATATACTGCTTTAGTAATGTCGGAACCTGGAGGAATATGCTGTCTCCAATACTTGACAAGCGAACAAATACTGAAAGCTGAAGCCACAGGGCCCAGGGTACCAGCTATCATGGGAAATGCGGCTGACGCAAACCACCAACGACTATGAGTTTATGTTAATCAGACTTAACATTTCTAGTAATAGACACACGCTGACTTTCTTACCTAGGATCGAGATGAATCTGGTCATTCATGATACCTCTATCACCAACCTTGTCATGATCTAAGCCATCGACAGCTTGTGACTGTTCGTCGATGTTATTATTTAGGTCTGCATCCTCCATCTTGATGAGCGAGAGAGCAGGCGCTCGCTCATATTTTTTGTTATAAACTTTTAAAATGTCAAGAAGCAGTTTTGATCCATAAGCCCTGCCTTAGTTGGCGACTGGATAAGTAAGATTGAGTTTGAAACCAGCAGTTCAAGGACGTCTAATAACCACTTCTTCTTTACTGAAGGCCTAAATAACGAGCGTCGAGTATGCCCTCACGTTTTATATATGTAGATACGACATTTAAGAGAATAAACATGGCGGAATAAGAATATATATATGGTTGACAAAGTAAGGTCAGGCGCATGTCCTGATATGGATAGATGGATGGATGGATGGATGTTTTATGTGGTATGACGTCGCTTGGCATCGGGATCGCGAAGAAGCTAAGCTTTAGGTGGATATATCTGCTAACTTTACCTGCTAGGATTAGGGGATAATAACCTGTTGGAATGACATATGATTGGCTCTAAACCCACTAAGAAATATGCAACAACCGATCTCTTATCACCTAATTCTTTTTATCGCTTGGCGCGTAAAAATAGTTCTTTTGATTTTTGTTACTTTTCTACCTATGATCCATCCTAGTTACGCATTTGATAACGTTGATGCATAATTACAACTCAAATTATACAAAATTAAAAGGACGAGACATTCTCAATTTTCAGTAATAAGATATTCATGAGTTCATGCTTCATGAATTCCGAGTCGTAGAGGGAAGATGAGAATATGGATCCCAAGTAGGAGTTTAATATTTGCTGGCCTTCGCGGTCACAGACCAAGGCGTTATAGCGCTGTTACCAACGATGTAGAACGAGTGAATGTCCGTGTCGGCTCATCAGGCGATACTACCATTGAGTAAGTAACTATGAAATACATGTATCATTGGATTTGTTAAATCTGACTTACGTATAAATGAGTACTTAGTCTACATAATATTGCGAAGTTATCATCACAAAACTCCTTATTGGTGTATCTACCACCGTTTTCAACAGCCTTCACAGATACACCGGCCCAGTTGCCAAAATTCATCCAGGGGCAACCGACAGCTGTGATAAACTACCGTTGGGATGGTTTCTCTCCCTTCCGAACTAGAAAGAGTGCCGCTTCAGCATCTACGGATAAATCGGACGAGGAATTCTCTCCTATCCTGTCCTGGCCAGCGCCTATTCATGATGTTTCAATGGCTTACAGCTGGATTGCCCAAAACCTAGGTCCATCTGGTTATGCGCGCCGAGACGTATACCTCTACGGCTCATATCTTGGGGCATCCCTGGCAATGTCTCTTGCTCTTACGGAAACTTATCCCTACGAGCAGATGGCTGTTCGAGGATGCATAGCCTTCAATGGAATATATAACTGGACTACGTTTCTCCCCGACCATCCCATTAACAATCCACCAAAACCAGGTTCGACCTTGGAGACAAAAATCCCATCTCGCTCGAACGACCCGCACTTCCAGGAGCTGAAGCAGCACGTCGAGGCATTATTCGTGAGCCCAAGTGGCCTCTTCGACCCGTTTGCGAGCGCTAGTCTATTCTTCTATACTCCTGGTCTTCTCGTGCCACCAGATTTCACCACATCTGCTCTCTCTCCCGAAGCATCGTTCTTAGCGAATGTATCTTTACCGAATCCGGAGACGGGTGAACCAGCGCTGGTCCTCAAGCATCCTCGCAAGGGCCGGCTCTTCTTCCCGCCGACAACATCCACATTAGGAATCCCCCAGACACTGCTGCTCCACACCGAGCCGCCCCCGTTGCCGCCTCCGCATTTAAGGAGGAACCAAAGGCAGAGGAGCAAGGAGGATAGTTTTCAGATCCAGGCCCGAGAATTGGGATGGTACATACATAGCAGAATATTTAGCATGAGGCGGGACGAAGATTTTGAGCGAGATTATGACTATGACAGTTGGGAGTACAGTGATTTTGAAACTATTCGGGTTCGTAATGTAGGGTCTAGTTCTGGAGACTATAGACTCAACAGCAAAGGGGAGGAACTGGCTGCGACCTGGCTGGAGGATCATATTAGTTAGTAGGTGCAAGCATAAAATCTCGACTCCTATGCGAATGTTTATGGTAGATTTTATGCCGGTACTAACATATAATCGCAACTCGTAGCTGAATTTTACGGTATCAAAAAGGGGACTTGACGTAGTTGTTGTGCATGTGTATACCAGCTAGAATAATTCTCAAGAGCAGATCATCAATGTATCGATATTGGGAATTAGCCAACTAAAGCCACTTGTCTTTGCAGAAATGGAAGAACTGGTTTACATATCCATCTACCTTAGGTACCTAAGATACCCTTACTTGAACGACATGCTCTCTGAAGTATGTAAATAAGGTCCCTATTTATCCACATACTAAAACAACAATGCCATCACCAACAATATCGCTCTAACCATCTAAAAGCACCATACATATAAATCAACACGCGCTAAAGCACAAGTCCAAACCCACCACTGCTAGGTACTGTGTGGGTGTAAAAGGATGTTGTATTGTAAAAGATTCTAATATCCACTTTTCAAGTGGTGAAAATCTTATATATGCGCTTAAGCATCGTACCTTCCAACAGTACCTTTAAAAACCGCCCCCAAGTCTCCACCGCACCGCACCGCACTAACCCCTCTAAGCACAAATCCCCACATCCCAGCATTCAAGCACCAGCCCCAACCTATATAAACCCATATAACGGCCAATCTTTCAACAACTACTAGGGTCTGATGGTCTAGTGGTAGGATTCTCGCTTTGGGATCATTCGAAATGAGTCGCAAACTTGCGAGAGGTCCCGGGTTCGATCCCCGGTCAGACCCTGCTTTTTGCATTTTTCTACAGCTTAGGTATTATTTATGGGATGGATGCTGGGAAAATACTGCACCCTTTTTTTTGTTCTGCTCTGGGTGGTGGTGGATTGGCAGGATTGACAGACAATTAATTGCGTCGATGCTACGTGATTGACAAGGTTCAATGCAGAATACCCGGAACGCTTCGTGGGGTGGATTATTTTTTTTTCCCCCATCTCAATTGCGTCAAAGACAGACCTTGGGCACGGTTCTTATTATTCCTCACTTACCATTGTTTCCCGCGCACTTGCATCACATCGCATTCTCTACATAGTAGGATAGACATCGCAAAATAATAATAATAAATAAGATATTTAGCACAACCATTTCATCAATATAATCTCTTCAACCTCTATAACAGAGATATATATTCCGTCTAATCAACATACGAGGGTATATATAATAACTACCTACATATAAACCATATAACTTTCAGCTGCCTAGTTATCTATTTATTCCATGCTATATGTCCACGCCGTATATATGTGAGGTATGTATGTATGTATATGTGCCTAATGCATTCATGTATATATATCCATCCATCTAATCGGGACTTTCGTCCGTAAACCATGATTTATCGCATGATATCTACCTCTAAAATGCATAAGCAGTAAGAAAATTTCTTATATGACAAGTTCGGATATGATGCAGATGTGTACCTAGGTATGTATGTGTGTATGTGTGTAGGTATGTAGAAGTGTATGAGGTGTATGCAAACCACCCCTCTACCTCCACGCCCACCATGCTTTCTTCTTCTTCTCATTGTATCCCTCCTCGCGAACATTGTGCTGTCCGACGATCGTCAGGAACACCTGGTCGAGCGTCGTCGGCGTGCATGAGAAGTGCTCGATGCAGAGCTCTTCCTTATGTTCCTCCAAGATCACGATCAGCCGACCGACTGCGCTACCGGTCCCTGCTACGGCGCTTGCTGGTATAGAGAATCGCATTTGTCCGTGATACGTCTTCTGCTCTCTATCTCTGCGCCCGGCCATTTGTCCGCGACCCATTGTCTCACCCGCTCCATCTCCTCGGGCGTCGAGTGCGGCGCCGACTTGCTGACAAGATGCACGTGCAAGGTGTCACCGAAGCGCTGGCGAAGGTTTTCTGTGGTTCCCATAGCTAGCATACGTTTTGCCAGTATACCAGCGCGGTTTGCGAGCGCATCAGCTTCCTCCATGCTGTGGGTGGTGAGAAGAATAGATCGGCCAGGCACGATGGAGTGCAGCGTTCGCCACATGATTCGCTTAGCTGCAGCATCGAGACCAGAAGAGGGCTCATCGAGAAGAACAACACTGGGATTGCCCATCAAAGCGATACCGAGGGATAGCTTTCTCTTATTTCCGCCGGAAAGCGCATGCGCCATACGAGTCGAAAAGGCCTCGAGACCCACAGCGCGAAGAACAGCCCGGACGTTGTGGTCGATATCAGGAATGCCCCTGATCCGCGCGTAGAAGCGTAGATGCTCGAGGACCGTCATCGAATCGATAGCATCAAATTGAGGGCACACGCCCAAGTGAGATCGAGCTTCAGCACGACGACGGCTCACAGACGTATTCTCGACGAGAACATCACCTCCATTGTAGCTAGGCTGGATGTCACCGCGGATCAACGAGATAGTCGTAGACTTTCCAGCTCCATTGGGCCCCAATAGCGCAAAGACCTCGCTGTGCTGAACGCCGAATGTAACATTTTCAACAGCTGTATTTTTGCCGAACGTCTTTGTCAAGTGTAACACCCGGAGACCGTCGCTCTCCTGGGGCGTGCTAGTTACGCGGACTAGTTCATTAGCGATTTCTTCATCCGAAGCAGCAGGGTCATTAGAGGATGGCGGTGTCTTTTGCGTGAAGCGGCTAAGTAGGCTACTTCCCGACCCGCTGTCGTGCCATAGTAGGTAACCGAATAGGAGGATCGATTGTATAACCAAGTACAGAATCGGACCACCGTAAGCAGTTATGGCGGCGGGTTACTTTGTATTTGATCTCCATCGCACGTTACTGAGAAAAGGTTGAGGGTGATAAACATCGTTCGAACGACTGAACCAATGGGCACGAAGGCCGATATAACGAAATGGGCAATGAGTATAGACGAATCGATAAGAATGACTGGTGAGTATGTGAGAACGCAAAGATATGCAATCAAGTAGATCAGAAACCCGACTGCCTGGCCAGCTGCCGAGAAAGCATACGTTGACAGCTGATTGTTGCTGAATAGAGATATAACGTATGAGAGCAAAGTAGACGCCAAGCCGTATAACATGAAAATGAGAAAGAGGTAAGGGACATGATACCAAACGTCAGAAGATGCGGCAAATGCGGTGCGGCGGTGGCAAGCCCGGATGAGACGATAACAATTGCAAAGTCGAATAGGGTATAAGAAGCCCAGAGCGGTAGCGAACGCACTCCGTTCGAGTACTGTAATCCTCGGACGTTTCGACGTCTCTCTATGTTTGGGTAAAGGCCAAAGAAAGCGGGATAGATGGACATGGCCAAACAAAAGTAGATCAGCAGCTGTAGGGAATCTCCGGTCGACGGCGCCCAAGGGGTATCGAACGGCGCGTAAGTCGTGGCAATGCTAATGTTGGCTAGCATGGTGTCCAAAGCGTTCAGTGCGAAGACTGAGGTAAGAACATCTCCGCTGTCTGCTTGGTAGAAGACAGTGGGTACAGAATTACATCCCCAAGCCACCACCCGCCAGGTGTAATGTTCTTTCGCATTGTTGCGACGAAGTTATTAAATTCATCTAACGAATCGACCAGATGTAAACTCTCCATGAACGACGTAAGTGGATTTATCGGTGCCCCGGTCAAATTGTCGGCTCTGATATGGAGTTGGCTCAGACTCTGGTTCTGACTTTCGCTTAGGAGGACAGGGGCGAAAAGTCTCTGTATCGTCTCATTACTAAATTGTGAAGACGGGCCGGCGACTAGCCACAGGTTGTCATATAGACTCAAAGAACCGGATGAATCAACATTCTTTTGATCGGCCGGGCTACATCCTACCGGGTGTTGATCCGCGACGTAGAGAGCTGTCAGAGCTGCCGCTATTATCGGAATTAGAAGGGCCGCCACGTAAGGAAACCAGTTTGTCTTGAAGATGGTACACCGCTTCATAAACAGTACTCCTGTCTGCTTTAAATAGCCAATTGGGTGTCCTGACAGTAACTCTAACCTGTCCTTCTCAAGCTCACTTCCAATACTGTCCTCAGTGCCCACTTGCGTGTCGCTAGCAACTTCAGCAGAGGATGAGCTCTCTGCTTGTCGTATGGCATGCTCGCCCCTGACTTCTTCAGCTACCTGTAGAAACACATCTTCAATGGTGGGATTGGAAAATTTGTAGTCGTAGATTTCGGCGGACTCAAGAGAGCGTATGACCTCTGCAGCAAGACTAGATGTTGGCGCAATATAGCTAATCACGTCGAAACCTATCTTGCGGGTCACGTTTTTGATTTCTGGCGGATTCTTGATCTCTCTGGCATTAAATACGTGTACCCGATATCCGGCACCTAATCTCTCTTTGAGTTCGACAGAAGATCCTTGGGCACGCAGTGTACCCTTAGAGAGGATAGCAATATGATCGGCAAGCAGATCAGCTTCGTCGAGGAAATGAGTGGTGAGAATGATGGTTCGCTTTCCACGCTCGGCCAAAAGGATGTCCCAAATTTTGCGCCGGGAAAGGGGGTCAATTCCGGACGAAACCTCGTCAACACAGCAGACGGCGCTCCCACCAGTTAACATCATTCCAAGTTGTAGCTTTCGTTTCTGACCGCCTGATAGAGTCTTAGACATAGCTTTAGCTTTTGGAGTAAGGTCTACCGCTACTATCAAGTCGTGGATCTCCCGTGAAGATGCAGTATTGTTAGGGGACTTCAGCTTGTTGAAGATCCGGATGTGCTCTTCGACGGTCAACTCGTCCCATAAGACATTCTTTTGCGGCGCAATACCCAACCCTCCTGTTCCATCGATTGTGATACCACCACTAGTCATCTTACCAATGCCAGCAATCGAATCGAGGGTCGTACTCTTTCCGCTACCGTTAGCGCCGAGTAAAGCCAGTATTTGACCCCTTCTTGCGGTGAGTGTCAGCTTATCAACAGCCACAACTGGATCCTTCGGTGCTGATTTAAAGGGAAGCAATCGGTTGAGAAAACCAGGATAATATATTTTCGTGAAGCCCTCCAGGCGAACGGCGTCAGCCGGTGCTGTATCTGCGCTTTGTCCTTGAAGAATCGTACGCCCTTTAGTAGTCGTGCCGTGGAGCACGCGTTCGAGATAAGCCCCAATGGCGGGATAAACAATGATCTGAATGGCGAGGAATATCCAGAAAACATAACCAGGTATGTTCCATGGATTATCAGGGGGATTCTTTAATAAATCGGCTGGATATGATAATCTTTCATATCGCGCTATGTATGTCATAAACCATACAAAGTTACAAGGTGTCTATAATAGCGCAAGGTTAGCAATTGTTCACTTAGACTTCAGATGCCAAGGCATTTGATACCTGGGGGAATAATTAACTATAAGAAACACATACGAAGAGTAAACTCAGAACTGCGACGGTGGCAGTACTAGGCGATGTCAGAGTTTGGGCTAATATTGCTAGCAGAATATACGCTATTGTCGTCACAACACCCGACAGCTGTGATTTATTGAAGAATGCGCCGCCGAGGATAGAGAGGGAAGCCAAAGCGAGTCCGTTAAGGATGAAGTAAAGAAGTACAATGGCGACGCTCGTATCTGCCCAGACTCCTCGCGCAATTATGATCGAGCCAATTACCCATCCCGGAAGATAGACGGCGGTGAACGCAATGTGATAGGAGAGAAGTCTTGCGACCTGGGGTTCCCATCGGTACTTGGTGGGCATCATGGCGTCTAGCAACTGAGACATACCTATTTCTCTTTCGGTCGCCATGTGGCCTGTCATATGGTAACATATGCCGATAACGACAACGAAAAAACGATACGCTCAGGAAGTTTGTCAATGCTGACTGGTAGTTACGCCGAATCCGTGCGGCCCGTTCCTCTTGAGTTTCCGGGGTGTACGGGAACTCGTCTATAATATCCGGGATCCGGGACTGGCCGCCGGTATTAGAAACGGCCGAGATGGCGGCATCTACGGTCCGCTGCAAGGGAAGAGTGTAGATCTGAGCACTATTATCATCTTGTGTTACGTCAATCTTCGATCCCAACTCGCCATCTGCTCGAAGCGTATAATTCCATATTCCCCCTTCGCCTTCGGACGGAGAGGAAAAGAATACTACGGCGCCATAACAAGACGATACACCGCGCAAGGAGCTCCGGCACGCATAAGACAAATCAGATAAACTCGATAACCTCGACGCATTTTTCCCGGCTCCGGTTACCGTTTCCGAAAGTGTATCGATAACACGTTCGATGTCGCCACCCACGAAACCACTGTTTACAAAAGCGACTGTATTACGATTCGTTTCGGTCGCAACAGCAAGTCCATTCTGTAGTGACCTAATAGCGCGCGTATCTCCAATGCCATACACAGCCGGTGGTACGAATAAATTCCGCGCAAAGGTAAGGAAAGCCGCTAGAAGAACAGGAAGTATAAGCGCTCTTATGATAGTCGCGAACCAATGGCGAAGGACGATGATCTTGAGGTTCTTGGCCGTCAAGGTCCAAGTCTGTCGCAAGAAAGCCATTTGTCGTCAAATAGCAGACAAACTCGCAATCTATCTCGTCTCGAGAGGAAGTAAAACGTCCTATCGAAAGGCGGTCAAGTCGAATTAAAGGGCCGGCGTCTGCTGACAGATCCGCGTCGTAAGGAATAATTTTTATGGCGCCATGTAAGATGCGTCAGGTAGTTAATGTATCGATCTCTCGCAAAAAAAGTAAGAAAAGACGGGAAAGTCGGAAAACGAACAAAGGATAGAAAGTGAATTGAGTATATATATAACTATATTATTATAGTTATTGAATAATATCAAAAAAAACCAAGTACTAAGCCTCCTAATCCTTAGGCAAGAAAACTATCCCAGAACCAAACCCGCCTGAATCATGTAGCCTCGTTCAGACCAGATGTTACACGATCTACCCAAACTCACGAGCTCTCATGGGTGATGCGTATGAGGGTATGTAAAAAAGAAATCGGCGATTGGATTGGTCCGAACGTCCCGGAATTGTCTATGTACGAAATGACGAGGGGACCTAAAGCGGTTCGAACCAAAGAGGTACAAAGGTCCGTAGGCAGTGGCAGTGCTTCTAAGCTTCGTAGAATATTACCCACCTAGGAGGTAGGGCGGTATAAATCGGCCAATAGGAATCGTATGGAAATTTAGTTGCCTACCTAGCTGCAGGCCTGCAACTTACAACGTCCAAAACCTAAGGTACTTAACCTTAGGTACTTATTTAATGTAGGTATGCCGACGCCCGATTGAAACGGCCCGCTTAGCTCATGTCAAACCTTAAAAGTTTCTACATACTATGTAGCGTGTAAGATCTACTACGTAATTGAGCCATTTCCAGCATATGCATATAGGTACACAAAAAGGTAATACTTCCCGAGGAGTAAGAAAAAAAAAACTGCAATACGATATGTATTCCGTTTGAGCAAACACAAACGCCGCGTTCTCGCCAAGTCTCAATTCGCCAATTTCGATGAGGAGATATGCTGCAGATTCCCGTAAATACCAGGCAGCAACATACATGGAAAATCTGTGCATACATGTAGGTACATATGTATGTACGTATGTACCTAATGCATCCTATCTACATCATGTTACATACGCTGCCGACGAATAAACGAGCCATACAGAATTGACGCGTCAACTAATACATAACTCGTTGAAAATAATGACGAAAAGCCATCTTTGTACTTCATATTATTGAACTTACAAAATGCCAATATCTCTCCAAGAGCATCGCCTCCTCCTGATGGAAGATGCTCACGTTAAACCCCTGCTAAATGGGCCCTGCGATGCGGCTGCTTACTCGTCCGTTGTTATAGGTGCAGGATTGAGATCGGCGGGCTACACCGGCCGAAGGTTGGCTAGATCTCACGACCAAACCTAACCCATACCTGTACTTTTGGATTACCTATACCGTTATCCGCCAAGGTAGCTAGTCGCGTAAATGCTTAAAAGCCGCATCTATGTATTGAGTCCTTGACTTAGTCGACCATGAAACCGCCAGCATAGTCGTCATCTATCGTAAAGCCCCCAGCTTCACCGCTGTCATCACTTTGCTGTGCCACGTCCTCCATGTCAGCCTCCTCCTGTACTACCCCTTTTCCATTATCAACGTCGGCAGTATTTTGATTCTTACTTTCCTCTTCAGAGTCAACGCCTTCCCAGATCCGTTGTCGAACCCTAAGGCCCCTCAAAAATAATTTCCAAGTCTTGAGAGCTTCGCGGATCCGCAATTCCTTTTCTATATCGGCTTCCCGGTCTAGAAGACCTGTGATCACGGCCCGGACAGCCTCCTCATGTTCTGCGGCGACAACCACTCCATATAGGACTGCTGTGCCTTGTCTACCCTTAAATTGAAAGCCAGTGAGAGCGGGCGCGTAGTCTACCCCCAATATGAAGGCGGCTCGGGCGCCGAGCTCGTCAGCCACGTAGGCACCGCCCTCCGGAACCATGCTGGGCACGTAAATATCCAAATTTCCAAATCGGTTCTTCGGTACTCGCCCGTTGACAACCGGGGAATGTTTGAATTGTACAGTCTGATTGATTGTGAATATTGGCGTTCCGACTGTCCCGTCGGGATCGCCATCCTCGTCGTCATCAAATGAATCTGTCTTCTGTTTTGCGCGTTTAGGTAGGAATTTGGCAGGTATCTCATTCGGGAGAACCTCTCTACCCATTCGATACCACTTTTCCCTACTGCGAGCAATATGTACATCCTTACGCCTGTAAATCTTCTCCAGGGGACCGTTACTACCAGCCCCTATTGTTCCTGACGCAGAAGCACCGGGCACAAGTACCTCGTTCCGCCTAAAGTGCCGTTCGAGTGCATATATAGGATGGTCCTTGAAGTCAGCAATGTTACGAGGCATTGGCTCCCGTATCTCAATGGCTATTAATTCGTTATTTTCAATCTGATCTAGGTCTGAAGTGAACCCGCGGGAGAAAGCCCTAAGAACTTTCCGCCACCACCTTTCACCAGTAGCTTCTGCGCTTTCGATTCGCATCTTTCTTGTTTTTGCATTGAACGCTTTCGCATAGCGGCGAGTTACATCTTTTGCCGTGCCATCAGCTTCAAAGGCAACGACGTAGGTCATACAATTTTCCCTGTCAGAAGCTGGAGGTTCCATTTTCTGAGGTTTCCAGAACGAGTCTGTCACTAATGGGTCGACGGGTTGCCATTTCTGATGGGCCTCGTCTAGAATTTCAACCCAATAGACAGGATGTCGTGATTCTCGGATTTTTTTAGGCACAGGAGGAACTTCGCGAGATGAACTAGCAGTATGGATTGTGGGAACCTGGAAAGCCATAGCGTTCGGATGCCCTAACCGCCTGCGGATTGGGCAAACGGTCTCTTCTGGTGAATCGACCGTATTACTATTATTATTTGCAGCATTCTGTTGCATCTGTGCATATCGCGCTGCTATGGATAGCTTTCCCTCAGATTTTGGCGGTTTCCCTAAAGGAGGGCCTCCGGAAGCAAAAGCAAGAGGTTGAAGAGAACATACAAGCCTGGCTTCAACCCCAGCGCTGCGGAGGAGTGCACAATACAACTGTGCGCCGACATCACGCGAGCCACGAAGGGATTTTGCCGCTTCTTGGAAATCTGGCTTTTCTCTAGACGATTCTGCATCGTCTGGGAGCTTGTACTATGAAGATCAATTAGTCTACTCTCCATAATAAAAGAAATCAAATGGGCATACGCCTTTAAGATGCTCTTCGTTCTCGGCCCAAAGTGCCCGCCGAAGTCCTCGCTCGGTAATCTGGAATTTTGTTTTATACATGGTTCCCACTTGCCCCAGACCATCCTTAAGGGACTGTGCCCGTCCGAATTGAGTAAGCTGGGTCCCCGGGTTGAGATATTTAACCGTTTTCTTAGTTAGGAGTGCTCGCAGCGTGTCCTGGACGACGGCATCATTACACCACCGATTTCTACGGGCGACATGGGCTAAAAGGTAGAGCAAATGCGTCTTATGTATTTCAATTCGACGATCCTTTTCTGCCCTGCTGATCGGCTTTCGCCTATCCACAGTCTTCTGAGCACCCGTAGTCGTCTGCGTCGAAAAGTCAAGCACCAAATCCTTATTAGCATCTTTGGCATCTTCGATATTATTTAAGTTCGGAGGTGCCGAGAAATCGACATCTTCAAATTGTATATCATCATCGTCTTCATCTTCTTCATCTGAATCTCTATATACCGTCTGCACAGTCGCAGCTGGTAATGGCACATCCTCGAACTGTATATCCTCTTCATCGTCTACATCCTCAATCTTGGGTGTTATCTCCGGAGGATTCGGTTTCTTGGGTAATTCTTCATTTTTTGACCGGGCCGCCTCCTTTTTAAAGGCCGCTCTGGTAAGGGCGCATCGGGTTGGACATCGGCTTCAACAAGCATTTGGCGATAGATATCCGGAACATTGGAGCGCCTCGCACTGGACCTTGTCTGTCGGGAGGACCCAGAAGCCGTCGTATTCGTCGCATGATTTCTAGATGCTGCACGCTTCCTTCCGGCCATTAGAATAAATTTATGAATTATAATATATTAAAAGGTACCAAAGAGAACTAAATAGATGTAAACGTAAGCATTATGTCGGCAGCGACAAATATAATAGTTGGGGATGCATGGTGCTGAAGATTGCAAGTTAGTCGCCTTACAAATGCATTAGAAAGGTACCTGAGCCCGGCTTGACGTAAGTGTTCGGCATTTAGGTGCAGCCGCGAACGAGGGGCAAGAATGCGATGCAACAGTCTCGAAAGCACGTGACTTTACAGTTTCGCGTTTAATGAGAGCCATAATAGGTTAGGGACCTCTTTCTGTTCTACCATTGCTTATCGTTTTCTGCAGATTAGGTAATATCCACAGCATTCCTTAGGCTAGGTACCTACCTAAGTGCCTACCTAAATGTAACACTATTAATACAGGTCACATTTAGTTGAAAGGGCTATAACACAATACCTCTTATCCATATATTCATTAGAGACCTCCCTAAGGAAATAGGTAGATATCCTTTCACAAAGTCCCTCATCAGGTTCTGCGCGTTCCTGGGTGCTAGCTACTTATCTTTGATTCCTAACTCTACTTTTTACTGCGTTCTATTTCGATAGTCTCAACAGACAGCACCGTCCGTCTACACCTTAACTACCAGCAGAACGACTTGTCGAAGAAGTAGAAGCTATAGCTAGTGCTTCGTCTTCGGCATCAGCCATCTCCCTCGCTTCTTGAAGAAGCCTATCCCAGCACTCATTACACATCCCTTCATTCCATTTGATGACAACTTTGTCCACCTCACCTCTAGGTCCTAAGCATCTCTTAAATAATTCAGCGCATGTCTTAGGTTGCATGAATCCCCAACAAGAGCAACCATACCAACGCTGATATAGCTCCTTACACATCGTCCGAAAGCGATAATGGAGAAAGGACGAATTATAGATGAGAATGAATAATACTATGGTAGCTTGAGTATTATAGTTCTTCTCGTGCCAAGACGGTGCAACGCCGGACGTTAAATTCGCAAGCTTCAAAATACTGTTGAGTAGAGTTTAGAAACTTGGGTAACTTCGATACCTGTCTTTCGTTTCAATTCCCTCCGCTGTCAATCAATAATAAGTATTGGATGATCGAGAATCCTCTTTGGCTGTCTAATAACAGCGTCGATCACTTAGAAGTCGTCTGATTTTTATCTCGTCAACATCGCAATGTTGATGTCGCGTACTGCCGTTTCGATGTTTTGAAGAATTTATTTATAGCGATGACATCTAGTTGTCTAGTAACAACATGATCATGCTAACGGAGATAACTAAATGGACTTGAAACTTGGTAAGACCATAAAATAGTCGAACAAGGGATAAAAACGAAAGCAAGCTTCCGTGGTTGCGTAGCTAAATGGAACAATGTTCATAAGACAAAGATGTTTGCGTGCCGGGTTAGATCACCAAATGTATTTCTACGACAAGTACCTCTTACAGAATTCGGATTCTATGACCTAAAACGGCGGTAACGGCAGCTGCAAAGAACCCCACTGTGTCCACTGTGGCTTGCTGTCAGAATCCTAGGAACTATACCCAAAACCACATTCGGCCGTATGACACGACTATACTGAATGTGGTGTTCGGGAGAATCATTCATTCTACTAAAGTAGATACACGAGGACACGAGGACACGAGGCATTTTTAAGAGGATCGAGATCTCTTTCATATATTTTAACCTGTCACAGGCCGTCTTCGGCACAACACGGTGAAGCACCGGGAAGATCATTCATTTAAACCCTTGAACCGGTCTACAAATCTGCGAACTTGCGAACCTGCGAACCTATACTATGTATAATGCACCTATATAATGCCTACCTAAGGGTATCTAAGGCAGTTCGAGAACGTTCCACAATCGGAACCTTCTTGCATTCAACTGCCTTGCTCGCATGAACATCGGTGAGATTAAATTAGCCGCATGTAACTCTCCAACATCTTTATCAGCCTCAATATATCTCAACTTTTACACTTCCTCTAACTAGTTATTATATTAGTAAAGGACACCGAGAGGGTATGCTGGAGAAATATTGGAGATATTTGGATGCACCACCGGCACCGAAATATAAGGTTTCGTCGGCACGGTATCGTTTGCGAACGCCGGCGTCTTGCGCAATGGTCGGAGGCAGGTAAAGTGATTAGCAATGTTAAGCAGTTTCTCCTCGCTGAATGGATGGCCTAATATCTCCATTCCGATGGGAACACCGATCGGCGCATCCGGCGATGGTTGCGAAAATCCGACTGGAACGGTGACCACGGGGACACCAGTCAGTGCGGCAAGGATACCATTACGTCCGGCTTGGGACGGCGAGCCGATTTTGACTACGAGATTTTTCTGCTCCGGGTAGATGACAGCATCGAGCTTATTCCTAACGAATGTTTCATTAACTGCCGCTTTGAGGCGATCTATCCCTTGCTTAGCCATTGTATATCCCGGATCAGCTGGTGACCAAACCCTGGAGTTGTTTACGAAGCTGTATTGAGCTGGGATAACCAGGAATTTCCCACTCTCATATACCTCGTCCCGAGTAGTCGGTCTATCCCCTGTAAGGTTCGGACTAGACAGGTAATTGTTTAGGGATTCTTTGAATTCATATTGCTGGACATCGAAATCAGCCAAGGATGATGCGTTGTAGATCGATTCTGTCACATTGATGATTTCGACACCCTCTGATTCGAGGAAGTCAATGGTGCTTTTCAGAGCGTCGATTACCGGAGTTGTCTCATCAGATGCCGTGTGGTTCCAGAATCCGTCCAACAATCCAATCCGAAGTCCATTGAGACTTCCATCGTTTAAACCTCGTGTATAATCTATTCCCCTGGCCTCCGGTGGGACAAGGAGAGTGGCATTATCAGCTTCGTCGGCACCAACGCTCGTCATTACGGTGAGTGCAACCGCAAGGTCTTGAATGTTTCTTGCGATAGGCCCAATACTGTCCTGTGTGTAGCTGATGGGCATGATACCCGCTCTCGATATAAGCCCCCAAGTCGGACGCACGCTGACGAGATTATTCGCGCTTGCCGGACTACGGAGACTGTTGACAGCATCCGTACCTGTGCCAAAGACTGCGAAGCTAGTTGCAATCCGCGACACCGGTACCACCACTACTACCCCCCGGAGTCCGTGTTTGATCGTATGGGTTTATCGTCTGTCCTCCTAGCGAGGACACCGTGAGGCCCTCCAGCGCCACTATTCCAGTCTTGGTCAGTATAGCCATAGCCCAAAGAGGTGCAATCATCCATTTAGAATCTAGGGGGCACATACTTTCGTGTAGATTCGTTTTACCTAGAATCACAGCACCTTCTTTCTTAAGTGCCTTGACAGAAGGGGTATCGACGATGGGGCGGTTACCGGCCAAATCAGCACACGATCCTGTTGTGTTCGTGCCTACAGCGTCATAGTTGTCCTTCAACAGGACGGGAACACAAAGAAGCTTGCCTGCTAAGTTGCCGGCAGCAAGTTTCTTGTCTAACTCATCTGCTGCTAAGAGAGCATCAGGGTTAAGGCTAATAACTGCATTGATAGTTGGGTTGAATCTCTCAATACGAGAAAGGAAAGAAGATACTACAGTACGGCAGGTACTCGAATTCGTGACAAGCGCAGCCCGTACGCTCCCAATGGTCGACTCCAGAGGTTCGAATGCATCAGTGTGGGCGTGGACAGTCGATACCTGAAAGAACAATGTGCCGAGTATCCAAAGTATCACAGGCACCCGGACGCGTAATAAGCTATCAGTAACGGATGTGAAGAATCTCATACTGAGTTCTGGTGCTCGTAAAGGGTAATTTCTAAATAAATATCTCTCGAACTCGATTGATACTTTTGCTAAATCCGGGTTTATATAAGGTTATCCCAATACACGATCAAGGCCTCTAAGATGCAGAGGTTATCCGTTTGCTAGAATCGTTTAGGTGGGAATTCCGGGCTCTTGGGTTCCACAAACAACCACAATTCCATTTCTCAACTATACTCTCACATAATACGGGCAACATTTCTCGCCAGCAGATCAAAAGAGTGATAACATATCTCAAGCAGATGTTGGTTGATAGTTAATTATATTCCGAATCACGTTGACATTTCTAATTCACCGAAGGTGGTATATAAAGCGCAGCTATGATATATTCGAATATCTAACAGGGCACCTAGTACTATCAGCAGACTTATCACTACCACTAGGCAAACTCAAAGTCATAGAGACCAACAAACAAGATCTCTTTTCGTCCTGGGATAATTCTTAACCTACCTCTCACCTAATACCGGGTCCATTCGTAAAAATATGGTCATTGGGGACCCGCGCAAACGCCTTTCTATGTCGTGTAACCGGGTTTTAGGAAGACAGGTTATTTATCAAAAGAGACAAATTGAAGGCTGATCAATGTTTCTTACCTTATGCGATTCTATCTATATTACATATCTTCATCACAACGAATATTGTAATGCCCAGCAACCCTTTACATGCAGGTAGATAGTATACGCTAAAGAAAGATCAGTTGAGTAAGCTAGCTTCGCCGCGTAATCGCGCTCGCTAGAAGAACCAACAGGTTCCCAATGGAAATAAGCAGGAAGCGAGTCTTGTGATATGGCAATCCGTCTAACAAGTACGCAGTGTGCATGTGGTTAGTAACTAACTACCACTAATAATGTGGTTTAGTAAATCCCGTTTGTTGCGCAGTGTTGGATGGTGGTGCTGAGGTCTTATATCACATTTGACAGGCTCGCAAGCAACAAGCACTTGGCATGCGGTATGTCCATTAACGATAAAAGCCGCCAGTCCCCGTTGCAGAGACCCAGCGTCTTGGGACAGCGTCTGATTGGCCAGCCTTGAGGCTTGCGGTGTATGTACATACGGCCAGCAGGGTCAGTGCATATACATATGTATTACGAGAGCCGGGTCTAACGCTTTGTTCAATTCGAATACTACCGCATTCAGAAGGCCGTCGTGGGTATCTCAGTACCTGGTTGGACGATCTGACGATACCCTGGGTTTCCATAGGCAGGGATTAGGGAAATCGGACCATGGTCCCCCTGTAGAGGCACGCAATCTACGGTGTGGGAAAGGTATGTATTCTGGAGATGATGCAGATGATGGTTGCCAAGTATCGAGGTGCTTCGGAATTGGTCCAAGTGTTGTGATTATACGTATGTATTGGCTGCTGGGTCTGTTGGTTATTACTCAAGCTTACAAGCTGTCATCACATTTCAAAAAGCATCAGGTGAAGCAGCAAACTACTTCAATTCATTGTCCCTATGTACAAATCGTATCTCGTAAGAACAAGGGGAAATAGCATATGTAGGTTAGGTAGTTAATGTGATCTCTGTACCTCGGTTATTCCGCAAGGACCAATCCAAGATTCCACCAACTGCAGCCCCCGCAGTCTCCGTCTTTTAACGAGACGATACATGGAACTCGAGCTTACGAGGGGGGGCGGGATAAGCCATCTTTCTTCATCGAAGAAAACAGCACGAGATCCCCCCCCCCCCCTTAGAACCCGAAAATCTCATCATCTTATTGAGATGTGACGCCTCTTTTAGGCCTCACCCTGACGTTGCCCTCTTGGAGAGCTTTGTCTGAAATGTCGGCAAGCGGATCCTTCTTGTCGAACGCGTAGCCGGCGCGTTCGTCCCGCGACATCTTTAAGATGTTGAATCTTTCACCGCCGATCTTATACTCCTTGGAGAACTTCTTGAACTGCGAGACGAGCACGTATTAATTAGTAAGACTGCGTTAGGTAGTTTACATCGCTGAAAAGTTCCAGAGGGGGGAATTCACCTTCTTCTTCCAATCCCACCTGTCGGTCTTTGGCGCGCCAGAAATCGGCTTAATCTTGCCGGCCCTTTCTAACGCCTTGATTTTCTCGTCCGTACCGTAGCATCCGGCTAGGCTAAGATCGATGCCGGCTCTCTTCGCGTAACTGACGACTTCTTTACGGTACGGCAACTCGAGGTCTGGGATCTCTAAGTCTTCAACCCAGTAGAGGTAGAATGTCATGATCAGCCCCAAGTCTTTAATCTCGGAATCGGCTTTGAGCATCTTGGCCCGGTCAAGCTCGTTGAGCACTGTGAGCAGAGCACGGCCAACGAGGTTAACGGTGGTATTTATTCTCTGCACGTCGCCCGTTGCTATTTATGCAAATGGTTAGTTGGTTGGTTGGTCGCAATATGCTCTTCTCGACTGTCTCCTCAAACTGACCTATCCACCCGTGAAGGGGAATTTCTAAGAGCCACTGCATCATAGCGGCTACAATCGCCCACATTTGCTTCAGGGCTCTCTTGCTACGCTTCTTCCGCGTAAATTCCTTATCGAAAGCAATGAGCTAACAATAGTTAGTTAGCCGGTTCTAGCAATGAGCCTAATGTGAGAGCCGGTAGCCCCTTACCATGTTCTCAATCATTTCCTGCATGCCCTGGCCGTGGAAGTGCTTGTGAATGTGCATTTTGAAAAAGTCGGGGTTAGTGTACGATGCCCGCCTTTCCCACGAGGAAAACAGTTTCCAGGTCTCCCACATGGCGATCCACCGATGGTCTGGATACTCGGTGGCTGGCTTCATCTCGATGTTGTCTTCAGCTCGGATTTCCTGGTTGTATTCTTCAAGCAGGTCATCGTCGTCAAGCTGGTCGTCCTCATCTTTATCCTCGTTCTCATTCTGAATATCAAAGAAAGGGCGGAACATGCAATAATACTCATAAGGAGGGCGAAGGTCCGAGCTGTCTTCGGGAGTCTATTAAGAGGTTTGAGTAAAGCTACTTTCATACAGAGAGGATAAATACATACCTCATCTTCATCTTCCTCTTCTGAGCTAATGTTTACTTCATCGCTTTCGTCTACCCATTCTCCACCTCTTGTAAGTCTTGGTGGTCCGGGCCGTTCATCTGAATTCGATTTTCTCCGGGATGTGAGGAAGCCCGGGGGTGAAAATCTATATATGAGATATGCGGATACCAGAACCGGCGCGATCGACAGCACCAGCGTCCTCTTCGATGGAATCGTGCCTAGCGAAGCCATCGCGAGGGTCTTGGGTTAGTCGCAAATTTCAGTTCAGCTCAGCTCTTATTTTTTTTTCCAACCTTAAAACTGCTTTTATCGTGTTGTATGCAAGCCTTTTCTTTCCCTTTTTCATCGGCCCACTACGAAGACGCGAATCGATCGCGGCTGGTCACGTTTTTAAGGACGAAAGAGTGGATGGGCGGCTTGGGTCTGACGCTATGGCCACGTGCGGAAATACAGCCCCTCCGGGTTTCCAGACCGCCCTTTCAGGCATTAATACCCCTTGTTAACTACCTAGAATATATTAACGGCGCTTACGACGATGGTATTTAAGCCCTCTATCTAGAGTCCAACGTCATAGATTTTTACTTGTAAAGAGACATGTCTCTCTCTCTTTACGATACTTAGAGTCTTTCTTATTTCGATCTCAAACTACTCGAGGAAATACTTCAAATTTTCGAAGATAAATTCTACAACCGAGCAAGGATAGTTGGGCATAACCGGAGGCGCCGGCAACGGAGCTTTCTTCGAAACTTGCCTAGAGTCCGCCACCCAGCCCTCGGAGAGAACTGTCCTTCCGCCCCCGTGAAATGTGCCCGTCTTTCTCGTTACGAGCTATTCTACTGCGCACACTACCTCTCTCACTCTCTCTCTCTTTAACAAGGGAATAACCAACTAAAGACAATAAATTGGTTGTCTCTGACTTACTTACCTTCCAGAAGTAGATAACTGAGACAATCAATTGGCACTTTCTAATATCGATGTTACACAGATAAGACAAATGTGAGGGGTTCGCTCATAAAATCATCGTCATGTGTGTTGATATTAGTACGATATATTTGACCAGGTGAGCCCATCCAGTCTCAATCGAGCCCAACGGTCTCGGTGGAAGCTTTCAGAAGGAAGCCAGAACGTGACCTAAGGTATTTAAGGGCAGAAAATGGCAGAAAATGGCAGAAAAGTGGGTTGATGGAGCTCCGGGCGGAGTCAGGGCCATTGATATATGTCCGCCTATTATCCACTGACATGACGATTGGGTTTCAACGCAAACGTCGCACTCCGCGTACGATCCAACATACCTAGGTCAATAGCCAAGCTATAAATCAACCACAGTTAGACTTATACGCTTCTTGTAACATATAGTTTAATTACCAATTCTAATAGAATAGGTATTTATAAGTAACATTGGATAGTAAAGGGCAAAATAAACTAGTTATTAAGTCTTAACTAACAAAAGTGCATCTTAGATGTTTCATGTTTGCTTAAGCGTAGCCCGTAAAACCTCGTAGACTAGACTTAGCGCCGGCTATTTATTAGCGGACGGGAGGCGACATGAGATTATAGAATAGTTATTAGTGTAAGGTGGCTAGTCCCCAGAGGGTTAGAAGAGCCAGAAGTTCTTTTCCTTATCATGAGATAACTGCTCGTCCAGAATTCATTCACACTAGGTGCCTATAGGTATGTTTGAGATCACCCATAAAGAGTCTTATACTATTTTACTTCACTTCGGCTAAGCCATGTTAAGCAGATCGTGGTTGGGCCTCTGTATCAGATTATTTAATGGATTTAAAATTAAGTACTTAAGTCAAGTCAGCCTTGTTATATTCTTAGGCTATTGTGGCATAGAGGACAAAGAGCCTCTAACTATATTAGCAGTCTAGTTTCAGATAAATTCATAATTCTTCGTATGCTGATAGAGTCGTAGTCTTATTTCTTACTCTCATCCTTATAAATTTCATAGCGACGTACGTTGATCAATACTGAGTCATTAGGTACAATCTTGTTATTTAGTTGAATTGTTGCTTAATTGCCTTATTTCACATTGATAAAGTTAGTTAACCCTCATTGGACTTAGCTTATCTCGAGAGACAAGTTACTTTTCTCTTGTAAACAGCTTTTTATTGGGCTGGATTGAAATAACTGTTACTATTGACACTTAAGTTTAATTTTCTACGATGAGCACCCAGCGCTTTTGATATTTGAAGTTAGAGAAATTTAAACCAATGGGCCTCATATGGTGATTGTTACGAAGAGGAACCTAGGTGCATAGAAAATACTTCGTTGCTCCGTAGGGAACTCTAAACTTAAGCAACTATGAGAACCAATAAGTAGCTACAAATCTTGAAAGTATTCTACGTCCTAGATATTTCACCCAGGATCCTAATAGGGATGAGTTTTTTTAGATTGAGGACTATAGAGAGTATTTAACACTAAAGAAGCTTTAGGTTACACTTGTCTCATGTTATTAGTTTAAGGTATCAAACGACTTAGCTATAGTTATATTATCTCAATATTCTAGAACTACAGTTACAGTGATTATACACAAAAAAAAAAGGATGCTCTAATATGGTTAAACAATACAGTCAGTCAAACTAGTAGTCCCATAAGACTTAGATTGATGTTTTGGTATATGCATTAATCACTGAGCATTATATATACATATTAGAAAGGTGTAATAATATAACAAGGGGGACCATTTGGTTCTCGTAGCTACTAGGGTGACTATAATATGAGTCAAGACTAAGTAAAAATTAAAATATATTTAACGATCTCATCTCAATTATTATTCTAACACTTTATCATATGTACCTAAACTAAGTCTTTTGAGATATACACGCAGTGGCATAATTTAGTAATGAGAAAATTGTCTACCTAACTTCAATTAACAAGTTAATAGAAGTCTATATGAAATCATAAGCACAATTGATGAGTTAGGTACGTTAATGGAATTTTCAACATGCCCTCAGTCAAGGCTATCATTATAATCTTACCTAGCCTATTGCAACGCTTACTGTCCACTCACTTGTAAACTCTCATAGATATGAGCTCTGAAATGACGCAGCAAGCTTCTTCTTGGTAATATCTTAGTCCGGCTATTGAGGCTATTTGATTAACTTAAACATGACTCCTATTGGAAGTATGAGATTGAGATATGATTTGTAATGGAACATATACAAATACCTCGCCCAACACTCCCCCCTTCTTTTAGATCACTGTTGGGCATATCCGAGTCTGCCGTCGTGTAAGAGTTTAAGTAAATAATTTATCTGAACCGAATATCGTCTGACTACAGTCCGGAGCCAAGAAACTTGTTGAGGGCCCGAGGTGGGATGTAGCATCTAGCGGCCCCCAAGACGTAACTCACAAACAATCACCCACAGGAGTTGCACATGCAGGACGGGATCATGCCATCCATTACTCAGTACGTCATGCTCTATGTATGTTGCACCCACGTGGCGAAGCAGGCATTTTATCGTCGGCTGGTTAACGAGGATCTACTATGCTCGACGTACTGTACATATACCGGCCTCTTGGAGGATTGGTTCGTCTTGGGGCCCATGTGACCAGGAAACTGCACACTTGAAGGAGCTTGGCGACTATGCAGTTGAAATTAGACGTTGGGCATGCCCGCAGGATTCTACGACGAATATGCATTGGGTTCGAGCTATTCTGCCTATATAGACATGGCCGCCATGTAGCTAGTTATAGCGGGCTTTTTAGGAACTAGGGGTATAGTACGAGTAGTTATAGGTAGTAATATACTGCAATACCTTGTATACGTTACATTTAACTAGGCGAAGAAGACGATCTAATCGAGCAACTGGAGACAGGATTGGAAGACCCACGCCATATGCTAGATCAATTTAAGTCATATTATTCAAGCTTCGACTAATGAGAGAGTACACAAATATATTGCTGCTCTATATGATCTGTTTATCACTCAGCTTATAAAAATCTTACGTATGGCTCGAAGAATAAAGTTACGATATATCTTATAGACTTATAGCTCAATGCCAATAATGAAGACGCTGGGTAAGAGTATGCAACCCCGACATTAAGGAATATAATAACTCACACGTAAGGTATATGTACCTACCTTCCAATGACTATGAGGGGAGGTTCCGCTTGATAACCCGATAATGTAACATATGCATGGGGATATGCAAAGCCGTGTCCTACAATCTACTCCCACACTTTCCAAGCAGTACCCCCCCTAGAAAAGTGGCTGGGCACTTTTGCTTATTACTGTTGGAACCAATCTGTCGGAAACTGGGTTGTGCATAAGAGGTATAGATACTATGGGGTACATCTAGCTGCTGTCCCCGGTTTCGGGGTGTTGGGGCGTTCTAGATGCAAGGCGAGGGTTCCTATCAGATTCGAAGCTTGTCATTCGTATTTCTCATGCGGATCGAGCCTTTACATAACAAGACAAATGGTACCTAACTTTAAAAGTCCTCGAAGATCATCACGCGATCAGCGCAAGGGGATAAGAGAAGACGCTTTAGTATATTTTCCTTCCTGGTCGGGCTACTAAATCGTACGCTTTTGGATGCGTATTAAGACGACGCGTACCTCATACGACTACCCAACCAATCGGCGTGCGAGGTCAGCTAGAAGTATATTAAAGGCAGGCTATGATAGACTGATGATATGATTCTCGATAGTTAGCTCTCACGGGTCTCGGCACCACAATGGATGGGTATGATATAAGAGGCAGGCTACGGTCAACCCTCGTAAAGACCTGTCACTATTCCAGCATGAGCTCCATCGGTCTAGTCAGGGGAAATCATTTTTACGTAGTGGGCTGTGATAATGTCTCCGTCTTATGCAGTTGAAGCCAAGCTCAAAGTGGAATGTGTTCTTCGACTTGCCTCTGCGAGATGCAACTCTGGCTGCTCTATATTAGCCAATATCACAAGGTCCGTGCTCACTACTTCACAAGAATGAGACGCTGTAGAAAAAAGAGGAAGGGAAAGACGATTCTCTGACATTACTACTCTGCCACTTAAAGCTGTCAACTTCTTGGAGCCCATTTGCGGCTAGGTTAGGAAATGTTCGTCCTATAAGTCACTATTCTCATACGGCGCGTACATGGTGCATAATAGGTACATATGTATGTACGTAGACCAGGTCGTGCTACGGATGGGTGATGCAGGTTGCAGGAGGAAGATAACCTGGTAGCGAGGATTGAGACGATTCCTTCAACCTCATCAGCCGCCGAAAATAAGTTTTACGTTGGAGCATATGACTGGACAACTGGACAGCGTGAGGCAGCCAACCATATGTTGGAGTTGAGTAGATCGTTATAGGAGATGGGGCGCATGTAATATGTATGATGTATGTATTGAGGAGATAAGTCTAAAGATTGAAGATGAGTTACGAGTTGACAATAGCCCCGCATTGGGGAATAAGCAGAAGATTAAAATTGAGTGTTAAGTAGAGGGGCAAGACAGGATGAGATGGGGTAACAACCTTAGTGGAGTTCCCCACCCCCACATTACACAGGTTATAGCAGTCAATACACTATATTACATAGGTACATTTAGTAGATGACGGAAGTCGCTAACATTATTCTTTGAATCTAAATTATATACACTCAAGTCTATATGAGGTAGGTACGGTATGTACCTTAGGTAATAATAGCAGTTGCAGTACAGTATTAATATACATATCTTAGTTTCGCTTTATTTATTTCGTAGAAGGTGCAGTGTTTAAGTAGGATTACTAAGCAAATAGTTAACTATACTAAGATATACTAAGTACTACCTGAATGGCCCCCAAACCTCTAAACCCCCAATCCCCCAACTTTTCAACCCTCAACGTGCCTGGGTCTTCCGCGCCAATGCACATCATTCAACACCAAACAACCACCAACCAAAACGCACGGTTCCTAGCATGGAGAGGCTTGTTCATCTCAATACCTACCTCTAGGAACATTATCTATAATCATTATGACGACAATGATAAAAATGATTGCAATGCTGTGATACTTTGACTGACCAAGTATGACACCTTCCTTCACTCATTGGATAGGCGACATGATGCCGATCCTCTTCCTATTTACTTGCCGAGTAGTAACAAATGGCTGGTTTCGCTACCGATTCACTTTGGTCTAGCGTTACGGTGCCTTAGAAGAATGAGAAGCAAGCCGCCAATGATGACTGTCGTTTGAGCCTAATACATCACTCACCCGTCGCAACCTTGGAGGTCCTTCCCAAATTTGGATAGCGATGTGTTTCCCGCATTCAACAAGCTTCTTTATGGTAGATTACTACTACGGTACGACCTCCCAGCTCTTGGCCCAATAAATCATTCACCGGCTCGCCACATTATTGCCTATTTTCTTCGCCGTACTGGTCCCAGCTGTTCCGGAGATGACTGTATCAGATTTCGGTCTAAAATCCCTCTGCTGTCAGTTTGAGGGAATCAGAGGCTCATCTCTGTTCATGCCTGATATATCGGGTTGTAATTGGTAATCGGCACGAGGAATTCGAAACTACCGTGGAGTATTCACCGCTATTATGACTATTATGAGTTGATTAGCAACAACAGCTTAATGTCCGATGAAGCTGCATAGAGGTCATTCGCAACTTTTGACAGTTTTTCGATAAGTGACACTGCAGCCGCCCGGCTGCTAATCCTGAAAGCCACAATCACACCGTCCATCCCGGAAGAACGAGTAGACTACTTCCACGAGTCGTACGTAACTTGTATTCGCGCCTCGCATACCGCTTTGCCACATTGCCTTCAGCCGCCTGATGAGACGTTTATCTGCTAGCCGTCTTTCGTCATAAACGATAGTCCGTATCCCTCATCACATGGCCGTTCTTGGCCTTAGCCCGTCTTCGGACTCGTGACAACACGGCCATCTTTCCGCGTCGGCTCCTTCTACTTCTCTTTGGAAAAACCTGACGTTGTTGAGTTTGACCAGCACCCAACCAGGTGCCGCAAACCCCTGCTCGATCAATATGTCACTAGGCTCTAGACAGGCTTTAGATGACGACGATGCTGAAGCTGATAGTCTTTTTGTGCAATCACCGAGATAGATGTACCTTCACGAATATGGAAAATAGATCTGCCCTTTGACGGCTTTTGGTGACTAGACTCGTGGTCTTCTTCCGTTCAATTCCCTAGTCTATGCCTGGGCCTCCTACTGACATACTTAGGTTCTACATGGCTTTCTCTATTGGTGCCAGTCTGCTAGCTGACCCTAGCTCCAAAATGGATGTATCTCTTTCCATTGGCCAATCCCAAAGACCGAAACGGCTGGGCTCTATAGAAGCCGTATCACCAATGTCATCGTCAACCAACCGACCACTCACGGCCTCTATATTTGAACGGAGCATTTTTGGGGGATCACCAATATACAGTACCGACTTCAAGCTTACCCCCCACATTCAAATCCACAATTCGGTCTGCTAGTACCTGACGAGTACCTACACTGCAATACAACCTGCAAGTCACTATGAGATACATACAACTCCGAGCTTTCTAGATGGTTATAATATTGTTCAATGTATAACAAATCGTTTAGTCACTATACGTCTAACATCCGTGTTAGCCTTCGCGCGCGATACGAAAACTTTTTTTGAAGACCCTTGCATTCGCAACTCCAGATATGCGGGCGGTGCAGATCTTCCCCTGCACTGTCCACGGCTTTCCAGCTACCATGTCTTGAGACGGTTGATCTGAGGTGTCCTCTTGAACACCACAAGTAGGGGATGTCCGAGCAAGAAACGCGAGAGGACATGTATTATAGACTACTATGGTAGTATGCATTTCCCCGTCTGTGTTATAGAAGTGGGATGTTATCTATGCACCTGTCTGCTCTTCTACTTTGATCCTACTTTCATCTTCTCCTATTCGGGCTACTCTCTTCTATTCCTCCAATCAGTTCTGCTATTAAGATATAGCTACATCTTACTTTAATCTATATATACCACGTTATCCCCCGTTGTCTTGTCTTACAGAACTTTCAGCACAATATTAATCACTACTTTCATATTATAAGAATCTACTCTAGTAGCTATATCACTGTCACTATAGTGTCCCCTATCATTAGCCATGGCACCACACCTTGACGCACCATCTCCTAGTGGAAGCTTCGCGGTTAGCTTCGACGGAATCCCATTTCGACCTGCTACCTCTTCAGACGCAGTGACAGGCTCTCTAGCACCTGCCGAGTCACACTCCTCGTTTAGTAGCTTCTTCGAGAGCGAGTCAGTAGAAGAGGATTTCCGTATAACAAGGCCACTGGTACCAGGCGTTTATGTACCAACCCTTTGTTTCTTCGACCCAGAGACCGAGGACGTTGACATCAATACTATCGCTCGCCATGCTGTACGACTTGCCGAAGCTGGCGTGACGGGCCTTGCCACTCAAGGCTCTAACGGCGAAGCTGTTCACCTCACACATGCTGAGCGTCAACTTGTCACTCTCGCCACACGCAAAGCATTAAACGAAGCTGGATTTTCGCATATCCCAGTTATTGTCGGCTGCGGCGCTCAGAGCACTCGTGAGACTATTCAGTACTGTCGCGAGGCATGGGAAGCAGGGGGTGATTACGCCCTTGTGCTACCCCCATCATACTACGCGCCCTTGTTTGCCCCATCATCTCGGACCATCGAGCAGTACTTTACAACCGTTGCCGATGCGTCCCCGATACCCCTCATCATATACAACTTTCCAGGCGCTGTTAATGGTTTGGACTTATCATCCGACGTAATCGTTAAGCTAGCACAGCATCCCAAGATTGTCGGCGTCAAGCTGACGTGCGGCAATACGGGCAAATTGAACCGTGTAGTAGCTGCCACACGGTCGCAATCTAAGGACTACGACCCGGACAACCCCGAATTCCTGGTCCTGGCAGGCTCAGCCGACTTCTCGATCCAGTCCTTAATCGCAGGAGGACACGGCATATTAGCAGGTCTCGCAAACATCGCACCGAAGGCCTGTATTAAGACTATCGAGTTATATAACGCAGGCAAATACTCCGAGGCCCAGAAAATTCAAGAGATCGTATCACGAGGCGATTGGACGGCCATCCAAGGCGGCGTCTTGAGTGTTAAGGCAGGACTCCAAGCGTGGTCGGGTTACGGCGGTTTCGCACGAAGCCCACTCCCAAGGCCGACTCCCGAACAAAGCAAATCGTGGAAAGAGGGATTTAAAGAACTAATGCTACTGGAGAAATCTATGACAGGTTGCTGACATCCAAGGTCACAACAGTGGAGAGACAACTACTAGGATCGTATTTCGCTTATAATGAAGTGGCACTCTGTTTGACTAAAAGTGTACGAGGATTACACATTTCCGGGTATATGTCAAAAAATACTAGAAGAGTAAATAGGTCCCTCTTGTCGGTTCATGATTTCCATGCAGGAAATTTGAATGAGGCGTTCAAAAAGAATGGCTGGGACTTATTACTAGTCTCGCCCGACATTCTTTTGGTTTAGGATGGGTTACCGTACGACCCTCTCCTCTCATTTGCTTTGAATTAGCGAAACCAATGTATGACCTAGAAGTCACTACTGCAATCATTCGCGGCACGCCTCTCCCATTGATAAAAAGGGGCACAACGTTACGACTGCCGTATATATTTTTGAAAATATCAATACATCCTATATATAGAAATGAAATCTAAAAATATATAACATTCCTAGTCAAATTAGACGATTAACAAAGCTCACTAGTTGTAAATTTACAATAAGCTTCAATATTTTCGTTCATATTTAATTATCTTATTTCCTTAGTCTTCGTACCTTAGGCGAGAAAGGAAGTTCCAATATCCTAATAGTTGGTTTTTTGTCAAGGCATATTTGATATCTCGAAAGGTATGAATTCTGCCCAATACGTCTTAGAAAACTATCTTCTTACTAACAAGAGGAGACCGACAACTCATAGGTACTATTAGTCATTGCAGAAGCTACCTAGTATTGATATGCCATTCATCGAGATCGCGAGTTACCATGCTTTGACTCCGTATTCCTAATGAGGCTAAGAAGGGCGGACGATCTGAGACACACAGCTTCTGCAACAAAAAGCGATTATAATATTGGCCTGCTCCTATAATAATCGTATGATTGGTGCTATTTGTCCATTCAAGGAGACTTATACCAAGAACGCTGTCTATCGGCGTTAATGCACGAATCCACTCCAAGGGGAACTCTCAGAACCTGCACTCGGCCGAATAAGGAGGTAACCGTACGTTACCCGGTCTGGGCTGGCTGGCTGGCTGGCTGGCTGGCTGTCGAGTATAGGTAAGACGCACACACTCGACTTGCATGAAGAAACTACAGCGCCATGGCATACCCATAGCATACATACCGTAACCATGCTATATGCTCTGCCAAGGTAGGCAGGTATAGGTAGGCAGGTAGGTAGGTATACATGCCTAACCCCGACCCTGACCCTGACCCTGACCCCGACTCGCACAAACGTCTCGCGGCGACATGGTAGCATCGCAAAGGCCTGCAGGAAGGGTCCCCCCAATGCTGTGCGCTGCAAGCCACACGGCGACCTGCGAGTCCCATCACCGCCGGCCTGCTCTCATGCTACCCCCGGATATTGGGATCCAGATGGGTCCGTCGCCGATAGGCTGGATGGCTGCAGTCGATGAGGACATGTCTACGTACGTACGTACCTGGCCCCCCATCCCATCCCATCCCATGCTGCAGTAGCGTGCCAAGATGACAGTTCTCTCTTGTTTTCCGCGGAGAGATTGAGGCAGGCGGGCGGGTATGCGGGTGGGTAGAAGATGCGATGGAGACGCGGTGGTGATGATGGTTTCTTTACGGGACTTGGAAGTTGGAAGTTGGACGTTGGGACTTGAAAACTTGGTCCGATGGAGCGTCTGGCCAAGGTGTCTCGAGTCCATGCGACTTCGGACTGAGCGGGTTATGTTAGGTATCTATCTAATGTATGTATGTATGTATGTATGTATGTATGTGTCCCCGGATTCGAGGCAAGATCTAATGATGGCTGGGGGGTGATGAGTCTGTTACCGCTGCCGCTGCTGTGCTAGGGTGCGCTGACATCGATATGTCATCTATACACGATGGCGGGTCGCGGCAGGGTGATACGTCGTCTCGCCTTTAGATCCCTTGGCTTGAGGAGCGTGGGGGGGGGGGAAGGTTACGAGGTATTCTGTGTATCCTATCCCTTCCTTCTTCTTAGTCTCGATGAAACTGGGGTTGGTTGTCCCATCTCTATTCGCTCAACGTGTCATTAAATGTGTTTATCTAGCCAGCCAGGTACCTTGTATATTTATAGAGGCTTGCAGGAGAATGCGTAGTGTGCTCTCCGGCGTCGGCCTCGAAGGAATAAACGGCAGTGGTCGTGATGTTGTCGGTGGCTTGTTTGATAATGTAGACTCTTCGGCTTTTGATAATACTATTACTGCTGTCTTATTAGTTGCTTCCTCTCTATTCCCTCTCGAGTCTAATACTCCAAGCCCTTTCCTTTCGGCCTAGTTACAAGATGCGATCAAGTTTAAGAATACAGTCGGGCAGTGATTTCTCTTCGGAACTATGGACGTCTTATCTCATAAAGATATATGTAAGTTCCTAAGTACGAGAACATATTTACCACTCGATGTGAATAGGGGCAAGTATCAGACAAAAACTTACTACACATATCCCTCGTAGCTAAGTTACCGTACCCCTAGGTCCGATGTGTTGGATAATATATCTCAAAAGGTTGCTCTTGTAATAAATAGTTTCCATACAACGGAAGACTATATGCGTAGGTATTCAGTAGGCCAAGTATCTACTTCACCTCTACAACATCACCATAAAAGCAACAGTCATACCAGCAACAAACAAGCCAGACCACAACGCACCTTTCTTCCCAGAAGCTCCCGAGTTACCATTTCCCCCAGAGCCGCCGCTACTACCCCCATTCCCACTCCCACTCCCACTCCCATCCACAACCTCAAGCAACACCCCCTCCGCCCTCCTAATCCCAACCTCCAAAACCCCATTCTCCCCAACCCCAACAACCTCCTCCTCTTCCTCCTCCTCCCCCGTCCCCACCGCCTCCCCCGTCACCCCATCAAACATAACCCCCGCCACCGCAACACCGCTCTTAGCATTCGTCCCCGGCCCCGTCAACCGCGTAACGCTAACATTGCGCCCGGCCGCCCACGGCGTCGCCACCCTGATCGTCGTGGAGGGCCGCGTGCCGTTGCTAAACGACGTGCCGTCCGTAGCCTTGAGCGTAGAGTTGTTGCTTAGACCCTCGGTGCCGTTCCATACGCCCATATCCAGGAACACCAGTTTCCTCAAGGAGCGCTGCTGTCCCTCTCCCTCTCCCTCGTCATCCGAGCCCGCATACACCGCATACCCGCTCAACGTACTGCTATTCGCCCCCGGTAGCGCCGCAATACTCAACTCCTGATCATCAGTATCATTATCATTATCATCTCCTTCCGCAGTAGTAGTAGTGGTAGTAGAAGCGACGACCTTAGCCACGAAATAATGCCCGTACCAATTAGCCCGTATGCCCGGGCCCAGGGTCTCGTTCTTCAGCTCGTACGTTTTCGGCGTGAACGCGCTGTACTCGCTCTGCGCGCCGAGGTGGAAGTACGTCTTGCGGATGCCGACGGACGCGCCCAGCAGCACGTAGTCGACGCCCCAGAGGGCGGCGCCCAGGGTGTCGCTGATGCCGCTCTTGCCGCTGCACGAGACCGAGTTGGTCTCGCCCATGACTAGGTGGGCGCCGGCTTTGTCGGCCGCAGCGACTTGGGGGGCGTATTGGGAAACGTTCTGCGGTGTGTCAGTTGGTCTTCTTCTTCTTCTTCTTTTATGCCTATTATCGGCGAGGTAGAGGAGATGGGAAAGGGGTTGGGGAGTTGGGTTTGAATTTCTTGTGATATCTCTATGTCTATAATATCCTAGGATAAGGGGGGTTGATCACTCACTGCCACACGGTTAGTATGTTTACCAGAATATATGGCGAATAAAGACTAAAAACTCACCTTGCCAAAGCACCGTATGGTTCGACAGCAGATCCAACCTCATCCGCAGCCACCTCGGCCCGTCACACGTCGACTGCGGGTACAAATGCGTAGCATAACTGCCGATGATATCGCGATCCTCGCTCCTCTCGACAAGCGTCAGATTCTCGATGCTAAAATCGTCGACCTCGTCCTGCTGGTCGGGGACCCACGGGGGGTCGGCAAACACGCCGGCCTGGAAGGTCGGCCTGTCGTCGTCGTCGTCGATCGCCTTGTACCAGTCCGAGCTGAGGATCTGGCCGGTGATGTTGCGGAACTGCTCGATGTAGGTGGCGACGCCCCAGGTGTGGTCCCGCCAGCGCTTGTTGATGAAGTGGTCGATCTCGTTGCCGAGCTCGAACTGCACGAGCTTCTTGCCGAGGGACCTGTGCGCTGCTTCGGCTTGCGCGACGGCGATGGACCACGCCGAGTCGTTGACGGCGAGGTTGAGCGTGTAGATGATATCCGTGTCTTCCGGGAAGTAGTTTGCCCAGCTGTCGTACCAGCTCGGCGTGATGTTGAACTGCTTCGCGGTGAGGGGAGTCGGGATGGCGAATGAGTCGTTCCCGGTCGACAGCTTGTCGTGTAGATAAGTCTGGTCGGCCGTGTTGCCGCCAACACGAATTGGCGGCGGCTTGCCAGTTATCTTTGCGATAGCGCTTAGGAGATTCTTAGCCAGGGGCGTGCTAATGTAGTCGTTAACCCATACTGGTTCGACCGAGTACCCGTAGACATCAGGTACAAGCGGTCTCGTGGCAAGGTTGCTTGGGATATCGACGCTAATATCTTGAGCCACGACCTCGACAGTAGCTACAAGAGCTGCGAGAGTAATTGAACGAATACTCATGGTAGACTAATAAATTGGCTACACGAAGGTAGCAGCAATAGCTCTAATCATCCCAGACATAAAAACCAGGTCGACTCACGACAACACCGCCATTATAAATAATAATGCCAATACCGTCTAGACGTCACCCTCGGTCGGTTCACGTATCATTCCCCAACGCGGTGGATTCCTCTAACCAGGTAGAGGTAGCATTTCCACCGGGGTCGGCTGGCTGAATTGGGAATGGCACCTTTGACGATCCGGAGAAATTCGAGCCGAAGGCGCAGGTGAAAATTGTCCACCTGTTGGAAGTCATTACGGCGAACGTATGTCTGGGTAGCTCTTATGATAGTCGTATTATAAGGGTAAGAGAAGTAATATTATAAGTGGTTGGGTTATTCGACCCCAATTATAAAATAGTATAATGCGGGGAATCATGGAGTAATGGAGTAATGGAGTAGCTCTACATATTGTATTGAATATGTAGCATCGTATACCGAGTATACACTCAAGTATTACGATAACTATCATACACCTTTTATCTATATATAAAATTCCATATATATATACGCATCTCCCCCCTTATCTACGGCGAAGAGTACTTATACCCATACTTCTCCTTAGCCTCATTCAAAAACTTCAACGACTCCTCATGCTCCCTCTTAGCCTGCGGATCCTCCTCCCTCTTCTTCTTCACATCCTCGTTAGTAATAGGCAACTTGCTCGGGATCGCGTACCCCCTTTGAACCGCAGGGCGCGCCATGCACCTATCGATCCACTTCTCGATGTTAGGGAATGGAGAGGTGTCGATCCCCGTGAAGAGCGCGCCGTTGACCCAACCTAATAGGTTGATGTCCGCGATGCTGAATTTGCCCTTGCCTGCACCCACGATGAAGTCCCGCCCCTCGAGACGCTTGTTTAGGACGCCGTAGAGACGCTCAGTCTCGCCGATGTAGCGCTGGACTGCGTACGGGATCTTTTCTTTAGCGAAGCGGAAGAAGTGGTTTGCTTGGCCTTGCATGGGGCCGACTCCGCCGCTGTTATAAGGTAAGTTACGTTGTTAGCCAAGCTAGGTAAGTAATTGATCAAATACGTACTGCTGCCAAGCCATCCACTGTTCACAGACGCTGTAATCGTCACTGTCGACGGGGAAGCTAAACTTATGCTCCGGGTCGTAATGGCGCGTCAGGTAGTTCAAGATGGCGAGACCCTCGAACACGGCAAAGCCGCCCCGGTCATGGTCGACGATAGCCGGGATTTTACCATTGGGATTTATCGCGGTAAACCAAGGCTGCTTTTGCGTGTTTTTAAGGATGTTGACGGATTGCCAAGTATACTCTTTGCCGTATGCTTCTTTTAGCTCTTCAAGTAGGATGCTAATTTTTAGGCCATTGGGTGTAGCTATAATAAAGTATTAATACGATAATACGACATGTACATATATATACCTAGGTATCTTTCAAAAAGAGAACATACTAAAGGTTAAAAGCTCAATACCGCTCTTGGCGATAAGACCGGTTGGTTCGGGTTGTTCGGCCATATCGTTATTTGGTTTGTATAATGTTCGGGATGTGGAAAATGGAGCTTTATAGTATATTGTCTTTGAATAGTTTGGTTTCTGAATAAGAGTAACACTAAAACTTTGAGACAAAGGACGGGTAGTGAGAATATTTATACATGTACGTCGCAGTATCACACTGCAGGGGATATTGAACAACATGAATACCTGCCTAGAGGTATTCAACCTATATTTAGTTTCAGTAAACTAAAAGTAAAGGTGTACGTAGGCTTTCCCTTTGAAATAGAGTTGGTCAATGTTCGGTTTAGTCTTTGACCAACAGTAGTATTAACTTTCTACTTTGCAGATTTATGATTACATATCTCCAGGCTATCACCTAGGTACCCAAGTACCTCGTAAGGGTGTCTCGTATGGAAGGAAGAGAGATGGATGTTGGTAGTTCCCGCTTATTGATGTCATTAGTATTTCTAAGCACAACATTCTTATTTCCTCTCTTGACGAAACTTAACCATCTCAAAACCTTAGCTTGCCTTAACCCGCGTTGTCGGTCTTTCGATTGCTCCGACACCAACTCTCTAATTTTAGCTGCGCCGCTAGAGTAGGTATAATATAATACCTCTCTCCCAAGTCGAGTTAGTCATCGTGCCCTTTTGCTTACTCACATCCGTGGAGCTTATAAGACTACCTAGTTATAGTGAAAAAGTTGATATAGGGGCTGTGGGAGGTATTATATAATCTGAATTATATACCTAGCCACCCACCTATCTTATCTATATCGGCGGTCAACTGTGACGTGACTTGACTTGACTACCCTGTATGTAATAAGACACAAGTACTAAAACATCTATTAGGAATAGAGGATTGCCGCTACTGCAAGGACTCGGACTAGTCTGACCCAAGCAGCAGATCTAGCGGATCAGATCCTGGCACGATACCTACATGTAGATAGCTCTTATGTAGGTAACTCTTAGTCTGCATATGTGCCTAGGTAGGTATATATGTACGTTAAATAGATCTGTTGGATAGCTCCGCCAGCTACTACATTACGTACAAAAACCATTTCATTCATAAGCAATTGCAACTGTCTTGCTTCATCATACACACAATTAACCTGAAGCCAACCTGAGCATGGCTCAACCAAGCCGGTCAGAGAAATCCCTTTAATCCTATTCCTGCCACCCTCATCAAAAACGTTGAAGCCGGCCCCGTCAAAAAATTTCATTGCACTTCACGCGTAGCCTACCCCTAAAAGTACTTTTATTCCCTTGTTTTCCTCGTTACCTACTACCTCATATTTCTCAGCCTTCCTACAAGCAGATCATTGCCACGGTACAGCTATCTAGCTATACGTGGAGAAACGGCGCGGTATCTAAATAACGTAAGGGGGGTCGCTCAAATAAAGTTGAATTAAGAAATTTACCAGTAACCGCCACCTCGGCGGTATTCCTCCCGGGGATAGCCCCCGCCCTCGCGAGGCCCATAGCCACCCTCACGCGGGGGAAAATCCCTTGGAGGCCGGTCATAAGGCCGGCCATTGACATACGGATCCGGAGGGGGTCCGTAGTCGCGGCGATAGGGGTCTTCGTAACGACCACGCGGAGCTGGGTAGTCGTCAACAGGTCCACGGCGCGGTGGAGATCTGTAACGACGATCGTCGTAGTAGTCGCGACGAGCAGCGGGGCTCCGGTCGCGGTAATCATCGCGATAGCCGCGCGGGCTATTGTACCCACGAGGCGGACCACGGCGATCGTAACCCTCGCCCGGCGGGCCGTAAGGTCGACGACCCATAGGGGAACGAGAACGGGCGCCACGCTCACGGGTAGGGTCGGGTAGGGAAGTCCGGTTGGGTCTAGTACTCCATGTTAGTATAAAAAAAAAGTAACAGACCCTAGATAAACCTACGTCAGCGATACAATTGACTCGTTGTCCTTTAAACTCGCGGCCGTCGAGCTTCTCTACAGCAGTCTTCAGGTCGGCTGCGGTCTCAAACTCGACAAAGCTGTTTAGAAATCCGTTAGCTTATATGATCGTAGGCCAGAGATAATCCGTTAGGAGTCGCCACGTACCCTCGGCCATTACCGTCGCGGCCCGTCTCCGAGTATACGACATCCAAGCTGGATTGTCGAGCAAAGTCTTTCAGGTCCTAGATCCAGATTCCATGTAAGTGGGGGTCCGAGGAGCGGTGTAAAACATGCGAATGAGGCCAATATTTCCAACTCCAGAAGCAGCACCAGCAAAGGAATGCGGTCAAACCAATCCAAGCAGGCGGTTACGTCTAACATTGGAAATCCCTGAGGCACCTTGGCTAGCTCCTGAGACCTGTCCGCCAGAATTTGGGAGAGCTAAAATCGATGGTTATGACATCACAAATAAAATAATATCTTGGATACCAGCGTCCCCATTGTTCGGGCGAAAAAAAGCACACGGCGCAAGATGGCTCGCTGTACCAAGGAAGGGAAAATCATCTAAAGCCAGAATCCGAGGGCGAAGAACGGGAAAACGGGAGTTAAACAGACCTGCCAGCTGGTATCATTGGGAAGTCCAGTAATCTGCATGCGATGGGGAGTGCGACGGGGTCGGGGAGCACTGCGCTCGTGACCACCGAAGCCTTCGCGATGGCGAGAACCTCGAGCGAATTGTACGGTCAAGCGTTCGCCCATGAAATCAGATCCATCTTATCGACATATTAGCCAGGGAAACAACGGATAAATCAGGTGAGACGGTGGCCAGGAACGGTCCAAGACGTACGGAAAGCTGTGACACGAATAAAATTAGCTATTGATTGACGCTGACAAAACTTTGCTAGACGCGCGGGTTACTCACCAGGAACGACATCGCGCGCATCCATGGGATCCTTGTATTCGATGAAGCCGAATCCATTCATCAGCTTGACCTCGGTAATTTCACCAGTGCCATGGGTTGCGAAGTGGGCTTCCACATCGGCCTTGGTTGCTAGACGGGACAGTTAGCAGTCACGACAGGGCGACACGAAAAGCTAGCTCGGAGCTCCGTTACGTTGCAACATGAGCTCGAGCAAGCAAGCATCCGGTATAACTTACCGCCCTTTGGCAGGTTGCCTAAGTAAAGCCGGGTAGCGGAAACCTCAGTAGACGCCATGATCGCGATCGGTAGAAACGAGGCGCGAATCCTGATGAGTGTTTAGAACAAAAGGTTGAGGATAGCTCGCGTGCGCTGCGAGAAAAATAGGGCAAGACTCTGCAAAGTCGTTGCGCGAATCACGAGAAACCAAGTAAGAAATTCCTGGCCGAATTGTTTGCCGAATCAGATGGTTCGTGGGTGGGTTGCGTGAGAGGAAAAAAAAAAAGGCACGAGGCCGCGGAGTAGAAAGGGAAAACCCGGATGAGAGAGGAAAACCTGGAGGAGTTTTTATCGAAAAAATGCGGGCAACAAAAGCGGCGAAAAAAGTTGGAAGGAGGGGGTAGAGATAGGCCGGCTATAAAATTGATGATTGGAAAAAAGAGGAAGTAAGGTAGTCCTTGTGTTGCGCGGATAAGCAGAAAGGACGGGTAGTATTATGACCGTATCACTTTGCTTTGATTTTATTAAAGTTGACAAGTGATTGATGCAGAAGATCGAGGTGTGATGGGGGAATGGCAGCTGTTGGATGGGTTAGGATGAGAGGGAAAGAATGGAAGGTGTCTTACTGGCATCTGGCTGCGAAGAGCACCGTGCACTTAAAAATTGTGGAGGCGGCAGAGCGGAGCTACCTGTGAGATTTTGTGGTTCGAGATCCTCGCCCCGCACAGGCCAAAAACAACCTAACCTTAAGTAGAATACTAATACATGGTACATGCATGTATGTAGGTTAGGTACAAGAATACATAAAAAGGTACCAATATGTACCATCTACATCTACTCAGCTTCACTTACACGAAAGTAAAGCTCATGATTATTCATTATCAACTTTATAAGAAACGGACGAGTAGGCGTATAAATATTCAGAACCCTATAGGCTGTATATCCATACATCGTACAAAAATATAAGTTCTACGTTACGACGTATGTATGTACAATGCTTGCCTTCGAATTACCCCTCGAACATGGATACAAGCGAGCAAGCGCCTCACTTTCTTTTCCTAGCGGTAGCTCTCGATACGACATTCAGCGCCTTTCCGCAGCGATCGCAATGATAAGAGCTACACCGCCAACTATGTATTAGATATCTAACATTCGTACCTGGTATTCATTCACTCGCGCCTCGAAACCATCCTAAACTCGACTGGTCCAAACGCCGATGCTATGCTGTGCTGTGCTGTGTAGAAGAAATGCCTACTTAAAAGGATTAAGCTTCATTAAATAGAACATCAATCAGTTCATCCATAATCGTGAAAACCAAATGCGAGCTATAATTGTTCATTAGCATTATAACACGTTTATAGACGGATAGTATTACGTACTTCAACCTCGAGTTATTGAGCGTTGCAAACATCCTGCGACTCGCGGCTTGGGCGTTGAGCCGTCCGACCACGTTCCCAGCCAAATCTGGAACGAGAGTAGCTAGCATCAAACTTGCTTCTCTTCGAGTTCGTGCTTTCTCTGACGATGTTCTAGGCTGTTTATTTCTATTAAGCTGTCCATCGGGCCACATGCTGTTCCGTAGGAGATCGATATATTTAAGGATAGCGTCTTCTTGAACCAATACCTTGAAATTGTCTCGTACTTTTCGTTCAATGGTACCTCCAAGCATCTGGTGTAACACAACGACAACAGCTCGGCCACGAAGCCAATTATTACCTCGATTAAGCCCAAAGACTTCGAGAAATACGTCGCAGATTGGTTTGATGAAAGGTTCGAGCTCTTTATTCTCAAAGGCATTCAATTCAGCTTCAGCTTCGGCAGCCGTTATGGCATCCTCGTTGACGCTAAGTGGCATCGTGCTCATCTGGCTTGTAGCCGCCGCAATTAGATTCTGCCCCGCAGTTGAGAGCTGATCTAGGACGGGTATATTTCCTAAGATATCCTCCATGCCATCAGCAACGGAGTCGTATAGACGCGTAATCATGTCCTTTTTATCCTCGCGGTTCATTAGGTCCTCCCCCTGAGTGATGACGCTTTGGGACAGAAAGGCCCGTAGATCTCTACTACGACATACATCTGGCAAGAGAAGGAGTTCACTTAAGTACCGCTCTAACCCATCACGCCGCTTGCGAAGAAAGTCGCTTTGAAGTTTCAAGACCATCCTCCGTCTCGGGAACTCCAAGTTCCGTACCGAGGGATACCTGTCTCGTAGTTTCTGATGAAGCTCGTGGAATTCGCTGTATCTTCTTGTCACAATCCAAGTGGCTGCTGGCATCTTCTCTCCCGCGTTCCTCTTTACCTCAATGACGTATAAAGCGAATTCCTTTCCGTCTTCCTCTCGCCCCACTTGGATGGCCTTGATCTTGATCGATGCACGCCCGTACAGACTATTATCGCTCTCTTGAATTACATACTGTTGTCGCTGTAGTTCCTTTCGTCGGAGTTCCCTCTGCAGGCTCGCTTTTGACTTTCGTAAGATGCGTAATTCTGCTGTATTATTAGTTAATTCCGCCTTCTTCGTTAGTGATTCTATGACGGCCTCCTGAGCAGCAAGTCGTTCAATATCGTTGGTAAGGGCCGCAATAGCCTCCGCAAGGCCCAGGTCTCCAGGGGCAGCTTCGTGCACTTCATCTTCGACGTTGCCGGTTTCACCTTCGTTATGATCTTCCTGCTCGTCTGACAAGAACTTATCCTCATCTGCGAAAAGGTCATCGTCTATGAACACCCCAATTCTGGATGCCGCACTAACAAGCCCGAGAGATGCTAAGCTAGGCTTTTCGACTTCTTTCCCAGATTGTATTGGATGTTGTTGGTCCAGTGAGCCCCTAGCTGAACCATTATCTTGGGCTGAGAATATGCTTGAAGCTCCGTCATCATTCCCAAATAGCGACTCGCGAAGGTCTTCTGCAGTTTGAGGTCGATCGTCTTCCATGATGTTATTGAGTGCTTCCTCTACCGCTTGGACCACCTGGGTGTCTGGGACGGGTCTCAATAGTTCCTGATCAAGACTCATCACCGAGTCTGCCATCGGATCATCATCCAGATCATCATCACCAAATAATGGCGAAGTTGCACTATCATCGAATGATCGCCGATGACCCGTTGAGGAATCTGGGCTATGGTTAACATTGGTAGCGATAGTTTTTAGGTCTGTGGTAGATAGGCCTCGTCTAACTTGACCGTTGGACGTGTTTATCTTCGGATTAAGCTTTGCTACAGGCGCGGGTTTCAACCCATATGATTGCGAAGCGCGAAGTGGTGGTGGACCTGTAGCTGGCCCTGCATGAGACTGTTGTGCCAAAGGGATATTCTTCGATGCCTCTTCCGATGCTAAAGCTTTATAGAATATCTCAGACTTCTTGAACGCATCGAGATGTTTGGACTGCATGTCCTCGAGTACGGCACTTTGAGCCCGTAAGACAGCCCGGCGTGCCTTGTAGTACTGTGCCGGGGAGGCTGCTTTTCCAGCGTCAAGAAATTCGCGAATAACGCGACGCGAGCTAGCTGGGACCTTGAGCTCCTTTTTAGATAAATAGGCCTGATCAATTTGGGCGATATCTGTACGATCGGATTCGGTCCAGGGGCTCAGAGTCGAAGGCAGTTGCTCGTCGTCGGGCCCATCGTCTTCCAAAGGGTTTCGTAAACCATCTACCACTAGCCAGAATTGTACAAGGGGCATTAAGCCTTGTCTATCCATATACTCCATAAAATAAGAAAGACCGGACGTGTCACGCAGGATTTCAACTAAAGACGCGTTCTCAAGCCTTGAAGACCCTATATTTGGCGGTGGAGTGCTCGATAGGGGTATGTGCCGTCCGTCACCACCCGCAGCTAATTGATGGACCCTCTGATCTAAGAGTCGTTTGCCCATTTCTAACCGACGGAGGTAGATCGGATCCTGTCCCGAGTATTGGGAATCTCTCTTCAGCTGGCTTGCTACTTCGCTTCGAAAACGTCTCGCGTCAGACAAATTGTTAAGTTTGCGGATCGTGCGGATGAATTTTTCAAACCGACGCTCGCTATCCCCCGAAGCTAATCGCGGGAAAGCTACCGGTCTAGAACTCTTTGGTGCCGGCGACGCATGCGCATCCAAGGCCGCGCGAAGCTTACGAACTGTCGATCGGTCTTGCAGCATGCTTCGACCATAATTTTCCATTACCTGGTTCCAGGTATCAGGCTCGGATAGAAGCTGCAAGGTAGGGAATAAGACAGTACAGGCGACAATTTCGCGAACGATGTTAAACACAACCCGGCTGTCAACCATGTTATTAGATAGTACTCTTGGTAGGACCTTGGTAACTATATTCCGTAGGTAATCTTGCTGTAGTAGCTTTGTATCCGAGTATGCCAAAGACACGGCTGTATGTAATTTGCCGTCATTATACTTTGCGGCAATAGCCAAGTCCAACTCTTCAGATTCCGTAACATCACGATTCAACTTACGGCCGCGAACAGCCCTCTCCGCATCGTAGAAGTCGCGAAAGTGAGCCGTTAATATTGGGACAATCCTACTCGTTACTACTTCCACTAAATCTGTCTCGAAGAGACGGTCTCTAATGCTAGCTAGCGCATGCCTTATAGTCTTGTCCACCTCGTTCGCGAATGTCGGGTTTTTACTTATGTGCGAATACCATGATTTGACAAAATCTCGTATAATTAGATCGAGCAAATCGTCTAAGGCGTTAGATATGGCGGGAGATTCGGCATATAGGGGGTCTTTAAGATACGTTTGTCGAATTCGTAAGGCGGTAGTCTCTTTGTGCCAAGAGGCGGGACCTGAAAAGATGACTGCATTGGGTCGTGAAGTTCTATTTCGTTGACTATATGTTGAACCCCGGGAGGTGAAAAGTAAGAGGAGACAGGTTAGAAGGGTTACAACGACGCCGCTGACGAAGGCATATCCCATCCATCGAATGGGAGGAAACCAGCTTGTGGCATAACCCCATGCGATGAAGCAAACGACGCCAGCATAACCAACATCTCTCCCCTTAAGGGCCATACTCAGTTTGCGGCGGCTTTAAAATTGGCGTCATGACTTGTCCGTGGGGTGACAAGTATATGTGGTATCGTGGGAATCATAAATGACGGTGATTTGGAGGCCAAGAGCTGCTTATCGATTGAAGTTGCAGTAAGTTCCGGCGCATTAGGTAAGGTACCTACCATACTATGGGGTACCTTAGGAATGCGGTGCAAGTGGAAGCACGGGTCATGTCTGGAATTTACGTACATTACCTTAGCGTCTATAGGGGGGTCTACCAAACGGTATATATACTGTATATATACTATCCAAAAAATTGAACCGCACTAATACTTATATGGAAAAGTTGCAGTTGGAATTTTGAACCATTAAACCTAATTGAGTAGTTCAAAAAATTATAAACATTTTAAAAGATGAACGCTAAACCGAAATGAGCCGCTTATATAATGAGCCGTGTTTATACTGTATAAGTACGGCTCATTATGGCTGAACCGCTCAAAATCTGAACGGTTCAAAATTTCGAGCGGTTCATATGGTGTATAGGCATATGTAACAAAAGGGAGGTACAGCCTCATACTAATTGTATGGTGCTGCCATACTAATTATATGAGGCTGTACTTTTTATTTTTACATGTTGCATATTATTTTTTACTTAAATATTACAGTCACAATGTCACAGGTTTCATTTTTCAATTGGTTAAGTCACGGACATCATTCAAATAGACCAATCAATATAAGTAGTCACGTTACGCGCACGTACATGGTATTCTTAGTGTGGTATATATGTATTTAACAGGGCAGGTGCGCACACACCACATACCACATACAAGGCCACATACAAGACCACACATACTAAATCAATTGAATCTATTTGATTAGGTCTATTTGATTAGGTCTATTTAATTGGTAGGTCTATTTTTATTCAATTGAATCTATTATATATCATATATATATTAAGCTGTAAGTATACGGCTTATTTGATTGGTCGGTTTATATCCCTGAATGGTTCAAATCCCTGAACGGTTCAATTTTTTGAACCGCTCATTCTGATTGAACGATATTTATACCGCTTATTCAATTGAACGGTATGGATATGGTTCTATCACATATACGTTTAAAAATATTGGCACGTGCGGCGGGGGAGCCGTACCAATACTATTCAACTAATGAATGGTAAAAATAGGGATACGTAAATAATTTGAGCGGTATATTGTAATAAACAGTATATGTACAGTTTAGGATAAATGAGCCGAATATATATATACAGTTATGTCAACCCATAGCAAGACGGTAAGGTATGTACCTTAGGTACCTAGGTACCTACAGTAATCCGTACAGAGGTAAGGTACCTCCCTAGGTACATGTACCTAGGTAGGTATCAATATTGGAATGATGCCCCATCCATGAGACGCGATTGTCATTGAATAACCAAATTCTTCTCAATGATAGGCTTGTTTCTCGAAACGAAGCAACAAAAGGCTCCTTATATTTCATCAGTCAAGTTACAAAAAGAGAGTAAGTTCTGAATCTTCACAGGATAGTCATCACCGGGTATCTTTATATTCCAATGCAGTACATGGCTGCGTGAGCTTTTTACGAGACTAGGTCTCCATCTTGCTTCCTCTTAACCTGGAACGAATATTCTAGTCATATTGTCATATAATTTGTAGTCGTAGCAGTGGTCACCATTCAGGATCTTCCATGCGCCGAAACAAGGCAACGAATTTCTGCCCCTTATTTCTCTCGACCTTCTTCCCTTCCTCGGTTTCTGTCCTCATCACTTCTACGCACGGATCGGCATCTTGCTCCTCTTCGGACACTCCTCAAACGAAGGGTGGGCCTCAAAATGTTGTACCATCCACTCGTGAAGATTCTCCACATCCGTAATGGTATACACAATTCCACCCGGTCTAAGGGCGTATGCATATTCGGAATTAAGGGTAGTAGATACGATTCGAGCCTTGTGTTTGCGCTGTTTGAAATGTGGATCGGGGAAACAAATGAATAGCTTCGATAATTGGCCCTTTCGAAAGAAGTTGGGTAGGAATTTCATCGTGTTTGCTCTCAGGCAAGCAATGTTCTGGTATGATTTCTCCTCGGTGTCCTTTGCGCGGAGGGCTTTGATTCGATCTTGGACGAATTCTGCTACTTGCGATCGGATCTCCATACCTACGAGTAAGGTATCTGGCATTACAGGCGACAAAGCTACAAGTAGACCACCAAAACCGCAACCTATGTCTACAACTTCAACATCTTTCGTGAGTTTGTTTGGAGACGATGTTTTGCTTCGGTAAATGCTGGAAAGAAGGTAGACCAATCCATGGCTTCGGGTTTAACTGGGCTATAATTGATAAATATTGATCCTTAACAAGCGACATAAAAGAGGCGATATGCATACTATTTTAACCTATGGTCTGAGAAGGGATTCGCATGTGCGCGCTGGCGATAGAACTTCTTCTTGGGCATATTTGTCGTGCCATTTTCTTTTAGCGCTTGGCGGTAATCTTGCCGCTTTTGCTTTTTATTCGGAGGTCCAGTCATGGCGACGATATTGATTGCTTAATAGAGGTAATGCGACAATTCGTAGTAGTTTCTTTTAAATCCCAATCGCGAAAATAAATGTTTAATAAAAAAGAAATGCCCAGCGGGTGTAACGTCAAAGCTGACGAAGTGGGGTTCCAGCTGAAGAAACGAGGAAACAGCTGGTGGGGTAGAATAGGCGATAAGAGAGATAAGCACTCCTTTTTACCTCGTAATGTACGCCTAGCGATCCGGTTGCTGCAGCAACCAACCCCCAAATCAGGTAAGAAAAGGGCGGCGAGACAGAACTTAAACAAAGGCTCCATGCATACAATACTCTTTTAATCGATGCCACAACGTCAGATTCAAACGTTGAAGTTTATATTAAATCTTAGCCTCATCTCGGCGCCTGTAGCTGTCAGATGAGGAAAGTTCAAACTGGCTGCCCGTTAAAAAAACAGGCTTTGCCATTGAACGCGTTCTCATCATAAACATCACTTTCAGCTTCACACGACGCATGGCAACAATCAACGCTTTATCTATCTTAGTTACAACATATTTGCTTTGCTTCTAAATATTTGCTCTGTCGTCACTCTAGACGACGAGCATTGTATTAATCAGGCATTATGGCATCAATCAACGAGTATCATGTTTCAGCAAACATTGGTCCTAGTGCAGGACGACCGCAACAGCATCAGCGCTCTAAATCCAAAGGCAATATTCTCAAAACTTGGATTCATAGAAGAAACAATTCCGATGGCTCTCCCCTACCACCTACCGAGTTAATTCCACCAAATTATATTCCAGAATCATCCTCATCCAGACAAGAGATAGGTGGATTTCCAAATTTCTCTCGACCGGCCGCCCTCGGCGAGATCCAGCAGAATCAAATTAGCATTGTTCCTCGATCACCACCCAAGCAGTACGAGCTACCGAGCGCTCCACCATCCCCAACCAAGAAGAGCTACAATACAGTATCAGCGAAACCAATGACTACAAAGGAGGCAGAGAAACTAGCTAAGCTAGCCAAGCAGAACGAAGGCAAACCCAAGAAAACAAAGTCCGCTACGAACCTCGTAGGCTTCCTAAGTCGCCCCAAGAGCACGAAGAATCTGCAAGCAACAGTTACCGAAGACGAGATGCGTTTCAAGAAGAACAAAGAGAATCACCCTCCCTATGAGACACCTCAGCGACCTCCGATCTACGCTCAGTTCTCGAGCGGCGCTCTAGAGAAGCAGAATGAGCAGGATTGCGCGAAGAATACTCACAGCCTGGACGTCCCTAGCTACCCCTCCTCGAAGAGCGGCGGGTCGAGCACCCGCGCCGGAAAAGAACGACCCAAATCGTATCACGCACCACTTCATCCAGTCCCCTGACATGCGGAACAGCGGGAGCAGCGGCAAGACCTCGCCGTCTAAGATACAGCGCGGTCTCAGGCTGTTCACCGGCGGCTCCGGGTCGCAAAGCAGGCCCACCTCGGCCGGGCCTGTCGAGCCTGTACTCGACCCCAAGGATATTGACAAGCACCTCGAGGCCATGCTAGACCGACGAAATATTCCCGAGCACCAGAGGTACAAGATGCGCAACCTAGCAGATACCATCAAGATGGAATTCATAAGGCAAGACTGGGCTGAGAGTCGCGGCCTGCATGGCACTCGGCCCGAGAGCCACGGTAGCGACTCAAGCATCAGCGTCGCGCAGGCGAATGAGAACCGCAAGACGAAGAAATCTCGAGGCCGGAGCTTTACATTATCGCGGGGCAAGAAGTCGGGGACGTCTTCTCCCAAAAAGCAGAAGGGCGAGGGTTCCATAGGACGGCACTTTCGCAGTCGGTCCACGGACAGTGTTGCAAGCGAGCGGCCTTGTTCCGCTGGGTCGGGTACCGGCGGCGGCATCTTCTCCAAGGTAAAGTCGCAGCAGGGCCCCGTAGACTTCGTCGCCTACCTGCGTAAGGTCCAGAAGCCACAGTCGGTGGAGGTTGGCAAGCTGCACAAGCTGCGTCTGCTGCTGCGCAACGAGACGGTGGCATGGACTGAAGAATTCATACGACAGGGCGGGATGCAGGAGATCGTGGCGTTGCTGCATCGCATCATGGAGGTCGAGTGGAGGTATGTTGAATATACTACCACTTTTTATTTTGACTGGACAATAATGCTAATTCTGAAACAGAGAGGAACACGAAGATGCTCTTCTGCATGAAAATCTCCTCTGCCTCAAGGCGCTGTGCACTACAGCCCTCGCACTGCAGTACCTCAATTCGATCCAAGCAACGCTGTTCCCGGCCCTACTACGTATGCTCTTTGACCCCGAGAAGAAGGGCCCAAGCGAGTTTACCACTCGTAATATCATCACCTCTGTGTTATTCACTTACATACAATCTGCCGCACCCTCTGACCGTCCCGTCCGCGCCAAGACCGTACTTGGCCATCTACGCGACCCAGAGCCAAAGGAAGCAGAACGACCAATCGGTTTCGTCCTCGAAATGCACCGAGAACGCCCCTACCGCGTATGGTGCAAGGAGGCCGTTGGTGTTACGAAAGAAGTATTCTGGATATTTCTGCACCACCTGAATGTAGTCTACCTGCCGCAAGAAAAGGAAGCCAGAGAAAGGGCTGGCCCGTCCGGAATCGACAGCGCTACCTACATGCAGACGCATTTCCCGCAAGAGAGGCCCCCGGTCCCCGCCGCCCCCTACGTCGGCGGCGTAGAGTGGGATGCCACAAACTATCTAGCTTCGCATCTCGACCTCATGAACGCAATTATTGCCTGCACCCCAACAGCAGAGGAGCGTAACGCTCTGCGCAGCCTATTTAACATCTCGGGCTGGGAGCGCTGCATGGGGGGCAGCTTGCGCCTTTGCAAAGAGAAATTCTACCCGGGCGTGCATGACGGGTTACGGACTTGGGTGGCCGCCGCGGCCGAAGATGCTTGGGACGTGCGAGGCGTGCGCTATGGACCGCCTGCCGAGCCCAAAAGCCCGCGCAAGAACCAGGCGGGAGGCGGTGGGAATAAAGGTAAGAAAAAGGAGGAGGCGCCGCCACGGATCGACATGCCAAAGTTCAATCTTGGCTCCGACGCTGCACGTAGCGCGGCTACTCCCGCAGGACGGTCAAGCGAGAACTGGCTCTCGTAGCTTCGAAAAACCTGGTTGCAGAGCTAAGGGGCCAACAGCACCGACGATCCTTTGGAGAAAATAATAGAGGACGGCTCGTGTTGGAAAATCATAGTGCTAACAACACATTGTCTTGGCTAGGAGTCTTACGCAGAGCTGGATGGCGGTATTCATGTCAATGTACTGTATTTGGAGTTTCTTCATTGGGTCTCAGGGGTGTTTTATTCGCGGGTTTTTTTTTTCGTTGTCATGCCTCATGATATTGGGTTTCCATCTTTCCTCATCACTTGGTAATGAAGTCCGGTTGGACACACGGCTATTCACACGCGGTACGCGGTAGATTGAATGATCATGACGCTTATGACTAAGGCACAGCTCAATGAATCAAATGACTTTGGAGAAGCCTTGTCGTCTGTGCCGTGTTCTATGCTTGATTGCCGCGACTCGTACGATCTCGTGCTCCCTTGCCGTTTACGTGGCTGACGCACCTGTTAGCTGCTGAGTAGGATCAGTGATTTAGGTGGTCGAATCGGGTGTTTAAGGCCGTTTAAGGGGCCACCTCTCAAACATAGGGGCGGTGAGGGTTTAGTATAGACATTCGAGCACGGCTGGGGGATATGTCAGTCAACTAGAGATGCATAAGCCGCGTTGAGGACAGTTGAGACCGTGTAGCCATTAGAAGAACCCAGGCGATCTATACTCGGAACAATCTTTAATTATCTAACGCCCCCAAATCCACCGTCCTATATTGTATATCCTATGGCAAGGGGGAATCCAAGCGATAGCGGCACTCGAAATAGTTCGGAAAGCCAAGCTCAGCTAGTCTGTTAGTAATGGCAGCTTGAAACGACTATTCCGTCCAGGCTTGACCGCCATCGGCAGCGTACAAGACATACGCTTCGCTTCATCTAGTCTCAAAGTGGATATGGTAGGTTACTGCTCTGAGCTGGGCGTAAATTTTGCACAACCATGTCGCGTGCTTCTTCATCTGCCGGAGGGCCCGACATACGGTCAGCTTCGTAACGCTGGCTAATTAATGCCAGAGGCCTAGAAAGTTGATCTGCATCAGTTCGGGGTGTTCTACCAAGCTGCTACATCACATGGATACTTATGTTATGAAATGTGATATAATTCAGCCTGCAAGTATTAGCCGCCGCAGAGATACAGCGATGTGATAGGGATGATGTCGTTTTCGCCTAGTCGAATCCTAATACGCCGAGGAAGCGTTAGGAAGCGTTCTAGACTTGTGCTGTGTAATTGTAATGCTGTTCACCAGCAAAGATCTTCAAGAAGCTCGTGCGTTCTGCCCCTATTGTATCCGCCGACTGACGTGGTTTAAGCCGTCGTCGACAGGCTTCACGATAGGCCAACATAACTGAATGACACTTATGTACCCAAGAGAAGTTTGGTTCAGGGAGAGAGATTGCCCAGACCAGTGATCTGCAGTGCATACTAACCCGACCTAGAAGAGCAAGTTCGATTCAGTAAACCTTCGCAACGACATTACTCTCCGTGAAGGATTTCACCCCGGAATCGCGGAATCGAGGCCAACAGTATCTAGATGTAATTAACGTAACGTAACTCTCCATAAGAATAGTCTCTCAATCTGTCTCTATCTGTCTGGTCTCTGGTTGGTCTCTGGTTGGTCCATAGTTGGAAGCGTCTAATGCTAGCGAGACGTTGCGTCAAGTGGCCTCTATAAAATATGACAGGTCGTTTTTTTGCTGCGGAGCCGCAGTTAAGGGTGAGCCAATCATAACACACCGACAGGAAGAGGGTAGATCCTGCAGAATGACAGTGCAATAGAAGAGGTAATTTCTCCAGTAAAATGGTGCTGGAAAATATGCGAACCGGGGAATAGAATGCTCTCCGAAGATATCATGAGGGGCCTGATGCAGTCTGGCGACTTGACCGACCCACTAACAGACAGGCCTTCGTCCCCAGGTCCGCGAAGTGATGGCCACTGCAGGAATATTCGGCTTGGGTCAGTCCACTAGTTTTAATAGGCTCGGAGATATGGCCGTAACTCGGGAGGCTGGCCATGGACGCGGGACTCATAACCAATAAAGCGTTATGCGAGGAACCATGTATGTCAACAGAAGAGTTTTAAGCTCAAGAAGGTGGTAGTTAACCGGTTGGTCGGCAGAGACCACGGAGAACAAGGACCCTGGAAAATAAGCATGGGAACCAATAGAAAAAGAGAAACTAGAAACCAAGTAACAGTAGGTAAAACTAGAAGATCCTAGATCAACGTCAAGATGACATTGTCATGATCCTGGGGTTGTTGAAGAAAACGTGCAACCTTGATAAGGCACGAGACGAGGGAGCCAGTAATGGGAGCCAGTAATGGGAGCCAGTGATGACGACGACGATCAAGTTCCTAAAACTCCAACTTCGTCACATATTTGTTGATGTATGCATTGAACCAAGCCAAAGTTGGTGACCGGTGAAGATGAAGAGCGAAATGAGGAGTATTATCTATTGAAGCCTCGGGTCTCGGGTCAACAATATTAGTCCGAGGACCCTGTTCGCGATGTAACTTGCGTAATTGTATATAATAAGTAGTAGGCTATTTTCATGGGTGCGTAAGAGCTAGTGATATTGTATTGGGTTGCCTGGATGGGTAGAATAAGTTAGGAGGATCTCGAGGGGCTGAATAATAATGATAATAATGATAATAACTAGGTTAACCTACTTTTATTACACATAAACCCTAAAATAAAATCTCCTGGGTTAGGTAGTTCCTAACTTAGAGTCATTTACGTAATCAGCTAACTCTTGCCAAGCTAAACCCGAGCTTTCCTGATAGGTTTAAACCTATTTTTCTTTCCCTATTGGAAATACTATTTTCTGCTAGTTAATGCACCATACATTAGGTACCTAACCTAGGCAGTATATTTTATTTTATGAGAGATGGCGTAAGGTGTTTATGCATAAAAGGTAGTTGACCTTGATTTGACCGATTGTTTTATGTACCCATCGTAAGTGTGCGTATACATTATAGCTATACCTGGACGATAAAAAATGTTTATATAGTATAACTATCGAAACATGTGAAAGATCATGTTAGTTTTTGGGAACCAATTATGGAAACGGAATCCACCGAGTATATACTTTATGTAGGTATACAACATAACCTCTAATCGCTAATTGGCTTATGCCGTCACTTGCTTTTTTTTTTTTTTTTCAACTTACCCCTCTTACCTCTTACACAACCTTGTGTTACCATAACTAATCAATCTTATCAAATGCTGGTACATGCTTCTGCACCTGCAGTTAGCGGTCGATCCATGTACCCAAGGTTCAAATCAACATCGTCACCACCTGCTAAGTTTGGTTAGTGAATTCCATTCTTAGCTCCTTGCCTAAGGGTTTTTTCAATCATACCTTGGCAGCGGCTTGGCACGCATATCTATCCCTATCCATCCCTGGTCTAGAGCCTTTTTTTTTTTGAAGTTTTGCCTACGTTCGCCTGCCTTACCTACCTAAGTTGTACCATACCATACATCACGTATTCCTTACCACGTTCATCCCTTCGTCATTACACTACGTTTCTCTATTGTGAATCAAGAAACAAGTCCCTTGTCGACATATCAAATTGAATCGTGGGGTTTCAGGTTAACTTCGGCATTTCCCATGGGGAATGGACCCTTTGACATTGACATAAGCGTCGCAAGAGTATTCCGTACATAGTATAGTATAGTAAGTCATCGAAGTCATCGAAGTCATCGAACGGGTAACCCGGTTTGCACCTTGCAGCTGAATTCGAGGAATTGTCCCTATTGCCCCAATTGCTCCGCCGTTTATTCAATATCAATCTCGCCGCCCACACTAAAAGGCTACACTACCAAGCGCAACTCCACATCTGCGAGTCCTTGCAGTCCTTGCAGTCCTTGCAGTGCCTTGTCAGGCGTGCGCCGTCCTAGTACCGGTTACGGCAGGGCAAGTTCCAGCGGGCTACCGTGTTAGTTGGCCCACATTTACCAATATCAACATCTCCATCAAACTTCCTGCAAATCGTGCCGGTCCGAGACCAGCTTGCCAGCCCAGCAAAGCCAGAACCCACCGAGCCAGTTCCTGCAATTCCTGCAATTCCTAAGACCAGAATCGTTGGAACCCTACCCGTTTTCGTTGTACCGACGAATCCCAGGAGTTCGGTTGGTGCCTACTAGGACTTGTGCGCAGGACCCGAAAGCTGACCACCTTCAAATTTGCCCAAAATGTCAATAAAGTATGTATGAGCCTCTTCTTACCTATGTAATAATTGTAATTCCCGTCGACCTGAGCCCCAACTAGCCCTCAGCCCTCCCCCTTCCCTGCTCCCCCATCCACGACTATTCCACGGTTTTTAGGATGTGATATCCATCTCTATTCTCCCTGAGAGCATTGCTCTTCCTTCCGCCGGTCCAATTTGCACCGTCCGTCTCTTACCTATCTCATCGTCATAATGGATTACGGCCTTCACGACCAGCATGCGTCATACATCCTTAGTCAGAGTAGCCGGGGTGAGGAGGACACTAACTTAGAAGCCAGCTGGGTTATGCTATCTCGGATCGGAGAGATAGAGCCGCTGCCGCACGAGACTATTCTACATAGGACAAGAGGACGGATAGCTCTGAGCATAACCGCACCGAATCAGCCAACCGACGTCCCTCCCCTTAATATTAAGAGTGAGAGTGGAACGGCGTACATAACGAATCAAAGAGTAAGTAATAATGCTATACGTTACAACATATGAATTAAACGTTATATTAACGTTCATCTCAGTTGATCTACCTACCTTCCAAGCCTACAGATCAGTTCAAGTCCTTTTCATCCAAAATACTAGGGTGCCAGGATAGTCGTATGTGTTCGTCATGGATCGGGCCTTGGTACTGGGAGGCCAATGTGCGCCCGGTCCCTGATGGCAATATCTCTCCGGAGTTTCCGAGAGTCAATGTAAGATTGACGTTCAAGGATGGTGGTTCTAGCGAATTTGAGTCCAAGTTCGTGGAACTTAAAGCGCGCCTACACCACGCGGCGCAAATCGCAGAAGAGTCGGGCCAGAGCAACTGGGCCCAAACCGTCCACGACGAGCAATTACCAGAATATAGCGCCCCTCAGGGTGGTAGTAACCCTAGCCAAGCAACCGAGGTAGTTCGACGAGCGGATGAAGCAGCTCGGGAACAGCAGGCCCACCAGCAAACTCCAGACGAACCCCCACCAAACTACGACGAGGCTCAGGCACAGGCGGTCAACATGCGTTTCGACGAGCGTATGCGGGAGGAAGCAGAAAGACAATGACAACATGTTTGACCTACTAGTTGTCCTAGGACTTTTATGCTGTCGATAAATTCGATTGCTTAGAGACTCCTGATAGAGGGTCGTTTATCTAAGCCGATATGAAAAGAATGTGATACCCTCGCAAATAAAGACATTGCTTTCGGTATGTTAGTGCGGCCGCTCTCTGCGTGGTTGCATACCAAATATTGATCTGAATCCTATCCTGTTGGTGCATTCGTATACTGGGTTATCACGAAGCTGACTCTGTGGAGGAAACCAGGAGAGAAAGGAGTTGATATTTATGCTTGCAGCCACTCAGGTAGAGGATAAGGCTTGTGTCTCCAGTACATGACTGAGGTAGCTTATGCGCAGAATTATGCCCTCCCGACGAGGTTTTATAACCGGTGGTCTCTATATGAAGTAGCCCCTAAACATTTAAATCGATGTTTAGGAGGATACCGACCCGTACAAATTACTTGGTGCACATCTAGATACATACCTATTAAGATATATAAATGCAACTTGAACATAAAGTATCTTAGATTAATACCTATACAATGCAAATATTTCTATAACCCATATCGTTACTTCTACGTGAATTTAATTGGTACCTATCTATTGGTACGTACCTCCGGCTTAGAGCGCCGATAGATCGGTCGAGTATCACGTGATAATAACTCTAAGCCGCAGCCAATCAAAAAGCCTCAATTGGCGATGCTCTATTTTTCTCGGTTGTCAACGTTCCTTGGAGACTGCATTTCATCATCAACCTACGTTCATCCCCGAAAATAAGGCATTGCAACTGCCCGACAACCGTTTCGAGCACAATGGGTATCTGGGACACTATTGCCGACCTCGTCGAGGCGGCCAAGCCATGGACCACCGCCGAAGCCGAAGCTCCAGCTGAGGTATGATTTTTCCCCATCGAGAAAAAAAGCTCCAAACCGGGATTCCACCGGCTTCTATGAGCGCTTAGTACCTACGTCGTTGCGACTTCGGGCTTTCTCGTATACCTTCGTCCGTAACAGAAAGTAACTGATAGTTCCATAGGAACCCCAAGAGGAGGAGCAGGCCGAGGAGGAGGAGGAAGAAGAAGAGGATGACGACGAGCCCAAGGACCCGAAGGAACAGCTCGAAGAAGGTTCGTCACACCCCCACGTCACCAACACATACGACATCTTGTACTCGAGGCGGCTTCAATGCGCAAGCATTATTGTCCCGAACACACTAGCCACACTGTACGATGAGATATTTGTTGACAGTCATATATAGATTGCAAGAATTCCAAGCAGTGCGCACCAGCTAAGCACCACTTTGACGAATGCGTCGAGCGTGTAACAAATGCCTCGGATGACGGAGAGGCCGGTGAGGACTGTGTCGAAGAATGTAAGGATTCCCTCCGCACCGACCCGAGCTATGACTGCACCAGGAAGAATATTTTTGAGAAATTTATTTATTTCACGGACTATAAACTGACACAAGTCTTCTCTCTCTAGTCTTCCACCTCGCGCACTGCGCTAGCCAATGCGCAGCTCCCAAGCTCTGGTCTACCCTCAAATAATCAACGCAAACCAGCCCCGAGAATCCCCGGCATCAGGCACGATATATCTATAGAATACCTAGAAGCATGTGCTGGAAGGTTTTTCGGTCGGGGGCAAGCCGGCTATCGTTGTCTGACTCCGGTCAGATGGTCGAACGGTGGTGGCCCTGTAACACGATTTGCGGCTCAAAGCGGATGACATGCAGCCGGGGGATCTTAAACCACCTGTCCTATGTACCATACACGGCATTCACATGAATAGATCTCTGTTCCTCAATTATTCAAACAGATCTGATTTCCCGTTCATATTGAGACGCTTGCTTATTAATACAACTTAGAGCATCAAGTGAGAGTGTATGAAGATTATACTTGCTGATGAGGTACTTGAGCCACTTACTTACAAGCACTGTCTTATTAGATACTCGGTCACTTATTTACCCTTACAATTTATCAACATCGTATGATGAGATATAGGAAATTACATTAACTACTACCAAGAACTCTTAGTTGTAATAATATATTAACTATGTAAATATGAGAAATGACAAATGTAGGTATATCTTAGAAACACCAGTCCTTAATATAACTTAGAACTGTATATAGAGATATTAGGTTTATAAGGTTTTACCTTAATTCCCAGATACTTGGATAACGATACTATAGGGCGTTTGAGTTTAAGTTTGCTTCATAAATTTTGTTTCGGTATTTAAGAAGTATTATAACCCCTTTCAAGCGTGTTGCATATGATCCATAACTAATATGCAGCCGAATCACATAAGAACATCTTGCAAGAAAAAAAAAAGAATAACCGAAACAAACATAGTTATCAGATGTCAAAAAATGGACCGATTATGTACGGATGTGTGGTTACTTACAAATGGGCTACACGTACAATTTTATGTAGGGTACAACACCTAAAGCATAAATTCTTGGAGACTTGAAGAGAGTTAAGGCTGCGTTACACGGGGATGTGGACTAGATATGGTAGGTCCCCCCCAGTCTATCAACCAATTACAGCTCTAGAGAAGGCCGTTTAGAGACATTTAAGTTGTAGCTGAAACATTGAAACCCTACTACTGCTACTTCGCTACTGCCTTGCTTTAGACGCGTGCACCTTTCCTTGCTAGCGATAGAACCGAACGTTTAGTGGGCTTCTAGTTTAATAGGATCTTGACAGAATCGGGACATATATTCGCAATCCCACTTATTACGTAGCGACTGGTTTAACTTAACCTAGGGTCTTTTGTATCTAGCTCAACGATAACAACTTTCGATCAAGCTATGTATCCTGGTATCCTATGTATCCTATGTATCCCCTGACGAGCCTCGTAATACTTGATTACTATTAAAAACTGCCGGCTGTTGTACAATTCGTTGGGGTTACTATGAGATTGGTACATACCATGCGCAGGACGAGTCGGGATATCTAAGATTCTCCAAAAAGTAATAGGTAGTGCGGGTTATTGTCCAAATCTAGACCACCAAGGTGTTATGGTGGTACACCCTTGCCTCTCGTTAAACTACCTTCATTTCTTATCTTATCCCTTCCTTACTCCATTTCAAATAACGTCCCCTCCACAATGCGAACTTGATGTCTCCTTAAGGTCGGGATACTCCAAAAAGGTGTTGCGATATTCGCTTTTACACACATAACAAGTCAGCTGAGCTGAACTTGAAAAGATCGACGCGGGGCGTATGTACGACAAGATTCGGCTAACCTAGACGAATCAAAAAAAAATATTAATTGTATTAAGTAACCTGGAACTTTAAGGTTACCTAGTCCAGCCTTAAGCAAGCCACCAAGAAGCGCCGCAGGACGGAAAACGCAAGGAAGGAGCCTGGAAGAAGCGCGCACAATGTCTCGCGCAGTAGCAGTCGCAAACCATCTTCGGAAGCGGCTGTCGTTACAGTTACAACGCCAGCTATATTCGACGACGAAGCCGTTAAGAAGGCCCGCGACGAGTACACCCTCAACCCTATCGGTACCGATTCATCTAGCAAGTCATCCCGTACTAAGGGCGGTCATCTACGGCTCGCTTCGAACTCGACGGACGACGACGACGACGAAGCTACCGCGGCGCGCATCGCTGCGGGACTGCCGCGCGACACGGATAACGCTTCGATCGAGAATGGCGATAGCGTCACGTATAAGGTGTATAAGCGACGGTGGTTTGGCCTCTTGCAGCTAACACTGCTCAATATCATCGTCAGTTGGGACGTAAGTTATCGCATTATTTTCGTCTCAACGGACTAGATCCATTGCAACAACCTAAGAGTAGCTTGTACGCCGCAAGGGGAGAGAGAGATATATATATATATATATTCTCTTAGAAATTGGGGGCTACAAGATCTACCAATCGGTAGTTATCTAACCTCTTCACTATTCGTCTCTTTCCCATACCACAGCCTTGGCTTGGCAAGATGCCGTATCACAACATCATTGTTACCTATTCTTTTTCTGTCATACCCACCACCTAATTAGTATATGCCGTGAATCTTCACTGACCATCTATAATATCATCCTAGTGGCTGACTTTCTCCCCGGTCTCACAAAATGCCGCTACTTACTACAGCACGACCGAGTCGGCCATCAACTGGTACTCGACGGGCTTTCTGTTCGCCTTCGTCGTCATCTTTCCGGTCACCATCTACACCCTTCACTGGGGTCCGAAGCCGTCTATCATTGCCGCGGCGGTGCTGATCCTCGTCGGTAACTGGATCCGCTACGCCGGCTCTTACTCCCGCGATGGGGGTAATTACGGGGTTGTCATGTTCGGCCAGATCTTGACCGGATTGGCCCAGCCGTTCGTGCTAAGTGCCCCCACGCGGTACTCCGATATGTGGTTCACGGATAGAGGCCGTGTTGCCGCTACCGCTTTGGCCAGTCTGGCGAATCCCTTCGGCGCCGCACTCGGACAACTTATTGTGCCGTTCATGGTTACGGGACCGGCTGATATCTCTAACGCCGTGCTCTACGTCGCTATCATCGTATGCTTCTCTCTTATATAATCTATCTTATACTGTTGTACTAACCAAGTCCCCCCCACCTTAGTCCTCCGTAGCTGCTCTCCCATCCTTCTTCATCCCAGCAGAGCCTCCCACTCCCCCCGGCTCATGGTGCTCCACACCTAAAGCCTCCTTTCGCTCCTCGCTGCAACTCCTGAAATCTGTCGAGATCTGGCAGGTCCTGATCCCGTACTCTATCTACGTCGGTTTCTTCAACAGCATCTCTACGCTGCTCAATCAGATCATGATGCCCTACGGCTTCTCATCGGACGAAGCCGGTATCGCCGGCGCCCTGCTCATCGTCGTCGGACTAGTTGCCGCCGCCATCTCCAGCCCTATCCTCGACCGCACAAAGGCCTTCCTACTCGCCATCAAGGTCGCCGTCCCGCTTATCGCACTGTCTTACCTTGCTTTCATATGGATGCCAGGCACCCGCGACTTAGCCGGCCCATACGTCGTGCTCTCCATCCTCGGCGCCTCGAGTTTCTCCCTACTGCCCGTCGCCCTCGAGTTCCTTTGCGAGCTGGGCCACCCGATGAGTCCCGAGATCACGTCTACGATCGCCTGGGCTGGCGGCCAGTTGTAGGCGGTATCTTCATCATCATCAGCGACGCCCTCAAGGCGGGGCGGACGGCAGATCCGCCGTTCCATATGTTCAATGCGCTTGTGTTCACGGCGGTTGTCTCCCTGGTGGCCGTCATCCCGGTTATGGCGTTGGGTCTCTTGGACGCAAGGAGAACCTGGCTATTAGACGTATGGGAAGTGGGAGTAGTGGTAGCACGCAAGCTGTGAACGATAGTCCTGCGTGATACGATAGCCACGATGCGTCATGATGGTTTGGACGGGATCGGATGTTTTTACGGTTAGATGGATGGATAGATGGATGGGTAGGAAGATCTAATGTCCGGTAGGTCGGTAGGCGGTTGGGTACTTACTTAACGGCAATACCCGGATAGGATAATCAACCTTGGGACGGATCACGGACGTGGACGCGGTTTCTTTCTGCTCTTACCCTACTTTTCTTACTATATCATCTTTCTCCGCCCCGGCCTTAGCGAGGCAGTCGGGTTCTAGGCTGTTTCGCCGCACTACACGGTTCTGTCTGTTAGTCAGCCAGTCTATTTTGCCCGCGGAGCTATGAACGCGGGAAGACGGGGAGGAAGAGGGGGGATGATACCCTTGTCTTCATGCGTATGCTTTTATTAGTAACTAGTAGTAATAGTAGTAAGTGTTATTGCTGTATCTATACCCGTAGTGCGAATTAAATGTATTTGCTATAACTCATTTGAGTAAAATATCAGGCTATGAGAGATGTGCATTGTATATATGTTTAAGTGCGACTGTAGATATATAAATATATATAGGTATATTAGGGAGACATGTTAAGGTAATATAAACGCCATACTAAGTAATTATTATAAATAGTTTTCTAGCCTAGGCTCGGGGTATATATATATAATACGATACCCATAGGTAAGCAGTTAGACACGCCATCCCCTTCATTAAGACACGCCACAAGACTCTTATAGCAACATACATACTGCTCTACCAGTCTACTTCCCCTCCCCAAGAGCCGCCTCCCAAGAAATCCTTAGCCTCTCGAGCTCAGCCCAGCACTTGCGGCCGTCCTCCTCAAACTCCTCTCTCTTCTCCTCCGTCAAGTCCTCGGCGTCCCACCTACGGCCCCGAAGCTTGTGCAGGGCCCCGGGAGTAGGGTCGCGTTTAAGCGTCTCGCGTTCTCAATTACGCCTTCCCAGCCCCAGCCGTCGACCTCTGCTTTCTTGGGCATGACACGGCCTGACCGCGTCGCGCAGGTACCCCACTTGACACGTTCGGCGTTCAGCTCGTCGAGGGAGTCCTGGTCTGCGAGCGCGAGCCAGGTCGATGCGCAGGCGCCTAGGTATGGTTCCACGGGGTGCCAGGGGGAGCCGAACCAGCGCGCGAGATACATGGCAGCGTAGTAGGCCCAGTACAGAAGCCAGCTAAGCGGGAAAAGCGGCGTGCAGACTACACCGGGGTGGAAGAGGTAAAAGCGCGGTTTTATGGGCTTATCGGCTGTGGCGGGGGAGGAGAAGTATGGGGAGGATACCTTTTGTACGGTGGGGAGATCCTCAGTTAGGCAGAGGAGGTCAGTTATGCGCTTGCTGCGTATGGGGGCTTGTACTGCCGTGCCTGGAAATCGTCGAAGCTGAGGTGTTCGGGGCCGGCGTCTATTGTACTTGTCCAGATAACTCGGCCTCGCGGTTCGTTTGGTTGCGAGCGACTCAGTAGTGGTAACAGTTCGTGTGCTAGGATATAATGTCCAAAGACATTGGCGCAGAAGACCTCAGCCAGTTCAGGCGGTGGCGTCTTCAGATTGGCGGCCGAGTCTCCAAGTAGCTTCTTCTGGTCGAGCGTAGCAGCAGGCAGAGCCTTCTTGAAGACAGGGAACGTACAGCATTGCACGAGCCCAACTTGGAGGAATTGCTTTGCAAATAAGATCCAATCTAAGCCAGACCAGCCGCCAATGCCCGCATTGAAAAGTGCGACATCGAGACGGGGTATCTTCACATCTTTAACTAAGCCAGTCGGATCGCTTACTGTGCCGTGCACCAACTGCTTCGCTGCACCATATATTGAACGAAGGTCGCATAAATCGACCTGAATACTGAGGATGTGGACTCGAGAGATAGCGGTCTGAGGATCGTAGTCGTGGCCTGCTCGCGACCGAAGCTGTTGTGAAGTCTTGGCCGTCTTCTTCAAGTGAGCGCGTAGGGAGAGGATGGTATCGCGAGACTTGGAAACGGAGCGTGTTGTAGGTATAAGAATAAGATGCGAGGATAAGGATCGTGAAGCGAGGAACTCGTCGATTATTCGCTGACCGGTACCAAGACCGACGCCACTACATAGTCCTTCGTCTAAGATACAGTACTCCCGGGTGTTAATTCCCACGTGGCATAAGGAAGCGCATACCTATTAGCTCCAGTGAGCAGGACGAAGAACTGTTCGTGACTCGCAGCCCCTGCCCACGGTGGAGACGCCATCGTCGGCTAGGTACTCGGATTAATACCCTTTTTCCCCCAAGCTAGGTAAGTAGAGTCGGTAAGGTATTAGTAACCCGGCGCAAAGGTATAATTGTATGCAATATGAGGTAGAAATTGGGTGATTTAACTTGTCTCCCCCCCTACCGACACGCGGTGCGACATGCAAATATTAGGCAGTATATTCGTACCTAGATGAATTAAGGCGGTCAAAACGGGAGAAATCTAGGTTAGGTATGTACTAGATTAACGAAGGTGGAGCGATGGGCGTTCGGGATCAAGTGGAGTCCCGTAGCGTAACATCGCAAATGCGAGTGTGCTTGAATTGTGCTTCCGAGCACATGATTCCATTTTAGAAATCGTCAGTTCATTCTACGATGTTCGTTCCAAGTTTTTGGGGTAATTATTAAAACGGGATGGTGCATGGAAATTTAATGATTGTAGAAGGTTCGGATGTGGTGGTACACAGTAAGCTAAGTCTGTACGTCATTTACATAGATGCTTCAAGTATGTAATATGTACCTATCTCAGGTGTGTAACACCAACAAGCTTACCTAAAGCATGTTTCAATCTTACATAGGAGTTTATTAATTGGTCATAAATATAAAGTAATAAAACATATGTATTAACAAATGCTGCACGTACGGAGCAACGAACCGCTGCAATACCGTATGTGAAAATAAACGTAATATCGACCTCGGCAGGTCAAATGCCTAGGCGCGCATACTAGATCGAATTGCTTATATAACTATACTTATATACTTACACGTGCCTAGCCTAAGAAATTATCTGCGTTGTTTTAAGACAGGTCTAGCCCGCCCTACTATTTCCGATTTGACAGCTACTATAAAAAGTTTTAGTTTATTACATAGGCATGTATATACATAAAAATATCGTTACAGTAAGGATTAGTGGGAGAGACGAAGAGACGAACCTCGGGTGGTTATCACGATATCTATAAAATTTAAGGTTCTTCGTAGTGTAGGATCCGATCGCCAGGGACCTCTCCTTCCTTTACAGGGCTTGAGAATTACAGGGTGATAGGCTGATTCGATATTATTCAGTACTAAGTAGGTATTAGTAGTATTATTAGGTGGAACGTCATCTTCAATCTCGCTTCTTTCGGCTTACTTACTTGATCATATTTTTATTTTATTTTACTTTCCCTTTCTCTAAATCAAAACTTCATAATCTACATTATATGCACCATTGTTTGCATCTTTTACCTCGTGTTACTCTTATTCTTACTCTTACTCAATCTTGTCTATATAATTAAGTCATCATTACTCGTCCGGTTACACATAAATCCCATAACATCATAGTCGAACCATCTGCGCCTTGGTGTAATATTCTATTCGACTTGATAAGACGCGAACGCGGCCGCATCCGGAATTCCATAACTTTCACTGCATCCTCATTTTAATTCTTGACTCGTCAACGTTTCAACATTTCAACATGAACAAACTACCAATAGACCTAGTCATGACTCGGTTCGCACATACGCTCCAGACTGGTTTGCTGCCTGACCAAGTCTGGATGGTCATTAGCTGGATAGCCTTCTTTTTTGTGCGTCTTAGTTCTACTGGCCCCTCGCTCTACTACATTTTTACTAACAGTTCTGCTCAGAAACTAGCCAGCTTATCTTTCGCTGTCCCTATTCTAGGTCTAGTCGTTTTCGACTTCTGTCTTTGGATCTATCGATTAAACCAACCTCAGCCTCAGAACGCCTCACGAACAAATCGCATTTCGCGCAAGGCTACCGGACATAGCGTTAACCCAATGTCACCCGTAAATGGCATTGGCTCCGCAACAGCTCTGGCTGCTAACTCGACTACGAGTCAGAGGCGTACCGTTTACTCGGATCATGCGAGCGACTAACCCGAAAATACCTAGTCCGCTACATCAACATAATTGCGATAACCGTATATAATAGAACATATATAATATTTTGTATCTCTTCCTTAACTACGAAATTTGGGACAGGACTTTGATCAGATCGCTGGTGACCCCCATTGCCGTCACCTCTCCTCCGGCACCAGCGCCTTGTATGATTAGAGGATTTGCGCCGTACCGTTTGGTATAGAAACTAATGATGTTGTCACTTCCTTTGAGGGCCGCGATCGGGTGCGATTTATCGAACGTCTCGAGGCCGACTTTGACGGCATTGGCACCCACGTCGATACTGCCCACAAATCTTACTACTTTGCCTTGCTTTTCCGCTGCGGATTTGGTTTCCTCCATTTGAGAGTCGAACTCGTGCAACCGCTGCAAGAACTCGTCTCCACTAGCGACAGACTCCAGCTCCTTCGGGATCAGGCTCTGTACGGGGAATGAAGTGGGGGATTCGACAGGGAGGCCCGCCAATCGGGCAAGTATTGTCAGCTTCCTCGCCACATCAAGTCCGTTTAGATCGTCCCGAGGGTCTGGTTCTGTGTAACCCAATTCCTTCGCTCGCTTGACTTCAGCAGACCATTGGCCACCAGAACCCTCGACCGGAGCAAAAGAGTTGAAGAGGAAGGACATTGTACCACTGAATACACCTTCAATCTTAGTCACCTCGTCGCCAGTCTCTACAAGGTCCTTGAGTGTCGAGATAACAGGGAGACCAGCTCCGACAGATGATTCATGGTAAACCTTGGCTCCAGACGTAGCAGCAGCCGTGAATATATCCTGCCATAGCTTATACGAACCCGAAAAGGCCTTCTTGTTCGGTGTGACGATACTGATACCACGGCTTAAAAAGAGGGGATAGGTATCCGCGACGTCTTGGGAACTAGTGTTGTCCACAAGAATGACCTTTGATGGTGCCGCAGCCAAGTAATCGGCTACCTGGGGCAAATTCAAGGGCGATTTAGTCGAGGCGGCGAGTTCTTGGAAGACGTTCTCGGTGGCTATAGAGTAGTCGTCATTGAAGAGAGCCTTCTTGCTAGTCGAGATATAGCAGAGATCTAACTTAGGGGTCGGTCGTTTTGGACAAAGCCTCGAATTGGGAAAGGAAGCATTTGCCAACCCCTCCAGCACCTTTAAATAATAAATAGATTAGTCAATTGAATCACTAATTATTCAAATATGTTTCTTAGTTCATAACATACCGATAATAGCAACAAAGACCTTATTAGTTGCCGCCATATTGTAAGTAAGTAAGTAGTCAATAGTTGTATTTTTGCAAGCTTTCAATGTTTAAGGACGTGGGGTAATTTTATATAGATACAAGGCCGATTACGGCTTTCGCGGGGCATTTCAAGGCCTAAAAATTTAGAGGACTTAAGTGGAGTAATTGAACAAAAGCCTTGTCGGAAACTACCATTCAGAGGTCCCCTTGCCTATAAACTAGCGCTATCTCATCTCATCAAACGGCATTAGCTATTACATTAGGTTTAGGTTAGTTATTACAACAACTCTTTCATATCCCGAACACCACAACCCGACCTACGGTCAACGGCACTATTTACTTTTGCACGCAATCCCCGTTCAAAATGCCACAAGATCCAAATCTTTATGGGCAACGCCCCACCAAGCGGCAAAAGAAGGGGGTCCCACTTTCGGGTTCTCTGGACTTTGCTTCTCAACTAACCTCCCTCCTCTCAACGTCCGCCTCCGACCCATCATCAGCGTCATCTTCCGCAGTAGCCTTCGGCCGCGCCCGCCCTTCCAAAAACAAAGACGACATATTCTCCGTCAAAGCAAAACGGAAAGCGGGTACATCCACCTCCACCTCCACAGCAGAAAACGACGGTAAAGATGGCGCAAGAATCCAGCTCAAAGAGGTCCGCGGCACCGAAGACGAGAAACAAGACCTCGCGCGTGCGCGCCGCAAGATGGAAGAGAAAGCGCGGCTGTATGCCGCCATGAAGCGCGGGGACTACATCGCGAAGGAAGGCGAGGCCGCGCCCCTCGTCGACTTCGATCGCAAGTGGGCGGAGCGGCATCCCGAAGACGCCGATAACAACAACACGTACTCGAGCTCCGGAACAGACGACTCGGACGCAGACGACGCCGACCAGGAAATGGTCGAGTTCAAAGACGAATTCGGACGAACCCGCCGCGCCACCCGCGCCGAAGCAACCCGGTACGAGCGACGGCAACACCGCAGCGCGCTCGGCGCGGCAGAGCTAGAAAGCATGGCGGCGAAGCCCACCAAGGCGCCCGAGCGCCTGATCTTCGGAGACGTGATCCAATCCGGGGCGTTCAACCCGGAAGACGACACGCTAGACAAGATGGAGAACCTCGCCGCGAAGCGGGACAAGTCGCCCACGCCGCCCCCCGACACGCATTTCGACGGGCGCGCGGAGATCCGGACCAAGGGGGTTGGCTTCTACCAGTTCAGCCACGACAAGGACTCGCGCAGGGGGAGATGGAGGCGCTGGAGAGAGAGCGGGATAACACGGAGCGGGTGCGGAGGGAGAGGGAGGAGCAGAAGGAGAGGCGGCGGAGGGAGATCGAGGAGCGTAGGAATAAGATCGGCGTGAGGCGCGCGGAGAAGATGGCGGAGAGCTTTTTGGATGGCCTGGCAGGCGAGATGGGGACATCTGGGGCTGGTGGGAAGGGGAAGGAGGAGAAGGAGTCTGAGGAGGGGATGCGGAAGAGTACTGGTTCGTGATACCTAACATCGACGTCGACGCGAAGAATTGCTTCGTTCTACGCACGATAACGAAAATGCACTTTTTTTCTCTCATGGATATAGATGGCCACCGCAATAGCCACGAGCAAGGCATATCTTGTGGAAGAATGAGGATTAGTTTAAGACGATATGAATTTGAATACATGATACCCCCTTTTTGTCATACCTACCTAGGTTAGGTCCCTAAGATAGCGTCATTAACAGGCGCGGAAGTATAGGAAGACTAATAGTTAAACTTCTTATAATAATTAATTGGAAGGAATATAATTATAATACCATATCTTTCTATGCTCCGTCTGATGGTATTTAAATACAAAGTTGATAACTTCATGTTTATAAGTCCTATCGTAATCTAGTCTAGGCTGAAGAGGGGTTATACCACTCTAATAAAGGGTATAATTATCAATGTTGTCTATCTATACATGTATTCTCATATCCTTAGCAGCCTTGGACGAAATCAGAACCTTCTTTTCGATTTGCTCTCTAATACTATTTCTCACACTTAAGCTATTCCGTCCGGCTAAAGCTTTATTGTTTGTCCCCTTTCATATCGCCTTGTAAATATAACATGATCTTACCCAAATCCTAAATTCACCATAGTAGTAAATATAGTAAAGAATATTGACATATTATCCTTATTCCCTAATCCCTCTATAATAATATATAAATTAAAAAGTTATATCGTGCATACACATTATCAACACCCAACCCCGTCAACCTAGCCTAATTAAACAAACATAATCCACGAGGTTTGAAGTACCCAAGTAATATACATACCAGGTATCCCGATAGACATCCTATATGACTATAACTATATAGCATAATATATATATGGTAAATATTTATGTGATGTGTGAGGAAATACCGCTCCTCCTATCAACAGCCGCAACCAAGGAAACGTATCTCTCTCCCACCGTCGTGTATCCCAACAACGCCGTAGCCCGAAAAGCGCGCCCGTAAATAATAAGTATGGGGTCGACGGAGAAGCGGGAATCGAAGTCGCCCGCTAGTTTTCCCCTGGAAGCCAATAATACAAGTACCGTTTGCCGCGTAAGCGAAGTTCCCCTGAACGCCGAAATGTATATGCGCCCTCTTCCCAGATAATCATGCTATATACAATAGATTTTCGTTCTCTTCGCTTTGAACCGTCCGAAGAGTGAGAAATGAAAATGATGACACCGCATACAATCCCGGCCGTTCAAGAGAGCCACCACATACAACCGCAATCACTCATATCGCTTCCCATCCCAATACCACCCCCGCGACCTCCTATATGGCGCTCTACGACTCCATCCTTCGGGGGTCCTGGTCCAAACACTCCTTCGTCCTCATTAATGATGATATCGACTGTCTTTCCATCTACTTTTATTGCTTCTGCCTCGTTGTTCTCATTAATCTGAAACTGGCGGCACCAGGGCTTAGCCGCCGACGAGTCAGCGTTACGATGCTCCTCGACCTTGATGACCCGTGGGTATGGCGGATAAATTTGAGGCATGGGAATGTCCTGGTCGGATATACTACTGGATGTAGCAGTCGAGGAAGTATCAGTTGGGTTCGGAAGGCCATCAGAGGCCGCGGTAGTCCCATGGTGATCTTGGGGTGACCCATAAGGAACATCTGAAGGCGTTAAACCGCCGCCGTTGTTAAATCCTTCAGGGGGTCCAGTGACAGCCGCTCCGGGTACCGTAGTTAGTCCAGTGGGGATATCCTCGGTCGATGCAGGCGGTGGAGGACCTGGCATCGGTTTAATACTATTATTTTGATTTGCGTAGATAAAAGCCTCCAGGATGGTGTTGTCCCAATGGCAAATCCACATGCGGTCTCCGATTTGGGCACCTTTACGCTTGAAACCGCCGCCATACAACGTCCGACGACGGTGAGCAGCAGAGGGGGAAGAGGAGGGGCTAGCCGATAATGCCTGATCAGGAACGATGACAGTTTTATTGTAGGCAACCTCGAAATTCCACGCCGGACCTCGAGGGCCTTCGTGCACATCATTGACAAGCTTTAGTCGCACGTTAGTTAATTCGGGCGGCTGCATCCCCCAAAGGTACACGTTGTTTTTCAAAGTCGCGCTCTCATTATAAGAGAACCCTAGTAAATAGTCAGATGTTTCTGGTTGACCAGGTAATCTCGTGATGTCCATGCCAAGTTGGAAGAAAAAGAGATCGCAGTTCCATGCTTGAGCTAACGTCGAGTCACTGAAGCAGGTATTAGACATTCGATTGTTCCGGAGAGGTAAGGAAAAATGACCTTCTTGTAAGGGTGGTAAACCTGACGGTAGGGTACTAAGAGGTTGTGTGTCCCAGTTGCCCGGATTTATCATTGGTAAAGGCGGCCTAGTCATCGTTTAGCATTCAAAATATGAAGAGCACGAAACAGTAGGAAATTCTTACCCATCCTTATGCGATTTGTTCTTCGAATCGGGGCGAAGGAGAGTCCCAATGACAGCACCGAGTATTACTCCCATCAAAACGAGGACGATGGCAGCCAGGACGATGGCCCAACATGGAACAATCCCCCAAACCCTCCTTTTCGCGGTTACTTGCCAGTCCTTTGGCAACGCTTTCTCGTCTTCAGCTTCTTTATTAGTCGTAACAGCAGCATTTAATTCATTCTGGCTGTTCTCAGATGTAAAACTCCTAATAGATTGTCTAGATTGTGGAGAGGATAATCCGCCTAAATCCTCAGTAGACGAGAATTCAGGATTTCGAGTAGCCATCCCGATACCTCCAGCACCCGGAATGGCCAACATCGGCTGCACAGGCGCTGGCGCTGGCTGAGGCGTTTCCACACCCAACGCCTTTCTAGTATACGCTTCTTCCGGATATCTCGTGTAAGGAGGTAACTGTTCCGTATGGCCATCAGGACCAATCAAATCAGCTACATCCTCTCCGTCCGGACCAATTCTTCTTTGATAGTTGTCCGTCGCTCCAGGGAATCCGACATTAATTTCCGCCTGTACCGGCCCGCTAGACATTCCACCTGTTTCGGATACGGTGTTCTGCGGATACATGCCGTACGGATGCGCCGGCCCGCGAGGCCCATTGTACGACCGCTCAGAGACTGGTACCGTCGACGTTGTCGCTAGACTAGCCGTTCGTGCTACTCGAACATCTTGCGGATACATCTGGTACGGATGAGAAGGACCAGACGGGCCATCGTACGGGTCTTCAGGATCAACAAACGGCGACGCAGTGGAACCGCTCGAAACTCTACTTAGAGAACCTCTACTTAAAGACCTACTATCCGACTCAGAAGATGACCCATCATGTTGCAAAGCCAGAGATTCACTCCTCCGATGCGGCTTTGTAATACTCGATGGACGTGGCGGCGGTATTTGTGTCATAGGCACATCTTGCAGCGCCGTCGCAGGTCTCGGAGTTTGAATGTTTGTCGCATCTACCGGGCGAAACCCATCGGCAACTATCATAGCCTGCAAGTCATAGTCCTCATCGTCCCTTTGTGAGGTAGAAATCCTCACCGAGGTTCGAAGCGACGAAACGCGGTTTAATTCGGAGGATTTGTTGTCCTCAAAGGCCCCCATTGCCGGCGGTAATTCCAGGGGATTGCTGTTTTACGCGCGAAGAATGGGCAGAGATGCCAGTGCAGCATCAGAAGCACGGCGAACGACGATCCTGGGCCCAGAAGATCATCGGGCAGACTGACGAAAAAAGCGTTTCGGGCTATTTGGTGATGTTTTTTTTTCGTTCTTGTCTAATTCTTGTCGAGTCCGGTCGATCGAGAATGCCAATTGCAAGTTGTCCGTTGTAGACAAATGAATAAAACCCCCAGCCCAGTAAGTAGAAAACAGCCGTATTCTAGTGGGAGTGGCTAGTGTATTTTACAGGTTCGGCACAAGGAATCCCAGTAGCCCCAGCACGAATCAGGGGCCAAGTGCTGGGACTAGCGGGTTTCGGACTTTCAAGAGGGGGGGCAAGCCTAAGCAAATACAGTGCCGTACCCTCCAGGGAATTATTGCCAACCTAAACTCTGATTGGTTCGTACCTACCTAATATACATGTATGTACATGTACGTACCGTGCATATGAATATATCGTATAATACTTCCAATGCACTTCCAAGTTTTTTCTTTACATGCCTTACATGCCTTACATGCCTTCCTTACATGCCATACCCATACCATACCATGTCTACCCTCAGGTAGGGTGATCTGGATAAGATAGTAGGACTATGGACCGATAGAAGGAAGGATAGGGTTACTTCGATGCCGTCCATAGATACCTAGTATTCTTACTACTCACATATGACACCCACGACTGATCTTCACCTTTCTCACAACCAGCATGCCTACCTATATCAACTAGTTTTTGTCTATATGTAAGTTTGTTTGTTAAGTAGGTTAGGAGTTTGGAATTTGCTGAGCGTTGCTGAAAATGATTGGGTTGGTTACCAAGGTCCATCGGTTGGTCTCGCCCCATGTGCGCTTCCCTTCTCACCCTCATCGGGGCACCATTCGATCTCTTGGCAATGATACTTTAGGTTATTGTTAAATGTGCGAAGGGAGGACAAAGGGCCGCGGAGAGAGTTCGAGAGCCGTGTCATTATCAATAGTCCCAGCAATGACCCCGTCGATATCATCTCTCGAGAGTTAGGGCCACAAGCCGTGAGCCATGAGATTTCATTGACAGATCATAGCGTATCAATAGCGTACCTGAGAGGTTTTACGCTCCTCGGATCTAGACATTTCATCTGTCGGAATTCATCATGTTGCTGTCAGATGGCATCAGAAGGATCTCATGTCTAAAGTAATTAAAAAGTGGCCTATAACCACGGTAATATGTCTCGGGGGCACATATTCGCTACACCCAGTTAAGGCTATTTTGTGTTGCGAGAATATTTCCCGGACGACGGACGGCACGAGGCCACGCGCAGAATAATTGAAAATGTGAGGGGCGTGCGGATAGGATCTCGGTTGGGTGCAGACTAAGGTATTAGCAATACAGCCGGTTCGATATAGTCTTCTAGCGTTCCAGACGAAATGGAGCCGAGCATGGTAGACCTTTTTTACGCTTGTCCTCTTTATTATGATTATTTAAATATTGCTCGTGGCAAAAGTTCCATGTGTGGCAGCTCATGCGATTCGCTCGGAACTTTCCATCAAGTCGCTACTCTTATACATACATACGGCAAGATATATCATCGTATAAGTGCCTTCCTTTGTTTTACATATCAGGTACTCAACTACACCTGACAATAACCTGACAATAAAGAAGTAAACTCTAAATTAGGTAGTTTGGTCAGACAAGAAGCTTCATATGAATCGATGGTTGATGCAGGTGAGCGGCGATCCGGCACTTACTTCCCTAGAAGCGGGTCAAGCGTCTTTAGGCGTCTACTAATGTGTACTAACTTGCATTACAGGAAACGAAAGCAGGAACGCTCGGTGACTATTGAATTTCTATTGCAGTTAGATATATTAGCTATCTGTCTGTCTGTCTATCTGTCTGCATATCTTAGGTACACTACTATATGTAAGTCCATGTCTACATAACTATTATATATATATGAAAGTCATAGCGATATCAACGGCATATGAAACGATCTGAAAACTTGTAATAATAACAATACGCATATACTACGTAAAATGCATCATAGGTTCCTTTGGTGGAGTAAGAGGAGACTTAAAAGCCAAGTTATGAAAAGCACTAAACCAAGATCAGGAACAATATATCGATCTCCTTGTGTACACGGCATTTTGATTCCTGTACGGAATAGGAAGGGAACCCGATGTATTAAAGTTTCCCTTAAACCACGCTAATCTAGGTACCTTCCATCTTTAGATGTACTTTCGTAATTGAATATACCCGGACTTTGAATATGCAGCATTTCTAATAATCTTGCGCATGTGGCTGCAGCTCACAAATCCTCCACCAATAAGTTTTATTCTTGCTGCACCTATTAACTATCAAAACGCTTTGCAACAATGTTTAATCGTACGTGTTCACAATAAGTCATGATTATTAAGTGTTTACCTTTAGACATGACAAGTTCTATATTTGGCGAGACAAGGCTTGTGTAATCCAATGTAATTCTCGACAAATCGACGTTGATACCAAGGATAGGATGCTTATGGTTGATTACATCATTCGAGCCTTACATTACTTGATCACCATTCAGCCAATAGCCATGGCGTAAGCTGCTATCAGATGTAGGTTAGGTAGTCTCAATGTTTACTCAACATCAAGTTCGGATCTTGATTCTTACCACCAGTATTCATTATCAAACCACCTAGGAATAACTTACAGTATGAGAACACCTCAGGATAACTTGTCGATTACACCGACGCCGATATCATTCGGGAAACAAATGCGCCAGGCTCACTTTAACTTTGCTCCCTCGTACACCCCGCTAAATCACGGATCCTTCGGATCTTTTCCCTCGGGTGTTCGAGAGCATCAGAGGCGGCTGCAACGCGAAACCGAGGCCAGGCCAGATACATTCATACGCTTCGAATATCCTAGACTCCTACGGGAAGCAAGGGAAGCTGTTGCCCCGCTATTGGGAGCAGAGACCAACGAAGTGGTTTTTGTTCCTAACGCATTAACGGCAATCAATACCGTCCTAAGGAATTTGACATATCGCGATGGCGACGTCATAGTATATTTTAGTACGATATATGACGCATGCCACAAGACTATTCAATCTCTAGAGGAGACTACTATGGTTAGAGGACATTGTGTCGAGTTAGTGTACCCGATTGAGGATGATGAAATACTCGATAAGTTTCGCTCCGCAATCCTCGACGTCCAGAGTCAAGGCAAGTCAGTTAAACTGGCTCTGTTTGATACTGTCCTCACCTTCCCAGGAGTGCGTTTCCCGTGGGAAAGTCTGGTACCTATATGTAGAGAATATGGAATTCTGAGTTGTATAGATGGTGCACATGGGATAGGTCACATCGATTTGCGACACGCATCTCAAGTCGGACCAGATTTCTTCATTACCAACTGCTACAAGTGAGTTTTTTTCTTATCTCAGTTCCTGTCCGTTTTTAAAAACCCCCTCGAACCACGTAACCACCATCAACCTTAAGACCTCCCGCAAGCTGAGTTTATATAGGTGGCTTATGGTGCCTCGCGGGTGCACGGTGCTCTACGTACCTTATCGTAATCAAGCTCTGATTAGGACGACCTATCCAACTGGTGAAGGCTATCAACCAGTTGAGCACCGCGTGAAGATGTCCGAAAGGAACTATTTTGTCAGTTTGTTTGAAAAGGTATCTACGGTAGACACTACTCCGTATATATGCGTGACAGAAGCGCTCAAGTTTAGAACCCAAGTTTGCGGCGGGGAGGAGAACGTGCGCAACTATAGCGTGAACTTAGCAAAAGAAGGCGGCGAGTTGATGGCAGCAGTCATGGGAACGGAAGTCCTCGAGAACCGAGCGGGGACACTTCGAGATTGCTTCTTTACTAATGTGAGACTACCCTTAGACGTAGTAGCAGGAGAGTCGCAAGAGAATCAGACGGGTAAGGTTCTAGCTCGAGACGCGCAGGCAGTAGCTGATTGGATTACGAAAACGACTGTTGAAGAGTATGAGACCTTCATAGCGACGAGATACTACGCCGGCGCGTTTTGGGTTAGGATTTCTAGTCAGATTTACCTTGACCGCACGGATTTCGAATGGGCTGCTAATGTCTTGCTTGAACTTTGCGGCCGTGTGAGAAAAGGCATACGGCCGTCGAAAGAGAGTAATATGCTTGTCGCCTAATAATAACCAACAGGAAAGAGAGCCGCTATAATAGTGGCTTATGCAGGTATACTTCAGACATTTAAATAGAATGTCCAAATTGGGCGCCACGGTGAGGTAAGAGTTGTGTTACCAATTAATCCGAATGGCTGACGGAGCTTGTTTATTTACACTCAAAATTATGTCGTTGATGAATGAAGATAATGAAGATAACGAAGATAATCCCGAGTGTAAGTGGATGAGTTGTAAGTGGCGTGGAGGAATACGATATCAGATATCATAACTCTCATTTCGTTTTTTAGCCATCCTATCTTTCGTCATTTACTATCTATTAAGGAGTCATGACTCGAAAATAAATGCCGCCAATGTGGTGGCTTGATTGACATGTCAATTTGGAGGGGTCCAGTTCTGAGCCTGCTCGGAACTTCTGAAATGATGCGCATACATACATTCATGTAAGTAAGATGAGGCAAGCTTCACTTTTTTTCTTTTCCTTCCTTTTCCTTTCTCGTGCAAGTAAGCCATGCTGCTACCTACATACATACATACATACTCAATACTACACACCCTCTATCATCGTGAAGCCTATCGTGTATCGTCAACTGCACCCCAGAAGTCGAAAAAGCTACCCTACTTTGGTGTTTTCGGAGCCTTTTTTTTTTAATTACCAATCATCCGGGCTGATGTAATTCAGGGCTTGCTGCTTCCCTCCCTCCCCTTTTATCATGTATCTTCCATCCGCTCGCTCGGGCGTAATAGGAATCCTTCTATATACCTACATCATAGGACTCTAGAACCAAATTGGTAATTAGTCCCCGGGGGAGAAGAGGGGGGTTTTAATCCCTATGTACCTACCTAGGTTTCCCCGGAATCCTACCTCGCGAGCCGGGCGGGTTGAGGCTCCGTCCGTTAGTGGTCTGAGTCTGGGTCTGGGTGAAGATGTTTCATTCATTCACACATTCACATTGATTCATATGCGTTTGCTGCCGCACGCCACAGAACCCCGAATTCTTGACCCAAGAAACGGGGCGAATTGGCATTCTCGCGTCCTGGTTCGCCAGCGTGGCCGAAAGTTCGTTTAGGTGTAGCCATGTGGTAAGTACATATGCAAAGGCAAACGCAGCTCACACCACACACACATATACGCACCACCCGTCATCGCCTCGGTAGAGAGAAACAGGGCAGAGTGCTGAATGGTTTCGAAGCCAATAACGAGGCTGCTGCTTGTATGTCGTCCTAGACGTCACGAAAAAAAAAACCCTCCCCTCACTCTCCCGGAGAAAAAAAAATCTGCAACGCTTTTCCACTTGTAATTTTTTTCTGTTATGTATTGGAAACAGACTTACCTGTTTGGAACCCGTCTGCAGCTTAAGCTAGCGGTTTTCCTGCCAACTCCCGTCGAATCGATCTCTGTGTTCACCGTGGCTGACCACCCCCCACCAATCCCCAACCGCGGCGTATAGCGGATGCATAATGTGCAGGGAAGACGTCGCCCGAGCACACGAACACGATCCTGATAGGCAGGACTGATCTGCCCTGCCTGGAGCCTCTTGGGGAAAGAGTGATTACCTAGTATTAGTATTAGTATTAGTATTATTATTTTCACGTTACGTAGTGTACCTATGGTAATCTAGACGTAGTACATACCTATGTATTTACCTACCTACATACTTCCATCCTTACTTTGCACAGTCCTAGACTTTATTTAACGGTGTTTTATATACCGCCCTCTATGGCCGGCCCCCTTATACAAAGCAGGCTCCCCCATCCCCGGACTTCCTCGCCTCGTTTTTTTCTTCACTTTCTATGATACACGGGTGACTGTCACTCACTCTTATAGAGGTTTGGTGGTAATACCATACCATACTATACCTTAACTCAACTTATATCTTTGCCTCTTACAAGGTCGACCCTTGTTGTCTAAGACACTCAAGGCAAGCAAGCAAGGCTGTTTGTTAGCAGTGGCTTCGCCCCCAAACATCAAACTCCAGCGATTCTACTTCCAGGCATAAAAGGAAGCTTGCATCCCACCATGAACCAGCGCCCGGAACTACGACGGAACGGGTCCTTCGACTCGGACACGTCCTCGTTCTACTCGGTACGCTCGGGAGACTCGGCGTACTCCGTCTGGTCGTCTTCAGAGTCTGACTCCTTCGTCTGGAGGGACGACCCCTACGGGTTCTACGGGGTCGGCGGTGCCGTTACGCGGTACGTCGACGATCGTGACGACCAGCGCAAACGGTTCGCCGCGCACATTCTAAGCGGGCCGTTTGCCCAGTTCTACAAGAAGAAGCGACATGCGAGCTCTCACGCCCGACCAGGCCGCAGCACACACAGCTCGCGCTCCAGCTCGCGTTCTAGCACAAACAGTGTTAGTCCAGGAAGAGGCCACCATCACGATCCCCGTTTCCACTCCCGGCCTCCTAGCGCCGGGCCCCAGTACCACCAGGAGCAGTTTCGCGAGGAACAATTTCACGAGGAGCAGTTCCAAGAAGAACAGTTCCACGAGGCATCCTTCCACCAGCCGCCTTTCCATCCAGGTTTCCACGGAGGACCACCCCCTCCCCCGCCGCCACCACCACCCGCTGCACCCGCCGGGTTCGAAGGCGGCTTCATCCAGCTTGGCGGCGGTCCTCCACCACCACCACCACCTCAAGACCCAGTCTGGGGTAACGACGCAGGCTACGGGCCCGGAGTACGTGTTTACGATTAATGACTTATGACGACGACCAAGTGTTGTTGCGACGTGGAACTCTTTTACTGTAATGTTTACGTATGACTGGGAAATCTCATGACTACACAGAATGGACGAGACGGTTTCAAATTCTATCTATTCAGCGCGATCTTTGGGTGGATTTTTGTTCTTGTTGTTGTCTGGGGGTGTAGGGAGGGGTGTACGGCATTTACGAGGGCTCTTTTGTATTGGGACGGGAAATCTATCCATGTGTCCTTGAGCAAGCATGACAGGCCAACCAGTCCTGCGACGAATCGCAGAGAGAAACAATAGCAACAGCAGCAGTGGACAGTTGCGAGGACGAAGTCGTTCCTTGCAAATGAATATACTTAATCTGCTACTACATACAAGGTAGAAAGAGTATGTAATGATCCCATCCCATTCAGGTACCCAGCGCACGGATGGGATGGCCGGCGGGTATGTATGTATGTAGGTATGTAGCGGGCAGTTGAATCTTGGCCTTGGATAATGATAGGTAGCAAAATTCCAATATTTTGTTCGACTCCACCGCATACATACATAGCGAATGCCATCGCAGCAGTAGCGATTGCCAGTTGTCACCTACAAGACAAGCTGTGAGAAGCAATCGTCCCTGCTGGGCTACCCTGACAAGACGGACGGGCATGCTTGCATAAGATTTAATGGAGCTCGCATGGATCCATTGGAGGAGGCGATATTCAGGTTTCGATATATGTAGTAAGGATCGTGGCCTTACTATATACATATTTGACACGGACCTCTCTAAACAAACCCATGGTTAAACAAACGTATAAGAGAGAGAGAGAGAGGTTGTGGAAATGAAATCGGAGTAAGTTAAGTCAGTCAGACTGGTATGTAAGTCTGAACAAGTAATATGTCCTGTATAGCTAGCTGACTGCATTAAAACTCCGTATATGTATGTATAGTCCTAGGTATTAATTATGTTAGTTATATTTCGGTGACAGCAAAGCTAATTATGCAATGCAAGTACATAGCGTTTCTTGGCTGGGCTGAGTATTCGGCGGGTGGGAACATAAGCCACGCTTACGGGACCATGTAGGTATATGCCTTCTCACTTACTTCTACCTACTCCGTAGTCCGCGGCTGAGGACTCCCCGTCCCTTGATAATTATTAGGCAGTCAGTCGACCCCGCAAACAAGGCAGATACATACCGTATACCGTCGACCTTCTTGGTTGCCTCCCGAAGTCTCAGAGCTTATGTACATACATGTTCGGCTTCACCTTAATGCATGCTGCACACTTGCGCCTCTTGAAGATAATATTCCCTGGTAGAATTTTCGCTATGGCAGGGGTAAATTGCCATCACATAGTAGATTAATACCCTGATCCCCTGATTCCCTGATCACTAAGGCTAGTAAAGGTAGGTGTCAACGGCGATATTGAGGCTCAAGCCGAGTGAGTGTGAGCCAAGTTTGAATTGGTCAACAAGATGTATTATAACGGCAACCCCGATCTACAGGCCATCTTCAGGCTTAGGTGCCCTTGGCGGTCTGACATCACCCTTTTATTTGTTACATCCGAGTTGAAGTATGTATTTTCGACAATGTTAGATACCTATACATAGTGCGCCACTTTTTTTTTTTTTTCCGTTTAACACTACTCTCTTCTTTGCCCTGTTTGTCTAACCCATCTTGTATATGAGTGGCAGATGAGTCTTACACCATCCAGTCATACGGCTATTCGGACCCATGGTCGGCTTTGTGCAGGTTTAACAGCCACTGAATAATCAACGCTATAGTCTGACTTAACCAATAAACTATTGTCTTGATGATTGTGGACCCCTCTCCCTCCCTCTCTCTTAGAGTTGGATCGGTATTAGGACAGTAACTTTAATGACACAGTATAGATCGATTAAAAAAACAGCATATCCACTTTGCACGTGAGATAAGTCAACTGTGCACCGCCAGAATGCCGTCAAAAGCATGTCCCACTGTAATTTTTCAACTTTATTCTTTATTCTAGTTCACTCAAATAACTTTATCAACTTTTATAAAAGCTGAATAAAGCTTTTGTAAAATAAAATTTGATCAATTTAGTTTAGCATAGGAATTTTCAATACTTTTCCCTTTTTAATTTGGTTGAAAAATCAGATTATAAACTGAGTATGTATGCTATTGGTTTGGGTTGAGCGAACGGGCTGGCCGTGCGTGGTAGCTTTTGGTTGTGGCTTATCTCACGTGCAAAGTGGATATACTGTTTCTTTAGTCTATCTGCGCTGTGTCTTTAAACTTACTGGTATTGGGAATGCATAGCATCATGCTATACATGTATAGATTTATAGATTGTCTGTGGTTTGTCTGTGGTTGCCTGAAACTTTTTGGATATCTGAAATAGATATATATAAACATCCATTGCTTCCATTCAACTGAACAAAATAAATCCTTCCTCACAACAGCAGTACCCAATACGAAGTAACCCTTTTATAACCCAAGCCAAACGAACGTAACATCAAACTAAAGCCCAAATCTATTATCTCCTATAATCTCGTCAGCCTTAAAATTCTTACATATCTTCAGTAGCTGGGTGTTGCCGCCAGGCCTTTTGTTAGCCGTCATGGCAACTACTCAAGGGTCTTCTCCTTGGACCAATGAGTCCGCCGGTCCAACTTACGCTCCTGGGACTTCACAATCACCTCAGCTAGCGATGCTCGATTTATTCTTCCCGGGCTTCTCTGTCGTCGCCGGCGCGGTACAGAAGTACCTTCGCATCGATCTTAACTTATATATCCCACTAGTGCTTATTGTAGGCGCCTTAACACTTGTATGGAATTATATGAGTTCATACTTGTGGGAGCAAGTTGAATCCCATCTTATGTCTGTCGTCGACATCCGAACCGATGACGAGATCTACAATATCCTTATGGCCTGGGTGGCTAAGCAGAGATTCTCGCGGAGTGCCCGGCGATTCGTAGTGAACACTAACTTAAACTCCCGAAGCTGGTTTTTGTGGTACGATTACGACGACGATGAGGATGAAGAAGGCATTGACGAAATAACAAATTCACGAAAGAAGAAAGGCTTGGCATACACGCCTTCTTTTGGTAGCCACTACTTCTGGTATCGCGGTCGCCTCCTTCTATTCCGCAGGACAGCAAACAGAGAACAGAACTCGTTCATGCTTGTTAGCGAACGTGAGGAGATATCAATTTCATGCTTCGGCCGAAGTCCCTGGATTCTGAAAGACCTTCTCCTGGAGGCTCGCCAACTATACCTGCAGAAGGATGAACGAAAGACCCAGATCTACCGCGGAACGCTTAAGCCAGGATCTACCGAACCAAACTGGCAGAGGTGTATGTCTCGTGCCTCTCGTCCCTTTTCGACAGTGATCCTGAACGAAAAGACGAAGCAAGACCTTATTGATGATGTTACCGACTATCTCCATCCCGCAACGCAGCGTTGGTACGCAAATAGAGGTATCCCATACCGCCGTGGCTACTTGCTGTACGGCCCCCCTGGCACGGGAAAGAGCTCGCTCAGCCTCGCCCTAGCCGGCTTTTTCAAGATGAGGATTTACATCGTCAGTCTAAGCTCTATCACAGCAAACGAGGAGAGTCTTGCGTCTCTGTTTGCTGAGCTTCCCCGTCGCTGTGTTGTACTCCTCGAGGATATCGACACGGCAGGTCTTACTCATACCCGTGAGGAAAACCAGAACCAGTCTAAGGATGATTCGGATGATATGGTCCCCGGTCAACTTACTACGGGAAATACAAACACTAGCAATGGTAGACTCTCCTTATCGGGACTGCTCAACATCCTGGATGGTGTGGCGTCTCAGGAAGGCCGTGTGTTGATTATGACCACCAACCACCTCGAAAAGTTGGATAAGGCATTAATCCGCCCTGGACGTGTTGATATGATAGTGAGGTTTGGTCTAGCAGACGAAGGGATGACTGCAGCCATTTTCCGCGCCATCTTTGCACGTTTAGATGGTGACGAGGCTCCTGAAAACACCACGGACGCACCTCTCCATCCAGAGGAAAGAGAAAAACAAGAAGCAGAGAAGGCCAAGGAGCGAGCGGATGATGATACTCGTGTGAATGCCCTGGCAGAAGAATTTTCTGCCAAAATGCCGTCACACGAATTCAGTCCAGCAGAAATCCAAGGGTATTTGATGAAGTATAAGCGTAACGCTCAAGAAGCTATTGCAAACATAGACGAATTCATCACGCAGACTCGGAAAGATCGCAAGGACAAGGAATTAAAGGAAGCCGAAGAGAAGCGGAAAGCAGAAGCGAAAGCGAAGGAAGAAAAGGAAGAAAGAAAAAGAAAAGAAGGAGAAGGAGGCAGAGGAGGCGAAAAAGAAGGAGAGTGAGAAGACGATAGACTCGGCAACTACTTCAACCTCGTCCGAAACAGCCGATAAGAAGGAGGTGGTACAGGGAGAATCAAAAGATGATAAACCTTTGGTTGAGAAGAAACCAGAGGTGAAAGCTGAGAAAGAACAAGGTCACGAGAGACATGATTCCGGCTATGCAACGCCGTCAAGCGCCGAGCCGTGATAATAGTGTACAGTGGGTCGAAAAAATAAACGTCAAATGGGTATATAATCAAAGGTATACAAATTTAAAACTTATATATTTATTTTAATTAAATTAATAAAAATATAAGCTTTATATAATAAAATATATTAGTTAATATAGTAAATTAATACATTTTTGTCATAAGTTTTAAATGAACATAAGTGTATAAAATAAAAATTAAAAAAAAATAATTTAAATAAAAAATATTTAAATTAAATATAATTAATTGTAATTAAACTTAATTAAAATAAAAAATATTTACATAATTATTTTAATTTAAAACGGTTTTTAATATAATTTTTATATAATTATAACTTATATGGTTATTATAATAACTTTATTTTTTAATTATTCTTTTAAAAAAATGGTATATTAAAATGATTTTACATACAAAATCGACATTTTTTAAAAAACCTTTATTTTAATATTTTTAATTATTTCAATAAAATTTTTAAAATAAATTTAAATAGGTTATTTAATGTGTTTTATATTCATTTAATTTATTTAATTTTAATATTAATTATTATAATACATATTTAATTAATATAAATATGTAAACATAGTGACTTTTGGTGTAAAAAAGCCATTTGACGTTTATTTTTTCGAGTCACTGTATATATCTTATTAAATCTTGGAGTAGCGTTTCATAGGAGGCATAGCGGTTGAACTACACTTAGATAATGTATAAGTAAAACAATTGAGTTGGTCTTATACAATGTTGAGCTAAAGTCCAACGTTGTGGTACTGTAAGGGAAAATCCAAACGATGAAGAAAGTGGCCTGATGTGTTACACTGATAAGTTATAGATGCTGATCTATTATGCCTATTTGTTGGTCAGTCGACGTATTGATTCGTAAGCTAAACGATGGAAGACGGGTTATTTGTATGTTGGCCTGTATGTTGGAAGCTATATATGTACTACAGATGTAGGGATATTATGTTAGGAGGTAGGGAGTAATAATTGTATAAATTAGGTAGATAGTGAAGAAAAAAAAAGATAGCTAATTCCGAGCCATGTGGCTAACCCAGATTGCTACTACCTAAATAGGTAGTTTCCGAGTAAGTCTGCAACTAGACATGTAGTAATCGTATCATGGAAAGAACCAAGCCACGCCGTCATTTAGCTTGAAGCTAAGCAGATCGTGCCTGAGTTATCTGCCAATTACGTTCACCACACTTCACCACTTTTGGTTACACTGAATTGCCCTTCGAAAACAAATCACTCGCGAAACCGTACACTACGTACACTACTACAGCAGGGAGAAATTTACAAGTCACGAAGGATGGCGGAATGAGCGCCTAATAGCCACGATTGTTCATGTGAAGAGAAAACCAATGAAGCTATTACTTATTATGGTATGTTAACTAGGTACCTAGGTAGTTATAGATATGGTAAGTTACTCGAGTTCCCAATACATGTTAGACTATGCAACATGAAACCAATATAAACTTTATCTATGCACAAGACATGTTAGACGACGTTACACCTTTGCGCCTGAACTTTAGGCTACTGTGTACAACACAGACCTATTTATCGATGCTGCAGATTTTTAAAGTGGCGTACTTAAGCCTATATATTGCGGAAGGTATAACCTATCAATTAAGCTTTGTGTAACTTCACTTGAGATCTTTGACTTATAGAAAGCTTTACGTGTCGTAGACCTTGATAGAATCATGATGCTAGCTGCATAGGAAGGTACATATGCACTCCAAAGTGAGATATATTATTTATAAAAATTTACACCTGTAGAGCCTCGATATCGGAGGTAGTAAAACTAGGACCTTTTTTCTTTTCTTTTTTTTTTCTCTTTACGCGCGCGCGTTCTTTAAACTTAACCATGACTAAAAGTAAATAAATTGAAAAACTATGTACAAGTGCATACGCGTAGGGTTAGGAGCTACTTAAGTAATTGCCAATTGTACTTCGTACATTAAACTTAAAATCTGGTGGGGCATAGGTACCTGCCAACAAGTAAACTAAACTAATCAGATAAGGTATTAGTTCACATCATTTCTCTCCCCTTTCCTGCCCTTTCCCGTCCTTCAAAATATCAACAGGTTTTTTTTTTTGTTGGCCGTCTTCACAATTTCGGTTCGTCCCATCTCATCCGTTCATTTCTCCTTTTTCGCTTAAAAGAGGTAGACGCATACGACCCGTGTTGTGCCATCAGCTCGTGGCAAGCATCCTCATAATACCACATTAATACTGCAGATAAGACCTGATAGGTGAGTTCAATTAACAGAACCAGCAAAACCAGTCAAAAACCCCTGGCGGTTTACAACACCTCTTACCAGATTCCCCCACTTGGATCGGCACACATGCAATTCCAGACTGGGCGTCGCAAACAAATGCTCGGGTCTGCCCCTGTCTACTTGCATTGGGTTCCATTGCCAAATTGGCGGTGAATCCAGCCTTCCGAATTCAAACCCTGCCACATGCTTGTGCTTGTGCTAATAACACTACCCGCTTCCCACAGATAGATATACAATTTGTTTGGCATCGAATATTTTCCCTGCTGCCAAAACAACTTTCTTCACAGCCCTACCACCACGAATACCCATTGTTGTTTGAAACCATGGCCTCCCGTCCTCAGAACATTGGCATTAAGGCCATCGAGCTTTACTTCCCTAGCCAGGTAAGATATTCTATCACTAAAGCCAATATTGTCCTTCCCCTCCGACATCGCACGACACACCAATGGACCCTGAATAGAGCCCCTTACTGACACTCGTACCCCTCAGTATGTCGAACAATCCGAGCTCGAGAAGTTCGATGGTGTTAGCACTGGCAAATACACTATTGGTCTTGGTCAGACCAAGATGACCTTCTGCGATGACCGAGAAGGTTAGTTATTGTGCCATTGCTAGATCCAAGCGACTCTCGCACGTGTGCTAAGATGGCCACTTATAGACATCTACTCCATGGCCTTGACTGCCACCTCCAAGCTGTTGAAGAATTACAGCATCGACCCTAACTCCATTGGCCGTCTCGAGGTCGGTACCGAGACCATCCTCGACAAGTCCAAGTCCGTCAAGTCTGTCTTGATGCAGCTGTTCGGCGAAAACACCAACATTGAGGGTGTCGACACCTTGAATGCTTGCTATGGTGGTACAAACGCTTTCTTCAATACTGTTAACTGGATGGAATCTTCCGCCTGGGACGGAAGAGACGCAATCGTCGTAGCCGGTGACATTGCCCTTTATGCCAAGGGTAATGCCAGGCCGACTGGTGGTGCTGGTTGCATTGCTCTGCTGGTCGGCCCTGACGCTCCCATCGTCGTTGATGCCGGTCTGCGTGGAACATACATGCAGCACGTGTATGATTTCTACAAGCCTGACCTTACTAGCGAGTACCCCTATGTCGATGGCCACTACTCGGTCAACTGCTACACCGAAGCTCTTGACGCTGCCTACCGAGCGTATTGCAAGCGCGAGACTCAGCTGAAGAACGCAGCAAACGGTCATGCCAACGGAAATGGTGCCGCCGCCGCCGACGGTACCAAGACTGCCCTAGACCGTTTCGACTACGTAGCTTTCCACTCTCCGACGTGCAAGGTCGTCCAGAAGTCCTACGCACGTCTCTTATACCACGACTACCTCGCAGACCCTGATAGCCCAGCCTTTGCCGAGGTCCCTGGCGACATCCGGGATATGGACTACAACAAGTCCTTGTCCGACAAGGTGGTTGAGAAGACCTTCATGGCTCTCACCAAGAAGCGCTTCAACGAGCGCGTCTCACCCTCCATCCAAGTATCCACCAACTGTGGTAACATGTACACTGCCAGCTTGTGGGGTGGCCTTGCTAGTCTTATCTCTTACATCGATAGCGCCACTCTTCAAGGAAAGCGTATCGGACTGTTCAGCTACGGCTCTGGTTTGGCTGCCAGTTTCCTCTCGGTGCGCGTCAATGGAAACACAGAACATATTGCAAAGGTTCTGGATATCCAGAACAAGCTGGCTGCGAGGCGGGCTGTTCCTCCCGAGACATACGAAGCTGTAAGTTGCAAGCTATCCAATTTTGATGACATTCAAACTAACAATTTTCAGTTCTGCGAGTTGCGCCACAAGGCTCACCTACAGAAGAACTATACCCCTCAAGGTGACGTGTCAACTCTAGCTGGTACTTACTACCTAGAGAAGGTCGACGACATGTTCAAGCGAACCTACGCGATCAAGGCATAAATAAGAAAGAAAAAAACCTAATAAATGCGATTTACATCCTATATAGACAGGTATTAATGAGCCGGGATACTACCTAGACTAGTATGGTTGGCAATTCCTAGAGTCGAAGCTTATGGCACGAAGATCATGCATACTGCATGAGAGCCGGTTGTGAGATAAGAGGGCTACTAATAGGGTTGGGTGATGATTGATGAATACCCGACTTGTACATACTAGGAATGATTCCTGCGATGACTCGCTCAAAGAGCTTAATGAAGATGCTGATAGAGAGTCGAATAGTTACTGTTTTTTAAATGTGTTGTAGTTGGTGATATGATTCAGTAATATGCTATTTTTAATGTGCTGTGTCTCGATTCTGATTTACATGTCTTATCGTTGAATTTCTAAGACAACTAGTCCCTACTTGCTTGATAATGTTGGAATACACGTAGTCTCGAAGCAGTAGTTATAACACCAAAACATATAGTTTGCGTTCAGTTGGATTGACTCATTCAAATCGTGAATAATAGGGAAAAACACATGTATAGTAAGTCTGATCCTACATTATTGTCGGAACGAGAAGGTTACCTAGGTAGATCGACCGGCAAGGTCTTTCACGACAATAGCTTCCGATATCTGAATCAAATAGCTTGCCTATCTACTCTATACTCATGGCAATGACCAAAGGTACCTAATATATGCTGTACGCCCCTAATAGTATAAGTCCAATAGTAGGAAGCATATCCACTACTCCCTCCCACACTACGTCGACTTTGCCTTCCCCGTCTTAGCCTCGCCGGCTTCTCCCGTCCACTTCCACGTCGCCCGTCGATGCAGCAAGTAGTCTTTGCTCTGGATCGCCTTCCAGATCCCCCAGAGCCCACCGATCGGCCACAGGGCTTTGAGCCAGGGCTTCCACCCCCGCAGCACCGCGTCGTCGTTGTCGACTTTCACGCTGACTTTGTCGTAGACGTTGGGGAGACTCGTAGCGAGGTATTTCTGCCGTAGCGCCTCGTATTGCTTCTGCTGGGCGGACCCGTAGACGCGCCAGAATTCGGATGGCGGGTAGTACGTGTGTGCGTACAGCCACTTGGTGCCGCCGAGCTCGTCGATGCGGCGCTCCAGGGCGCGGTTCGCCCGGATGAACAAGTTGCGGTCTGAGGGGCCCCAGCCCCAGACGCCGATGTTGAGCATTTCGCCGTGTGCCGCTTTTTCTTTCCCTTTCCCTCCGTCTCGTAGGTGGGGGTGGAAACTCGGGCCGGAAGGCGTCTTTAGCGGACACAGCCATAGCGGCCAAATGGCTAGCTCGTCCGACACGTAGTTGATGAAGGGCTCGGCGGACTCGTACGGCATGCCGACGTCTTGCACGATGAAGCGCGCGCTTTCGCCGCTGCCGTGGAGTGCGCGGTACAGCATCCGCGTGTGCATGAAGTCGTCTAGGAACCACCGGAAGAACCGGTTGAAGGGCACAGGATTGAAGAAATCGAAGGCAGCTTTGCCAACCCAGAACCCACCACGGTCGTATCGGAAGAGGTATTCGGATAATGGGATATACTCGGTTACTGTGCTTTCGGATGAAGAGCTTTCGGGTGAGGAGGAGGAGGAGGATAAGGTCTTGGTGATATCCTGTACGTGCAAGTAAAACCACGGGTCCCGCGGGTGACTAAACGTCTGCACGCGCTCGTCCTCGGACGGCAAGTCATCCGTCATCTTCCCACTCACAATAACACCATGGTCTTTCGAGAACAAAATCCCATCGACGTAATCATTCCCCTTCTCAGCAGCACACCTCCCGAATCGCGCTAACCGCCTCCTCCACGCTACTCGTCCGTCTATACGTCGTGCGCACAAACTTCTTAGCCTCGATAAGATTCAACTCCAACAACGTCGTCGTCCCCAACGTCCCCAGCGCGCCGGCCGCCCCCCGGAATAAATCCTCGTACTCGTCCCCCTTGTCCGGACGCGCGGTAACGACCTCCCCGTCCGGGAGAACCATCTCCACGGACCGGACCGTCTCGTCAAAGTACCCGTGGCGGAAACTACTGCTCTCGCCGGCGGTGCCCGCGAACCCGCCCCCGCGGTGATTCCCGGGAACTCCATGACGATGGGAGGCACGAGGCCGTGCGGCAGCGTGGACTCGACGAGCCGGTCCATGGGGACGTTTGGCTCTACCAAGGCGGTGCGCGCGGCCGCGTCTACCGAGAGGACATTGCGTAGGCCGCTGATGTCGACGACGCGAACGCCGGCTTTTTGGTGCGGCGGCCGCGTCGAGTTCGTGCTGCCGTGCCAGATGCGGTACGGCTCCGACCGCTCGAACAACGAGCGCACTGTTGCGGAGACTAGGCGCACGGCTTGTCGGTGGTGTTCCATTGGGGAAGAGTTATGGAAAGTGGACGACCTCCTATTTTAGGTGTTGATATGTGTAGGTAGGTACCCGAGTAGTAAAGACTTTAAGCTGACTTTACATATATACCTATCTAAAGTTGACTTTGTATATAGGTATCTAACTATATGTAGGTAAAACCGGGTTTTGTACCTATAAGGTATGAGTTGAGCGAGCGTACGTGTATGGTACAACATGAAGGAACTACAACTCCGAGGGATGATGGTTAGTAGGGCCTTTCACTCCTCTACATTGGATATCTACCTATGCAATATCTTACAGATGAGGAAACACCCTCCTGCTGTGGTGGTTATTTCGTGACTTGTATGTAGGAAGATAAGTAGATTTATGGATTTTGCCTTTGATAGGTTAGGTAAATGTGAGTACAGTATCTCTCTTAAAGATTTGGCTGAAACGTATTGCGGGTCGGTGTGGAAGGCAGCTACCTAGTGTACCGTAGCGGCAGTATATGGGTTTTAGGAAGGATTCCATACATAGATTATTATATTACCCATAATAAAGGTTAAAATGGGTAATATTATATTTTATAAAATTATAATTTTTTTATAAAAAATTATTCTTTTTTTAGGAATGATTCTTAGGAATTAAAAGCTTTAATTAGTTGAAATAAGTGGGATTTAGGTTATGTAACCCTAAAAAACCTTAAAAATCAAAAAGCTAAAATGTTTGGGACTCGAACCTTAAGCTTTTAACCCCATTATATACCCTATTAATACGGGAGTGTTTTAATTAAGTTAATAGCTTTAATAGGTGGCCAATCTTTTAATACTATTAAAAGTTTACCTGTTTTTAAACTTTATTATTTATACTTTCATTTTTTTAATATTATAATAATATTTTATTTAATTAAGATTTTAATTTCCGTACAAAAAAGGATATCTTATATAAAAATCATTTCACCCCTTAAATATTATATTTTAAAACCACATTTTGCCGGTATAATAAATACCGTAACGGTAATGTATGGGTTTTAAAAAAGATTCCATGCGTAAATTATTTATTACTTATAATAAAAGTTAAAATAAATAATATTATATTTTATAAAATTATAATTCTTTTATAAAAAATTATTCTTTTCCCAAAAATAATTCCTAAAAATTAAAAGTTTTGATTGGTTGAAATAAGTGGGATTTAGGTTATATAACCCCGAAAAACTTTAAAAATTAAAAAAGTTAAAATGTTTGGGACTCGAACCCCAAGCTTTTAACCTCATTATATACTTTATTAATGTAAAAATGTTTTAATTAAACTAACAGTTTTAATAGGTGGCCAATCTTTTAGTACTATTAAAAATTTACCTATTTTTAAACTTTATTACCTATACTTTTATTTTTTTAATATTATAATAATATTTTATTTAATTAAGATTTTAATTCCCGTATAAAAAAGGATATCCTATACAAAAATCATTCCACCCCCCAAATATCATATCTCAAAACCACATTTTGCCGGTATGGTATGTACTGAATATCGTCCCTCGGCGTTATAGATGTAGCATCTCACAGAGGTTATGTACTTGAGCTATAAATCTTTTATGGAAAGGTACATTAGATGCTTACTTAGGTACCCAGGCACCTGCACAACTAGTACCCACTTATCAGCTTGTGTTACCACATGTAGGTACGGAAACTTAAAGTAACGTAAGCAGGGTTGTGTTGTGTACCTGAATGCTTAGGCGCGATCCGAACCGCTTCGGTGCTATATCCGCTGGGTTGGGGGAGTTAGTCAGCTTTTATCATTGTTACATTTCACGTTATCTTCCAGAAATAATGTTTGTTTGAAAATCTTACTAACTATTAGGTATGTACCTACTTCCAAGACAGATTATGTAGTAACTAGCTAGTTAATTGTAAATATACAAGAGAATTCTATCGTTGTGTTCTTGATATTTCAGTCTTCAAAATAAGACCTAGTTATCCCTATCTATAACAATAAAGAAATACGTACACCGAATAACATTATGTATCTCCATTCATTCCCATTTATACTCAAGACGTAAAAAAAACATACACATCGTCTACAGCCCTCCTCATTATAAATAAAGCCGAGAGCTCATAACTTTGATGGCACATCAGGAGCCGGCGCAACAGGTGTTTCTTGTACCGAAATCCTCTGTCGAGCCAGCTCCCTTACTTCCTCGTCGCTATGCGGGGTCAGCTTGTCCACATTTATTTCCAGTTCCTCTAGAGTCTTCGCCTTGATTGCCGTATAAGACGGCTTGATGTTCTTCGGGTCTTTGCACACAGCCTTGACGAAATTCGCGTAGCCTTCTCGGTTGCGCTGCGACTCGGGAAGCTTGGGTAGAAGCTCCTCGAACACGTGCGGCATCGCTTGGTACTCCTCAAACACCACCGTTACGCCATCCCTGGCGAGCTTCGACGCGAAATACTTGATCTCGTCTTCGAGGCTCTCCCAGCCGCAGGATATATACATGGGCGGGGCGCCCTCCCAGGTGTCGTTATCCATTTGTAAGCTAGCCAACGGGTGAAGTATATAGTCATCGTCGACGTAAACGTGTTTTCGGGGTGGATCAGTCGGCCATATGCTATCCGCCGGCGGTTTGTGTTCTTCCGAGAGGAGCCTTGGGGGAGGAAGATAGCACCATTTTTGGTTCCTAGTCAACGAAGGTAGACTCTGCACCATGTCTATCCATGGGGACATGCTAGCAAGACCAGCGGGTAGGGGCACTTCTCGCTCCTCGCCAAACCAATGGATCTTGCGGTTCTGGCGGCGGATCTCCAACAGCGTTCGGAGGAGTGCTAGAGCGAGGTTGCCGCCCGCGCTATCACCGCCAAATACAATGTCACCGGGAGCAACAGCTTCGTGTATCGAACCAGGAGGCGGGTAGAGGAGGGTAAAATAAGAGACGAGGGCATCCAATAGCGCGGCTGGAAACGGGTCTTGCGGTGCAAGTCGATACCTGACCGAATACGCGCGACCACCTGTCAGTTTGGTCAACCGCTTCATCAGCAACCTATGTGTCGACGGATCGCACAGATAGTAAGCCCCACCATGGAAGTACAAGATCGTCGTTGAATTCTTGCACTCCTTCATCATTTCGCGGTACTTTTGCTCCTCCGAGATCTCCGGGAGTTTCGAGTTCTTAGATGCGGCAGCTCTATATCCCGTCCATTCGGCCTCGACGGGAACAAGCTCCGGTATCTTGAACGACGGCTTCGTACCTCTTGCGCCAGGCTCGTTCAAAGCGTCGATGACCGCTAACAGGGCGTCCCGGATTCCTCGCTCGGGAGGGGGCTCAGATGCCACCGTGCTAACCCACAATCTGCCCTTGACGCCAGGGTCCTTCAAGGTCATGGCCTGGACCTCGGAAAGAGGTCTCGATTTTGATGGGTTAATCAACGACCGTATTAGCGCGACGGTCACATTGCTCTTTAAGTCCCGATACCGAGAAGTCTCGGACCCGCCGATGACATGTAACAGAATGACCTTAACGATCAAGGGAAGTTTTGGCAGGATGGCCCAGAGCAGCTCAAGCTGCCCACCAGGAGCCTTTTTCTTCTTGTCGACGGTAGAGACGGTAGATTCAGACATGGCGACGTCAGTAACCTAGATAGACCGTTCGTGGCGCTAAAAAGTATACGCGCGAGGAAAAATAGCTTTCAATACCCAGACCGTTAGGTAGTCCACGGCGGGAAATAAGAATTTATTTTCCAATTGCTCCTACGTGGCGTAAAAGGAGAATAGAATATACGGTGACGATATGTATTATATAAGACTGACCGACAAACATAGGTATGTGTATAAATCTCATATATAATGGATGACAATTCAATTCCCCCTTATATTTTTTTATGAACCCCTGTAAGTTGGTAGCTGATAATTTATATACATACCACTACCTACATAGGTCCATATGGATGTATGCCAACTCCCCTGCCGCTGACTCCGAATGAAACAATAGAACGCTGCAAGCGAAAGGTAAGCCTCGGCACCCCGAGAGACATGTACCATGTACACATTATGTGCGGGTACATCTAAATCGCCACTCTGTTATTGCCGATAGCGTTCTCCAAGACTCGGGTTTTAGTTGAATAGGGGGTAATCATTAAATATTTTCAACTAATTACTTTGCTGCTTTCATACTAAGTAAGTGAGTTCAGATTTAATAATATTTAAATAGGTTAAATACTTTTAACTGTAAAGGATTGCCTTATGGAAGAAAAGACTTCTTACTATACATATGTAGGTAACTACACCCATTTTTAAGTGACAAGCTTCTTACCGCCGGAAGACTAACATAGCGTCCTCCACTCAACGGGAACATGCAGTGTTACATTTACAGCATACCTAACTAAAGGAACACGTAAAGCGAACAATTAGACAATTTACGGCATTATAGAATCAGGTTCATTTATCCATCGAGGTCCTTAAACATACACATTTTGTCCGAAGACTCATCATGTAAAACTGCCCTATTACATCAACCAAGGCCTCGTCCTCGTTGAAATATACTGGCTTAACCCGAGAAAATGCCTTTCCTTTTTTAACTAAAAGAATCCCTAATCACAAAACAACGCCAAACAAGTGATGATTAAGTATATCTATATATGTAATTAAGAGCTAGTGCTAGGTCCAGCTTCGTTCTGCGAACCGCTCGCAGCGGCGTCCGACTTGCTCGCTGCTAGCTGCCACGCGGGAATCGATGCCTTTGTAGGAGGCATTCCGCTTGCGAAGGGAGACGTTCGCGTCGAGAAGAAGTCCTGCCTAGTGCCGTTACTCTGAGGCGAGTTCTCGTCTCGTACTGCCTGCTTCGCGTTGCTGAGATCCTTTGCTAGCATATCAACACCAGGGCTCGAGGCACCGCTAGCAGTAGGGGGCGCAACGGTGTTGACAGTCGGCTTAAGGAAGCCGTTTGTGTTGACAGAGGGCGGGGCCGGGCTAGTGCTGCTGGAATTACTCATTCGCTGGCTGATGAGAGACTTCAGACTCCTGACTTCGGTGGTGATCTCCTTTAATCGGTTGTCTGTGAATTCCTTATTCGCAGTCATAGAACTGGGGATGATCCCCTTTAAGGCCTTCATTTCCTCGCGTAGTCGGTCCGTCTCGTCTTCGTGTCGTCGGCTAGCAGATTTCGTGTCTCGCATGAATATGTCTAACTCATCTAGCACCTTGTCGAGCTTATCAGTGCGCTCTCTTTCTGAGGCCTTTAGCTCCTCTGTGTCCTTCGATAGTTGTTCGAGCGTCGCGAAGGCCTTCTCGAATTGTTCGTCCACCATCGACTTATCTTGTTCTAATTTCTCCGGTGTCGGAGGCGAGACTAGGGGGTAAAGGTAACGCTGCCATCGAGATTAGTATATCGAAGATTTATTTATGCCTGAGCTGAAGTAATCATGCCATACCTTGGAAACAGTATATAATCCGTAACTAACTCCGCCCACCACAGTGGCCATAATAAACCAATCTCGCCAATCTCTCTTAGGGACATCTGGTGGCGCTTGCCATCCGTAAGGCTGCGTCTGGTATTGGCCATAGTATGGCTGGCTTTGGGCGGGAGCGGAGGGCGCTGGTGATGGCGATGGTGATGGTGAGGATGAAGCGGGAACAGGAACTATCGATGAACCGCTCCTTGCGAAAGCGATATCGATTTCCTCTTGCGTTAAATTCTTTGATCGCAAGAAAGATAGCTTGTTCTCGATGGGGGAAGAAACCACGTTAGGATCTTGTAAGACTACATTAATTGAACATAATTTATTAGCTATGCTTCTCTGGCTCCCTATTCAAAACATCAAATAATTCAAGTGGTTGGGTTAGTTAATACTTACAATTGACCGCAGAGGCCACGACGTCCTCCCGGATTGCCATAATTAAAGTATCGAATATCAAGGAATATTCATGGCAAGTGGTTGATGACAATTAAGAAAAGCTGTCGTGTGTGCGAAGCATTACTGTAGATGGTAAGAATTGTCGAGTTGTCGCGTTGAGGCTGGAGACAAAACAACCCAATGACGAACCCCGGCTTATCCATTAAAATGAACCGAGGCAAGCGGCTTATTCGATAAGCAACTATCCCCTTGGCTGGCATAAAACAGCAACTCCATAACTTTCAGTATTAATACATACGGATTGGCTAGAAAGAAAGAAACGCTCGTGCGGTACTAAACCAACCAATAATATTTGCGGGTTGCGGTTTTAGAGACCAATCATAAGACCTTTTTCTATTATGTTAATGAATGACGTTAAGCCTTATGTACTAATACTGAAAGTTATGGAGTTGCTGTCTTATGCCAGCCAAGGGGATATGTGATTGCTCAAGTACCTAAATTATCACGTGCCGAGCTGACTCATACATATTCCGTACAGTGATGTTAAAAGAGTTGAAACCAAAATAATTAACCATGATCAACTCATATATTTTATATAAAATCTAATTGAAGTTCAAATACAAATATCAATTAGACTCGTCATGTTATTAATGGAAATTGTGAACCCGTTTGTTTTCCTCTGCTATTATTGCAAGCTTTAGTCAATGACTTGCCTATGTGGCCGCAACATAAGTGGGTTCGAATCCTACTGTGGTCAAACCAGAAATGGTCCGACTTAGGTTTTTCCTTGGGCACTGCTGGGCGTTGAGGGTGATTCCATCTCCGTTATAAGAAGGCGTATTCGACGGTTTTCCCCCTGGTTAAAGTCGGCTACCTGGCACCGGCGCTAACCAGGTAGAGTAATGTTGTAGACAGGTAGGGGTTGGGGATGTTATAGGTGCGTAGCTGTAGTTACTTAGCTTAGTTATAGTAACTACCTAGTTATACATATAAACATTAACGTTTTCATCATCATTTAGTCAATGACTAACAAAAATGCTCCATCCCATTAAAGCCTTTACGAGCGAGTTTCTAAACAGCATATCTCAAGCACCGATTAGTTCTAAAGACGCGGAGGATATAATCGTCCTACCAAAATATTGGAATTGGTTAAGTAACTTAGAAGGACTCTGGGACCGGCGAGAAGTCTGCCCACAATGTGGGTGGGATGGTAATCCCGAACATCTACTTAAAGTCCCAACACCTCGGGATGAACCAAATATCATATTCAGTCAGCCCGAGGAATCACATTGTATCTGTTGCAAGATAATTGACCGTTTGTTTGAACAACAGCAAGATCGGGATCGGGATCGATGGACTATATCTCTATGGACAAATCAGGACAAACCCTGTGTTCTTCTACAAGATACCTTTATGGAAGAAGATGATGTTGAGTGGAACTTTTTCCTCGCGCATTCAGAACGGATAAGTCTATCAGGATACCCAAGGGTTCTCTTGTCTCCGGCAATACTGCATCAGAAGCCGCCTGTGAATGGGCAAAACACCAGTTATCAGCCTGCTCGAGATATCACCAACGTTGCCGCACGCAGGATAGCTCATTTCTTCCCACGCGACTCATGTCTATCGCCGGTAGTAACGACGATGTAAGGCTGATAGAAAACTCCGAAGTACCTCATGGTTCGCATTATTGTAGCTCTCAGCCACTGCTGGGGCTTAAAGCTACCCGAGTGTCTGACTACAAAGGGAAATTTCTTGGATCAGAAGGAAAATGTTCCTTGGAGTACGCTTCCAAAGAGCTTTCAAGAAGCTATCTCGTTTACGCGCAAACTTGGTATAGGCTATATATGGATTGACTCACTATGTATCATTCAAAGGGACCCCGAGGATTGGTTACGGGAGGCTGGCCGAATGTTCCATGTTTATCAGAATGCGTTCTTGACAATTGCCGCATCTCATGCCGAGGACAGTTCCAAGGGGCTCTTCTCCAGCCTGAGCCCTGAACAACAGCTACAATTGGGTAAAATTCGGCATGGTACTGAGGAGTACCAGTTATATGCGCAGCAGTCTTTTCCGGAGATCACCAATCTATACTTAAATCATCGGACTGAGCCCCTTTTTAAGCGAGCTTGGACATTCCAAGAAAGATTAGTCTCTCCTCGAATTCTATATTTCACAAAACACGAGTTGATATGGGAATGTTATTCAACATCCGTCTGTGAGTGCGGGTTCCACGGTGATGGACCGTATAATCCGACAAGTTTGAAGATGCTACATGTCAACGGCTTAATGAACAATACATCTCTTTCACAGCAAATCCCCACCAACTATAACGAATATATTAAAAATGTCATAGGGCTTACCAAGAAAAATAAGCTCTCGGAGGATGATACTGGGAAGACATGGCGTAGAATTGTTCAATTTTACTCGGACCTGCAACTTACCAACCAAACCGATAGACTTCTAGCGATCGGGGCCATTGCAGAGCAGACTCAAGCCGTGCGCCAGGACAAAACATATCTTGCTGGACTTTGGCATGAATCGCTTGGGCTGGACTTGCTGTGGGCTCGCAAGCGTAAACCAAAACCCCAGCAACGTTCAGAATACTATACCGCCCCTACCTGGTCGTGGGCCTCCATCCCTGGTCCAGTTGCTTACGACTCTACAGCACCGCTTAAGCCACATATCAAAGTAATAGACGCAAGCTGTGAGTACACGGACGGAAATCAATTTGGACAAGCTACTGGAGGGCGGCTAATACTACGCGGAGAATCCATTACGTGTACGCTTTGCAAGTCCTCTCAAGAATCCCCGGAGAATTACCGTATTTTGCATCCCGAGCTAGCAGTTGATATTGAAGTCAATGTGGATTGCGAGCCCTTTCTACAGACAGAGGAGCAAATGACCGTGCTTATGTTGCGCATAGCCGATACGTGCGAGTTTCCAGCACCAATTAGCATTGTACTCAAGGAGGACAGGGGGGTAGATGATGAGGTATTCTATACTCGCTTAGGGCTTGCATCACCGCCTGGGGCCACTATCGAGGGGCAAGAGGAACGTCGGAAGCTTATGGATTGGTTCAACAGTTGCAGCGAAATTCGAACATGCATTATCATTTAACTCGACGCTACCATTAGAGCCAGGAGTATAATTACAATCGCCGAAGTCAAAAGAAATTGGAAGATATGTTGAGTCGTTCCTACATAGCGCGTTGGGTCCTTTTGGATACTATCACCGATATCCTAGGATGGCTTGGAGTTAGTTAAATTAGGGGTTAGGCGGCCCGTTCCTCAAGGTTAAGCATCGCGTAGATGTCAGGATTCTAGATGTTTCATCTAGAGCAAGGAACAGGTTTAGTATGTTATAGACTTAGAGCCTCTTAGATGGTCAGAGTTCCTTGAGAGACAACAAAGTTGTTTCCATGCTGTTTGGTTCCACCTCGTGGCAGTAGAAGACATCCGTTAAGATTAATGGGAACTATATATCAAGCTCGGATTTACCGAAACCGGCATCTTTTTACTTAAGGATGAGAGCTGCTTTGACGTCGCTTAGTTCCTCGCCCATATCGTCTTGTTTTCGATACCAAAGCGTTATGCTATACCACTAGTTAATCCTATTGTGTGCGTGGATATTAAGTTTCTACCCTGCTTGCTTATAATTTGACAACAGCCAACGCGCTCATAATTATTCGCTGTGTCCTTAATGCTCTTAGACTACATTTTCATAAACATATGGTAGACTGACATACTGAGCTCTCGTTTTTAGTTTTGCCACCGTGTATATGAGGGGTGTGAATACGACTAGGTTAATAGCTATGAATCTAATTCATACAGGACAACTGGTTTGCATACGGACAGCCCTTATATTCCAAGTACCTGGTGAATAGTCTGGACTAGACTTCTAAGGATTATAGGTAAAATAGAGAAATAGCCTGCTCTTCATTATCTGGATACGCAGTTACTTAAATATTTTAAACTGTTCACCTTTGACATTTTCTTAACTAGGCGCACCGAGTACTACTTATTTATCTATTATTACCACTTATTCCTCAGAGGAATCAGATTCATCAATTGAGTGCAGGGGTACTTGCAAATAGTCTTTACTAGTACTATTTAAGTTGTCGAAAAAATAAATATATTTTGCGAGCGGACATCTAGCCGCCGATGACAAATCTTATGAAGCATTGACATCCTATAGGTGACGTGGCGTATATCTTAAACTTACATTATCATGTTATAGGTTTATAATGTTTATTCAGTTTGTATTAGTCCCTTAGTCACTAGTTGTGCTTACATGTTGAGGTAACTTTATAGAATCTTCGAAATATCGGATGATTGTTTACTTTGATGACGACCTGAGTAGGGATACGTACTCACTACGTAGCTAGAAGCAGCAAAATATTAATATATGCTCGGTGCTATAGATTTCAATAGTACCTAGTTTAGGTTGTATAAGTAGATAATCGCTGGCTTGTATACTCGAGCCTTAGGTAGTTAAACTACGTAACCATAGCGTTAATTCCTAACGAGGTAGATACCTATCATGTATATCGCCCCAGCTCCTTCTTTCCCGCAAAGATTCTTACCTGGTTGCCCAACAACCATAAAATCCTAGCCATGAACTAACCTAACACAATAAAACTTTCAGTTCTCTCAAGAGGCTGGAGCAACCTGCACTTACACCAAATAAACTATCAACATATGAAGAAAATTAAACTAGACACTATCGCGTCCGAACACCTCGTGTTTAAACTATAACGCCAACACGTTAAAAAAAAGCAAACTTTGACATTACGCTCAGTCAAAATGGCTCTTCAACAAAAAATATCCTGCTCAATTCCCAGGTATAAAACTACACGTGTTGAACTTGTTATCATCTCAAAATAATCTCCATCCTTTCTACAATACCATTCATCAATAACACTACCGTTACTACTTTCATACCCATACAACAAACATTCAAGTCACTAAACTATCTACCCAAGTTATAACACTTACTACTACAACAATACCTCTCCCCTATAATACCTATTCAAAATACTATATACTGGCCTCGTCTCTATCACAGGCCAGTCTTTTATCAACAACAACCTAAGCAATAAATCATATTACCACTACGAAGTCATCGTAAACATGCCTTCAACACCTTCTACCTCTAAGGGCGATAGCCGCAAGCGCAACTCGCCCAGACATCGTAACCCAGTTCCCAAGCAAGCAAATTCCAAGCGCGTCCAAATAACACACCAGCAAGAATTGGCGCTCAAATTCCACGATAAACCCAACGGAGCTAGGCTGGGACTGCACTGGGATTTTGTCCGAGGGAAGAATGTGGCTTATATAAAAGACCACTTCACCGGCGCTGTCCGACCAGCGATAATGAAGGACGACATGTACGACAACATGTCAAAAGAAAAGCTCGAAGAGCATCGCCGGTATCACCAACAAATGATCGAATCCTTACGGAACGAGGAGGAAAACAAGTCTTAAGCAAGCCTATAGTCGAGAAGGAACTTCCCACCGACTAATACGACAGGAAAGGCTTGAGGAGGAAGTTAAGATCGAAGAAGCGATCAATTGGCCAAAGTTAGAAGATTCGGCTGGCGGTGCAACCTAAACGGGCAACAAGAACTAGACGGATAATAAAATTTATACCTACGAGACAGGAAAAGAACGAGTCCCGCCATTCCGGTGGGCGGTAAAGGAACCGGATATTTAACGGAGGTGTCTCGCGATAAAGAGATGAGGAAATACCAAAGGGAAAGGGATCATCGGCGTCAGCTACGACGTCCGATGTATACGCTATGCAGGGGAAATGGGCGATACCATTGGCGACAAGCCAAACAACTACTACAAAATTACGGAACTTAACAATAAAGATAACGAGGAAGGTAAAAAAAGACGCCTTCAGCATCGCGGGAATTTTTATATCACGACAACCTAATCAAAAACGACCTTTATAGCTTCGGATTCCTTGCTGAAGATACCCTTAATAGACAAAAGCAACAACTCAATCGAAGCAAGCAAATAGAAGATAAACTCGGCACATTGTCGAAATTAGAGAGCATATTCGATAGGTTGATGAAGACTTTCGCAGACCTTAGCAATTGGTATATATACTCTACCGATACTTAACAGCCGCCTACCGCTTGGTCATATCGGCGTGCTTTATATCACGGAATAGAAATCAACAGATTCGATAGTGTTGTTGGACCGACGGATTATCGACTTCGGGCACACTGCAGAGGCATTTCTCACTCTTACAAATGCACTCGGGTCCGGCAACTTAATCGGTTTGAGTGCACTCAAAACTGGCCAATATCATCGTCGATTGTGTAACCCTAACAACTACGTACAACATATTTCCGAAATGGTTCACAATCAAAAGCATCACTTTGGCCCGAAAAGTGATGCTCACTCTTGCAGATGGCATCACGAACAACACTTTTAGCCCGAGACGAGGAAGTATAGTCCTGTCGCTTCCAGAAGTTAAAATGGAAGCCCTGGTGAATGGCTTTGTGGACGGACTCTAGGACCAAGACCTGTAGAAGGAATCTATTGATAATAATGTCGGAACTGCAAGTCCTTGTGAAGAGCGTATAATATTATTCGGAGCTACCACCGAATCCTGCAGTCTTGACTGAACACCAAATACCTACGAACAAGCCAGAAGGAAAAAGGCAAATGGATGCGAAAGACGAAAAAAATAAGGGGACACACGGAAGATAACTGAGCTCGGTTGTTGCATATCCCTTCTACATGGACATTGGTCGAGACATCCACCCATGTGAAACAATATGTACCTATGGGTACACTAGGTGCACCCGGACATGAAACTCCAGGGCTGTCATATGCATGGGATGAAAGATGCATAATACGAGGTTTGCTCCGTCAATTATCAGAGCAAACAATTAGCTATAGATAACCCCCCCGGGACTCGGCCCCACAACAAAGACCGGAAAAGAAGTTGGACAGACGATCTCCCGACCGTGACGAGTCCCACAAATTTCCGGCATTGAGGCTAGATGCGACGGCAGAACCCATAACATTTAGACCAATGGAATTAATCTTGGGCGACATGAAGCCGACGGCAATAGGAACGGATACGGGATCTTGGGGGGGAAATTAAAAAAAATCGATTTATTAATTTCGGGGTTATTTTTGGCACGTTGCCGAGCATCAGATAAATGGCTCATGGAGATATATAATTTCTAAGCGGTGGAAGGATTGGTCGCACGTGGACTAAGGGAAAAAGGGGAAAGGAGGTGGGAAGGAAAAAAAGAAGGAGAAAGGGAAATGGGGTATGGGGATGAGGGGGGGAACGGGGAAGGGGAAAGGGAAAGGGAGAGAGAGGGCTTTGTTCGGAAAGGGTGGGAGACAAGGGAATGAATGCATCGTCAATATCGTTGACGTATACTATGTACGGGAGGAATGGAATACGTGGCCAACCCTCGGTCCCACGTCCAGACATAGATAATGAATGAGTAATTATGCGCGCGCCCGGTAGCCGGTCACGAACACGATGTGAGAAAAAAAAAATGAAATTTATCACGCGGATGGGATTATCGTGAAGTGGCCCCCGCACAGATCACCGAGTGTTGGTCTAGAGCAGGCAAACCGTGCTTGACCGCATCCCAGGGGCGGGCCCCTCGGAGCTCAGTGAGAGGGACCCCCCTGCTGCGATGCTGCCATGTTCCAATCTTAGGCGGTTAGGCAGGGAATGCAGGAAAAAAGGTCACGCTGGCCAAGCTGTGCGTGTTGCGTGCTATGTAAGATAGATAGAGAGAGAGAGAGGGAGGGAGGTTGACGAGAATTAGTAACTAAAATCTGTTGAGTAATGGAACACCACTAGGGGGGCATTAGGAATTCTTCACATGGGAAAAGGCAAAAAAAAAAAAAAAATGAGTAATGAGGGGCAAAATTCGGCTCGAGCTCTTTTTTTTCTTCTTCTTTTCCCCTTCTTTGATGAAAATTAAATGGATTGCCCAAATTTCCAGCGCCGCGCCCCTAAAGCTGACCTAGTGACCTCTCTTGCCCCTCAAATACAAGAACGATGAGCTAATGGGAGCCTCCCCCTTCCATAAGAGAATGTTCCACCAATCCCCCCCGACACTGTAAGAAAGATTGGCTGGGAAGGTGGGGAAATTCTTTTTTTTTTTTTTTTTATGACGCTGAGAAGGAAAGGAAAGGACGCATCGATAACACCTCCCATGCGCTCATACTCTCATAGGTACGCTCGAAAGATGAGAAGGTCTAGGCCGGTTCCTGCTATGTATGTACATATGTATGTATGTATGTATTTTCTTAAGATAGCTCCAGATTAGTAGCCCTGCTTACAACTGAACTGTGCCGGTATCGTGCCGGTATCTTGTCAGCAAATTTCGAACCAAACAAAAATCAACTTTAAACCATCCAATAATGTTCCCCGCAATCCTCCAAACCTTTCTCCACTCTCCACGAGCCTACCATATTCATCCATAGTCACCCATGAGTCCATGAAGTCCCATACAGCTAATACAGCTAATACAGCTAATACAGCTAACGCTCCTGCTACTCCAGAGACACGGCTCGGCAGCTCTCATACCCCTGCTCTTTCCTGCATTCTCGAATTTGCATTAGGCACCTGGCACTTTGTTCAATTCGCATACCTACTAAAAAGCTTCAGCCGGTTCAGATCGGTACAATTGAGTACAACACGTAAGTGCGTAAAGTGCGTAAGTGCGACATTGTGCGATCTACTCGCACTTACCAAGATGATTGTCCCATTCACTGCCACTGCCACATCCACTTCCACATCCACGTCCTTATCCTTTTGCTCTTTCTCCTCTTATTATTATTTCTCTTCCGTCTCTTTATCTTTCCTCTCCTCCTCATATTCCTCTTCCTTATACTCATACTCTTTCTCCCCTCGTACCTATCGTAACCATCATATATTATCTTGTCGTCGACTTTTCCCCAACATAGCCATAGCCACTGCCCCGTTGCAGAAAAAGATACCCAAGATACCCTTTATCAACCGAATTTCCGTCACGGCATATACCTCGGCCTCCTTTCAGCCGACTGCACGTCATCTCGATCCAGATTGCTAGGATAAGGCTAAATTGCCTCACGCCGTCTCCCACCTTGAACGAACTTCAACACCATCAAGTCGTCCAATAATTATTTCACCAGTTGTCATTCGTAACAACTACCAGAGTGCAATGGGAGACAACCGTGAGACCAACGGGTTGACCAACGGTCATGTCAATGGTTACGCCAATGGCCGCACCAATGGTTATACTAATGGTCAGCGTGCCAACGGCCATACCAATGGCAACACCAATGGACATACCAGCAACAATTCCAACGGCGGTGGTCTATGGACCAGTAAACGTGCATCATCGGAATGGTTTATCGGTAGTATAGACCAGGGCACCACGTCGTCGCGTTTTCTCATCTTTAATCGCCACATGGACCCAGTCGCTAGTCATCAAATCGAATTTGAAAATCTCTATCCTGAATCGGGGTATTGACGTCACCCTGCCCCCCTTATTACATCAACCATGAGCTAATGACCCATTTTCGCAACGCAGGTGGCACGAACATGATGCCTTAGAATTGCTCCGCTCTGTTGAGTCTTGTATCGAAAGAGCCATTGAACAGTTTACTTTTGGAGGTTATTCCACATCCCAAATAAAAGCTGTAGGTATCACAAACCAGCGCGAAACCACTGTATGCTGGGATAAGATCACTGGCGAACCCCTATGCAATGCCGTCGTATGGCCAGACACTCGAACCAAAGATATCGTCCGAGATTTGAAGAATTACCCTGGCGCCCATGCCATTCCCGAACTATGCGGTCTTCCCCTGAGCACGTATCCTTCCAGCGTAAAACTGGTTTGGTTGTTGAAGAATAACCTGACCGTGAGAAATGCCTACGAAGAAGGCCGTCTCGCATTTGGTACCGTAGATAGCTGGCTGATTTATCGCCTAAACGGTAAGGACAAGAATGTCCACGTTACGGACACTACCAACGCGAGTAGGACTATGTTCATGAACTTGCACACTCGGCAGTATGATGACAGACTACTCTCCTTCTTCGGAATTGACAAGAACAAGGTTGCATTGCCCAAGATTGTGCCATCGTCGGACCCCGAAGCCTTCGGTACCATTGGCCGCGGCGCCTTGGCCGGTGTGAGAATTGCAGGTTGCTTAGGTGACCAGGCCAGCGCGCTTGTCGGCCAATGCGGATTCAAGCCGGGCCAGGCCAAGAACACATATGGTACTGGATGTTTCTTGTTATACAACGTAGGCCACAGGCCGGTACTTTCCAAGTATGGCTTATTGGCGACGGTCGCATTCGACTTTGGAAAGGGCCGGGAACCAGTTTACGCCCTGGAAGGAAGTGTAGCAGTGGGCGGCTCCGGTGTAAAGTTTTTAATGAACAATTTAGGATTTATCAGAGACTCTAATAGAGTTGGTGAATTGGCTGAGAGCGTCAAGGATAATGGCGGGGTGGTGTTTGTAACCGCATTCAGTGGTCTATTCGCACCGTACTGGATTGACGATGCGAAAGGTACCCTTTGTAAGTCCTCATCAATAGCCTCAACGGGCCTCAACCTATTCAGACGAGCTCTTGCTAATCATATTCCAGTCGGAATAACGCAACATACACAAAGAGGTCACATCGCACGTGCGACACTGGAAGCCACTTGCTTTCAGACTCGCGCGATTTTAGAAGCGATGGAGAAAGACTCAAACCACAAGCTTGCGTCTCTTGCCGTCGACGGCGGCATGTCGAACTCAGATCTGACGATGCAGACACAAGCTGATGTTACCGGCATCCGCGTAGAGCGACCGGCAATGCGCGAGACCACAGCCTTAGGTGCTGCAATCGCTGCCGGTCTAGCTGTCGAAGGTTGCTGGTCTAGCTTTGAGGAGCTCACAGAGCTCACACGCAAAAAGCCAGGTCGCCGGGTTTTCGCACCCAGAATTGACCGAAAGAAAGCCCAGCGCATGTACCAACACTGGGAGAGAGCTGTCGAGATGAGTCGCGGATGGGTCCGCGACGATCATTCTGATGACGAGAATGAATCTTCCAGGCCTGACATCTTCAGGAAACCGACGTTGTAAAATTTCAGATGTCGGAGTTGGCGCCCCCTCTCATTAATAACTATAAGTCGCAATGGAGTGTGACGGGTAGGAGTGGATCATGGGCATGATATCTGGTCATTCACTGGATGCACGAAGCGCTCAACGGGCGCAATGACCTCCATTTCCTTGCATTGAACATGTTGTTTCGGGAATAGATGCCCTGACATGCATGTCATATATAGGCAGGCAAGCGTGTAAGTACCTAGGCAGGCAGAAGGTAGAGGCAGAGGTAGAGGCAGAGGCAGGGAAAAGGCAGCTTACACACCTTTTTACTTATTTAACCTACCTGATTTTGTACGTAGCAAAAGGTCGCACATGCGGGAGGTTGGATGGGAGGGGACGTGAATGGTACGGCGGAAGGGTGGGAGGGTCGGGTATAATTACATACATAGTAATGCTAGTCGTGCGTACCCCAGGTATAATAACACAATATCTCCATAGTTTTCCTGCAGGGCGTAAAGGTATTATGTATTCGTAGCCGAGCGGAACCATGTAATTGGGCGTTTTGAGCTCGGTTTAATGTGCGGCCGTGAGACGGCGACCAACGCAGATTCGCAGATTCGCAAATTGCTGACCGAAAGTGAACACGGGACACGGCACAAGACGGCACGATAATACGTACAGCAGGCCGAACTGCGGTTTACTGCCTAACGTTTATCATGTGAGCATGCGAAGGGCGATGGGATATTGGGATATGGGATAGATGGGATATGATATTGGCTCGCTTTTTTATTTTATTTTTATTTTTTTCGTATGTATGGTATCACATTGCCACATCGGAATTTTTCACCTGGGACAGATGACGAAGGAAGGGAAGAGAATTATAGACGGATGGACGGACGGACGTGTGGAAATGCTGGGGAAGTGGATGGGTAGGTAAGGTTCAGGTTCAGGTAGGTTCAGGTAGATGGAACAATGGATGTATGGATGTATGGTATGGTATTAGGTAGGTGGTAGTATGTAACAGGTAGCCAGCTACCTAAGGTATGTATGTAATTGCGCATACGCGCGCGCGGACACCCGCCTGTGCGTACGTCTATGTGTTATACCTGGAATAATACCTACCTACCTATGTATACTTTATAACTACTGATTGTATATATAGACGGATTGTTTTGCTTAGGTAGGTATATACCTAGTTTAATGTTGTTAGTATTTTTGCTTTATGCTAATATGGACATTGAATGAATAAATGATATGTATGTAGTATGTAGATAATACAAGCAGAAGTAAAAGTAGAGGTGCAATACATATAAACGGGCATCACTACACACATGGATACATACAACCATAATACAATACAATACAATATAATAAAAATCAACCTCACCCCATCAACATCACTAACCACACACCAACCAGCCAAATATCCAACAAAAAAAAAAAAAAACAACCACAACAAATATAAACAACATCACAAACGCAAAAAAATCCCAATAGATATATCCAAACCGGCGCAACGGCATTCCCCGTACGGACGTATTCTCGGAGCAACCAAATAGGCGGCTACTACCTACTACCTCATCACAAAAAGTGACCGCGGGCCCGTCACATCGACAGCTACCCACGGTGTAGATCGCTACCAGACAGACTTATACGTAGCGTCTCTACGAAGAAACATCACCACTCCTTTCCTTCGGGGGTAAAAATTGGGGGTTTTTTTTTCTTTTCGTTTTGTTTCAATAAATACTTCTTACTGTATATAAATCGAAATCGAAATCGAAATCACTCAGCGGACGGACACAAGGAATGGATGGATGGATATACACCAACGCCACTCGGTCACCCATATATCACATCAACATCAAATCACACACAAGCTTCAGATCAGATCTTAGTCATTATCTTTTTCCATTGCTCTTATTCCTCCTGCTCTTGCTATACTCTCAGCTTATCTAACCTACCGAGGATAAATCACCTAGGCAGGCCAACTCGACGAGTCCGAGACACAGTTTCGCCCTCGCACATAAACAGTACGAGGTAACAACGATCCCGATTCTCGATCCCGTTCGTCCTCGGCTGTTTTTTTGCTCATGCTCATGCTCGACAGTCCCACGCATTAAGTTAACCACTGCAAATACCAATTGAGAATTGCAATTATACCCATCGCCGTAACGTCGTGTGCTCTTGCATCCATATCTTTTTTTAGAGTCCAATGCTGACCTCATCCACATCGTTTCTCTTTTGCCGTAGACACTTTTCCCCGTGTTTTATTTTTGTATATATGCCCTCTTAATGGGCCAAGGAAGTAGGCGCTCGATATGGTCGCGAATGTCCCGTATAGATCAAGGGTCGCATCATGTGAGTGAGGGTTCCGGCTTCTCGTCAGTTCCAGTCGGGTCATAACTCGACCAGGATAAAGACGACCAACTCCCGCCCTCCAATTCCTCAGACCCCAAATCTCGCCGGAATATCGGGCAAAATTATGACGGTCATCTATCATGACATGCGGACCAGAACGCCACCCTACTTGGGAAACGGAATTGAAAAAAATGCTGAGAAGAGAGGTGCCCGAAGCCGGATGGGCGGAACAACTAACTTATTACGAAATAATAGAGGTTGAAAAAGGTGCCAGATTATACACAGGAAGAAGTGCCGAAAAAAATCGAAGTGGGCAGTCGAGAAGAGCGCAAAATGACGCTGTAATCAATTACATGATAATAGACGGGTAGTCGACGTTGGCTTTGATGCTCTTGTGCGGAAGGACGCTTCCGCCGTTGACGTAGATCTCGTCGCCGATGCTTACGTCGTCACCGAGAACAGTGACGTTCTCGAGACGAGCCCACTTTCCGACGACGCTGTTCCAGCCGACGATGGTGCTCTTAATCCATGCGTGGTCCTTAACCCTAGATCCCGGGAGGAGTGTACATCGCTGTAGACGCACACCATCGCCAATGACAACATTCTTGCCAATGACAACGTTAGGTCCAATGCGACAGTTCTTGCCAATCTTGGCAGACTCGTCAATCATGACATTGCCACCGTGGACGTAGCTCTCGGAAGGAGAAACTAGTAGATGGGGCTGCTTCTTTGCGAGCGATGAAAGGTATAGGCAAGTGCCCGTTAGGAAGTCCTTCGGTTGACCGACATCCATCCAGAAGCCCTCGAGGTCGAAGGAGTGTAATTGTCCATCGCGAACGATAGCGGGGAAAGTTTCTTGCTCGATGGAGGTAGGTCGGTTCTTTTCAATGCGCTGGAGCACCGAAGTGTTTAGCATGTACATACCGGCATTGATACGATTGCCGACGAATTCGATAGGCTTCTCGACGAAACGATCGATTCGCGTAGGGTGGTTGGGCTTGTGAACGATGACACCATATTTAGAGGGCTCTTCAACCTTCGTAACAACAATAGTGCCTTCGTTACCGTGTGACTTGTGGAACTCGGCGAGTGCCTTGAAGGGGAAGTCGCAGGTGATATCTGAGTTTAAGACAAAGAAGGGAGAATCGTCCTTAGCCAGAATCTCCTCTGCAAGCTTAAGCGGACCAGCAGTACCGAGGGGTTCGTTCTCGAGAGAGAAGTGGATCTTGACACCAAGAGAGGCTTCGTACTACAAGAACCATAATATTAGCAAAGATGAAAGAAGAAAACTGCATATTATAACTTAGGCTAGGTACTAACCTCTTTTAAGACTCTTTCCATAACTTCAGGGCGGTAGTTACAGCAAGCACACGACATCAGTAACACCTACAGCGGCCAATGCCTCAATCTGGTGTAGAATCATGGGTTGTTGGCGAACTCTACTAGAGGCTTGGGCATGGTAAGAGTCTAGAGAACCATTTGTTAGCTTTTTAGTCCAAGTTTGAAAGATTCTGCATTTTTTCGATTTGAAAATGCATTATAGTAGATTAATCAACGTACCAAGGGCCGTAGACGTGTGCCGAAGCCACCGACGAGAATGAGGGCTGTTCAATAAGATATTAGCAATGTCTATCTCCCAAGTATTGTAGGATTTTCTTAATAGCACTTACCCTTCATGATGGCGATAGGGGTGAGTAGAATTAGACGTTAATTGTCGCGAAGCGAATGTAGACCACCAGGATATGCTCTCGCGCTGAGTGCTCTTGTAATTTAAGTAGCGAACAACGATACTTAAATTGCGAAATGGGAGATCTGGGACAGTGAGTCGGTGTAGTAAGTACTGAAGACTGGCGCGGAATAGGCCGAAGTTGAGAATATAAGTGAATATAAAAAGGACGGTGAAGCTCTCAAAAGTCGATGTAGTGAATAATAGCTGGTAATGCTAGAAAAAAAGGATGACTTGAGGACACTTGTATCTCTTTACTCGCTCGGAGGGTGTCAAGGTGGTCAAAGTGGTGAAAGTGGTCAAGGTGTTCAAAGTTATGTAGTAGTTAGTCGAACGAGAGATTGATGTTCAGTGTGTTCAGTTCGCGGAATGCCCCCTTTATTTCTTATTTAGGCCAGTTAAGTCGTCGCGCCAGTAAATGCTCGAAATTAGCGTCCCCTCCCTCCTCCCTCCTCCCTGGACTAGCTAGGTTAGCTCCTTCCCAAACCCCTGGGCATCTGGCTAGAGTTGGCACCTGATTTTTTGGGAAAGCCTATTTAACGCCAGGTGCACGGCCCTTCAGCCACAAAGCATGGCAGATGCAGCCCTGGGAGGTACCTATTAGATGTACCTTATTGATCTGCCTGGGAACCAATCATAAATCGTTCCACCCCACGGATACGAAGCATTAAGATTGATTGAACATTGCACCTTTATGCTTCTCAATTGTTTTATTTAACTCGAAACTGAGTCAATCTTCCTTTGTAAAAATGTCTGTAAGACTGCGAATTGGATGCGAGTCTATGAGCGTGGATGAGAAGGTTAATGCGGCGCAGCAAATTCAAATCTATTCCTTTTTTTTTTTTTTTTTTTTTTTTTTTTTAATTCATCATGTCCTCCGAAAATACTTTCATGCACCCTCGTATTGGTGTGTTCATGACAGGTAGATATGACGTCGGTTGTAATAAATACGAGTTATCTTCTACCCGGAATCTTCTCGTATCATTCCACTATCTACCTCAGCACCATCAATCATCGAGGTTATTATACCTTTCTCCTGAAGATGGCTCAACATATGGTAGGTTGAATATATACATATATATATGTGTTGATGAACTTGTTAGGTTACCTAGGTTAGGTACTTATCTTACGTGATAAGGAGAGGATACCTACCTATATCCCCTGACTTCCAACTACGTATATGATCAACAGAGGCATCATGTGCGACACCCAGCACGTCCCGGGGGGCTAGCGTACCTAACCTAGCAGGGTGGGTTAGATAGGTACCGAAAGGGTTGTTACCTAGCCTTTCTGATATGCAGATAGAGTGTGCCTGTCCTGTCTCTCCCGTCCCGGACTGGCAGACGCTGTGTCACGAGCTGCAGGTTCCGTGTGCCTGTCACAAAAGAGAAGCAGGGCGACGACGCATGTCCACCCGCACTCCCGTCGAGGGACCAGCACCATCATCTGGGACATCTGGGACATCTGGGACATCTCGGGGAAAATAAAGTTGGGGACGATGATCCGTGGGGTGGGAAGAGGGGGGAGGGGAGCCGTCGTTCTTTTTTTAGATGACGTTTCGTTCCGAGAAACATTCCGGTAGGACTTCATCTTTAAGTTGACCTTGACCTTGACATTGATTTATACTTATATATACATATATGGGCCAACCTCCTATATCTCCTTTATCTATATTCCCTCGTTTCCTTCTCTTCATCTTCATCATTATCATCATCATCTAGTTACATGATTGATTCTCTCTCTCATCTCAAGAAAAAGGAACTGAGACTCGCTACCTAATTCATTTCCTTGTTTTATATCAGACAGACATATATCACGGGTATTCGCATCACATCAAGACATCCACAAGCAAAGCAAACAGAAAAATATTAAATTGGTGCGACCATGAGACATCTCGTCAGGTCGTTGACGTCGTAAATTCGATTCTTCGTAACTATTCGTAATCGTGATCATCATCTATCTAGCCGTGAGATCGTAATTTTATGAACTTCCTGCGCAAAATAATAATAATAGTAGTAATAAAAAAATCAAAAGAGCCTCTCCCATCATCACCATCTTCTTGTTCTTCAAGCGCTTGTATGGTGTTTTTTTAGTAGTAAAGAAGCAGCTGCAAAGCGCCCCCCGAGCGATAGTCTCTTCTTCTTCCTCTTCTCTTTTTCTCTTTTCCCTCGCGCTTAAATTTCCGTCCCGGAATTTTCTACCCAGTTTTCCTTTTCGTTTCATTTCATCCCGTCTCTAGAATTTCGGTCGATTTCTGATTTCTCATCGTCCGATTGAAGAAAATTGAGTAATGCCAGCCAGCGGGGCTTTGGCCCAAAGAAAAAAAAATCAACAGACGCAATGAGCGAGCAAGGAGTGTCCCGCATTGCGTAACATGTTTTTTGGTCGCTCGCACAGTCCGGGACATTCAAAAAGAAGTCTATCTCGAGTTAACCAATGTCCATTGAGCCAGGCCATTAAGGCGGTTGGTACGGTTCCGAAGCCATACGCGGATTAGAAGGACCATGGCTCCCCAACAGCAGGGTTTCGCTAAATAGCAGAGTTGCCTCCGATAGAATCCGTTCTCCTGAACCGGCCTGGTTCTGTAGTTCCCACGGCCCCAAAAGGGAAAAAATTGGGGGTCTCATCAAGTCTTTTTTTTCTTTTTTCATATAGCATATAGAAATGGAAGAAAAAAAAGCGTTTCAATAAAACGAGCAAAAAGCCTCGGTTCAGGACGATGACACCAGATTTGTCATTATTAGTTTGGTTCATAAGTTCGTTCAGTTCATTCGTCAAGTCGTAAATCGTCGATTTATGCAAACTTTTGTCTCTCCTCCTCTCTTCCTCTCTGTCTCTCGGTGTCTCTTTCTTTCTTTCTTTCTCTCTCTCTTTCGTCGGGGATATGCTGAATGGGGGTATTCCGCGGAATATGCCTAGGGATAAGCTGCGAAGCTTCACCACGTGTATATATATCAATCTTTGACGCCTCTCTGCCCTTGCTTGTAATCCATTGGTTAAAATTAGCCGATGGTCGTGTTTGGCTGAAATCCGTCGGGACGGCAGCCAATTTCCTCCCTCACTCGAAGGATGCGGTCGAGCTGCTGCTCGAGTGATGTCCTGACCTATGGCGGCTCTCCTTCTGGGTGTGGCCGTGGCTTGAAGAAGCGTGGCGGGACTTCTTGCGTCTGGTAGACTCATTGGCTGGAAGACCCTGGACGATCCCGTTACGCGCGAGCATGCCTCCATTGACAGAAAAGTTCCGACACACCATGAAGGCCCTCATGGCGGCATTCTCCTGAGCCAGGTGATCCGATTCGTATGCCAGGTCCGTCTGGTACTCGCGCCCATTTACCAGGACCAGGCACGTGTAGCCACTGGGATCTCTGTAACACTCGTACGAAGGGTCTCGCCACCCACGACGCCGGCACAAGCCTATCGGATGCTAAGTTAGCTGCTGATCCTGGAACTCCCCTTGCCCTGCTCCCCTATTCGATGCCAACAAATGCAAATAAACGCCCGGAAAGCATGGGCAGCGAATATGCAGCCCTAATGACGCGAAGGAGATCGAGCATGGCATATGCATGACAGCCGGATCGCGAACACTTCAGATTAGACGCGGAGGTACATCCGTTCATGTCAGGAACGTGGCGTTTAACAACGCACAGAGAAGTGCTAGCTAGCTATGGCATTTTGGGAAATTCTTCGATGTTTTCGTGCGGCGTCGAAGCTTCGACGCAGGGGGTTTGTCCACGTGTGTGAGACGAACACATCGCTGTCCCAGCCCCACCGCGCGCATCATCGTGGGGTTGGTTCATTGGGTTCATTGGAGATGGCAAGTTGCCAGGGCGTACGTGCTCTTTTTTTTTTTTCTTTGTTGAAAGTAGGCAATGACTTACTCTCGAGATACTGCATGTAGAATCCTCCCATATTGCTTTTGCTGACAGCACTGACAGCAACTTAATGCTTAACAGCCCAGAACTCGTATAAGAAAAAATATCCAGCAGGGTGGTATTCTCTCTCAAATAGAAACACCCCCCCAAGAAAGTCGGGACGGGTGTAGTACGGATAGGATTTCCGGGGAAGAGAGAGCAAAAACCCAGCGTGTTGCTTACGGACGCGGGATGGGATTCCGGGGCGCGTTTTGAGTATGCAGTCAAGCCCAACTGTACGAGGGAATTTTATTAGGAGGGATCAATGGGGAAGCGGTAGGGCAGCACTGAGAAAAAAAAAGTTTCGTCGACGAGGTCTGTACTACTCGAAGGAGGTGTGGTTGTGGTGGTGTTGAAGAAGGGGGATGTTAGGCTACGTATTCGGGGCTGCGGTGCAGAGAGACGAGCCATCGACGGCGAGACATGTGTGCTTTATTGCAGAATTGAACTTCGTTAGTGCGGGGCAGGGATCTAGTAAAGACGCAATTAAACAGAACAAGGCCGAAGGGGTCGAAGGGGTCGAAGGGGGAACAATGGGGACCATAGAGGGACCCAAGAGGGACCAGAGAGGAACCAGAGAGGGACAATGGGGACGGAAGGGAACCAGGTCGATAGACGCAGGTGAAGATGCGGCTCTTGAAGAGTGTGACCCCATCTTGCTGTGCTGGCGCGTGTCGTTGCCAGTTGATAAAGCTTCGAGAGACTAGGCAACTCCACCGCAACACATGGGGTATGCATTCCCTTAGACGATCATCTCTGATAAGTCTGGCCGTGCTGGCCGTGCTGGCCGTGTTGGCCGTGCTCCTTTTGGCAGAATGTGGTACCGCTGTCTCCGTCCGATTGTTCTCCTCCATTCTCCTCCATAACCCTGTCCGACAATGGGACCTAGCTGGGTAAAAAGAGGAAAAAGATGATGTATGCAGAGGTAAGCATATTTTTTTGGAGTGGCGAAATGAAACTGGAACCAATTCTGCGGCCCAATACACGACCTCGGCGGAACTGAATAGGGAAAAGGAAAGAAAAATAAAATAAAATAATAACTAACACTAACTAGTCGATAAAAGAAAATTATAATAATAAAGAAATAAATAAAGAAATAATACTATGTAAGAGATACCGCCCACTAGGGAAAAGTCCAAAAGACCGGTCTACCACTCACGTCTTTCTCCCTTTCGATACTTAACTCGGAGCACAATAAAGAAGGGATGTGCCTGGTTCGTTGTCTAGAGGGGGAAGGTCAAAAAAAAGGAGAGGCCCTCGATCTGAGAGTATTGAGAGTGAGAATGAGAGAGATACAGAGCTCTCTTCCTCTTCGGCCACTAATGCAGTAGCAACTCAATCAAAACAACGAAAGGTCGGTACGGTATGGAAAAAAGGCGGCTTTTTAGACGACCAGAAAAGGGTCAATAATGATACCTCCCCACGTACGTGCATACTGCTCTGCTGCTGCTACGACGATGCCTGTCTCTCTCCCTCTGGTTTCAATATGTATATGTATGCGCACCTGTACGGTATGGTATAGTATGCTGTACGTATGTAAGTATCATGTATGTACGTATGTAGTAGTTATGTAGGTATATATGTATGTGTATGTATATGTATATGTAGGTATATGTATATGTATAGTATAGATCCATGTACATGACAAGGACTCGGAGATCGAACCTGAGAGATGAGAAAGAGGGGGTCCCCTAAACCAAAAAGACATCCTAACGGTGAGAGAAGATGGAGTCCCGGATCTGAGAAAAAGAGAAAATGCGTGTGAAAGAAAGGAAAGGAAAATAGAAACGTAACCACCCGCAAGCCAACCAACCTGCTGGATCAGACCAAGCCGACGGCACGTACATGGGTTTACATGGTTTACATGAGATACATGGGATACATTGGGGACCAAGAAGGTGGGTTGAGGAGATGGGCGATTCGCACCGGTGCCAGAAGTAGAAAATAAGTAGAACAAACGTAAGCACAAAATAAAATTGGACGAATCAGAAAGGTTAATAGGAATAGTCAAAAGTAAACAGCTACAGCTAAAATAGAGGTTTTAAAAAAACGGCTGGTGCTTATTTGACAATTGTTGGACGCGAGCGAAATGCTAGCGGCGCTTGACGAACTTGTGCTTGCGACCAATAGTTTTTTTAGGTTTTTTTTTTTTTATGTTTAACTAGTTAAATTTTTCTTAGCTTGTATCAATATCAAAAAAAATTCTGTTGTCTCTCTTTGTCTAAGTAACTAGCAGGTACATAACTAAAGTACCTATTTTTGTCTCTTAAATTTCTCCTCATCCTTATCCACCCCTCTTTCTCTCCCCGCCGAAGTGCAGAAAAAAAAAAGAGAGACCGAAAAAATAACAACAACAACAATACATAAACATAAACTAAGTAAAATCGAGAAGTTGACTGGTTCAAAGACCGGGAACTATGAAGTCGGTGAGAAAGAATGAGATGCATGAACACAACTAGTCTAGCCTGCCTAGGCAAACCCTGGTCATCTTTTTTTTTTCTTTTCTTTTCTTTTCTTTCCTCGCGAACCTGGTCTCTGCCCTAAAAACCCATTGGCGCGAGGAACCACTTAGAGCTTTTTTGGGGGTGTCGGGCCAATGAGCAGCGGCCGAGGTCCGGGGGGGCAGCGAAGGCGACTAGGCGAAGAACAGACGTTTTAACACCTCATGCAATGATGAGTTGGCATTGCCGCTTGATATTAAATCAAGATAGACGTTTATTTTGTGCATGTTAGATTGGGTACGGGTACCTAGGAGAATACAGGAGAATACTTGAGAATAAAGGCGAGCTGAGGTCGACCGAAGTAGCAGTACCGATCCAACGATCAACGACCTGGCCCGACAATACCAGGCCTGACCACCCTGTCGCATCTGGTTGTATCTGGTTGCATCTGTTGCATACCATACCATACCATACTATACCATACTATACCTACCTACTTTAGGTACATATGAGGAAATTCGATGCCGCTCATCATGACGATTTTCGTAGCTTGGACGGGGTTTGGATGGACGAAGGAACCGTCGTGATTGCTACAATACATACATAACACAATAACACAATACATAATTACAATAAGTTACATACCATACATACGATACGTACGATACGCACGATACACACGATACATACAACCTACCCTCGACCCTCGACCCTCGACCCTCGACCCTCGACCGCAACAACAAGCATAAAGGGCACATAACAACCCAGACGTAGACCGAGAAATCACCACTGGCCGCATGTAACTTTCGGACTTTAATGTAGCGGCCGCCGACTAGTCCTATTATTTGTTTATTTTTATTCCTATTCCTATCCCTATCCCTAGTTAACTATCCCATATTCCTACCATGTATGTATTCTTTTGCATTTCTTCGTAACGTTAAGAGGCGCCCAGACCAATCTTATAATCCACATAGGCGATACGCTAGACGCAGTACCGGGATGCAATATTTACATTTTACCTACTTACCTTCTTCGTTTGGTATATACATGATATCTAAAATTACATGATACCTATAATATGTTCATGTCCATGTCCATGTATATGCGTGTGTATGTATGTATGTATGTATGTAGGGTAAATGTTACGGACGGCGTTAAAAAATTCCTACGCAGCGCCGCGGCGCGACGTGAGAGAAGCAAGCGCTCGAGACACCACATCATGTTATCAACACACACAAAGCCCAAGCGGCAGAAAGGTAAGTATAAGCCAACGAGCGAAAAGGAGGTTTAAAAAAAGGCAAAAAGGAAAAAAATATCCAATGTAGCTTATTAGAAGTAGATACCTATCTAAGGTATATACTACGACCCTAGCCAATATCCCGTAAGACGGCTCAAGACGGGTATTACATTATGTATAATGTATGTATGTATGTATGTAGCCTCTGCGTAACTTCAGCTCGATATACAATGTATGACCACTCTACATATTATCAGCGCGCTGTTCTGGAAATGCGCACACAACCACAACGTCATCTCTCTCGACAGAGGACAGCTGAAAAAAAGCGTCGCGACGGGTGGGTAGGCTTCGCCGACTACGCTTGGGATAATAGGTAGTGGTGGAAGAGGGCATCTAGTCATACTGATCGACCATCATCCATACATACATACAAGTTGACCATTACGCGCAGACCAACGAGAGAGAAACATAGATAATATCTCCATGCAATATACATAACGCCATGTTACTTTGAGGTAAGAAAAACTTAATGCCGTTAAGGATGTTGCCGACCAGCCCTCCGCTCCCACGCGCACGGTTAGGGAGCCCCTCACGATCCCACCTAATCTGTGAGACCCGTATGGCTGCCAGAGACATACATACGTAGCCCCAAGGTCATTCTGTCAGGAATGCAACGTGTTTGCGAGATCCGAGACCTCGGCGGCCAGCCCATCCGTCCTGGCCACTACGGCCACTACGGCCACCACGTCCGAGCTGTTAAGAAAGAAAGAAAGAGAGAGGTCCGGCAAAGGGAGCCGTGGGATCGTCGCTGTCTCCTATTAAGCCTTTCGGCAACACTCATTCGAGAGACGCCTTAAAGTAGGATCCCGGGGGTTCAATTCGTGCTTATCATACGGCGAAGCGAGTCGTTCATCCGGGGGAAGGCCCACAAGCGAAGGAAATTTCGTGCAGCAGGCCTTGTTTACCATAAACGCGCCGAGGCGCAGCCTAAAGCTTGAGGGATTGGCCACATACGTAGGCCTGCTTGTTGTTGGGGGGGGTACATTTCTTTTCCAATTCACTCCCCAAAATCTTTCTACTACGTGCTCTATATTACGCTCCCCTCGAGTCGAATTAGGGGTAAGCGATAACAAAGTATGGTCAGGAGATAGACGGCATACAATCGCTGTAGAGAGGAATTGGGAATTTAACCCTGGACTGTAACCCTTATATCACGGTATCTATGAATACAATCATATGGGCTAGTTCGATGACTCCCGATCATCATGTCAACAAATCTTTTTCCATGTGTCTGTGGACTCGTAGCACAGCATCTTACTACGTCGCGTAGAGCATATGCGACTAGTGGAGACGAGGCCAAATACTACCTCCCTACCCTTAGCTCGGTAGAGATCGTTTTACCGTCCGAAGTCATGGCCACCCAGGGAGACCGTAATGGAGACTGTACACGTCAGGGACTCAATATGGCCGTAGGAATACAGGGTAGCATGGGTGTAGGTGTAGCGACGGGATGCAAAACAACCGCACCATGTGGTCAACCCATCGATTCTGTTGAGTCGATCAGCACGTACAAAGCTGATGCAAATTCTCATAACGCCTCTCGACCGCTACATCGCGGCTTCTATAGGCTTGAGCATTATGGACGCCCTCGTACGATTCAATAGTCTCCTTACTTTGGCTAGAGCTGCCGTCTGCCGTCGACGTTCCGATTTGGACTACATTAGATAGGTATAAGCCAGTGGCGTTTTCCGGAGTCTAACAAGTCGGGTCGAATCCAGTATCTAGGAGAGCTTGCCACACTATTACCAGCTCTGGCTGGCTCATCTGCGCTCGAACTTGCTGAATAAGGTACGGGTTATCGTGTTGGACTGCATGACCGCATATGGTGGAGATGGTAGATTAACGAATGCACAAGAATCCCTCTGGATGGTTCTGTCTCACTTCAATCGGGCGAACGTGCTTGGTGAACCTTCTCTTGTATTACCTCTAGAGGACTAACTGTTGATTGTGAAGTGCATGATACTTCCTGTAGAAAAACGTGAAAAGGGTATAGTTGGAGTTTGCGGGCCCTTCTTGTACATTGAACGAGCCAATCTTCGTTGCCGAGGTTCTCGATGCACCGTCTTGATGTGTAACTGCGGAGGCACGCCATCCAGTAAGGATAGGAGTGCAGCTATTATCCATTACTTGACTTCTTTCACCCTCAGAATGCCCCTAAGTAGGCGAGTAGGTACACGGGTTAGCCCACCTCGACCCAAGGGGGTAATTATATGGCTTATACTAATATGAGAGCTATATTATATAGCCCGGCACGTGAGAGAGAGAGGCTATAATGCTGACACTCAATAATCATGGGTGGAAGGTCGAATATTCGTAGGATGCGAGGGAAATTCTCAGCCTTCCTCGATTGGTCCGGCGTAGTGTCGGATATGGCCTCTTCATATGCGGCCACAAGCGGGTCAAAAACCCGGCTTCGATAGGAAATATGACATGATTTCTTTCCGTTTCCCCTCAGGTATGAAATACACAGGATCAGTAGTGTTGAGTCGATCTTCTTCAGCATAAATCTGAGGGCTTCCGCGGAGCGGCGAGACGTCATATTCCGAATGCGTCATCATCCCTTCACCCTCCGAGGCAAGTAAATGAGTAATATGTTGAGCTGAAGAAAGTCCGCTGAGTACGTAGCAAGTATGATACGCATCAGAAATTCTTTTTTGTGGTATTTAGCCCATGTCTAGATTACGGTTGGCACCTATGTACTTACTTGCTTGGCTTGTCTCTCATGCCACCCCTTTTTGATTGATCTTGGCGCAACAGAGGATATACCGGATAAGACCTTCGCGACTATAAATGTTGTGGATATCAATATCGGGGCTTTTATTTTTGTTTATGTCAAACATTAGACTAGATGGGCCGGCAAGGCTAGCCTCGACCAATGGCCAGCAGCAGCCCACCCAATGGCTGTAGCAGCCATCGACGAGCTTGTTCGTACGGCCGCTATACCCGCCTTCCGGTGCATACTGCCGTGATGACAGCCATGAGATAAGCCGTGGGACATCAAGATATCTGCATTCAGGGGTTAGTACGAGAGCAGCATATAAATTATCGAGATCAGCAGAGCTTCTGAAGATCAGGCAGGCAACACAAACTTGGGAAAGGTACGATGCGGAGCATCAAGGATCGCGAGGCAACCTAAAGCACAAAAGGCATAAGCTCCATGGGCTTCACCATCTGGTTGCGCCGAAATTCCACCCTCAAAGGTTTGGCCTGCAGGATTAGTTTGCATAGGTCTAACAGATGGGTACTTTGCCTGGGTCCTCTTACATCGCCGTACATAATCTCCTAGGCCTGCGAATAAGTTTGGTCCGTCGGGCGTCCATGCCGGAGAGTCGGGCGGCAACTCGAGAGGAAGGTTAAGCAGGGTAATAAGGACAGCTGCGCAATAGGCTCCCCTGACAAATATCATTAGCCATATGCCGTCGAGGTCGGTCTAATGAGACCGCCTTACCTTATGTCGACTTCGCCTCCAACAGCCATCCTAAAGCCCCCGTCAGACTGCTTCAAATCACAAAGCCATTTCCAAAGAGCTCTTCGGTCAATGACTTCATACGCAGCATCGCCTCCTACTACGGCTAGTGCCAAGACCACAGCATACGTGCAAGCTAGGTGGGAAGCGTGGCCAAAACCTCCTCCAAACCCGCCAGTAGGATTTTGCATGGAACGGGCCGTCTCGATAAGGCTATCGCGGTAAATAGAGACATCATCCCCTAGGAGGGATAGACCATTGAGACACCAATAAAGGATCCACGGTCTGCTTGCATCTAACATCACGAAACGAGCAGGAAGGGGTGCCAGGTTCTTACGAAGGAATTTTATATGCCGCTCCCGATCAAGACGTGGTAGGCCATACTGGTTGTATGACACATTATCAACTTGCGCCGCCAAGAAAGGTAGGCATTCATTCACGGTAATGTCTTGTACGTTGGAAGTTGCGGTAGCGAGCGCTTCCCGAATAGGGGGCCAGCTAGTAAAGAGATCAGGGATCATTGGTTCCTGACTTCCGTAAGCTGTTGGACAGGTCATGGATAAAAGTGTGATGTTTATTTACCATCTCATCCGAATCACTTTGAAAATCTTGGAGATGCTCGAAATCCTGAGTATCCTCAGATCTATTTGTTGTTGAGCTAGGACGAAAGGTTTTCCCTTTGTATGCAGTCCGTTGACGCGCTCGGGCGAGACTAGTCTTTATTGGCATAAGAGAGACCAAGCGAGGAATAAGTTTGGAATGTAGATAACCACGAATACTTATCGAACAAAACGTATTTTTTCTATAAAATTTAATAAAACGTGATTTGAGTATAAGTAGTTTCCCTTTTTAATCGCACGTGAAGAAAGACGTGCTTTGTAATGTCTCAAATTTTGGGCACCTGCCGCGTCGAAATCATCAAACGTCTTAAGGCTCCAGAGTCATTTGGTCGTTCTTTAGCACAAAAAGCGCTACTATTGGTCACTAAAACTTTAAACCCGACCCGGATTAGTATAATCGGTAAATTCCCGGCTAACGAGTATGTATCAACTGCTATCACTTGCCAACATTAAGCTACTTGGATGCAAAGTGTCAAACACATATTTGATTAACTAACTAATCTAGTATTCTTTAAACTTTTCGGCTTTGCCTACATGTATTAAATTATTATCCTAGCTTTATCGTAATTATTTCATACGTATACGTACATGGTGGTGGCTTAGAGAATACGCAAGTAGATAATTAAGATGGTAACGTAAGTTGTAAAAACGGGCGAGATATTTCTTTATCATAATTCAATAATTCAATAATAAATCTAGATATTTTAAAAGTCGGAATACCGTATTACTATCGTGCTTATCATCTTTTAGTTAATACCTATGTTTCAGGTCAAACTTGTGTCCGGATATGTCACTAGTTATACTGAAATAGAAGCTATCTAGATAAAGGCTATGCATATGCAAACTATTTGCGCCCTGACATAGACCTTACTTTTGTCTGACTGTCCAGACTCTATTGGGAGACTGCCTTCGTATTTTAAGATACCAAGATCAATGAGTGAGTTATCCACCTTAATCGTGTGCGATATAATTTAATCCATATCATCTGGTGATACACAAGTCAACAGCAATAGGCTTACATGCTATAACAGGTAGGGAATAATCTTCTTATACTACCTATATAGTATACCTACACTAGATACATACGCTCATCCCGAATGTGGCGTCGAGTGGCGCCTTATCAAGACGGCTATCTTGTGTACCTATATAATAGAGGCCAAGGCTTCATCGGGTTGGCAGGAGTTCACCGAAGGGGTAATCGATATTGGTATTACAATCCGCAGCCGTCCGTAATGAATCTTCGAGACCTAGGTAAAAATAAATGCGCGTAAACGTGGCAGGTATAGTTTCGAGACAGGCTCGGATATGAGATTTTGGTCTAATAGTTATGTAGTAAATAACAACTACCTAGGTGGCGAATGGGCAATTCTTTAAAACATTGGGTGCTGTAAAGCCTATGATATGCTCAGATGTTTAATTTCGAAGTCGCGCCACGTCGGAACCAAGTGGCGTCCGGTAGCGATTCCGGGACTCGCTTTCGATTCTCACAAGCCATCAACTGCGCCGTCGGAACTGGGACTTCGTTTGTTTACTTACATACATACTTTACCTTAGGTACTTAGTGTATTCAACACGTTAGTCCTCGTATACTATGGTGGATAATAACAACTCATTATTCTCCCTACATAGACATAGGAAAATGTTATTTATAGCCCTTAAGGTGTGGTCTCCCATGGTGAACGCTGGATTGGATAGTGATCTACAGTATGCCGGATAATCCGTGTGGAGTTATCCCCAACCTCGCCTAGTCCCATCTTAAACCAACTTCCAGCCTCCGGCTTCCTTCATCATCCTTACACTGTACATTATAGACTACGTGTTTAGTATTAATACAAACCTGTTCTGCATTGATAATGGATTTAGTGGCAAAGTCGAACTGTCCACCTCTCGCATGTTTGACGCCGGGATGGCTTAGCGGCTACTGCTATGGGCGATCGTGGTTAAGGGCTTCCAGAACCCTGTCAGGGTTGATTTCGTAACGTTCCAGTATCGGAGAAAGCTTGTGCCGTCTGAGCAGTAATTATCAGGACATAATAGTAAGACGTAATCGGCCGGCATTTGCATCTATGTAGATGAAAAATAAGCTCGACGGAATCAGATCTAATATGCAGTCAAAAGGAGGTAAGATAGTAATAGCTGTAGCAACGCAGCTAGAATAAACATTGAATGAACCCTCGGTTTTACCGAATGTAACTAGGAATTGTACCTACGTTCGCAAGGTCGTTAGCTAATAGCTAGTAAACGCAACAATGGTGTGTTTTGCGAAGGTGGTAAGAAGTGTGGCCTATCAGGAGAGTAGTTTCACAAGCGCAAAGAAATCCTTCGCCTCCCGCGCGCATAAGGACCTACCTCCCCAGGTAAGTTGCCAACACCCTGGGCTGGGTTAGTATTGTTTGAGAGAGCCGAGTAGAATAGCCGCACACGTCGACACATACCCACGCACGTACCCACGGCGGATGTAGTGGCCGAGACACCCAGCTAGTCCTAAACTGCAGCCTCGTCGTCCGAGGCATTGAGGCTCTTCTATTTCAAGCATAGACGGAAGCTTTAAAAGCTTGCAAACATGACACCATATATCGTCCTCGACGCGGAATGGGAACCGCAAGGCATTTTTATTTGGATTTGGGCAGTAGACTGGTTGGACCGGGAATAGTTGGATTGGACGGACGCAATGTGAAGATCCGGCGAATTCAACTGGCTCAATTGTGCGAAGGGTATCACCATATCGTATATTTTGGTGCAGCTGACGACAGGGTGCCAATGCACAGTTCAGGAGCTAGGGTGGACACTGACCAAGAACTTCTTTCGGGTTGTGGAGTTAATTTTTCTGTATTCTTTTGCTTCCAGATCCAGATCGTCTTAATTCTCCTTGTCTTATAAAGGCAAACCGGGAGCAGCAGCAGGACCCGAATAAAAGGTCCCACCAGCCGAGGACTATTGATGTGGCCGGCATTTTCCACATTTCCATATTTCCACCTTTCCACCTTTTTTCACCTTCCACCTTAGCTCGGCTTTTTTTTTCTTCCAAGGTCGAGATGCGAGGCCGGTCTAGGGTATCCTTCCTCTCGGGGCTCCGAGGATTAGCTCGAAATCCCCGAGCACTATGTCTGCGACGCACGGTGTTGCATTAGAGCAATACTTAGAAGAATTGATCTAGCTTGTAAGCATTGAGCATTGAAACATATATTGACCTTGGAGTGACGCAGTCCTACATATCTGCAGTTAGCCGTTATAGGCCGGTCGCCATGTCATCAACTCACTGCCTCAACATGAGATTGATGAATGTGGAGTTACAGTTGGATCAGTTGGATCAGACACAGGGGGGGGGGGTAACGCTGGAGACATAGGGGACCTTTAGGTGGCTAAGACTGAACTGATAAGGTTGATACCCCGCCATTGAGAAAGCGGGTAAGCACAGTACGATACATATTTCTGCTTACAGTGCAGTTAGTACTACGTGTATGTATGTATTAATCGAATTTTACATGTAGTTAAGCAGTACATTTTAAATGTTTGCTACGGCATATGCTACCACATAAACCTATCAAACCCATCAAACTCATTAAACCCACAACGTGATTTCCATCCGATGCATTAGATACATACCCGATGTACATACCTACCTTCTACATTATTAGGTACCTACCTTACGTACAGTGCCGTACAGTCTTAAGAATTCAAAAAGAACTCAAAAAGTTTACATGCAGTTAGCCACCTTAAACAGTTTAAGGTCTACCCCCCCGCCGTACTTGGCCTGTACTTGGCCTTACTTAATTAATACTAGATTTACACTACAGATACCAGCCACCGTGCGAGCCCTTGCAAAATATGACTTAGTGGAACAAAATGTACGGTTGTCTATTGGCCTCGTAGTTCTTACCCATGTCCTATCTTGTATCGCCATCCCATGATTCTTGCAGGACTGTCAATCCGTGATTGGTCGCTGAGCTGCATGTTGCAGGTGGAGCAAGGACGCCAGCGTTATTCTTCTCACCGCCAGTTTCCCGTGTCTCCTCACACAATCTCATGCCTCCTCTCCATTGCCTTCAAGGGCGTCTCCCCGTCGATATCCTCGATCTCACTCGACCATCCACCGCAAAATCTTACATCCTCCACAACCAGACGTTCCCTTTCCCCCCTTTCATATCCCCAAAGCTGTCTATCGGCGTCGTAAGGGAATTTTACGAAAGAGCGGTGTCGTCTCTGCTTGACAATAATACTAGCGGAACTCGTCCCAGATCCCCCAGTTGAATCTCCTCCCTTTTCTTGACTTCTGACGACAATGACCCTCGATTTCAATGCCGCCGGGGGGATGCCTTGTTGGACTTGACCACTTTCGACCAGCGGGAGCGTTATCCGTACACCACTACAGCACCCAGTACCAATCCCGCCCTTTCGGCTACAGCAATGGCTCCTACTCGTCCCTCGGGTGCCTGGCCGATGCCTCTTGATATGGCCGCTCCCCAGAACGCAAATTCGAGCAATGTACACTCACCTGTCGAGTCTCCAGCACAGTCGCAATCGCCTGCGCAACAGAGTGCGAGTCCGTTACAGCACTCGCCTTACCAGAGCGCTCCTCCGCAGACTCATTCTCCCCCGCTTTTGACCGACTGGACACTGCTTCAGCACCAACAGCAGCACCCGCCCGTTCAGGATTTGGGCCATTATATGCAAGAAAACCAGACTCTGATACCGTATTCTTTTGCCGCAAATTACCAGACGAACGCTATCGGTTATTTGCCTTCGGCTGCGCAGGCGACGCTTGAATCCGCAATGCCCATGGAACAGCAGGGCTTTAGCAATGTTTCGCCCATCGAGGACCCTCGGACTATGCAGCAGCAGTGGGATGGCATGGGAATGGGGAATTGGCAAGATTTCGGAACTACTTTGCAATTCCCGTCGGATGGACTGCCACGCTTTGGAAGCCTAGGGAGCCAGTCTCCGACTGGGACTTATTTAGAGGTACTATCCCTGCCGGGATCTAGTGATAACGGCTGGACTCAGGTTGAGATGTACCAAAATTACGATTCGTATCAGCAAGCGCAGGCGCAGGCACAGGCACAAGCCCAGAACACGGCTATCTTCAATCCCGGCCAGACGTTGCACTTGAGAACGAACTCGGACGCTTCCCATTCGGACGGAAGCGGTCAGCGCACTGACTTCAGCAGCAGTAGTTTCGAGGATATCTCATTCAATTATTCCCCGTTTTCTCCGGAGTCTGATACGTACTCGGACCCGGCGAGCCATCGAAATTGCTTCCACGGTGAGAGCCATCATTCTCACGAAATTATCAGTCCTGCCGCTGCCGTCGAGCCAGTGCCTATTAAGTCATCGACCTCGAGCCGTCCCAGCCCTGCGAGCGGATCAGGTGTTGCGTCCCCGCCTCATAACAACCCTCGTAGAAACTCGGGTCCCAAGAGTAAGGGCGCGGTTGCAAAGTCTACTAAATCGGTCATAAGGAGGACTTCTAATGGAAAGAAAGATGGTACAGTCGAGAAGAAGGTTGGACGTCGGAAAGGCCCGCTTCTTCCCGAGCAGCGGAAGCAAGCTAGCGAGATCAGGAAACTCCGAGCCTGTCTCCGGTGCAAGTTCCTCAAGAAGACTTGTGATAAGGGTGAGCCTTGTGGTGGTTGCCAGCCGTCACATGCTAGACTCTGGCAAGTTCCTTGCACTCGTATTGATATCAAGGATATTGGCTACTTTATGAAAGACTGGAAGGCGGATTACGAACGACATCTGAGCCGTGGTGTTTCTGTCTACAACGTGAAGGGCTTCGCACAGAAGGAGAGCTTGATGTGGATCACTCATGGCTACGGTTTCTGCCTGCCCGTCATGGTTCGTGAAGTTTTCGTAGCGGATGACAGTTGTTTCCAGGTTGACTGGGTCGAGTCTTATCAAATTGATCAGGAGCCGATTGAATTTGAACTGAAGACCGAGAGACTGGATGTTGGTAATGGTGGCATTCGCCCAGAAGCGCTTGCTGAGTACCTAGACAAGCACATCGAAAGTGGCTTTGAGAACTTCATTGACGACCACTTCGAAGGTACTCCTTTCATCACGGAAATCTTCAAGACTGCCTACCGTTTCTACACCAAGGAGAAGTTGCCAGTTATACGCAAGGCTTTGAAACTAGTGCTAGCCTACAACCTTACCCAGCACATCACTCTGGTCGAGCAGCAAGGTTCAGAACAAACCTTGGAAGGCCAGATCGATGATGAAGACTCCAAGTACTTCGGGAAATACGTGGCGCCCGTCATGATCAACTTCCAGATCAAGTGTGCTATGGCAGATATGTGGCGTGAGCTACAGAAGGATATTCTGGAGGAGCTTTCAGCGCTTTACTCTAGCGTGTACAGCGGCGATCGCCTGAAGAACTGGCCCACTATCTTTATGCTTGCTTCCATACTCCTGGCTGTCTGGGAAGAGATGCAGTTTGACTGCCATTACCGTGTACCTGACCCAGTGGCGGTTGAGAAATTTTGCACCGATATGGAAAGCACACCAGTTGGTGTTATTACCGGTCTATTCCACGCCATCTCTCAGAAACTCCCTGCTCTGATTGACTGGGATACTGAGCGCCATGGTCATCTACTCAACAATAACGTTGCTGTATGCGAGGCTATGACCGAAGTACGGCAGCACGTCCTCAAGCATGGTAAGAAATTTTTATTTGGAGATACCGCAGCATTCGCTAATATATGATAACAGAGGCATACCTAAGGACTAGACACACATCGAAGTTTGACCGATACGACTTCGATTCATTGTCAAATAAGTTCTTATCCAAATTGGTTATTAAGGCCAACTGAAGCACTCTACTGTTGCCATGACCTCAGGATTGGGCTACATACACTCTAGAAACGCTCCTATTGACGAGCGTAGATTTTGATTTTGATTTTGATTTTTCCTTTTTTGAAATTTGGTTTTATTTTATTTTATTTTTCCTTTGTTCAGATTGATGGAAACATTTAGCGACGGCGTTGTCTGAGGATATGATCTTATCATCATGACCTACCACTACTTATCGACCAACATACCTTCTTCTTTTCTCTCACTTACGGCTGGTCACCGCCAATTGACGCATGCGATGTTTTACGCCATGTTACTCAAATCTTACGACCTTTTTAACGGCTGATTTTCGACGACTGTATGACTTGGAATTATGTTGATCGTTATCACGCGCAAGCACCAAAAGCGGTTCGATGGATCATGGTTTTATGAAATGGAAAGAAGCTACGGATTTTACGTACACACAAGACAAATGCAGTTACGTTCAACAGCATAGATTACATTACACATGGCTTTACGGTGTCTGATAGATCCTGCGAGGGTCCAGACAACCTTGATGAATTACTAGATGGGTGAACAAATGAGGGGTGGTATCCGTCACTCTCCTTGGGACAAGGATTATGATTATGGCCTGTCTGTATCTGCTTAGGGACAGAAGAGATACAAAATATGAATGGATAATTAAATACGTTTCATTTAATGATTTCGAGCACGAGCAAGAATAAGAACCAAAGAAAAGTCTAAATTGGATTCCATGTCATCTGTACTTATTACCATGCTGAGTGAGCGATTTTGTGCCCAAAGTTCCCCCTATGCAGGCTTCACCGCATACTGCCAACGGATTTGCAACCCCCTACACCCTACATACAACCTGTAAGCATCACAATACAACTTTGTGTTAGCGGTGTCGGCCGATACCTACTACTACTGCCTTTATTCTCGTGGATTCTCTTAAGGAAGAAAACAAACAGTTTCTGTCGTCCCACTACTGTCCTCTTCAAGACGCATCTATCTATTCTGGATCGTAGTTTGTGTAAGCTCACACACTTCAACCGAGATTCGGAATGAGACCTGTGTATCACCTAATTGACTAACACTTAACTAGATATATATTATATATATTGTATACGAATAAGCCTTTACCGTCAAGTAAACTACAAAGAATACCTATATATCGATAACCCCCTTATACGGTATACGATGTAATTGCAAAATATTATTCTACGATTTGGATCGCCTCATTGTTCACCGCTCAGCATGTTGAATTGGACCTTGTTGGGATTAATACGACCTTGAGGTTAGCTAGTACATATGACGTTGGTCAAGGAATGCCGGACTAGTAGCACCGTATCAAAAACGACCCCGCACAGGTTCTACAGGAATAGGTTGGTCGTCGTCGCGCCAAGTGGAGAGCGAGAATCGACGGCGTCGTTTTGATTTAGATAGTCGTGGTGTTTTCGAAGTAGTTCTGTACTCGATGTCGAACGAGTACTAGTATGGTGTAATAGGAGGTTGATGCATCGGGAACAAGCTATCTCCATGGTACGATGGCTGAATTTAGCGATCAACATAGGAGTAGGCACGTCTGTATACACTAAAGCCCCCGACATTCGGCTCGCTCCGGAGACGCAGATCTCGGTAGCTCGGAAGGGGGAAAGAGAAACGTCCATTGTAAGTACCTAACCTAATGTAAGTGTAGTGAATACCTAGGTAAAATCAATAGAGCCATAGTAACCTAGCCGATAAATATGTATAATTGGACAAGTAACTGAGCGATGAAGATTATCAACCTGTATCGTCTCGTCTCACGACTAGTTAATGCCTCTTGTTTTCCTGTTTCGGCGTTTCACTGTTACCTTGTGATTCCTTATCTAGACCCTTGAGTCCACATGACGTAGAATTGATAGATAACAAAACCATTGCGCAATAACTATGCTGAATTACTACTGTTTGAATATTCAGCTCTTGATTGTGTATTGGTGAGTCCGAATATTCATACAGTTTTATTTACTTGGGTTAAGAACAAACTGTCGTTGTCATAGAAAGTTGATGATTAAGGCGGCTCCACTAGTGGCTGGGAAACAAGCTGACGAAAGTCAATCGGCATTATTAAGCAACGGCAGTGGCAAGGTTGACTTTTTCAGGTGGCAGTTTGCCTCTTTGGTATGTGTATGTAGATAGGTACCTATGTAACTCTAGAACGTACCTGTCATCCTGAGACTACAGGCGGAGTCCAGCCAAACTTCTGGCCCTTTCTCCCCGCTATCAGTGGTAGTTACCGATGATTCACCTCTTGAATCAGCTGGGCAACTGCGACGTGATTGGTTAAAAGTGGGTACCCCACGTCTCCTTCCCTTCCCAAGGCTTCCATTCACTCAGGTAACTGCGCCTCAGGGTTGTTTGCCGCTCCTCCAATTCCCTATTTGAACCCAAACTTGCCTACTTTCTTTATTTCTTCCTTTTGCTCTCCCTTACCACAATCTATCATCAACTATTCTCATCAGCAACGAGATACCATCTATCGCTTGGTACCCTAAACTGATTATCAACCAAGCAACTCATCTATCCAATCTATCCGTATTACACCGACAAGATGCAGATCTTCGTCAAGACCCTCACTGGCAAGACCATCACCCTTGAGGTCGAGTCCTCGGACACTATTGACAACGTCAAGTCCAAGATTCAGGACAAGGAGGGTATTCCTCCCGACCAACAGCGATTGATTTTTGCTGGAAAGCAACTTGAGGATGGTCGCACTCTAAGCGACTAAACATTCAGAAGGAGAGCACTCTCCATCTCGTCCTCCGTCTGCGTGGTGGTGGCATGCAATCTGTAAGTTGCACTTCATCTTGATGTAATCATTTGCAATGTGCTAACAGTCTGAATAGTCGTCAAGACCCTTACCGGAAAGACCATTACCCTCGAGGTCGAGTCCTCCGACACCATTGACAATGTGAAGTCGAAGATCCAAGATAAGGAGGGTATCCCTCCCGACCAACAGCGATTGATTTTCGCCGGCAAGCAGCTTGAGGATGGCCGAACCCTATCCGATTACAACATTCAGAAGGAATCCACTCTCCACCTTGTCCTTCGTCTCCGTGGTGGTATGCAAATCTTCGTGAAGACCTTAACCGGCAAGACCATTACCCTTGAGGTTGAATCGTCGGATACCATTGACAATGTTAAATCCAAGATCAAGACAAGGAGGGAATTCCTCATGTCCAAGGCACTCCTGACCAACAGCGCCTTATCTTGCGGGTAAGCAGTTGGAAGATGGCCGAACTCTCAGCGACTACAACATTCAAAAGGAGTCTACTCTTCACCTTGTTCTCCGACTACGTGGTGGTATGCAGATCTTCGTCAAGACCTTGACAGGAAAGACGATCACGTTGGAAGTTGAATCGTCGGACACTATCGACAACGTCAAAAGCAAGATCCAGGACAAGGAAGGCATTCCCCCTGACCAACAACGACTTATCTTCGCTGGTAAGCAGTTGGAAGACGGACGCACTCTGAGTGACTACAACATTCAGAAGGAGTCTACACTGCACTTGTGCTCCGTCTCCGTGGTGACAATAGGTGCTTCGCGATGGTGGAGTATGACGACATTTTGCACGAACTGGCGTTAAGTGGGTTTGGCCCCGGATTAGGCTCTTTGGCCTCGGCATCAATTAACATACCTTAATGATCAAGGATGCAGCAGCATCACTAGATTGATGCTGAATATGAATATACCAAATTCATGACTTTCAAACCACATTTTTTTCCGTAATTGTGATAAATGAGACCTTTAGACGTAATCTAATATATGTGATAGGTGAAAGTGTTGTAACCGTATTAATTCGTACTTTTATTAGTCCAAGTTCCACCATATCCACGAGCGTTGGGGTACATGCGTAAGGAAAAGATGACAACCGAATCGAAAGGAACGTTTGCACTTTCTCTTTCTAAAAACTTATACTGAGCCACAACATTTCCAATACATATTTCATCTATTTGCTTTAACAATGGGATCAACTTTCTATTACAACAGACAACGGCATTTCCATAGTTTTATCACCTTGGCGAATCGCATCGCTGCTTTGCCACATGAATTAGCTCAGCTCCCAATATACGCATACGGATGATTTGCTCATAAAGTCTTGCGCATTCTTAAAGACATAGGCTATGCCATCATATTATTACCATATCAAGCTCGAGGTTTATCCCACGCCGACTCCAGCGTCTAAGGGATTAGGGAAGGCATCGCAATCCTACGATAGGTCGACCTGGCTACCGAAAGACATCAAGCATCTTCGACAACCTTCCGTCGCATTCTCGAACGCAGACAGTAGCTCAAGCTCGTAGAGGGAAGATACCGTACATCTGGCAGCGAGAGCAAACACAGAATACCCCAACGAAGTCCAACTCGAGTGTCATTGACTGCGGGGCCCCTCGACCGCCCGAGTCGCAAGACGATCGAAATATTATACGACTTACTGAGAGACAGTCTCGACAACGAACGCTAAGCTATCCGCCTCCCCAGTCGTACGTTGCCATAAACCCGCACACCGCAGTTAAGGATTGGAGGTTCGGGCAGCTTAGGATCGAGAGCATCGACGTGGATAGTCACGACAATATGCAGGCAACATCCGCAGCGGCGGCTGCCGTCGGCCCTTCTATGGGAGGTGCAGGCAAGGCTACAAAAGCGAAGTATGTCCCGCTGAACTCTTCTAAGAACACGGAGTTGGGTTGGGGAATCGTACATTTATACCGAGAAGAGACAGAGAGTCCAGAGCTTGAGATATCCCTGGATCAAATACCCGAAGCCGACGGAGAACAGGACGGCGCGCAAATCGACTGCACTACTGTTTGCATTCCTGCAGTCCCAAGCTATTTATCTCCGAGCGACTTTCTCGGTTTTGTAGGTGAGAAATGGAGGGATAAGGTTAGTCATTATCGTATGGTTATGACGGGTCGAATGAACAGATACCTCGTGCTCATGAAGTTTCGAGAGAGCAAGCAGGCCCAACTCTTTAGACGCGAGTTTGACGGCAGGGTATTCAACGACATCGAGGTAAGAGGATCCCCAAGGTTATGGCATACATAAGGCTAACACAACGAAGCCAGAAACGTGCACAGTTGCTTTCATTAGGTCCGTCACTTTCGAGAGCCCGACCCGCCCAGGTGACACCTTTCCAGATCTCAGCCAAGATCCATTTACACCGTCTACTTCAGCTACATCTAATTCGCTTAAACCCTTTCCACCGCCAACCCCTAATTTAATCGAACTACCCACTTGTCCTGTCTGTCTCGAGCGCATGGACGACACTACGGGTTTATTAACAATTACCTGCCAACATGTATTTCATTGTTCGTGTCTACAAAAGTGGAAAGGTTCCGGCTGTCCAGTCTGCCGGCACACGAATCCAATATTATCATCGTCTTCGTCTTCGTCGAATGCCCATGCTTCAACCCCTTACGACCCTAACAACCCATATACGCAGCCTTTCGGCTCCCGTGTATCCAACCTGTGCTCAGTTTGCGACTCTCCAGACGACCTCTGGATATGCCTTATCTGTGGTAATGTGGGATGTGGGCGGTATAAAGGCGGCCACGCGAAAGAGCATTGGAAGGAGACAGCTCATACTTTCTCCCTGGAGATAGAAACTCAACACGTTTGGGATTACGCTGGTGATATATGGGTACATCGCTTGATTAGGGACAAGGGTGATGGCAAAGTGGTAGAGTTACCTGGCCGTCAAGGGGGACCAATAGGACCTGACGAACACGAAGACCATGACGTAGTGCCTCGTGCGAAACTCGAAAGTATCGGTATGGAGTATACTCATCTTCTCAGTAGCCAGTTAGAGAGCCAACGTGTATACTTCGAGGAAATGCTCTCGAAGGCTGCGGACAAGGCGATGAAAGCATCGGCAGCCGCAGAGACCGCCGCAGCCCAAGCGTCACGGGCGCTTAAGGAGCTTAAAATAGTTCAAGAGGAACAACATCGCCTACGCACCGAGACGATCCCAGGGCTCGAAAAAGATTTAGAACGCGAACGTAACCGGGCAACTAAATCTACGGATCTTGCGCGGGGGCTAGGCAAGAGTCTACAAGAAGAGAAAGAAAGTCTCGGAAGGTCTAATGAAACGGATCGAACATATGAACAAGGAGCTCGAAAGCCTGGGTGAACAGGTGAAAGAGCTTAAATTAGAGAATGCAGATTTAAAAGACCAGAACCATGACCTTAGCATGTTTATCTCAGGTCAAGAAAAACTCAAAGAACTAGAAGCTGAGGGCAAAGTCGAGGAGGGCGAGGTTCAAGAGGGTAGCGTTTCCGTGCCTGAAGATAAGAGACGTCGAAAGGGAAAGGGGAAAAGCAAAAACTGATATCTGTCAGTTCTACATGTTGATGCTTGAAGCGATCTAGTGGGTTAATTGACTTTCCTTTTCCCCGTTAACGCACAGATTCAAACGGCTTCCTTTGCGACCCGAGAGAGCACCGACATACCATAACATGTCACATCACTTTTGGGAGTAACCGGAAGCCAAGCAATTAAAAAAAAGAGAAAGTTTAGTTCCTCTGCAAAGCTTGTATATTGACATGCAAGACTATATAAATATTTTCGGTCTGTCCTCGCGATTGTCTTAGTCGTATATCGATCCGCATACCTTTGGTGCTCACATGCGCAATTACCTAGGTTAGCTTTAATTACCTAGGCATAGGATATGCGAAGCCGTTTTTAATTAGCCATTGTGGTATATGACTTGCATTCGTATCTGCCAGCATCCGTGATTGCGCCTCGCCTCGCATGATTTTTACAGATATTATGGGCCTACATTAATGTGTAGCAAGCAAGCAAGCTGCCCGCATACCGAGACGGGCCTGGTAAAACTGTAACGACTTACTATGATGATGATGAGATAGATATTACATAGTATCTCGTATGCTCGGTAGGGACGTAATGAATCCGGTCTGTTGGGAATTGCGAATGGACTTTGATCCAATAGTAAGCAGATATCTAAGTCAAAGTAGGCATTAGATATGTTAAGAATTGGCATGTCGAGAATTATGTACGAAAAAAGATGATACCTTTGATGGTTTGTACACAGATACATGGGGCTTAGCACGACACCCCACTTAAGTTCTAAGTACCTTTCACAAGCTAGAAACCTCGGACGAATGGCCACTCCACGTACCTGCCCCTCGGCCCCCTCCTCTAGCTGTGGCGCCGAGAATCTGACATTCTGCCAAGATTCCAGTCGCTTCCAGTACTATGTATATCCAAGGCGTGCAGGCAGCAGGCAGGGTACCACGAGCTGTGGCTTGCATTTTCATGCACAAGTTCTAAGTCTAGATTTTGGCCTGTGATTGATGAGTTTTTTTTTTCCTCTTCTTTTTTTTTATTAACCTGCCCGAGCAAGATCTACATTGCGTTTTTCTTGTTACTCACTCATTCATCTTCTTCACAGGATGACGCTCTCGATTGCTGGTGTGTACTAGAGCCATTGATAGCTACCTTTTTTTTCTTCTTCCTCTTTTTTTTTTCTCTTCTTCCCTTGTTTAGATGAGCTATCCGGGGCTAGGATTTCTACATACTATAATAGCTTAAGCCCGGACTTCCAATCTGGCTTTAATACCTAATCCCATTTATTTACCACGTCAACCCAGCTTTTGACAACGTGACCGTTTTCTGAGCCCACCCCGAGTCCGCCGCGTGCAACTCCCCGAAAACGATATTTACAGTCGTTACTTGAACGAACCGAATAATCCGCCATTTCCGTCGTCGCCACCGACTTCAACAGTTGGTATATATGTTAGTCACTATTGCGATAACATCTATCAAATTTACTTCCACCTAGCATATTCGCCGACCTTCGATTACTTTTTGCGATCATGGCCGACGGGAAGCCCGCCGAAGAGGCACGGCCCTCCGCCGTTGCAAAGCCCAAATCTACAAAAGAAAAAATTATACCCCATGTCCGACTGGAAATACGACGCCTTCTTACATACATTTTCCGTTCTCGTAGACTTATTCTTCCGCGAAGTCCATCCGCGAGGCGCATGGAGAGTGCCAAGGACTGGTCCTATCCTCTTCGTCGCCGCGCCGCATGCGAACCAATTCGTCGACGGCTTGGTCCTCCAGCGGACGCTAAAAAATGAAGCCCAGCGGCGCGTGGGCCTACTCATCGCCGAGAAATCAGTGCACGGTTTCATCGGATGGGGATCCCGTCAGACTGGGTCCGTTCCTGTAGGCCGAGCGCAGGACAAAGCGAAACCCGCTTCAGGTGTTATCTATCTTCCTGACCCCATCAATGACCCAACCTTGATCCGAGGCGTGGGCACGGACTTCGAGAAAGAAGCCGAGGTTGGCGGCATGCTGTTCTTGCCCTCTGTGAAGGGCCAGTCGGGTAGCTCGATCGACATATCTAAGATCATCGGACCTGAGGAAATTCGGATTAAGCGGCCGTTCAAGGGAAAGGTTCCCCTACAGCAGCTAACCGGTCGAGACGATATCGACGAGAAAGGGAATATTGCTAATAAGGAATTGAAGGGCCCGAAAGATGGTTTCAAGGGTACTAAGTTTAAACTAGCTCCCCATATCGATCAGACTGAGGTTTACAAGGCGGTTTTCAATCGTCTGAGGTCGGGCGGCTGTATTGGAATTTTCCCTGAAGGAGGTAGCCATGACAGGACGGAATTGTTACCTCTAAAGGCTGGTGTCGCCATCATGGCGTTGGGCACCTTGGCTGAAGATCCCGACTGTGGACTACAAATTGTTCCTGTTGGGATGAATTACTTCCATGCCCATAAGTTCCGATCACGGGCTGTCGTTGAATTTGGAGCCCCCTTCCAAATTCCGAGAGACCTAGTTGAGAAATACAAGAACAATGAGAGGAGAGACGCGATTGGCCAGACACTTGATATGGTACATCAGGCTTTGAGCGCAGTTACGGTATCAGCTCCGGATTACGATACCTTGATGTGCATCCAAGCAGCCCGGCGACTATACAATACCGGGAAGAAGCTGCCACTGCCTATGGTGGTAGAACTGAACAGGAGATTAGCTGTCGGCTTCTCTAAATACAAGGATGACCCACGTATTATCGATCTAATGAACAATGTCAAGGATTACAACAAGCAGCTCCACTACCTCAACATCAAGGACCACCAAGTGGCTTATGCTAAGATGACTCTCCCGATAGTTATTGTCACTCTTCTATACCGGATTAGCAAACTCCTTGTTCTCTCCATCGGTGTGATTCCCGGTCTTGTTCTTTTCGCGCCGGTCTTTGCCGCATCTAAGATCATTAGCCATAAAAAGGCCAAAGAAGCGCTAGCGGCTTCGTCAGTTAAAATTCAAGGCAAGGATGTCATGGCCACATGGAAACTCCTTGTGGCCATGGCGTTTGCGCCCGTGCTCTACAACCTATATTCCATTTTGCTCTCATTTAAGGTGTACCAAGATCACCTATGGGGCTACGTACCAGAGTGGGTGCCATTCTGGTTAGTCTTCATTGCCGGTTGGATCGTCTTTCCAGCTATCACGTTTGCTGCTCTGCGCTTTGGCGAAGTTGGTATGGACATATTCAAATCTCTCAGGCCCCTCGTTCTGTGCATCAGCCCGACATCTGGCTACAGCATCCATAAGCTTCGAGAGCGGAGAGCGGAGTTATCCGAGAAAGTAGTCCAGGTTATCAACGATCTCGGCCCCGACATGTACGAAGACTTCGAACACACGCGTCTGGTCGCAGACCCCCGCGCGAATGGAGCGATCTCACTTAAGGAAGCTAGCGTTCCGGATAGGACGGAGCCGACCCCACCAGACTCTCCTCACCTTTCGAGGAAGAATACCACAAGATCGAGCCAAGCTATCCCAAGAAACGAGTCCTTCAGCAATATCGGCGCCATTGGTATGTTCGCGACGCGCCCGCCGTCTCGGTCTAGAAGCCGCAGCAGCAGCAGCGGAGGCGGGTTCGGGTCCGGCGGGTTCCCGGTGTCGGGGTTCACGGCGCTGGATACTAACGAAGGGTTCCACGAGGCGAGCAATAAGATCAGGGCGGCGATGAAGCAGAGGGGGCAGCTGAGGCGGAGGAAGAGCGGGTTTTCGTCGGATGGAGAGGGGAGCGAGGGGACTTGAGGGAGACTTGGGAAACTTTTTTCCAGTTCACAGGTTTCGATTCTTGTTTGTGTACCTAAGATAATTTGGCTTGGACTGGACTAAAATGAAAGGTCTAGACGGATAAGTCTGGGTTAGAAAGGAAAGGAGGAAGGAGTTGAGTACTGTAATGTGGTAGGTTTTTTATTTTTGAACTACTAAGAATTCTTGTGTGAGAGTGTGAGAGTGAGAGAGAGAAAGAGAAGTAGGAGTAATGTATACCCGAACGTACAGTACGTTGGTGGATAGGTAGACTGTCGTTGTTGTCTATACAGCTACTATTCGATCACGAGAAGAATAAGAGGAAGAGGATGTAATGACAAATGCGATCTCAACTTTGAGTGTGTATAGGCGTGATATTTGATTGTGAGGTACATGCAAGGTATGAGTTATGGTAAGAAGCACTAGGTACGAGTTCTATCTAGACTTAGGGCTCGATATATATATATATATACCTACAGATCTGTTATATATATGTGTATGCGTGCGAGTATGAATGCTACGAGTTTGTCCTGAAGTCCGACTTGGCTACTTACCTAACCTACAGAGTACCCAATTCCCTGACCAATCGAAAGGACCTCGTACATAGGTTAGGTAGGGAAAGCCACTCATCTGTAAGCCAGACATATGTTACGGTGGACGAGATGAGTAGGTAGGTGAGACCAGAGTACGACCAATCGAGGAAATGCTTGGCAGGGGTCGGAGCCAGTTAGAGCCCTGGGGGGTCGATCTGAGATCTTATTGGAAGTGTGTGTGTTACATAGGTAGGTAGCATGTAGTATGTAACATCGTTACAAAACATTTGACGTGTTATTACTAAGTCGATCATTTCTTTTTGTCGAGGGGCGGTAGGTAGGTTACCTAGGTACTTGGCAGCCAGCTAGATAGGTATATGTACTGTACCTACAGCCTTACCGGTATTCAGGGCGGAGATAAGTGGTGTAAATGTAATACGGCGGGCGGGATGCCGTATCGGTGAGATGCCGTGGGCGTTGTGATCTTTCTTTTTCTTTTTTTTTTTTCTTTATCCTAGTAGATATTGGTCTCTACCTAATGATGTGACAGGCATATGTAGGTACCCAACATACAGCATATATGTAGTATGGCATGGCGGTGATAGGTAGCTAAAGCCAACGAACACGCGGCAGCTCGGAGGCCGAAAAACTTACTCCGAAGGACGTGCCCTCTTTTGTCCGAGAGTTGGATACCCCCGACCGAAGCAGGTATAATAGGGGAGCCCCCGACAAGGTCTCGAATAGAAATCTTTTTATTTCGAGTTTGTCATCCCAAAGTTTCTATCCTTCCCTCCCTTTTTTTACTTTCCCCCTTTTTTTATATACCTACCTACGTTTAAGAAGAGAGGTAGACTGGGTCAAAGTGAAGGTTAGATCTCGCTTATTTGGCCTCGGAGATATCGCGCTCGGATTTGATTGTTGTATCGTGCGACATTTGCGGAGTTTGTCAACGCAACGACAAATAAATATACAGAGCCTGGTTGTATTCACCTGGTGTTTGTGAGAGATCTGGTCACGACAGAGTTGGTTATGTAAGTGTTGCGGCTTTTCTACTTTGTCTTACGACACAAGCAACGGGATACTATTACCGTACCTACCACCCCTTGCTTTCTCCTTCCCAGGCACAAGCCCCCCCCAAACCCAATTCCCCAAACACCACCCACTTGGCTTGCAGCACTAACCCAATCTCTGGATCAGATAAGATATATTGGCGTTACCCCTGCCCCACCATAGCTTCCGTCGCTTCTTAGACTTATTTCTCCGTCGCGAACCTTACATCTTTTTTTTCTTTCTTGCGATCAATCGCCATTATCCCAAGGGGGAGAAGAATTCCGGGGAGGAGAAAGAAGAAGAAAGAAGTAGAAGAAGAAGATGGCGGCAGGTCTACTCTCGCTGATCGGAGGAGCCCGGCGGGCATTGACCGGCAGCGCGCGCGCGTCGGAGCTGTTCCCGCAGACGCGGCCGGATGTCGACGGCGAGGCGTGCAAGCACGACTGCGATAGCTGCACCGTTAAGTACCCGCGGCACTTCAAGGTCGAGGAGTCGCACCCGCTGTACGGCAACATTAAGCCCTGGAGCACGCATGTCATTGTCGCGACTAGCAAGTCGGATTGGAAGAGGGATGTTGAGGATGAGAGGGGCAGTGTTATGGAGGCGTTTGGGCATGCTAGTAAACCGGGTAATGGGGTAGGTTTTTTTTTTTCGTTATTTACCTTAATTGATAATAAGGAACATGCTAATATAATCATAGCGCCTGATGCTTTCCGCCTCTAATATGCCCACATCGACGCATCAGGCTGATTATTCACAACCCACATCGATTCTGGTTCTCCCCGCCTTCACTATCATTGACAATGTGACGCCACCCGCCGTCCCATCTCTCGTTAATAAATACATCTCGCGCGCGCCCACAACCTCAGACCCCCTGGACCCGCTATCCCTCCCCAAAACCATCCCGTCTTCCCGTTCCGCGTCGGCGACATGCACGCGCGCCCGTGCCCCCACCGCGCCGTCGTTCTCCTGTGCTCGCACCGCACGCGCGATGCCCGTTGCGGTCAGAGCGCCCCGCTCATCAAGAAGGAGCTTGAGCGACACTTGCGCCCGCTGGGCCTAGAGCGCGATCTCGATGACGAAAGACCCGGGGGTGTAGGAATTTACTTCGTCAACCATGTCGGCGGCCACAAATACTCAGCCAACGTCCTAATTTACCGCCGTCCAGACGCCTTCGGCCTCGACAAGGTAGATCGAGGAAAGCTGCCCCCGGGCCAGGAGCCGCAGGTCAAGGCCGTGAAGCCGGCGCCTGCGGAAGACGGAGAGGACGCTGGAGAACCGGATGTAGGAGCCGGCCAGTGTATCTGGCTTGCGCGGGTGCGTCCCGAGGACTGCGAGAACTTGGTCCGGTATACGATTCTGCAGGGCAAGGTTGTCAAGCCGGATAAGCAGCTGCGGGGTGGGTTTGATCGGAGTACGGGGATGATAAGCTGGTAGGTTCCTGGGGGGGCATGTATTGGCATCTTAGACAGAATGTGAATTCAGCGCGGTTTCTAGAGCAGAAATTGGGAGTTTGCATATCCGTTATTGAGATTGTTATAAAGTATAGAGAGATGCTATGACTTATGTGGTGGGCCGGTGCGGCGGTTCTTTATATGCGGGTGCTAGGGTCCTGGTGTAATAATGGCTTATGGTGATGATGACGGGTATGGTAATGCGAGTTTATAGAGACGATAAGACTGATATTTCTGGCCTTGCTTTTCTACGTTGTCTCACATATATGATGGGTTTCTGAATAGACGGTCTACTTTCATGTTAACTAGAACTCTCGGGAGTTAGATGAGAATTACTCTTATTAAGATTTTACATTGTGGCATTAGGGTTTGAGTATGAAGGTTAGGAGATGGAACGGGAGATAGGGGATAGGTTGTTAAATAAGATAGGGTAATATATGGTCTAGTTAGTTAAACAAACTAACTTCTATATAATGTTCTATGTCTATACACTTTATAGTTAGCTCGAGACTTATTGCATGAACACCTATTATACGGGTTCATACCGATATTAATCTTCTATAATATAGTCCACGACTCGATTAGTGTCTCTTGAAATTCTGAGTTACTCGGAAAATCTATTATTAATAATCACACCTTTCCTATCGAGTTTAGAAATACACTTCGCGTTCAGGCTAGAAGTGTGGACAGTTCTGCGATCGAACTTATTGCTGGCCATATTTCGTAGCTCTAAAGCCCCACGTCCGTTAATGGGCTTGGAGATATGGAGGCTCCGGTATGCTAGTTATTAGATCAAGACTTTAAAGAGACTATAGCCGTTTCAATAAATTTAATCCAATAGGTAACCCTCATATAGGTTCATAATTACTTGACAAAATCATACGCGTCGTTATGTATTATGTGCATAGTGTAGATCTACCCATGCAACGTCCGGGACGCCTCAATTTACGGACGTTAGCGCCTATGTATCTCCCCTCTCCTGCTCATCTTTCTAAGATATTGCTCCTGATTTTATTAGTATGCTTATTAGCTCCTTATGTTTCTCGGTCAAGCACCCATTCGACTCTCCCGACCTACCGGGGACTTCTTAGGGCCACGTATATACAGGAAGGGGACCTCTGAGGCTAGCGAGGATGCTCACGGTCTGTTTCGTGGATTCTGCTGGCAAATTTCATTATAAATGAAAGATGAACTTACACGATGTCTTTTAATCCGCTAGGATTTATTAACATCAAACACGGAACGAGGAAAGCCACACTAACATAAGCCGTGTGAAAATATCCACGTAGAATAGCGTTAGAAAAGGCCCAATTAGGAATTATTTTTTTCGCCCAAATAGTATATGACCTCTACAATGCGCTACAATAGTCCGAGTTTACAGAGGTTATATAGTTGAATATATTGAATATTTTGAATATCCTCGAAATCTTCACCTAATATTCGGTACTCAAAACTTAATACCTTTACTTACGGCTCGGTACCCAAAAGAAAGACTCGGCACCTAAGAAAAGGGCTCGGAACTTTTAACACTTTCGAAACCCTCACCCTTAGCACCACCTTTACTCTTAACACCTTCACCCAGCCAAAAGGAGGACTTGATACTTAAGGGAAAGATTTGAAAGTAAAAAGATACGTATATTGAGAAAAAGATAAAAGTGAAGAATTTAATACGATTTGTTATTTTGGAAAATATACCAAATAAAAACGCTTAAATGTTGCGTAAGTCGAAGCACCGTTACTGGGGCCACCCTAGTGGGGACCACCCATTTCCCATACAAAATCAACAAAATCACCTATTCATAATTCATCCAAGAAAATAGCTAAAAATATCCAGTCTTTATTTTCTAATTCCTTACTACTATAATAGCCTATATAATGTTTTCCAAATTTTTATTATAACCATTTTGTGGTAAAATTGTAAAAAGTGTTGTTTTTGGTCATTTTTTAGCATTAAAAACTTTCAAAAATATATGGGAATTTTATATACTTTATTATAAAGGCTCATAACTTCCACAAAAAATTAACTATACATTTGCTTTCAATATTAAAAGTTGCATTGAAAAATTCTCTATCCAATTATATAAAAATGGGATTTTTACTATATAAATTGGCAAAGTTATAAGCATTAATAATTGTTAACAGCTATACATATAAATTTATATATATATTTGTTAGTGTGTTCATTTGTAATCATTTTGCCACGAATATTGATCCAATCTTTTTTTCAAATTTTGTACACAATGACGACACTTTACTATATTTAAATATAAAATTCTGATATTTTTACCTATTTTCTTGGATGAGTTATGAATATACGATTTTGTTGATTTTGTATGGGAAATGGGTGGTCCCCACTAGGGTGGCCCCAGTAACGGTGCTTCGACTTATAGACGAACGTCATATTTGGTAAAAAGGCCCCCCAAACAATATCCCTCGCAAACTTCCCACTGTAGTCAAACCAAAATGGTCCGATTTAGGTTTTTCCTTGGGCACTGCTGGGCGCTGAGGGTAATTCCATCTCCGTTATAAAAAAGGGGGTTTCCCCTGATCAAGTCGGCTTTGATGCTATCTGGCGCCGGCGCTAACCAGATATAGTAATGTTGTGGGCAGGTTGGGGATAGGCAGGAAGTGGAGGATCTCTCTCATTATCATCATCATCCCTCATAAAAGTAACTCAATGGGCAGTATGTGGTCCGTGTCAACAAAATTTTGGGGAGGGCAGAAGGGCGTCAAAAAAGGTGGCGCTTCCTACCAAAAACACTCTAACTTCTAACGGCTATAATTCAGCCAATTTAAGACTAGATTAATTATGAAATATACTATTCGATAGCCCTGATAATGGCCTATTTTACTATATTTTTTATTTAGTCTAAGATTGGGAAATAAGCCCTTAAATAGAGGTGGTTTTATATTAATATTTAATACTTTTACAATAATAATATAATTTATAATTACGTACCAACTTAGGTTAATATAAATAAAAAAATCATCCGATTATAATTCAATAGCTTAATTTTATTATAATAATTTTATTTTATTTTTAAAAGTAGGTTTGGGTATAAAATAACTTTTTGAAATATAATACTTTTGTATGCGTTGGTAGTGGGTGCGCCACCTTTTTTGACGCCTTTCTGGGAGGGGGAGCTTAAGATGACATAAGCATATAGGTATGATGCTACCCTGCCTGTGGACGAAGATCTTATCTTGGTTGTTGTGGATTAAGCCGCACCACCAGTGCAACGGTCCATCCAAAGATGTCGTGCAAAGGTCAAAAAAAGGTTGTACTAACATACCAAAAAGTTCACTTTCGTATCCACATAACTCAGCGAAGTCCTCCAGTATCCCTTTGTAACTTATCTTAAAATAAAATCCGAAGTTTATTTCATATTACCATAATTTTTTTAGTATTTTTTTACTTAATATATCTCGAGATAATCTTTGTAAAAGGTATTCCTATTGTTAGGCATCTATTTTACACCACATCCATCTGAGTATTCTCCCGAATCTCAGCATATCCTTGCTTTCCCTGACGGTGCCTTTATAAATATTCCTATCAAGTCATTTTAATCATTATCCAACTTTAACCCTTCCTCCTTCTAAATAATGCATTGTAAATCTTCTATTTCTTCTATTCAAGTTATATTAAAGAGACCCAGCCATAAACTTATGGGTTACTAAGTTACTACCATTTGAAATAACCTCGCGAACCATCTGCGCCCCCCACTCATTTATATCAAATCAAGCTTTCCACTACTTTCATTATCAGGGCTTAGTTTTATTGTTTCCCTATTTTACCCTAGATTATCACCATATCAGCTAAGCCTGTACCGTCTTAGCTATTGTTATCGATGATAGGCTCCGAGTTGACGCATATGGCTCTCAGATTCATGCACCATCTTGGCGCCTTTACAAATAAGGACGAACAAACCATAGATACTTCAGCCGGAACTGGCATCTCTAGTGCAGAAGTCGACGGCCGTGGCGAAATAACGGACCGCATCGAGTGCCTTCCAACCCAGGGTGATGGACATGTTCCCCGAGCAGTTGTTTTTAAGTATTTGCATAACTATGACGAAGCGTGTCTGGGAATGAACCTTAGAAAGGTCAGTCCCGATGCTGATGTTCAGAATGGAGGTCCTTTCAGCGGTACGTATTTAAACTAGTATTTCGCCCCTTTTGCATTGCTGATGTCGTCAAGGGATCGTGAGGGTGGTTGCAGTATTTCAAGGACGTACAGGTGAATGGTGGCAGACCACCGGATCTGGAGTTATCATTGATGATCACCATGTTATGACCGTTGGCCACAACATCTGGTCTTCGAAAGGTGGTCTTGCCTTGTCTATTAATATCCATCGAGATAGGCGCGCAGACCACGACGACTCAGACAAGCGCTGCGTGGAAGCTGGGGCTGTCCATTACCAGTGGACTCAAGCATGTTCGAAGGCGAAGGGACCTAGATCTATTAGAAAATATTGGAAAAACGACTTTGCTATTCTTCGTGTTTCGAAGCCCTTCCCCGAAGGAACTCAACCGATGGAATACCGGAAGACACCGACAAAAACCACCAGCGTCAAGATTTACGGGTTTCCTACTGATATGCCTAAAGACACGAAAGGGGAGTGGCTCGCTTATCTTTGCTACAGTCAAAGTAGGGTCACGTACGTACCTGCTACCAGCAGTCTGCTCGACCATGATGGAGACACAGAACCTGGTATGTACAATTAGCACGTTTATGGAAGATACCAATACGTTCAATTGGGGTTTATGGCTTCTTATTCATCTAAAATTTTGGTGGTTTACTAACGGTTTTAACTTGTTGTAGGTAGCTCTGGCGGTCCTGTCGTCGATTCTTCTGGAAAGGTGGTTGCACTGCATCGAGGATTCGACTGGACGGACTCATATACTCATCCTCTAATTAATAAGGCAGTTGCCCTCATTACCAAGGGAAACGATCCTGAGAAATTCATCCAGGCGATCAATTTTCCAGATGGAAAAGAGCTGACGAAAGGACTAGAAGTAAGAAAGGGCAATGTGTTCAGGGTTGGAGACTGCGTCGCAACTTATTATGATTGGAATTGAGCCGGCGAGCCAAGGTGATGACGGAGTATGGTTTATTAAAATAGGGATGGCGGCTATGAACGAGATGACGAGTTTAACGACAAGGGAAGGACAGGTGTTTAAGGATCAGCTAGAACTTGAAAGGATTAGATAGATATGGGTATATCTAGGACACATGTATTTGGCGATTGATCATGTAAATTAAATCTAGGTACTTTATAAAAGGGGACTAGCCCCTAATAAGTAGATAGTTAAGTAAAAGGTTATGCAATGTTACCTATTCCATGAGTACCCTAGCCATGCATTGTTTTACCTAGGTAGGTACCTAGGTATTACATAAATCCGGTAGCTTTGCTATTTAACCCTTAAATCTCGGTACCACACGATTAAGCACCCCTAAAAGCAGCTGCGGTTTATTGGGATGTATATAAATGATGCTCATGAGGTACAAAAGCCTGCAAGACTAATGATTTGGGGATTAAGATAATGTTATACTAAATTAACGATCCTTAACCTTCACTTTTACGAAACACCGAATTTATGATAATTACATACCTATGTATATTGTGATTTATATGTGGAGTAGCTAGACCCGCTAGTATATACAGGATATACAAGATATCACAGGCCGTTATATACAAAACTAAAATTTACATATACGACGAAACTCGCACCTCTCCCTAAACACCCCCGTTTATATATATCTATTAACCTTCTAACCCTGATAGTTAAGCACCTTAATACCCTCGCTATAATCGCCTTCAGGAAACTTGATCTTGCCAATGTACATGCGGCGCTTAGTATCCTTGGGGTTACCCGGCTTGTCCCGGCCGTGAAACGCAATGGTCTTCCCGTCCGAAGCAATGTCCATGTGACCCGGCCCGTAGATCGGCTGGTTAGGACCGGAACGAGCTAGAGTCTTCCGATGCGCGAAGTCTCCGTCCGGCTTAGTCGCCCACGCATATTGAATATCGTAGCTATCGCTATTGTAGCAGTGCGTGCTGAAGAACAGAACCTATATTTATCTCTTATCAGCAAGTGAACTCACAGATAACATAGTGAGAATAGGTGCAAAAAAAAGAGAAATTTAAAATATGAAAGAGAACACTTACATAAGACCCCGGCTTCCGCTTATACATGGCCGGGCCCTCCACAAGCCCATCGTCCTTATCGCCGGCGTGGTTAAGAATCGTCTTCGGGCTGCCCTGCAGCGTCAGCCCGTCGCGCGACACCTTCTGGATGCGGATGGGCGTGGGCTTGTAGTCGCCGGTCTTGGGGCCGCCGGTGCACGTCGTCCGGCCGCCTAGCGCGTTGCCGTCGACCTTCCAGATGACCCACCGGTACTTGCCGTCGTCGAACTGCACCGGGTCGATGATCCCGCCCCCCGCGTCGTCGCAGATCAGCGGCTGCGATGTCGCTTTGAACGGGCCCTGCGCGCGGTCTGCCGTGGCGACGCCTGCGCAGCGGCGCCCGCCTTTTCGTTGGCCCGAGACTGTGGTATCGTTCGTTAGTTTCTAATTCCCCCTTTTTCAGGTAAAGGGGGTAGGGGGTAGGGGGTATGGTCACTTACAGTACATGACGTACTTCCCATTGTCGTTCTTGAACACGCTCGGCGCCCAGATACCCTTGTTCTTGGGGTCGATCCAAGACCCGACGTCGGGCATGGCGTCCGTCTTGGTCCAGGTCCACTTGTTGCCGTCGTTGGAGACGGCCAGCGGGATGTGTCCGTTGTTGTCGCTTGATGTCGCGTACGCCCACCATGTGTTGCCGTCGATGAGTAGCGTCGGGTCCGGGAAGCTGATGTCCATGACCGGGCCGTTCCACGGGCCCTTGCCTCGGGCGATGAGGTCGTTGGCCTCGAATTCGGAGAGTGTTACGTTTTCGAGTTCGATGGACTGGGATGGGGTTAGTGGTGGGTTTATGTAGACGGGAGGGTGTTTAGGGGGTGAGTAGCTTGGAGGACGGTCATTATCTATAAGAATAGGTAGATAATTATCTAGTATAGTACAACTAAGAAGCTTCACTTACACCAAAATCAGGCTGAGGAAGAGCCGCCACGAGGCCGGCCGCCACGGCGAATAGAATGCTCTGCTTCATGATAGCAGTTCAAGACAGTCGTATATATACCCTGCTAACTGCTACAACATCAAGCTTAATAATAAGCTGATTAACAACAACAGGATCATCCGCCTCACGAGGGCAACGCCGATTCTTAAATACCCCTAATCGAACACACGATGGAGCGCCTCCATCTCGTGTAGCGCTCCAGCTTGTCAGCTAACCGAGCCAGCCAAGCCCAAGCAAATAACTCCCACTATCCACCTAATACCTAATACCTCCCATAGTGCTATTCCCAGACACGCCCGGGACTCCTCTATCGGCCGGTGCGACGTTCATAGGCGCCAAGACGCCTCCGCCTCTGCATACTCGAACCAGAGATTTCGATTCCAAAGTTGCTGCCTAAAAAACTAGCGCCGCTACCGTGGTGCTTTGTTTTGTTTTGATTCTGTTCCTTTCCCAGAAACAGCTTACTACTCTTGTCCAAGTCGTCCTTCGCCGATGGTGCTAGTTCCCATTCCACGTTTTCGGGCAGGTAGTTTGGCTCGGCATCTTACTTTTTACATAAATAACATACCTATATACAATACAAGAGGGGCCCCGCCCCATGCGAAGGATCGCCGTATCTTCCCTTCTCTTTAAGCCTGCATTATAAAATAAAACATCGCTAGCCCTGATATATATATATACATAATACTGTAAGCCGGCTGCAGTAGTAGTTAATATCGCCCCGTCGATTCAAAGCATTCCAGCTTCCGAATTGAATACGCGTATAACTTCATTCCCTCATTTAGAATCCTGTACGTCTTTACTTTTGTTAATCAGACCTTAGGCTACGTTACATGCGTTGTTCGTAAGGTGACTAATAGAATAGCCATGCTACTCATTTAAAATAAGAGTCGTATTTGTTTATGACAATTCCGAATATAATTAATCATTCGATTTTTTTGAGGTATACTATAGTCGGTATACTATGCAAAATACTCTTCGGGTAACGTTAAATCCCAAGGTGCTTACATGTGTTAGGTACTTTGAGATCCCATGAGATCGATCCATAGGGCTGGTGTCTAGATTAAGTTTAATGTATGTGTGTGTGTGCATGACATGAAACATACGAGTCTAAAATTAGATTCGGATAACGGACCGAGCCGGAAATGGAAGATGAACCGGAATAATCGGGAATAATTCAAACACTTTCGCTGAACAGGGAAATTACTTATTCCAGTGACACGTGCAACTTCAATTCACTATATCTCCGTCTGACTGCGTCAAGTCATACTTCTTAATATCTTCTAAAACAGCATTTCCAAAATCCAAGCAAGTCGAAAGAAACAGATTACCGCAAATTCTCATGTCGAGAGCGGTAGCAGGATGTGCAGCACGTAACATGCAGAATATGCAAGTCACTGACTGCCACAGAGATTTATACCAAGAACAGTACCAAGAGAGATTCGACCCCGAATTGATTCCTCAAATGCGCAAATCATTGACCTTGACTAGAATTTGGCATTTCAGTCCACGGAATAGTATCGGGCTGATGATAGGACAATCGTTGACTATGCATCGCCGAGACCGAGCAACACAAGGTTCGCTACGTTCATGGCCACCATTATAAGCCAGATGATGCCGGCGAGCACAGAGATATACCAAGGATTAGCCATCATAGCGGGGCTATCTCCATTTACAGAGCCATTTGCAGGACCAAGCTCACCCTCGCTAGCGCTGATATTAAGGGTATTGCCGTTGATGATGAACGTGTCTTTTCCTTCAGTCTTGTATCTGGCATGTCCCGGCTGAGCTGTCATGTATTTGTTGAAGCAAGTAAACCAGATAAGCGGCGCGGTGACAAACGGCAAAACAACGCTCAGCGCGACCTGACTTCCATTAAGAGCGGCATTGAGTTTCTCCCGTCCTGCGGCGCCGGCGATGATGATACTCGGCGTGATAGAGATGGATCGCGTGACGAGACGTCGAAGCCATGGCTTCATCTTCCAGTTCAGCGCACCCTCGCATATCATCTGTCCAGAGATTGTGCACACAATACCCGCCGAGACAGAGAACAGTAGCGCGAGAGCGAAGATTGTTCCTGCACCCGGGCTGATACTTTGCACGAGTAGATCATGAATTCCGAAAATATCAGCCTCTAGAGCATCAGGATTTTGGTAAAGACTGGCTCCTGCCACGATAAGAATGGCACTATTCACGAAGAGGGCGAACGTGAAGAGGGAAAGGGACACTTCGGCATACGAGTATTTCAGCGAGTGTTTAATGGCTGAAAGACTAGGAACATAGTATGTTTTCTCTCCGATCTTATCGTCCATGGTACTGTTGGCAGCAGATGGTGGTCCGGGAGGAAGTAGACCACGCTTGGTGTCATAGTCTTTGAGGCGACTCTGTACTATGCCAGAGCCTAGATATAACGAGTGAGGCATTACCTATCGCCTTGTTAGCAACCGCGCTTAAGGACACAATTGAGAAATTGGGTGAGTAAATCGGGAGAATTTGCTATAGTGGTGTATAAGGTAAAGAGGGGTACATAGAGGCGTAGTAAGGGATTATAAGATATACATACAGTGGCACCTAGAATACCGCAGGCTTGGAACAAACCCGAAGACTGCGTTATAGAATCATTCGGTACGTAGCCCAGGAAGACTTCACCAACGGATGTATCCTCTATAAGCGAGAGCTGAATGCAGAAGCAGACAACAACAGCCAGGACGAGGAACATCACAAAACATTCGAACATCCGAAGTCCTCTAATAGAATCATTAGGTCTATAGAAGAAGAGAATGACCATTACGTCTAAGATAGATAGAGCGCAACCGGCGACGAGGGGTAACTTGGGTATAAGCAGGTTCAACCCAATAGCAGTACCAATAACCTATCATTGATTAGCCAGTCTACAATTATATCCTAAATAGTATATTCTTACCTCTGCAATGTCAGTTGCGATAATAGCAGCTTCGGCCAAGAAATACATAAAATAATTAAGCCATCTAGGTAAGAAAGCCCGGCAAGCTTCAGCCAGGTTGAGTCCCGTGACGGTTCCCAGCTTGATAGAGAGGCATTGCAAGAAGATGGCGAAAAGATTGCTCATCAGAATAATAAAAAGCAGACGAAATTGATTTTCAGCGCCTGCACTGATGTCGGTGGAATAGTTTCCAGGGTCGACTAGGGATCGTGGTCTAAGTCAGCAAATGGGATACCTTGGGTATATGTACATATATAAGTGCATAGTCGACAAGGAACAAAAGATAGACAGATAGACATACTATACGCTACAGCGACTAGAAAACCAGGTCCGACAAACTTGCCAAAGGTGACGACGGTTCGGCACACGCGCTGCAGAAAAGACTGCTTCCGCGATGCGGCGATCGAACCGCCGTCGTTGTCCTGGTTGGTTGCCCTCCCAGGGATCCGACCAATCGTACGACGCGCAATGGTCAGATCCGGTGCGCTACCATCAGGGTCCTCCTCGACGGCAGGCGGCGCGCGATCGGCCACGGGCTGTCCAGAGTCGTCCATACTCCTCGATTTGTCGCCTCTGTGCTCTCTGGCATTCGCTATGCCGTTGAGGTCTTGGTTGGTGACGAGGTCGTTCGAGAAGGCGTTCGGGCTCTGGTTGAGCCCTTCGCCCTCGTACGGCTCGTCCGTCCGCGATGTCTGGTTCATGGTGGTCAAAACCGAACCACTCCCGCTAGGGCCCCTAGTAGGGAGAAAAAAAAGGGGACCACGAGAACTTTCTCGCAAGCGCCTTGTTATCTTTCCCTCTCTTTTTTTTTTCCTTTAATTTTTCTCCTTAGTCCATAACCACGTTTTTTTTATTGCTTCTTTTTGGCAAGAAAGGTTTCTTGTCAAAAGAACACAAAGAATCAAATAACTATGTATCGTATGTGAGTCTAGTAAAAGAAGGATGATGATGATAATATGTGTGAATCTTTACTATGGGACGGGTGTTAACGGTATCGGAAGAAGGAAACCTAAAAAAGTTCCAAGGTGGCAATCGGCTTCAGAGGTTAAGTACTTGGGTAATTATACGAACTGATTCGTCGACGATTCGTTGCTTCCACCATAGGTTAGGTAGTTACTTGATCTGTTTGAACTAGGAACGCACGCCAGGGGGGTGTTCTCCACTGAAAGTTACCCATACCCCGGAATTTAGCGTAAGAGTTACAGCAGTTACAAACTAAGGAAAAGTATGGAAGCTCCAGGGCTATGGGCTCATACTCACATCTTTACTCACATCTTTGTGCCGTGTACTTGCGTCTTGTAGGTAGTATGTAGTTGGTCACTTTTCAGTCCCAACTCTACATAATCCGAAATGGTGCATCATTGATATAAACTCATCACGATTTCTTCCGTATCACGGTCTAATCCCGGTACCCTTCAACCCGAGACCGTTCCGGATTATATACACATGTGGTCCCTTTTCGGCAGATGTTATACCTAAAATGATACGGATTCAATAATATCTAGTATAATATTCACTCCTTTCTCCCGGAGTGACTACTGTTATCTTCAATTGTATCTTTGTTCCCCGGTTCGCCTTTATTTGAGCTTTCTAGCATGTGCAACTACATGTGTGGAGGCCAGAACGGAAAAGATGAGAGCCGGTTGGTTCTTGGCATTGAATCCTAATTACTTGGATTGGTAGAAATTCATAGAAAAAAAGGCTTGTGGTTAAGTAAAATCGTATATCACACAAGCCATATCACGGCATTAGCTAGCCGAGAGGCATCTAAGACATGCAAGCAACTTCGACTTATTTATTACAGAGCTCGTATAGATTGCTCTCGTCTAATACAGTCTCTTCTTAATTGATTCATCCCACTTCTCCTCAACCCATCCAGCTTGTGCTCCCTTCTCCAACGCCATATCCGCCATGCAAACGCCTCTAGATGTGTCGCTGAATACACCGCCGTGTCAATTTTCCACGCTCGTACGTACCTTAGCATAATAGAGACCACCCCGGTTCATATTTAGTCACCCGTTGGCCCACCTTGTAGCCGGCTTCCGGTTTCGGGCGAGTCTCGGTAAATATCGGTATGGTCTATGCATGCCGAGTACTTATCCAGCCAGTGGCACCAGTCACAAATCATTGCGACTTCTTGCTACCCGTCCCCGCCGCAGCACGTTCTCTTTCCCTCTTCGCATAGATTCCAGCCGTGAACGGGTTTTCGTATTTCAAAGCGATCTGATAGACAACGAAAACCCAAGCAGTCAGTAGAATACCAGCTGGCTTGCCGTATAATAGCGCTGTGCCGAGGAAACTACAGGTCGAGCCGTTATACATGGGTGCATCTGTGATGTTGAAAGGGAAACCCGTGATGATGTCATCCATCAATATTCCGAAATAATCTCCCAAGAACGTGCCCGTAATACCTAACGCCCAGGTCGAGGATATAACCAGGATATTTCCGACAGCGAGCAGTCCATATGCCAGATATTTCACCTCGTCCAGCTCGAGCAAAGGGTAGGACGGTTGATGGCGCAAGGCACGCTCGTATAAGAAGTCGCGCACCAGACCAAGGGAGAAGATCGTGAAAGCTAGCCCATAGCAGGCAGCTTGCGAATGTCCGCCGAAAAGCTTGGTGAGTGTCTTGTTACGGTACTCTATTTAAATATTAGTCACAGTACGATGAAAGGAAATATAACTTAGGTGAAGTAAGGAGGTAGTGTTGAAACCGAGATGGACTGACCTCGTCGAGCTACGATGCTATAGTTCCTGTTAGCATATCCACCGTCTAAAGCTCTATAGACTAGGTGTCTAATGGGGTGGATATATCAAATACACGACTTACTTCCAGAATAGCGGGTTAAAAGCAACCGCAAAGGCAGAAACTAATATTGTTAGCATATGTATCGTTTGCGACATTGCTTTACTTCAACATACGGTATAGGCTCTTCTGGTCTAGGTCGACTAGCTTGGTCACAGCAGGATCTAGGGGCGCCATAGCTGAAGCTCGTACCAGCTGTTGTTGATGTATAAAACAAAATAATAAAACAATATTTACGAGGTTATAATATATTATGATATTGTGTAAGTGGTGATGACGTTGGGGTTGGGGAACTTTCAATATGTTTACGAAAGCAAGGTGAACGTGGCCTGGGGAAACTGGGTTTTGTGGAATTAGAATTATTGGAGCCAAGTCTTTTTTTTTTTTTTTTCGGTCTTGTAAAACAATGGTATTTCATCCCGCTTTGCCCACTTCGCCAGACAACCCAGGGTAATACTATGGTCAAACCTCGGAGCCCCTCCCGATAACTTAATCGATCCGATCGGAACGCACGTGCATCATTGGGCTTTGCATTGTGGCCTTCCCTTTTTCTACTTTATTACATGGTAACTTTCAAGTAATACTATTTACTTCCATCAACCAACAACTAAAGACCAAGCTCAGGACATCATACATATATAGTTTACATTACTATTTACCTTATAGCAATCCCGAGATCATTACTTTATACTCTTAAGCTTCACATTATAATCGACGTAATTCCCGTTTGATGAGAATATGCTGACGCCATAAGGTACAAAGTCCAGTAGGTAAGAAAAGGTTATTGAGACCCTTTTCTCATTCCATTTATGGATTGGACTGCTACCAACCATCTCACCGGGTATCCGATAACTAAAAATTTCATCACACGAACCTCCTCTCCCTTCCTTTAGCTATCATCATCTCCGAGTCCTTGTCTTCTTAGTTGGTTGTGCCGTGTCCTCTTCTTCGTCGGCACCTTTCTTTAAGTCATCTTCTAAGCCCCATTCCTCTTTATCATACCAATCCTCTCCATCCGACATATCACGGTTTGGTCCAACATGAGCCTCATACTTAGACCACTGTAAGACTGTCTTCCGCATCCTGTCTGCCCGAAGGAGTCCTTCGTATAGCCGCTTTGCTCCGCGGCATACTTCCTCTTGCTTCTGCACATATAATTGCAACAGTCGCCGCATATCCTCTGCTTCTGCCTCTGGAATTCCGAGATCTCTATCGGGCCGAGCTGATCGAGGATGTAAGAAGAGGGGGTGGATAGGTGTTTCCTCCGTGAATACCGACATCACCGACACTGCCCGGCTACCCTCATTTTCAGCTTCATCGCCGATCTGACTATGATGAGCTGCTTTATCAACTTGTCCTTGTCCGGCCGACGCAGCGCTGTCTGCCGCTAATCCACTTGTAGATCCTGTAGAATGCGTTTCTTTGGCCCCGTTCATATTGGTACTAGCGACGGTGTTTTGCTGGGTATCGGCTGCGTCTACCCCCGTCCCTTTCTCTTCCGACTCATTTAATACGCCACCTAAAGCGTCACCCTCTATATTTTGCTTCTGCCCTTCAGCATTGACCTTAGCAATTTGCGTTGTTGTTGGCTCGGGTGCACTTGTATCGGCGTTTGTTGGTGGTTCAGCGTCAATCATCATAGTATCGTCGTCGGGCTTTGCCCCGTTAGCTACCGCCTTGGCGGATCCTGCAGAAACGTCTTCATTCCCCGTGGCCGCGGTATTTTTGTTGGTCTTCGTTCGTGTGTCTTCTAGCGGGGGCATATTGGTGTCTGACTTGACAGACCCTTGTGCTTGACTATTGGAATCCATATAGTCGTCACGATATAGTTCGATATCGTTGGGACCAAGCATTATGTCGCAGGGGGCCCAGATATGATCGCCCACTAGCTTTGTCTGTAGGTGTTTAACCCTCCACAGCGCGGCGTTCTCCTTGTGCATGATATTGCAGGCTTGCTTCGTTAGGTCTGTGAGTGTTTTTGTACTATAAGGTCGCGATAAGGTAGGGTGCGTAGGAAGATCGGTAACAGAGGTGAGAGGCGCGAGGATGTCTGAAAAAAAAGACCGACTATTAGCAAATGTGGATGGATTGGGCTGGGTGTGGTGACCAACTTTCGAGTCGCACGTTGGCGTACGGATTGAACTCGGCTGCTGCGTCGGCAACGTCTTGAATATATTCTTGATCATCATCGCTATCGATTTCGTAACCTTCGTCGTCAATAAGAACTGGGTTTCGACTAATGATCGCTCTTTGATAGCCAGCGTGGTTAACGACCTAAGAAGTCAACTTCGGTTAGATACTATCCACCGCGAATCATCTCAGAAAGTATGGCACACTGACCTCCTTATATACTTCAGGCCCCGAGGGTGGTGCTAACTGTCCCTCGTGGACAAATCTAGCCCTCTTCATTAATTTGTGCCCCCGATTACCATGGTAGTGTATTTCAGAATCGGAATCGGAATCTACCAGACCAGTACGTCAGCGACTAACACGCAGTATTTCTGCAAAAGAGCTCACCATATGCCTTGCGCTTTCGTGCCTTCTTCATTGCCGCAATGGTCTCAGAGAAGAGAACTTGTTGGGAAGTCATTGCGATCGTAAATCTTTGTGGTCGGCTACAATGTGCAAAAGCTGAGTATGTTCTCGCAATGGCCCAGCGCCCCCGGCTTTAGTAGGCTGAATAAATAAAACAATGGTAACGTCGAGCTATTAATGATATGAATGATGTATAAGCTTGCCTCCTTTGGCAATATTTTTGGTACAAAGGTTAGAATGGTGTCTGTCGGTCGCAGGATCAAAATGACAAGATAGGTAGAGGCGTATCGAAAATGGGATGCTAAGATTGTTGAATTAAACAGGTCCTAGGAGTATTATGGAGATTTGGATGAATGGTTAGGTGTTGTAGTCGACCTTCTTAAACAATATAGCGTCGAAATGTGTTGCGACTGTGGGAAATTGTAAAAGAGCTGCGGAAGAAGACTTCAAGTTTCGTAACGACACGACTAGAGCTGGGACAAGGCTGCTGCCCGCAGTGCGCGCATGGGTTCACCAATCAAGATAACGGTGTTCCCTGACATGTACGAAGTACCTAAATACATTATTGTGTACATATGTAATGTACCTACCGCGCTGTAGCGCCATGCAATCCAAAATGGAAAAGATGATCAAACCTTACAAGGCCAGCTCGGTAAGAATTGGTTGGTGACGGTATTAGGTAAGGAAATCGGCACAAGTAAGCCACCAGGGTCCGACTATGTATTTAAGTAGCCCCACCTTAAATGTAATATCTATGGTACCTTGAGTGTGAGGTCACTGAAGCTTTGAATTTCATATTGATTAAAACAATAGTCACAACTTCTACCTATTATAACTATGCAATAATGGGCCACGATATTGACCTACACATTTAAATCGTCTAAATATAATCGAAATCCATGATGAGTGTATCGAGTGCCTCGTTGAGTACTACTACCTATTCAACTCAACTTAGAATCCCTAGAACTAATTGCATATCCATAGAATAATGATCCAAGTCGACTAGAAACCCACATTGAACCGATCGTACTCTGGTATGACATTTCCTGATCCGTTCGTATAAATGAACACCAATGTCTTTCGAGCCCCTCTCCTACTAGACCAATGGACGACTTTCCAGCGGGTAGCCTGGACCATAATGTCCCATTCCTCGTCGTCTCTGGCCTAGGCAATGCTTCTTCTACTACAAAGTCTTCCCTAGCCGATCCTAGCTTAAGGGAACAGGGAATTCTCGTTCGATCAGAACTACCCCCTATAGAAACTCGGGAGGCAAAGATCATACTTCGCTGCATCCAAGAGAAGGATGCCACTGACCTACCATGGAACTCAAGAGACGCGTCGAGGAAATACAAGTTTAAAGTTGACACTGTTGGGAGAGTATGTCTATGCCCCATAGAGTTATTCCTACGGAATTTTAGGTAGTTATAAGAGACGAATCTGACTTCGACTCTTAGGAATTCCTGCTGCCGCCTCGCCGTGCACGCCTTCCTGATAAATTCGAGACACCTTTATCACCACTTATTCTACACTCTCCATTTTCACCCCTCAGTCCGGGCTCTAGCCTATATCCAGATGGCTTAATAGATACACAGTGGCTTCAAAAACACCAGGAACTCATACCCAGTGTGTATTTAGCTTTTTACAGTTTGACCTCGGATTCTACCCTTGCGACCCTACACGACAACCAGCTTAAGGCAGACATAAATGCCGTCAAGAATGCCATTGCGCAATCAGGTTACAAATGTCGCTTCGTTGCGGTTATCCTTAGCGACCAATCGCCAAGTTCCGTAGGCCAGTTTCAAGAAAGACTAGATAATATTAGGAGGAGCACAGGGTTAGACCCCAAGACCTCACTTTTCGTCCTGCCTACCCAGCGTACTGCAGTAGAGCTAGAAAACGCAGTCGATAACGTACTGACCGCAGTATTCGATCAAGCGATTGAGTACTATCGCGATCTTGGTAGACATTCCCGCAAAAAGAGGGGAAGGGGAATTGCGCCGCAGCCGGACTATTCCTCCTACTACCGGTACTTCTCATACGTTGTCGCTTCAGGGTTGGAACGTACGTTATGATTTTAAAACTGCCGTCTTCGCTGAGTTCCGCCAAGAAATAGATGTTGCTTTACGTTCCTATGAGCAGGCATATGATACTCTTCTCGGTGTTGATGTTCTCGAAACTATTCCTGGATGGAATCCTAGGTTCAACGATGCTCGGCTCTTAGCTGATATAATAGCTATCCGAATTTTGAAATGTTTACTATGGGCAGGACAAAGTACTGCCGCTGTTAGGAGGTGGCAAGCGCATCACGATAGAATACTTGATTTGGTCGATCGAAGGGGTCGAGGGACGCAAAACTACGGATGGAAAACCTGGCAAGCGAGATGGAGTACGGTTATGGCCAATCTGATCGAAAGAGTCCAGTTCCCCGAGTTAGAACCATCCAGCACCCTACCCTATCGCCCTCCCGAAAAGAGTCTATCAGCAGAGCGTTTACACCCATGGGAGCTTCTTCACCATCAGGGTTACTGGTACCGGATAGCCGCACGACACCTTTCCTACAGACGAAAGTTGGCGTGGTCTATACCCGAAGAGGACCGCAAGCCGCCAGATGCGTCTTCGCCGTCGCAGTCAAACAAAACCTACAGTTATGACACATACATGTGCCCGGAACCTCACGAGGAGTTTCCTTTAGAAGGAACGGGTGTGAATCATAGCCAGTTGATCTTCAATCACCTAATGTTAGCACACAACGAATTCCAGAAGCGACATCAAATTCGGACCTCGGCGGAGTTAGCGCTCGAGTGCTGTAAAGAATTAGAGAGAATGCAGGAGTGGCGAAAAATCTTAAAAATATTGACGCCTCTGTGGAGAGACATGTCTTACCGTGTAGAAGGCTGGTGGGATATCATGGAAGCTTTCAGTTGGACTCTAAGGGGTGCAGCGGTAGAAGTCGGCCATAAGAACCTCATTGTTGCTATTGACTGGGAACTCTTAAATAAAGGTGAGTAGTACTAACTACAGAAGCTAGCAGCTTAGAAGTTAACGTCCAGTGTAGGTTTCTCTAGGCGGCCGGGCTGGCATTACGATATAACGAAGTCTTTGGATGGCATATCTACGGAGAACCAGCCTGTTATAGAAATCGGCGACGAGCATGTAACATCGTTTCTGCATGCTTCATTCATTTTCAAAAATGATGAGGGAAAGGCTGGGCAGAGTTGCCCAACCCAACTTTCAATTACGTCCAATTCCTTCCCAGATGCTGCACCGGTAGTGTTGGAGAGGATTCGAATTGAATTCGACGGCAGCTTACATCCAATACACTTGAAACACAAAACTAGTGATAATCAGGCACCTTCATCTTCAAAGCCACGAGTTTCAAAAGTGGCTTTAGTCGAGACGGAGAGCAGTGATGATGATGATGATTCTGACGATGATTCTGAATTGAACGCCGAGACAGCCCCTACAGTTTTACTAGAGGGAACAGACGATTTAACGTTATTGCCGGGTCAAACGCGAGTTTTTGAAATGGACGTCCCATTACGAGAACCAGGTGATGCCAGAGCATCTTCGGTACAGGTTTCAGTAGCACCGGAATCTTTCACTCTCAGATATATGATAAGGCTCCGAGAAACCAACCAGGTTGGCCTGTGGTATTCGCAAACATGTGCGAGGAAGAAGATCACACGGACGAATCCCCATAAAATCAAAGTCCTCCCAAGGCCTCCAAAAATGGAAGTCAGACTTGTCAATATGCTCGAGCAATATTATGCGAGCGAACATATCCCGCTTAAGTTGGAGATACTTAACGAAGAAGATGCGGATGCCAATACTAAATTGGATATAGCCCTATATGGGCAAGATGTCCCTGGCTATGCAGTGCAGATTGAAGATGGCACAGAAAAGACCAGTAATGCTGGTGTGGAAGAAACGAGGCTTGACGGACTCCCAGTCGGGACAATACCGAATTCTAAGTCTTCAAAAGCTACGATTACCATTGACCCGGTTGATGGACCTATAGTGCTTGAATTGATAGTGAGGGCACGGTATCATCTTGTGTCAGATCCGGGGACACCGATCATTCAGCAAGCAACATACAACCTCAATATTGTTAACCCCTTCGAAGCAAGTTATGATCTATCTCCCCGGCTACATTCTGAGTGGCCAAGCTACTTCAACCCTGAAGATATTCAAGACCCATCTGAAGGAGATGAAGTCGTCCGCCGGCCTCGAGGACTGGCACAGAAATGGTCTCTCGCTACCCGGTACGCTTCATTTGCACATGAAGATCTAGCTATACTTGGTCTGGACGTCAACATTCTCTCCACACAAGGGAATGTAAGCTGCAAAGCGTCCAAGGGTCAACCGCCCGTGGCAGATGATGCAGTTATCAGTCCCAAAACGATCGAGGAAGCGCAGTTTGAGCTCATCGCCCAGAAATTTGATCTGGATGACCGGTCACCGGCAACGGCGGACCTTGCTTTCATCATTAAGTGGCGCCGGCTCACATCCCCGAAAGACACAGTGAACACTACAATCCTACCACTTCCACGATTCTTCGTCACAGTCTCCGAACCGCGCGTCCTAGCCAGCGTCTCTTACTACTCACCACCTAACCCACCTGCCACCTCCTCTTCCAGCCCCCCACCTCAACTACTTTTCCTAGACATCACGATCGAGAACCCGTCGTCGCACTTCCTGACGTTCGGGGTTGGTGATGGAGCCGAGCGACGAGTTCGCGTTCTCGGGCGCTAAGACCACGACTCTAAACGTGCTGCCGGTCGCGCGCAGGTCCGTGACTTATAGGTTGCTCCCGCTTGTTAGGGGTGCATGGATACGGCCGACGCTTGTGGTTAGAGATAAGTACTTCCAGAAGGTGTTGAAGATCATCCCGACGGAGGGCATGAAGATCGATAGGGAAGGGGTATTGGTTTGGGTGCCGCCTGAGGAGGAAGCGGAAGGGGATGAAGAGGGTGAGGGTGAAGATGATGATGATGGTGAGGAGAGCGAGAATGAAGAGACTGAGGAGGGGGCTTAGAATGGATGGATAGGTTTTTGTAGTAACGCCGGTAATTGGAATGAAGTGCATGTGATTTTGTAGGTGTTGATGTAGAAGAATATATCAGTGCTTATAGCAGTTTGTTCTAGACATAATTATGACCGTTCACATTATGCATGTTGAGGGCTAATCTTATTAAGATGTGCTCTCTACTTCTTAGAATAGTGAAGTAATATCTTATTAAAACCAACTATAGGCCTTCATGTTCATAGATAACTGCTAAAGTAACTAATGATATTAGTCCTTGGGTTTTGCTCAATTCGCATTCGCATCGGGTCACTTACAGGACGCGGAATAACAGATTTATCCCGATAGAAGCATGACACGACGGGCTAAACTCTTACATAAAGCCCTAAGAAACCTCCAATTATAGCATGTGGGGTTGAACGGTAGCACCTTTCAACAGTAAATTTCGGACCCGCCTGACTCGATGTTCAGCTCGAAATACTAGTAGGATTTATCGGATTCAAAGTTGGACCGCTTGTCCGAAGCTTTCTTCATATGGAGGTCATCTAGGTAACTAAAGACACGTACGTTAGCTGTACGTTAGCTGACACGATATGCCTAAATAGGTGACGCGCCGGAGATGCGCCACTCTGCGTTAAGGATTAAATCCAACCTTACATTAACTCCGGACGAGCTGAAGAGATCTAATTTTTTATATGAAAGGTGATGCTGAGTGAGAAGTTACATAACTACCTAACCTATCATTTCTAAATTCCATATAGATATCTGACGCCTTTGACCTGCCGGTCTTTCTTACCATTTCCGCCATCCCATGATTTTCTTTTCCCGAGTTCTCTTGAGAAGAGGACCTGCGATATCCCCGACGCAATTTCCTAAGATGGCCTCGGCAGGTGGCGCTACTGTCGCCTTCTCAATGGCGACGTATTATAGTACCGTCACTTTGCGCCCGCCGCAACCAACCGAAGCGCAAGAATTCGACTCCAAAGCTCATCATGTTAAAAATCGTCATGGAGAGACTGTTAAATTTCGGAACCCGCATCCTTCATTCTCTTTCCCTGGCCAACTACAAATACTGGAGATGACAGTGTGCGTTTCCAGGCGATTATATCATTACCGTAGTTTTTATCTTAGCTAACTTTAGGAGTATATAGAAAAGCGCTTACTGGTACATTAAATTGGCCGAAGCCGAGCACTGAAGATAAACTTGTACAAGTGATAAAACCAGAATTTCTACCAACGCGCACGTCTTCTTCAAAGCTCCGCGCCACTTGGCTGGGCCACTCTTGCTACTACGTAGAGTACCCGTCAGGGTTGCGCGTACTGTTTGACCCTGTCTTCGAAGACTGCTGTACACCTGTCTACCTTTCTAGGTTTAAGAGGTATACAGAACCACCATGCAGCATCGCCGACTTACCATTCGTCGACGCCGTTGTTATTAGCCATAGTCACTACGACCACTTATCATATCCGTCTGCCAAGGAAATCCAGCAACATCATCCCAATGCGCACTTTTTCGTCGGGCTAGGATTGGAGAAATGGTTCAAGGCGGGCGGATTCAATAACGTGACGGAGTTGGATTGGTGGCAGGAGGCAGAAATAACATTAACGCCGCAATCTGGGAAGGGTGAGGCAGAGACGAAGAGCGCGAGTGGTTCGGACCTTCCAGAGCCAATTAGTGCGAAGATATCTTGTCTTCCCTGTCAACACGCCTCCGGTAGAGGCATCCTGGATCAAAACAGCACGCTATGGGCATCATGGGCCGTTACCTCAGGCGAACCAGCCAAATCCGTCTGGTTCGGCGGCGACACCGGCTACCGCGCCGTGCCAAAGGTACCCGAAGGCACAGATGACTACGGCCCAGAGTATCAACACCTACCCATATGCCCTCAGTTCCGACAGATCGGCTCGAAATTCGGCTCGTTCGACCTCGGCCTCATCCCCATCGGCGCGTACCACCCACGACATCTGTTCTCGGGCGTGCACGCCAACCCATACGACGCGGTGGAAATCTTCACCGATACTAAGTGCAAGCGAGCGATGGCGGTCCATTGGGGCACTTGGGTGCTGACGGCCGAGCCGGTGCTGGAGCCCCCGCAGTTGTTGAAGGAGGCGTTGAAGCGGAAGGGGTTGGCGGAGACGGGGGTCTTTGATACGTGTAGTATTGGTGAGAGCCGCGAGTTTTGAGATGCCTGGGTACCTACCTATATATAGGTACCTAAGCAGTTGTCTTGCTCCCCGGCAAAGGAATTTCGGCGTGTTTTTACTACATGCTTATACGATATTGTATGTATATGCAGGTGGAGGAAGTATAATGTGGCGTTTGGAGTAGTGGTAGAATAAACTAGGCTGGGGGGAATAGAAACCATTTTATGATACTCGATTCTAGATACAATCTTCTCTCGAAATGGAAATAGAAATAGAAATAGAAATTACCTAAGTTACAAGGACCGGTACAAATCATATGCAAATGTTACACACACCTTCAATCTACATGTACCTAATGTACAACATGCGCTAGTGACGGCATCGAGGTTGCACCAAACGGCTAACCTTAGCACCGGGCCGGGAATCAGCAGATCATTTGGGCAGTTACCACCTAAGCGCTAATCTGCCACTGCCACCCGCTACATTTCTATGGTCACATACATGCACTTAACAAAATCTTCCCGACGGAAATTCAACGAACCAATAAAAGACGAGCTTGCGGTTCACCTTTTCCCGTCTTAAACTTATGCATTGCAAACGCGAGAGTCAGTCAATCATTCACACACAGCCAACGCATAAGTCAACCAACCAACCAACCGCCGACGTATATCTTTACGACGCTTTACTTTTATATAATGCATCAACGACAGGCCCGATTCTTTTGGTTGTATAGTTCTGGTCTTTCGCAATTTTTCCCGCTATAGGAATGCATCTATAGCACTGACTTGAGAAATATCTTGGGTATTCATTTTGACGATAAGGGCGTGTTGCGTCCTAGTATTTATTATGAGCGATCCCAGTAAGAAGTTATTGGTAAGTCTATGAGGTACCTTTCTTTTGTTTTTCTTGCTCCTGGTATTAGGCTTTGCGCATTTGTAAAAAAAACCAAATATACAAATGTGTCCTTGTGCCGTGCCTCAGTCTAGGGCCACCTTAGACTCCAGGTGGTCTGCGCTGAGTGAGTCAGATAACCCAAGACTTATATATGATAATATATATATGATATGCCAACATACTATTTACAAATACACGGCTTTGCCAATAGTATATCCTCATTATCTAGCATCTACACTTGGTTTTAACATGACTAACGGATAAATCAAGGACGAGTTCCGGTCTCTCATTGATGAGACTACTATTCTGTCCATCTCTAGTGACTATGACTTGGAAGATCCTAAGGGATTTGCTGCTGCGCGACAAGTCCTATTAGCAATTTCTGAGCATGTGGAAGCGGAAGAAGCTACTGGCTTCAATCCGAGCGGTCTGGGTGTCGATGATATTGTAGACATCAATCCCTCAACCCAGGATGATGATGCGGAGGCCGCTGGCGCAACTAGTAGCGACATGAAGAGCGTTGACGGCTTCACTGTCACAACAGAGAATTCCATACCCCCAAGTCTTGTATCCTCGGGGTCGTCGAAAACGTCCACCCTTGAGAACCCCGGGTTTCCCCAAGTAGACATCTTTGACGGCCTTACGGACAGCGAGAAGGAAGAGCAGCTCACTCAGATGTTCGTCTCCCTTAAGTCCATCGATGTGAAGCTGTGTCTGCAGAAGTCAAAGGGTAATGCGAGCCTCGCTATTGACGAACTCCTCAACCTCCAATGGCTCGAGCAGACCGGTCAACGTCCTAAAGGGGTCGATGGCTTTTATGTATCTGATGATGACAACATTCCGAATAGGAGGAAGAAGAAGGGCAGAAAGAAGAAGAAAGTGGCTAAGGTGACGTCACCCAAGCATGCCGGTTTGGAAAATGCATTTCAAGAAGCAAGCGACGGCGATACTATACAGAGCGGTGAGAAGCTAAATACTCAAAGAGGATAACTAGTTCATCGAGCTCGTATCTAACTGATATCTACAGCGGAGAATATTGCACTCATATCTGATAAACTTAATCTACCATCTTCAGAGGTAACAAGCATCTACCAACATCATAACGCCTCCCTCGGAGCTACTATAGTCAAAATTCTAGACAATTACATCGTTGTGGGCATACCATCGTCAGATCCCCATTTACTGTCTGACGTCCAGAAGGAGATGGGTAGATTTCCTTGGGTACCTTATGAATATGTCAAGGCCACTTTCGAGATCTGCTCAACGCACAGCGATACTATAAGCATTATCCATGTATTAGCAGATCACTTTGAGAAGCCGACATACTTGAAATACGATGTACCGTACAGTGTGGTAGCGTCAGGCTCCGAGGAAATTGATATGCCTGAACCTACAAAAGCATCGAATTCGTGGCAATCACCAAGATCTCCTACAGCCATCCGCTCGCCAACAATTGATCTACCCATACGGGCTTCAACCCGCCCAGGGAATCTTCAAGCTGCCGCATCTGTCTCGAAGACAATTGCCGAGTCAAGAAACCACTCATTCTCGTCAGCTACATCAGCCTTCAAGAAGGGCAGATCCGACCCTCTATTTAGACAAGCCGGCGCGTACTACGTTGAACGTGCCCAGCAGCAATCCATGAGCTACCGGCAAGCTAATAGTGTCGAAGCGAACCTCCATGTCGATCGACAGAGCACAGAATACACGATCGATCTCCACGGCGTCACGGTGCAGGATGGCATCGATATTGCCCTGGATCGAGTATCAAGATGGTGGCGAAGCCTCGGTGAGGAGCGAGTGCGGAAAGCGAAGACGCAGGGGCTTACCGTCGTTACTGGCATTGGTAAACACTCTTCGGGTGGGAAGTCGCCGTTGCGTATTAACGTTATTAAGGCGCTCGTTGCTGATGGTTGGAAAGTTGAGATACAAACTGGTTCGTGCCTCATCACGGGAAGACAATAGAGACCACAGCTACAGGTCACTTCCTAATGAGATGATGCTCCGTTCTACCGAAATAGGCGCAAAGACATGCATAAGCTTTGAGATCACTATGCAGAGTACATGTCACACTGTAATAAAGGAACATTAGATATTAACAGTGTTTCAAGGCCGAGGGTCACAGGGATATAGACGATCAATTACTATTGCAATAACTAGAAAAAATATACTAAAAGCTTGATGATTCCATCTAAACTTATCTATTACTACTGGATGATTCAAGAATTTATCTATTTCTATTACATTTGTGGTTGATGTGAATATGAATCGGATGTAACACAAGTCTGACAGGGCAATGGATTGTTTCGGTGTAGAGGGGTCTTATCATATAGATCAATGGCAACACAAAGACATATATAAGCCATCTTATAACTGACATAAGGCTATATTGAGAGTCAACAATCAACCTTGCGTACCTTTAACAGAGAATGTGAGAGATAATTCTAGAACAACATATTAAGTCTATATATATAAGACATTTTATACAATTAACAAGCCGAGATAGTTGTCCATTATAAGCACCTATAGGATAACAAGCAGAACATTAGAGTCTTAGTTAGGAAGCCTTAATATGTAGGTACGTAATATGCATTGCGTGACAGACCAAGAATATTGGCAACTTCATAAAGGCTCACCCCGCAAAATACACTGTGTCAGACTCAACCGGGGCTGAGACAACCTCCTAGGCAATGAAGCAGATACTAAAGCGGGTTGGTTAAGCGAGCGGATCTCAACCAAAATTGAGACTGGTCCTCGATCATAATGATAGCCTTTTATTACAAACTATTACTGATGCTGCCTGGTTTATTCTTAGGCAGTAGTTGAGAATAAAGCAACAGAGTAAGGTTCTTAGCAGAAAGGTACATGAAAAAGGTACTTTTTTGGTAGACTGTTCGGTTTACTTATTTCAATGTTAAAGTTGAAGCGGCTTCTCATGTGGAGAAATTAACTAAGGTTCAATTATCCTAATAGAAGTAAAGTCGCATATATAATGTACCGGCTACATAAAATTAATACTGGCACTTACAAATACAGGCTTTTTTAGTCCAACGGTTATCCCGGGCAGCGTCCGAACACGGCCGCGACTGACAACTGAACTAGGTGGCTAAGTAAGGAAGCAGTAGTCACATAAAAGTCACATAAGTCACAAGAGTACTTATCCTAGGCGAGGCCCACCTTCTAGGTAGACTTCCTTTGATCAACATCTCCCGTTCCCAACCGGACCAGCTTTACCAACTACATACCTACGTACATACCTACATAAACCATACATACATCTCGTCTACCATACACAAATACACAAAAGACCTTCGTTTTTAATTCTTCATATTTAATTAGAAACTCTCTTGATCTTTGCATCCATTCTACGTTTGTATCATCCTTGCGATATTCTTAAGCAATCAATAATCGGCTTTTGAAGTAGGAATCACTCGGTAATACTTATCGACAATGACGGACAGCGCCGCCGCGGGGCCAGCGCCGCAGGCAGCATCAACTATGACGCTGGAAAACTACAGATTCCCAGCCCACCGGCTCTTGCGACAGCAGAGAACACCCGATCGTACTCCGTTAGTACTCGTTGCTTGCGGTAGTTTCTCTCCCATCACCTATCTCCATCTTCGCATGTTCGAGATGGCCAACGACTACGCCCGCATAAATACCCAGTACGAGGTTGTAGGAGGTTACCTCAGTCCCGTATCCGACGCATATAAAAAAGCTGGCCTAGCAGAGGCGCAACACAGGTATGCAAACAATAGCTCTATTTTAACACACCTGAGCAACGTTCCTAATAGTATAGCTTATTTTACTGGGGCAATTGATACGCTAACATTCGAGGTCATTTAATAGATTGCGCATGTGTGAATTAGCAGCAGAAGAGACATCAAGTTGGCTGATGGTTGATCCGTGGGAGGCTATTCAACCCGAATACACGCCAACTGCCAAGGTGTTAGATGTAAGTATATACTGGACCCTCTAATTTCTTAATATCGGCATGTCCCACAGCCCATCAATTCACTCGTAAGGGTCTAATGAAACAATTGTCGCCACTCGGACCGATCCCCGATATTGCCTGTGAACAGTTACTGACTCGAATTGTTACAGCATTTCGAACACGAAATCAACCACAATCTAGGTGGTGTTTTATCCGAAGATGGTGAATCTCGAAAGCCGGCTAAGATCATGCTGCTTGCGGGCGCAGATCTCATCGGCACCATGTCTACTCCCGGCGTATGGGCCGAGAAGGATCTTGCCCACATCTTGGGTAACTACGGCGCCATGATTGTCGAGAGGAGCGGGACGGACATTGATGAGGCGCTCGGCAACCTGAAGCAGTGGGAAGATAACATTCACGTTCTCACGCAGATGATACAGAACAACGTGAGCAGTACTAAGATTAGGCTCTTCCTTAAGAGGGAGTAAGTATACCCTTGGTTCCATATTTCTTGAAACCCGAAACCATCGTGAAGCAGGTCAACTAATGAGATGCTACAGTATGAGTGTACAATATTTAATTCCAGCAACTGTTATCCAGTACATCGAACAGCACAAGCTTTACACAGACAACGACGAGGCGAAGTCGAAAGGCAAGGAAAAGCAATAAGTGATGAAGCGAATAAATAAAATAGGCTTTATCGCTTTCGGATTTTGAATAATTAGGTGTTTAGATCTGCAACTACGTCATGGTCGCACTTGATGAAGATCGGGTTCGGTATCGCGCAGGATGTGGTGGCTTGTATTTCTTGGTTTTTCTAGCATCTTGTACGATCAGAAGACGGACACGCGAGTTAGTCCGACACAAACACAACGGTTGCAGACCTCAAGCCACGGAAGCTGAAATCTGCGGGGGCGCATCTAGGGGGGGTGGGCATACGTACCCCGAAGCCAGACCAGGGCAGCTTTCAGCCAAGGGGGGAATTACGGATGAGGGGCAGAAGAGGGGCTTTCTCTATTCGAAAATGGCAACGTCCTTTTTCCCTTTTGCCCCCACATTCGCTAACAAGAAACCCAATTCGGTATTTCCGATGGAGCGTTCATTCGTGACTACGCATCGTGTACCACGGGAGATATGCGTGTTCCCGACGGCTTCGAGACGCTGACTCATGGAGGCATCCCGCGTCAGCTTCGTCGTTTTTCCAGTTTTCTTTTTTTCTTTCGTCTCTTATTCGGGATGCGGGAATTTTACATACTGCGCGACCTCGTTAGCGGTTAGAGATGATATCCGTTACTTAACGTACTCAATAGCATAGAGTGTACATACGGCACAGTACAGTATAGTACGGTGCTGCAATTCGAATTTATCGGGTCGGCTGATGGCCCTGACATCTCATTCACTCACTTATTCGTTATGTACATTATGATAACTATACATTCTGATATACATTAGGAACCTAGTATTATTCCTAAGTTTAGTAATCTGTGTCTATCTTGCTAAAGCGTATTTTACTTTACATATTTAGTACATATAGGTAAAACTAACTATTTACTATCCATCGAACTTAGAACGCGACGTCCATACGTATGCACATAGCCGTCTCATCACGTTCCTAATCTAAAGTCATGCATACATGTAGGTAGGTACCTAGGCAAACAAAACCTTAATACGAGCTCAGATGCACGTTCTATGTGCCCGAGTTTACGAGGGATATTGTCTTGCTGACCTCAATTTCCTAAAATGGACGAATTACTCGAGAAAGGAAGTTCGTCTGTGCGCAACTTTAAGGCCTTTTTTATTGGATGCATCCCTAGAATAAGCGGACCTTGCACGTGTTTTTCCAACTTTTCATTTCCAAAATTTTTTTTTTCGAAATACGCAATTTTTTAACCATTATTAATTATATAATTCCTATATCTATATATTAAAAAGTAGGTAAATAATTTAAATTTTATAAATTTTATACTTTAAAATCTTCTATTTTTTCTATTTTCTTTTCTTAAAAAAGTCCTGGTAAAGGTTAGTGTTTGAGGTTTTCCGCCGCCGCTGCTGGGGGAGGGCGCTCGGCGCGCGCAGCGCGCCGAGCGCCCTCCCCCAGCAGCGGCGGCACGTGATCAACCAACCTATGACCTTTGTAAACTCGGGCTATTGTGGTGCCCCGCAGGGGTGCCCTCATGTATAGTACATACCTAGGATTCGTAGAATGCGGAACTCTAGATCAGATAACTACCCAGGTACCTATAGACAGATCTCCTAACGCCGATAATATTGAAGCTTCTTGGACCCCCGAACTTTAGTAGCTTACCATGTACGTGCACGTCCGTGAGCATGTATGTATACATTAGGTACATATGTAGGTAGGCTGGTAGATATGTAAGGTAGGCTCCGCGGTACCCGGACCGATCTGAGTGTGGAATGAGCTCGGGCTTTGGTGTCCTTTGTGGGAAGTTGTTTAGTAAAGGTTCTGTCGGGCAGCTGTTTTAAGCTTGGCTGCCAGCTGTTTTAGTTTTAGCTGGTGGAGGAGTGGCAAAAAGGGTGTGTGTGTGTGTGCACCTGTCCGGGCAGTGTTGAAGTTGTATATAATTTTCTTTTTGAGGCTAGTTATTGAGAGTGCGAGAGGTACGGGCGTATACTAGGTAGTTAGAAGAATGAGTTGCGTAGTAGTGGGTTGGCGAGTTGCGGAGATTAGGTAAATAATGATTGGGATATATTGAGTTGTTGTTGAGTTGTTAGGACGAGATTTGGTATTGATGGAGATAAGTATGTATGTTGACATTGGAATACCTATAGTAATTCGGGAATATCGAGAATTGACTCTTTAAAACGCTATGTGCGTATACAGTGTTCGGTAAGCAGGTAGGTATACTAGTTGTAAAGTTTATAGGAGAGTTTGGGGGGGTATTGAAGCTGTTCATACCTACCTATGTATATTTGTCTATAGTTAGGTATAGTTACTGTGTATAAGCGGTAGTTATTACTAATTAGGTATACAAGTATATTTTGAGTTTGAAGAATGAGTCAATTATAGTTTGCTGTTGCGCTTTGAGACTACTATAGGGGCAATTGCGAATCCAGTGTTCAATGCCCTCTTTCCTAAGGCATTCTCACATTCCTCGTTCTTGAACGCCTTCCTTGCCATCAAAGTTTTAGAGTCAGTTCGCTAGTGGGTATATCGTACAAGAGAGTGTTTCCAGATTTGTGTTGTGGGAGCTTGGGCTCAATATATGGGTGCTATGTATAGTAGTGTTGGGTGTTGAGCGATGGATTTGATTGCTATGAACTTTTACTACCTACTCTCGAGGCCTCACAGATAGATAGGGAAGTTGTCTCCTTATCAAAAGTGGTGATAGCTGTCTGGGTGAAACCTCGGGCGTAACTACTATAGTAACTAGTGAGTGTATAGACGAGTTCCTACCCCAACTGCCCAGTTGAGATATTATCAGCCTATCTTTCGCAGGCGCTATGTTTTCATACGTATCAAGGCGTCATTAGAGTTTGTATTCGTTGGTCATACTTTCTAAACGTGTAATTGTCCCTTCCCAAAGAGTGACTCGTAGGCCTATAGACCGGGCAGGCACGCTAATATAATATTATCCTATTCTCTTACTAGACAAAGTGTATAAATATGTACTCACCCCTCCTCTTCTCTTTGGTTTCTTCCCTCTTTTCTACCACACTTCTTCTATTAACCACTTACTATAAACCACAAGTACTCTCTTACCACTCTCAAATATGTCTACCACCAACTACCTCGAGGCCGCAGCTAACGCTTTCATGGCCTTTCTCGTGATTTTCTTGGTAGCTTTCTCGATAGTATTCCTTGTCGTCGCTGCCTGCTGTATCATACAGACTATAAAAGGCAACTTGAAAGAATCAGCAAACATAGATGGCTAGTTAGCTGATTCCCAATCTTCGATGGATCCACCCCCTGGCGGGGAGTGGCCACAATATGACCGTATGGAATGCCTGTAAGTTTCGTGATTAAGGAAGGACTTGGAATTGGCCGAGCTTCTTATTGCTACGGGTGCTGACCAGACCTTAGCAAGATATCACGAGGCGAGGAGTTCTTTGCCTATTCCAGCGAAGTAGGTTTCAGCCCATGTACCCCATATCGTCGTAACCCCCTATCCTACAGCTTCACCCCCAAAGTCAATGTCCTAGATCCCCTTTCTAATACATAGAAAACTTCAACTTACCATTCTTCTAGCAATATCAACAATAAGAGCAGTTCCAACAGTTCATGCGGTACGCGCGGCAATAGTGACAACAGCGGCGCCAGAGACAGCTGGACGAGAAACCGCAGCAGCCGCCCTAGGGCTAGGCCCAGCCGGAGACTGAGTTGAAGACCGAACAGGGCTGGTAGCTACCGGCTGCAATACGGGACTGCTAACAGGGGTGATATTCTGTGGGGCGGGTCGAGGGAAGTTGCGGACGTTTTCGAACAAAGCAGCAGGAGAGAAGCCCGGTCATGGCACAGGATATGGGAAAGCTAGTTAACCTGACAGCCACTACCCAATTCATCGCGTTTGCTTCCCTATCTATTCCAACCGTAACCATAACCACAACCGCTACTGGGTTGGCTATTTGGTCGATTTTGGAATTATCAAGTACCTTGGAGTTTCCTGGGTACCATCGGAATTTAGAATTGTATTAGTTGCTGCTCTGGTTTCTAGACTTATCCCTGCACAGGTTAGCCAAGTATATAGATATGAAATACAAAAAGAATTCACATATAAATATCGGTCTTGTAGATTCTCTTTTTTAAATTTGCTCATGACACGACATACATAGAAAGGGGAGGAGACAACTGGTCTCAAGCAAAACTTCCATGTTGTTCTACATATTAGCCTAACATCTTTCAATTATACAGAACGCTACCCGAAATTCAAACCAATCTGTTAGTTCCTGTTACCCTGAGAAGCCATGCTTAGCTCTGTAAATTAGTCCTACTCGTATTTTACACATGCGATTATTATATGTATTTCTAGTTTACTCATCATCCTCGCCATCGTCAGAGTCACTGTCGTCCGGGTTGTTAATTACGCTGTACCACCGTCTGCTCGCCAAGTCTTCCGCGAGGCCTCCCTCACTCTCCGGGTCGACGTAGCCCTCGCCGCCGACTAGCGAAAGGGCGACTGGTAAGAAGATAAGGGCGTGCGTAGCCGCGAACACGACGAGCGCGAGCCATACCCGGAAGTAGTAGATCTCGAAGATCTTGGATCGAGTAAAGGCTAGAACGCAGACGCCTAGCAGTTTTGTAATCGTGATGCCGCTAAAGACCGACCCGCCGACATTGACGAGGGCCGTCCAGGCTCGGGCGTCGCGGCCGCGGAAACGGTTCTTAGCACGTTCCATGACGGATCCAGAGGGGAACATGAAGGCGCGGGCGATATGGGCGCAGAACTCGACAGCGATACCGACGCAGATGATCAAGTTTACGAGCGAAACGGCGTTGAGCGAGACGTTGAAGGCTGCCATCGCGCCAATGATATCCACGACAGTCATAACGACGGTCAGGGTGACAACAAGGGCCGTCACGATCGAACCCAGGAGGATAGAGGCAACGACGAATATAATAGCCACCGCAGAGCCAAGGAGTGCGGCGGTTAAGTTGACGATACTAGCGTACTGGTCGAAGAAGACGTAAAAGACGCTGTAGGGAAATATTTCGACTCCCGTATTTGCGCTGACTTCATTTGCAATACGACGAGCCGACGCGTAAGCGTTGATGAAGTCCTCTTGGCTACGAAGAGGCTTGTGCATCGTGCGGAAATGACTCGCAGGAATAGTAAGCTTTTCATCGTCCAAGACAACAGCCTGGCTATAGGAAGCCTGGCCAGCTAGGGGGCACGTGTCGGTAGTGGGGGAATGTAACCATTCTTGCAGGTAATGGACGAACTCATCACCTTCAGGCATACCGTTGAGGGTAATGTTCCAGGCTGGATCCCGATTGGCAAAGCAGGACTGGCGGCCATCCTTGCAGCAGCTCTCAAAGTCGGGATTCAACCAGAGGAAGAAATCGTCAAGCCAACTGGCCGTCGGGGAAGATATATAAGACACGTCGGGTCGCTTCCGCTCCTGTTCGAGCACATTTGTGAGTGATAGCTGCTCACACGCGTAAAGCGAGAGCAAAGTTCTCTCTCCGTCCAGCGCGTTGGGTCACGTTTACGCCTTTAGTAACAAAGTAAACGGGCGGGCCGGTATCTAGGTAATTGTACATGTCATTGAAGTAATCAATGAGATAAGAATCGTCGGGTAGAGCGACTCGCTGGTCCAATCCAAGCTGAATATATGGAATTAAAGCAACACCTGCAGCAAGCAGACCGAGGAAAATGGCGACGACGAGAACTTTGACCTTCTTACCGAGTAAGGTAGGCGCGTAATACTTTCGAATAAATTGTTGTAACCAACTCTCGTCCGGTACATCGTACGGGCGAGGGCCGTTGGAGCCGTTACTGCTGCTGAGATGAACGCGGGCTGCCTTGACCTGAACACAAGGGAAGCAATCCGCTCTGTTGTCTTCGGTCCTCATCTGGTTATAGGACAATATAGATATAAAGAGCGTCATCTGGAGTAAAGCGTTGATGAATACCGCACCTGCAGCGTAGATGGCAAAGTTTCGCACAGCGGGCATTCCAACGAACGCACCGAGAGCAAAAGAGACCGTTTCTGTAATGCCTGAAAAGAGGATAGAAGGGCCCATCCGCCCAAGTGCCCTAGCTATCCTCTCTTCAACCATTGCGTCTGGGTGGCTTAGGTTGACACGCTCGAACTCATGAACAATTAAGAAGATATTGTCTACTCCGACAGCCAAGACGATGAAGGGGATGACTTCGGCGATGATGAGTGTGGCCTTAACACCCGCCCACGAGAATAGACCGATTGAAGAGGTGATAGACATCAAGACGATTAAGATGCCAACGAGGCCGAGCGTGAACTTGCTTTGGACTAAGGCCACAGCTGGGTTCCTTATCAGCTCGCGAATAGTCATACTGCTCGAACCCAGGGCAATCGAAGCGTATAAAAACATTACAAGATAACTGATAACGATAATTGTCGCATCCGAGTTAGTAGATTTGTTTAGTTCTTCCTCTAAACTGACCTCCGTAGAGAAGGAAAGGCGTAATCCGCGATCCGCCGCTTCTTTTTGAGCTTCTAGGAGTCGGTTCTTCAAGGACTGTTCCCAATCCATAGCATGAGAAAGTTCAGAGCTACCCTCAGGGTGATTGTTGACAACCCAAGTCACAGTGAAGGCACGTGCCTCGGTAATATTCTCGATGCCATCGTAGCCACCTACAATCATATTTGGCTCTATTGGTTGTCCAAAATCGGGTCGGCAGTTAACAGGAGACTCGGCACATTCTCTGAATTGGGATTTCCAATTCTTTGTGCCGTCGAAATAGATAGTCGGCGACTGCACAACACAAGCAGGGCCAGTTGGCTTTAAGCACACGTCTTGAAAAGTGGTACCAAAGTCTTTGCCCTTGAGTTGTTTGACACTTGCCTCAACTTCTGACCACCACGTTAATGTTTCATAGCTGAGTACTGGTCCAGGGCCGGATGCCTGAGTGTCGTTCACTACAAAGACCTTCTGTGCGCGATAAAATGCGCCAAAGTTTTCGTCGAAGAATGCCTTTTCCTGAGCTGCCGCCGAGTCTGGGCTGACCCATAACCTTGCTGGTTCCCTTTCCACTGCGAATTTGATCCAGCCAAGACTGAGGACGATGACCACTAGTAGACTGCTAAATATCGTAATACCTGGGAACCTTGCGCAAAGATGACCTAGCTTGCTAAAGGCGGTATCACACCAAGTGTTGATGGCGTAATTCCTCTGGGGCCGATCCAACATGGCCCCGTTACGAACAAGGTCGCCCTCGTCTTCATCATCGCTAGGTTCAGCAGCTTGAAGTAAATGGAGACGTTCGCTTCGCCGCTGCGCATGCTTCATCCAAGCAACGTGACCGACTAGTGCGGCGATGAGTGTAAACAGTAGCACGCCATAAGTGAATATCGAAGCGAACGACAAGCAGGGAAGGACACCGACTCGACAAGATCCCGATTGCTCTACGTCCGGAAGTTCCGGACATACGGCAGGGCAATCGACACACGAACATCGGAAATTCGGATCTTCGTCGTTGCACTTCTTCGGTTTCATCTCCCTCGGTGACATGCTTGGCTCGGAATACTCGGTGGGGAAGTTGATCTGGAAAGGTGACCCAATAGCCTTCTCATCGCCCAGAAACTTCAGTAACTGGGTATAGTTCTTCGCGCCACCGCCGATGAAGTCTATAGCCTTGGAATTCGAGGCGCCAAACTTGACCTCTTTGCAGCTATCATAGAAGCCTTCACCATACTCTTTAGACACCAGCTGGTCCACCTCGGCGGCCATAGTTTTCCCGTTCTTCTCGAGCGTCTTGGTCACGTTGATAAACAAGGATTGATCGGGAGAACAGGTAAAGGTGCAGAACAAGTTGTAGAAGTTGTCCTTGCACGCAGGACAGGAGCCGATAATCTGGTTTGGAGTGGACATTTCGGACTTGAGCGCTTGGAGCTACGTGATTGTTAGTAAATAGCGCTTTTATCTCTCTACATCAACGCATATGCGTATACAATTGCGAGAATATAGTAGTGATAGTGGGATAGGCATGCAAACGCACCTGGTCAGCACTGCAGCAGACCTTGCTGTCTTTCCATTTGGGACCGCATAGAGATTCGATTTCTTTGGAAAACTCCGGGTCAGGAGTCGTAGCTAGTCCGTTATCAACGCAGGGCACCTGTTTTCCGAAGAAGCTCTTCTTTCCGCAGTGGCCTCGTATGGCGCAACGTCCAGCTTCATGTTTAGGCGTATGGAGCTCACCTGCCGCGGCGGTGCTGACTAGCAGCAAAGCGCCGGCGACGAGGTTAGATATTCGAGCCATGGTGATGCTCTACTATTCTGTACGACAGATTAGTGGCACCATGGGTGTGAAGTACCTTAATATGTTGGAAGATTTGATGAAGGGGTTGATATGAGAAAGTTGTTGATGATGAAGAAGATGGGAAGCTACAAGCTCCTAAGACGGACTAAGGTATGTATCACATGAGTTGGTCTTCACTTGTCTGCGTCATCAAATGTTAGCCCCGTGTTACCCCAGGCGGTCCTGCATCCGATGTCTTGGCATGGCTTAAAACGGTAGCCAAATACCGCATTATGTAAAGATATACCTACATGCATAAGTGGCTCGATCCGAGGGAGTTCAGGGGAACCGACCAATTAGAAAGTAAGATTATTGTATAACTTCTCTCAACACTTTGCATTCACTTATCCGTCGTATACCCTAATCCAATCGCAACATATATTTTATAGTTGCTATTTGAAAATATAAAGACCTTATTTAGTATTTAACCATATGTATCCCATCAATCCTTCATATCAACTCGCAAAGTTCTTCCTAATACTCAAAGCTTTCATAAACCACCTCCTCGCCCTCCGTCCACTTCAACAACTCCCTAGTCATCTCCGGACCCGCGCATAAATAATACTTCCTCCGTCCCTTCTCGCCCTCCACCAACACATCACCAGCCTCTATCCTCCGCTCTACCACTTCTGCGCCAAGCCCCCGTATTGTAGATATAATAGCCCGCTCCCTCTCGCCTATCTTCCCGGTGACGAAGAGCTTCGTCGCGTGTCCGAGGCCGCTTATCTTCTCTAGCACGTCTGCTGCTAGAGGCACATCTTCGCCTTTCATACTCCAGAGTAGCTTGAGTTTATTTCCTTCTCCCGTAGCTTTTAGAACACTAGCGCCTTGTGCCATCAACGGTGTGATTCCTACGCCCGCGGCAACAAACACGCTTATATTTTCATCCCCTTTACCACTCCTTGTTGGTAATCTAAACCCTTCCGCGCCGCCGAACCCCATCACTGGGATCTCAAGCGGGACCCTTATATTCCAGCGCTCCAGCAATGCCGTCGCCGGACCGTGTCTCCGAACCGTAATCTCAAGCTCCGGTTCCGTATCCTCCTTAATATACCCCTCTTCATCCACAACCCCAATATTGATAGGCCTACTTACCGTGAACGTGCGCACGAAGTCGTCGTTCAGACTCTGCGGGTCCTCATCCCGCATGTGTGAGTATCCCATATCCAGCTCCCCGCTGAAGTCCAACGTGACATGGTGTCCGGGATGCCAAGCTTTCAACCGCTTCCTTGTATTATCCTTTGCTCCTGAGGCAGTAAGCTTAAACACGTATCTCGAGATCGTTGGTGTAAGTCTCTCCCGAGTGATCAGCCTTGCTGTAGCAGTGGCGTCACTACTTGAACCCGCCGCAGGATCATCAGATCCCTTCTCGCATGCCAATCGCCGGACGATTGGGTTATACGGCGAGTAATCGATAACCTCGCCCCTAAACGACAGACCCTCTCGCACAAACCGAGCTTCCACGACTTCAACACGTATGGCTAACTTCGCATGCGGCATCACCACAGCCGCTACTTCGCCAACTAGGATCGCCGCGTTTCCTGTCAGGTATAGCACATCACCTGTTTCAAAGTCCGGGACCACGATGCCGACGGCTGGGTCATTATGAATATTTCCCAACGTCTGGTACAATCGATTACCAGAGTACTCTGGATAGACCAATGCAGCACCACCGGCACTCTCATCTCTATTCCTTAGCACACGTACGAATCCTGGCGGACCGCCGCGGATATTCACGTCCATGCTCTTAGTGCCATGTTTGCTCGCGATAAAAAACAGGTCTGCTTTGTCTAGTAACTTGATCGCCGCCTGGGGTAGCGGAACGCCAGTTCCCTCGCTTACAAGCTGTGGTGAAGGCACGCGAGGCGAGATGCGTTTCTTATTGATGTATTTCGGGCAATTCCCCAAAGCCTCATCGACACGGAACGCAAGTTGCAAGTCCGCAACGCCGGGCGTTGTCTTTGTCGCAGTACCAACAGCCATTACGCCGGCAAGTTTAACTCTGTCTCTTGTCTCGGGATCGATCGACAGACCCGCCATCAGCTTACCCCCTTCCGGTTTGATGACTGCATCGTTGACGATCTGTCTTCCATCTCCATTATTTCCCTCCTCTACTTCCCCCTTACCATCCTCAACGGCAAGTAACTCCCTAACAACCGGATCCCACGTCTCCCCCACCGTCGCCCTAACCCCTAAAACACTCCTAGCCACCGGCTGAGCGAACCCCTTCTCACCTCCCCACACGCTTGCCCACGGCCTACCTTGCCTATCCAGCGTCCCGACCGCCACAAGCGGCGAAATCGCGACGCGGTATCCAAGCTGCGGTGGTAAGCTATGATGCGTTGGGTTCTCGCGGTGCGGCACGCGTAGAAGCTTATGAACCGCCTGCTCGCCAGGGTGGAAACTCGAGTCGAGGGCTATAAGTTGAGCCATCGGTGTAGTATAATTCAACCTAATTTGACTTAACAGTTTACGTAGATACAATATAAGTAGTTATATCTTTATATATAAAGAAGTATAGCGAGTCGTCGAGCGCAAGAATAGAAAAACAGTCAAGTAAGAAAACCCCGCAAGTAATCCAACTCAACACAGAGAATAGTCCTCAATTAATATAAAAGTGCATTCATAATAGTCTAGGAATAATTACTGATTTCTATACTAGAACTTACTAATAGCCAGACGGCCATGACAAAAATAGCATTCGCCTTAGTTTCTATCTGCTAAGGGTAAACTACATGTTGGGTAAGCCTCCACAATCCCCAGAAACAAGGATTCTGTGACGCCATCACCACGAACATATAAATCCCGTTGGAGAAACAGCCTATGAGAAGGCATAAGTTATTAAATTGTCAAAAGGGCGCGCCGGGGAATTAATTAGTCTTAGAATTCAAACCCCGACTCCGCAGAAAACGAGGGCGCAAAAGAACTAACCTAATTGGAAATATCGAGCCTATCACTTGCAAAGAAGCAGTTAATACACATGCGCACGCAAAGGCCGAGGAATATCCGTAGTATAGGTTAAACTAGTAGCCGTAGCTACTCGACAGAATGCCAGCAAAATACGTGCTATGTATAATACATCGAGTCTCATTATTTAAAAAATCATCGGAATTTGCCTCTGAACGCCACTTTGTCCGGACGCTTCCTAAACGCGACGGCCTACTGCCTATTCACACCAGTCCAAACCATGATCAAGGATATACCATCAACGTTATTCACGTAAGTGGTATGATATTAAGGGTATCCGCTTCTATCCCGCTCCCCTTGCGTAACCGTCATTCAGCAGTGAATACAATACTACTAGTATCTTGGAAAATCACGCTGCGATTCCATATCACTACCATAATTATATCCCTGGCTCGTATCCCTCTGGTGATTCGGAGCCATTCCAGGGCGCTGCCCGTAGTAACCATCCTGCTGCCGGGGCGGCATCGGTGCTGTCATATTCCGCTGTGGTGGCATTCTCTGTCCAGAGGGCATAGGATTCGTGATACTACGAGGGGGTGGGTAAGGTTGGCCACCGTAGGATGGTGGCCCATTCGAAGGCGGCCCGCGGTTCGAATAAACGGATGGAGCTGGACTAGAGCGTCCACCCATTTGGTTATACGGACGGGGCACGGGCGCAGGTCGGCGATAGCCGTCCATCGGAGACGAGGTATCCGGCGAATACGTAGACGGGCTTGCAGCATATCCGGCACCGAATCCGCTCCCGTTAGTCTGTACCCGGGCAGGTTGGGGACCGGGCCCGAAACTCCTATTTGAGGCTGCAGTTCCCGGACGCGCAGGCGGCTGGAAGTTGGCCATGTCAATTTGCGGTAGAGTCGGTGCGGGAGATGCCGATCGATCAAAACCCATTCCGGCTGCATTACCCACCAAGGGAGTTCGCGAAGAGAAGCTAGATGCTGAGGCATTCGTGTTCATTGTTCCCTGTCGTGACGGTGCAGGTCGCTTTTGATCCCAGGAATTAAGTTCAATACTATGCTGCGAACCAGGTCGCGAGGTATATGGTGGCAAGGTAGCCATGGTGTCGTTACGATTGAGCATAGGCATGTCCGGGAGTTTGTCTTCGCTACCGTCGTCCATCAAAGTCGGTATGGTCGGTAAGGTCGCTTGTCGTCCAAGGGGCGGCTTTTCGCCGGCCTTCTTCGCCGCCCTAACCTCGGCCCTCATCCGATCTCGCTCTTCCTTGGCAATAGCCTTATTGACTTTGATTGTCACGATTTTTGTCAATCGTTTGTTGACCTTCCGCTCACAGTAGCCGTGGAGTCCACCGTCCTGTCGGGGGATATAATGCCAGAGGAAGAACACGTAGAATAGAGCTGCGGTGAGTAGAAAAATGACAGAGAAAACCCAGATGACTAAAGTGAACACCATACCCGATAGGATCACCACCTGCTGCTTGTTTTCGTCGGCGAGATGTTCGAGTTTGCCAAAGAATGTCCCGAGCGTGCTCTGCACCGAAGAAACATCGGTCGGAATGAGATTTGAGTTGTAAACAGATAACAAGGTCAGAGCATTGACAGCTTGTCGCGGTCCGGAACAGAATATAACTCGAATCCAGGCTAAGGCTAGGTCAGCAGCTTACTTCTTGCTCCGTTTGCAAGGATCGATACTTACATTGGAAGTTGAAGTACGTAAAGAGCGCGACGTACTCAGCACCCTTCCTAGACTTAGTCAATTCGGCGAAGACGAGAAAGCGCCTCCATCCTTGACCCTGCCCGAACCGGACACTTTCTAAGCGCACGGCGAGACTGTCAAGGTAGCATTCAGCTACACTTCCTCGCTTCATGACCCTCATAGCACGAATATGTTCGAATCCCAAGTTAATGAAAGAGGCGATGATGCAAATCGCAAAAATCCATTTCGATACGTCTCTCGAGACAAGCTGAGTAGGTTCAATACTAGACGACCAGGTATTGAACGCTAACAAATTGATAGCGGTAAAGGTATCAACACCATAAACGGCAATGGATATAATAAGAGAAAAGTAAAGGTAAGCGTAGGCGAAAGGAGTGAAACATGATGTTGACTTAAAGTCTTTCAGACTCTATAGAGCGAAGTCGTTAGCATGAAATTTGACTAGTGAACGTGCACTTAGAGGGAACCTACAATAGCATCCCACTTCTGTTCAGGACGGATTTCCGCCTCTTTTCGACCTCTAAAGCAACCCATGTTGCTAGATGTGAAGTCGCTGTGACAAGAACCTGCCCACCCGAGTGTGGGAAACTAACAAAACGAAGGGGATGGGGTATCAAAATGTTGCCAATCAAGGGATTGGCTTTGAAGAAAAGAAGGTAAGTAAATGTAATTGAAGTCGTGACACCCTCGAAACCAATCCTGCTCCGTCTTCAATCAATTGTCAATTGTTCAATCGGACCAGCCGTGTTGCACAGTCGTCGCTCCTCGCCCGCGAAGTAATCGACCGCGCTCTCGAATCAAAAGGAGAGCTTGAGCTCGTAGAGCGTTAAGAAAAGACTTGAGAAGAAAAAAAAAAGAAATCCCGGAAGGGTTATTCGTAAGAGAGAGACGAACGTCGTCCTAAGACAAGGAGGCGTTGGAAATGATACCCGTCCGTAATGATAGGTCTCAGCGCACTAGCGGGGAGATATGCTATACATGCTAGTGGGTATCCGAAAAATGCGGGAGGCCGCTATCGCGGTCTCATTGCAGTCGAAGATTAGGTATTCTTAGACTGCGGTTTTGACGGTTCGCTTTTCGGTTGGAAGTAAGAGTGGTCAAAGGAATGGTCCAAGTAATGTCTCGGTTTGGTTGAATCTCCAGTACCGAAAGGTCAGAGTCGAATGACAAAGTAATCAAGGCTTGAACGAGTAAGGAGCACAGGTCCAACGTTGGCTGGTGTTGCTCGGCTTTGTTTGATCGACTCCCAGGGCACAGGGCACAATGGGGAAGAAGTGCTCGGATGGAGTATCAAAGACGGAATTGGGTGAAACGTGGACCAAGTGGGTATCTCGGTGATAAAAGAGAGTGGGCAGTGGTGGATAATAAAAACCACAGCACTTGATAGCCTATTGAACGAATGTCGTTATGTTTATTGTTCTCCGAATATTTTTTTGTTAGGTAAGATTGAGGGACAAAGTGGTCAATTGACATTTGCGACCGAACAAAAGGATTGCAAAAAAGGGGAGGGCAAGGCCTCGGAGGGGGGGCTTGGTTGGTTCCTGGGTTAGAAGAGGGGGGGAGTGAAATCGGGTCGACCGTTTTGGCGGTTTGAGATTGCGCGCAGATTGCAAAAACAGGCAATCCAGAATTGAACACAACCGATGTACCTGCGTATAAATTTATCAACTCGACCTCTAATTGGACTACTTACCCCAGTCATGCAAGGTACGGACACTAAATTCAGATTAGCGCTAGACCCCTGTGGCTCCTTGGCTCCTTAGCTTCCTTTCGTCAGTTTGAAAGTGCTTGTCTGGTGGACCTTATTCAGCAACTTACGGAGGTACCCACGCATCTACGCGTTTAGGTGCATGGATTCTGCAGGAAATAAATGTACCTACGTACCTTACATACTTTAGGTACATATTGTAACCCTGATAAAAAATACCTATGTACTATTAACCAACTACCAATTAATAACTGCCCAATTTAAAGGAAACATGAAACATTGAAACGTCGTGCATTTATTTGAACTGTTCTGATTGTTTACATTTTCTATATACTTAGGCGGCTAAAATCCTTTACCGACCGTTACTAACCTACGAAATTGCAATATGCGTGAATTGATTTATATTTTACCCTACGTGGTTTTTTGGCGTCTGGTCGGTTCAAATCCTCACAACCAACGGAACAGATAGCTCCAATTTAACTACCTAAGACCCCGATATATACGCGCTTCTACGGTGGGCTCCTCTGCGGTAGACTATGTACCGTCTCAGCTACATTATAATATCAACGAATCCTTAGATCAGATCTCCAAATAGGGCGGCAGGACCCTTCTTGGCGTTCGTTTTCGTTAGGTGATAGGGTTATTTTTATCTTTTCATTGGCATCCTCTACGAGTCTATCTGCGTATATGTCGGATCCCAATCACGAACACTCATTATTATATACGGCTTCCCACCTACTATCTATCGAGATGGATCACATTCTGTATAAAGATGTGTTGAGTAACATATCAAAATATATAAAGGCGCTCAATAAGTCTTACCATTATTCTAGTGAGTAATGGTCCAGTCACTGACCGATAACAAGGCTATAGCAGGGTATCGAGATAAAAATTAAACATATTGTTATTCCGAGTTGAAGGAAGAACAGTAACCAAGGTTAATAGAAATCTACACACATATCTACCTATGGGTAGGAAAAGGCTTCGTCACTATAGCCTCTACCACAACCATATAATATCAGCTCTTTATGAGCTACGAGTTGAGTACCGAATATACGCCACGCATGCATTGGTTTATCAAGAAGTCGCAATGCGATATTAGTCTTACGAAATGAACAATGGACGCTGTTGAAATCAACTGTTTGTGGGAAACCCGAAGGTCTCTGGACGAATCTGTCTTTGGAATGTAGCCTTTTCCTTGTACGGATGTGAGGAACAAAGGCATTGGAAGGCCCAGCATTCCAAAAGAATCCGCCTCAACACCTCTATATCAAAATTAAGGTATTCATAGTTTAACCCATGATTGTCATCCTTCTTACACCAGGTAGTCTTTTTCTTAGTTTGAATAGCGATTCGCTAATAACCAGCGTCACCATGGAGTTCACGAGCCCATATGATGATTATCAGAGGGCTTTAGATTATGACTTCCACACCGAGCTCGCCCCCGGTATCTGGGCGATATGCAAGAAACTTGATAGGACCGCACTTTTGGCTCATGATATCACTGATATGTTGGCTACGACGGACTTTGAACCGGACTTGTACGATGACACAGATTCAGACTCGGATTCGAATAGTACTCTGAAGAATGGGGTAGGTTTCCTATTAGGCCCGGATGGGGCCAATTTGCTCCAAGAAGTCAAGGCTATCATAAACCACGAGAACCTAATATGCTTGCGGGACTGGTTCTCTATTGCAATGCAGAAGCCCAAATCGAGAGACTACGAAAAACGAACCTTTATCGTCTGGGATAATTGCGACGCCGGAACCTTGGAGAACCTTTTGGTCGAAGAATATGAAAAATACAAACCAGACCAAGAGGCCGATGACAGCACATCGGAGGACGACGATGTCGAAGATGAGGCATCCGACACCGATGCTAAAATGGCCGATGTCGATGTCGATGCCCATAAAACGAAAAAGCTAAAGAAGTTCTTACCAGAATCCCTATGCTGGCATGTGCTTACTTCAGTCTTGAAGGCCCTGGCGTGGTTACATGATGGTAGTCCAGAACTCATCCGTATAGGTCCCAATAAATACGGTATGGATCCCACTCCGGATTGGAATCCTGCTCTACACCGGGATATCACTCCCGCCAATATACAATTCCAACAGCCTAGACGCAAAGAGACATACGGGCAGTGCAAGCTAGGCAACTATAGTAGTATATACTTATCGAGTCACCATAACGGAGACGGCAAGTCCAGTGTCGAACGGATCAGGGGCAAGGCCTTGGTTCCACGAAAGGGGGGTGTCAACGCATCATTAGATGCCCTCATCCAGAGAGATAATCAATATGGCTATACTTATAAGGAACAGGTAAGTCTACGAGATTCATATGCCTCATTTAGAAATGTTTACTAACCCCATCGCTAGCCGGATCAGCCTTACACCGTAATCAGCGAGTGGAGGGCATTTGGCGAGATCTTGCTGGGGATGATGATACCTCCCTCAGGAACAAAAACAAATGTGAATGATCACATCGAAAATGTAACCAAGCACGGAGTAAGGTATAATCTCGAAGGCGTGGATTACTCGGTTGGGTTAAAGAACGTGATAATCAGGATGATGACGCTCAACCCAGACGAGAAGTCAGCGGATGGCACATACCTTTTCCCAAACCGAGATACCCTAACCTCCCACCTATGCGTCGAAGCCTTCGAGAGGTTCAGACGGTGGAGGATTAGCACTGACGAGGGCCAAGAGCTGGTCACCGTCGAGGCTCAGCGGACCCAGCAAGCTTCAGAAGACGCAATAGCGAAGAACGAGATATGGAACGCAACCGTGGAAATGAACCGGATCGTGGATAAACTGCAAATGGAAAAGGGCCCCTGGCGTTTCGACGACCATGAGGATACTGAACTTGAAGAGCTCCAAGTACCGGCCTTTACCCACCAGGACTTGGCGAATGACGATGACGAGAGACCGTATCCTCTTAGCGATATCCCGCCCGATGACAATTGGGACTTTGATCCGTAGATTTATGGATGGGATAGCTTTTAAGGTCGCTGAAGCCTGGAGGGTTGGTAGATTACTATAAGGGGCGCTAGTTGGATGGTGGACGGAGCTGAATTTCGCAAAAGGGTATATTATAACTTATTTCACTGATAGGAATACAACATCCCATATCTTGAATCTTAAAATGAGGTAACGTTCCATAGCGATGACTTACTTAGCCTAGTAATAGTCGTTAGATACGATCGAAAACCTCATGTATTCAACCTATAATCAATTTAACTAGGTAGCTTGCTTAGTCTGTGTTTCCCAACTCTTCCAAGTCCCATGAAGCCACAAGCTCTGCACAAAGTCGTGAATCCCATAGCCTTTCTGCCAACCATCCCCTTTAGCCCTCTCCTCGCTTATCTTCCAGAACAGCGTGCCCTCATAACACGCTCTCAGATCATCCTTCCAGACCCGACCGTCCTCCTGCAGCAAAAGCCACGTCGTCCAGACCTCCATGAACGCAAAGCTCCAGCCCGCCGGATCAGCCGCGCACCGGTCCTTACTCAGCAGCAACCTCAGATCGTCTACGTCGAGCCCGCCGGTGCCAGACGTGTCGAAGCGCGTGAACATCCGGTCGAACCGTTCCGGACTAAAGTTCCCGTCGAAGTCGTAGACGCCTGAGTCGGAGCCATGCTTCGCCTTATGGATGTCATTGACGTAGATGCGCAGGAACGGGTCGGGGATCCATGAGTGGCCTAGCCGCGTGGGATAGGAGAAGAAGATGGGGATGAGGAGGGAGCCCAGGGAGAAGAGGATGCAGAATCCTAGATCGCGAAACCCGTTGTATACGTCTAGCGGCCAGATGACTCCGTCATTGTCGCGGTCGAAGAACGCGATGTGCTGTTGCAGGGTAGATGGAGTGTTCTTCAGGGACGATTTTGAAGTTCCTCTATTCGCTAGTGGTGGGCGGCCGTTTATATCACCATTGATATGCTCTTGAACCTGATGAGGGGGCGAGGCGGTAGTAGTGTTCGCCATTCGATTCCAAGCTCAGCTTAGAGTCTTCGCTTATACTATCAAGTTTCGATATACCCTAGTTGAAGATCTAGAAATCTACCTTATAGAATTATCGTGACTTGAGGTTAAATTATTATTTACAACCTCGAGGAACCGGAAGAAAAAAAAGAGATTGAGATTATATTAGTTATTCGTTGTTTTTCTAGGGTTGAGTGGATTTGGACCCCAAGCCCAACTGTTGGACGATAATGCAGCTCGCCGGAACAGCTGCATCTATTTATGCTTGTGAAGCCTTGCCGGCCGGGAATTACGAGAATAAACATCGTCATTAGTAGGTCAAATATCAATCACATACCTTAAGACAACATCGTTTCTCTAGGTTCAATTCAAGGCCGCTGACTGACTCTCTTTCTAGCTGTTATTTTGAATCATTCTTAAAGCATAAATATAGTAGGATAAAGTGAGTATCAATGAACGTTTCTTAGATTCTTATATGATTACTTGCACATCTTGGACTCAAGAGCTATATGTCAATCACGTGAATCAGTCTATAGATACCCAAACAATCTTTTCTCACAGTCTAGTTAACTACCTTTTTTATACTTAACTAACTATATCGCTGTAACATAGAGTTATGTACTTCAATTTGAGTTGTTTAACTTTTAGTAGACTATTATTCGTCCAAGCACGAGATGCAATATACCGGACTAGACTCCATACCGCACGAGGAAAGAGTTTGGTGGATTGTTAGCGGAATGGGGATGGGGATGGGGAAGGAGATGCAACTCAACCTTATCTTATCACACTAGAAACGGCCGAAGTTCGCTATAATTACAGCGCTAGGCGCTCGGACCATTCAAGTAAGTCATACCTAAGCCCCTGAAGGCTGACGGCTGCCAACCCTCGACGTCACCCAAACTTACAGCTTAGCACTTAACCCAACCAACCTTCTGCCACCATCGCGATGATGATCATGGTCAAGTGAAAAAAACAGATCGACAACACTATAATCCACCGACGATTATCCCAAACAAATTAAACAGCGAAAAGCTATTAACCACGCTCCAGTCAATGAGAAATTCAGCGTAGATAGCGCTGGCGCGCCGTCGTCTTTCCACGGCTATAATAATTACCTTCAACTTTCCCACTTTCGTTATATCTCCCCCCCCTCCAACCCCCCCAAAAGTCCACACGTGAGATCGCACAACGTACAACACCACCCACGATGCCCAACCAACAACAGCCATCCTCCCCCACGCCCTCTCTCCTCCTCACAAAGCGCCTAACCGCCTTCCTCAGCGCCAACCTCGGGCCCCAGGTACACACCGCGGTCCTAACGACGCTCTCCGGCAAGCTCCTCGCCCACGCGTCACCCCACTCTCAGCACCCTGCGCACGCAATGCACCGTCGCCGCTTCCGTGTGGGCTTTATATTCGACGCCTGAGACCGTCGCCGAGGCCTTGCCCCACTCTCAGCGTACACAGTCGTCTACATTCCCTTCCTCCCCCTCGCTAGTACCTCATCCGATGCCCAGCGCCGTGACGATACAACTCGTAGCCGGGGTCATGGTTATCCGACGACTGCGCTGCGGCCTGCTGTTCGTGTGTATTGGTCCGAGCGCGGGCGCCGAGGGGGCGGGGAGTGACTACGTCACGCATACCCCGGCGCGGACGGTGCCTCCTGCACAACAGCACCAGTCGAATTCAAACGAGCCGCATCTCGCAACGCCGCTTGGATCGCCGTCGGAAGTTGAAAGCGTGGTTAGTGCCGGAGCCGCGACGACGGCGAGTATCGCGACTACGACTAGCGTTGCGGCTACGGCGGTGGTGGCTACGCGGCGACAGGCAGAGGAGCTGGCGCGCTGGCTGGATGATAAGCTAGGCTCGTTGGGGACTCTGGAGGAGGGATTAGGAGTCGAGACGAGATAAGAAGGTGCGGTTTTAATGAACAGTTCATTCTACGAGATTCGGGTTCAGGTCCTCGGAATTAGGAACCGCGGATCTTCGTGTTATGGAGAGGCTATGAACTATGAAGATTCAGCGCACTCCGTGGCAAGGAGACGCGTGGGCTAGAGAGAGTTGCGTGATTATTAAAGCTCGTCTGAGGGACGGTTTTCTAAGTTTGATGTGGTAATGACATAGGGCTCGGGTACAGATGAAAGCTTTGCGATAGTCGTTTAGCTCCCTCGTGTAAAGTCGAGGGCTCCGTATCTTGACGAAGTACGCCGCGTCTTATATGTAAGGCAAGGAAGGACATGGCGCGGGGATAGGCAGCCGGAGAGGATCGGGGCATGGTAATTAAAATCGTCGACCCTGCGCGGCTCAGAGCAGAACGGAGGTTCCGCTTGGGTGTGCTGTCCGTAAGGGTCCTATTTATTAGATGTTGTTTCTCAGGAATAAAAGATACCAATGTTGTAGGGATAGTAGGCTAATAGAGGTGCTCACGATTCTCTAACATGAGACTTGCCCTTGGACGGAGTAGAGTAATTAAGTCTGTTTATAGCTGTTGACTTATCAAATGATATAATAATATGCACACGCCTCATCGAGTCGTAAACTAACTCACATGTGCTGGCTCTTACGACGAAGATAGATGAGCTTTCGAAGAGTGTCATAGCCGTGTACTATTGCTTAGGAGAGGTTGTCTAGAGATTAAGCATCGGGGTCACAACAGTCACCAATGTCTTAAAAGGTAATTCGTATATTCTCCAGTCTAAGATGCTGTACTATTACGATGTCTATTCATCACGAACAATACCATTAGATCTAGCCCCCTAACATATATTCTATAATACACACAGCTAGCTCGCTCCAAGCATGGGCGCCCATCGCGAATAGCAGCAGAATTAAGATGCGAGCACAGAAGCCCTGGGATATAATATTTACATATAAATCTCAACTACTATATCCAGATAGGTAAGTAGACAATATACAGAATCAATCCCCTTTACGTAGGCCCAATTAGTAAAACGAGAAAACTAGATAGCTACATTGGGTTACTGAGTCAATAGCCCACCCTACCTCATGCACCTAGACAAGTGACATACTAAGACAACACCTATCTCTCCATCATCATCATCATCATGTATGCTCAAGAGAAAAGAAACCTGTATGCAACAAGCCAACATCCCCTCCCCTCTCCAACAAGCCCATCTCGCCACCACCACCACCGGCAGGAATAAGCGCACACACACATACACACACACTCGCACAGCAATAATCAATACCCTTCTTCCCTTATCCCCACCGGTTCCGTCGTCTCGGTACAGGTCTCAGCGCAAAAACGCAGTCTTAACCGAATCACCGAAAAGGAAAGATAGAAAAAAAAAAGGAAAGGAAAGGAAAGCAATGCATGTAAGTCACTCTCCGATGGGGACGACCTGCCTACGGTAGGGCGATCGAAGAGAGATGGAGAGTGGATAAGGATGTCACCCTACCTGCATTAGGGAGGTAGGGGTGTTCGGTTAGTCTGTCTGTCAGTCATTCGTATTCGACAACTCGGCTTGAAGATCCCCCCGTCCCCCTTCCCCTATTATTACTACTTGTTACTATAGCTGTAGTTTCGATTAACGTGTGTCGTTTTTGATGCTGTTGCATGTATGTGTCTAGGAGGTAAGGAGGGAGGGAGGTAAGAGTATGCATGGCATGGCATGACATGACATGCCCAGATGAAAGGATAGAAGGTGGGTGGGTGCTGGCTAAGATACTATCGGTCTGGATGCTATTGACCCGCAAGAGCCCCGGTTTGGGCGAGGACACGATATACCAGGAGAGAGGGCTGCCCGAACTAGCTGTGCTTTGTTCGCTAGGTTAAGAGTTTCCTTGTCAAGGGGGTCTTTCGTTTTCTAGTATTGTATAGCATTAGTTATTTACACCCATTGGACTGATTATCGTAAAATATATACTAGAGCATAGATTGGAATTCATCTAGGTATGAACAATAATAAGATGCTTCACTGATGTATACTGTCCAACCTTTAAATTCTCACAAGGGACATAGTAACATCATTCAAGAATCTAAGGAGGCTAATACAAATCCCCTTCTATTCCATGATATATCACCTAAACCCAGTAGCCAGTGTATATATGTATATATAGACCGTAAATTTAGAGGCTGAACATATGAACAACCATATATCCCGTCCATAACAGAACCCATTAATTCATAACCTCATATATCGTCCTCGACCTCGTCCTTGTCCTATCCCCGCCCCCCACCCCCTTCCCCCGTTCCCAAAGGAATATATATAATCTTCAAAACGCGCTTCCATGAATCCCATCGACAGCATGCCAGTAGTCCGTGATAATAGGTAGAAAAGATTTTGGGGTATCAGATGCAGATTTATATGCCTAAAAGCAGAAAATGCGCCTGGCCGACGGATAAAAAGGGAAAAACCAACCAACCAAAAAAATAAACCGTGATGCTGGCGCCTGATAGCGTGGATTAACGACGGGGTATCATATTTCGAATTCGAAGAAGAAAAAAGTTCGCTGCCTAACGCCCTCGCCCTCCTTATTGTCTTCCCCCCTCTTTTTTATATTCGTTGCTTCAAAATCAAGCTGGTAGTTTCCGAAAACCGACTGCTTGCTTGCTTGCCTACCGCCTCACCAAGTCTTCTCCGCCAAAAAGCCCACCGAGTACCGCGGCGTCTGACTGTCCCAGTGCACGGGGATCATAGTCAGCACGTTGACGAAGCGATCGCCGTTTTTCTTGAAATTGACGATTTCGACAGCCAGCTCTTCGTTAGCTTCGACGGACCGGCGCATCCGCTTGAGGACGTCCTTGTGCACGTGCTTGCGGGGCGACTGTTTGCGGACTCTGCCGCCGGGCGCTTGGAGGAAGCGGCAGTTGAGGCCGATGACCTCGGAGGGGGAGTAGCCGGTTAGCTCGGTGAAGGGGCCGGAGGCGTAGACGATGGGGTAGTCTTGCTGCTGGAGGTCGCACATGATGAGGGCGCAGGAAGCGTCGATGGGGCCGAGTTCGATGACGGGATTGGGTCTTGTCATGACTCGGATCTTGGGGCTGTGTTAGATAGAGAATTATGGTAGGTCATCTGTAGGAGATGCCTCGTATAGGAACTTACGAGTATGCTCATCATATCAAAGCCGCTCGGCGCATAGAGCCCGGGGTAGATAATACCATCGTGTACAGTGTCTTTTGGATCCGTTGCAATGCTAGCCGGTACTCCTGTAAATGCTCTATTGTCTTGGTATTGGTACTGTATTGCCAAAAGCAAGTAAGCGATTGGCTTGATATGACGCTATCCGGCAGGTAATATAAATACTGCCAGACAGCCTGCAGTAGAAATATCTAGGGGGGGATGTAAGTGACATACTTGCAATGCATTCTCTTCCCAAGGATTCATGATAGTCGTTGTGAGATGGTATTAATTAATGATAGTATAGTTATGTGTAAGTCCAAGCGTATCCCGAGAATGTTGGATCCTTATGACGAGAGAGAGAGATAGGCGGCGGGTAGACAAGCTTATAACTTAGAATCCTTAGGATAAAATCTCCACTGTAACCTGGAACAGTCTAAGTATAGTAGCGTTTAGCTAATGCTCCTATTTCCTTGAAGCTCGCAAGGCTGCGATGCAGGTATTCTGCTATATTTAAACGACGGAATAATTGGGACTTGGCAGTGGATAGGTACAGCTTGTGCACCGTCTAACTCGACTCATGTCTTACACTACTATTATATGGCTTCGAATCTAGCTTTTGAATCGCAAAAGGTAGGTAGGTATGAAAGATGTCTTAGTAAATCGACTGCGCGTGATGTTTCGTATTAATGAGATCCGGACGTTGGATCGCAAGCGGGCAGAACTGAAGGATGGAATGTTCTAGTCCATCGGTATAGCATATAGAGAGGTTGCCGAGAATACAGGCAGAAATACGGGCAAGGAGGAGTACGGGCAGTAGGATGTTCGGGTGCGCCTCTGTTGGATGATCGCCATCATCCCATGTCATAGCTCTGATCGAACATGATAAAGGCCCCATCTTTGAGCTACAGGCCCCCCGTTCCTAGACCGGCTTAAAGCATACCATGGTTAACGGGAACGCGATCATGATCTATTCTAGTTCGGGAAAAAAAGAGTCTAATTACAGTTTTGCGCATCTGTGATCAGAATCCTAAAATCCGATGGTTGAAAGATATCCAATTGTTCGGTTTCACATCCTTTGTCTTAGGTCTTAAGGTCTTAGGTCTCAGGTCTCATGCTCTATGATCTATGCTTGCTTGAGCTCCCTTAGACACGCTTCTTAGACATACTCGTTGCTGTTAAGAGAAACGACCTATTCTTAGTGGTAGATAGCCTCGGGGACCATCTGCTCTACATTGCACAACATTAAAAAATTCACCATAACTCGTAAATCAGCAATGTGTCAATATACCTACTTACTATTTGAGCGTGGCATTCGTTAAGTAACTGCATAAAAAGCCTCGACCGGTCTGATGGAGGCTCTTAGGCAGATGGCGATGTGACAACGCAACGGTCAATTCAAACCTTGGCTTTAGGCGTCAATGCAGGTAAATGCAGGTAAAATTAGGTACCTAAAGTAATAATAGTAAAAACTAGTAAATAGTAAATAGTAAAAAAAAATGTTTCTAGTAAATGGATGAAGACCGACTTGGCTGTTGAGCTGTTGAGCCGTGTTACATCACGTAACCCGATGTACATATTCACGCATCGATCGCTGCAGAAGCGGTTTCCGTCGAGATCTTGAAAGAATCTGTCATCGTCATCGTTATTGGATCGGGAATTTTAAGCTATAAGCCAAGTGGGGAATCTCTTCATGCAGATCCACCAATAAAATTAATGAATCCACTAGGTCCGTGCGTTATGCCCGATGCTAACCCCCGGCACATCGGCACATGGCCGATTTCAATCAGCCTCAAAGCCCGGCCTCCACGTGATAAGCATCATTATTCAACCGTAACTGTCGTGTAAGTGCGTAAGCGTGTAAGCGTATAAGTTTTCGTATTATATGTATATAATGATCTGCAATAAGCCATCTTCGATGACGCACCGACGAAAAAATTCAAGTTCGACGTTATATGCCGATTAATATTATTGTTGCTATTTATTTAAGACAATATATTAGTAGAAAGGGGGTTTTAAAGACATAATAATAGCACTAACTACCTAAGCAAGAATCGAGATTTACAGTTATTCATCGCATTTTTAAAAATTGCAAGCTATATTACATGTCGTGTCTTGCTGCATTTAAAATCCCCTATTTTAAAAATCCGATTCTAAAGCGCCGTTGTCGATCCCGATGATCCCTCGACGTTGCACAGGCTTTGCTTTTTTAAAAACAATAAAAAGATAACCGTAGCTGAACAGCCTTAAGTAGTTCAATAGTCGAGTGGGCATTTTACATATGCGTTTCTGGCACATAAGTAGTTTTTCCAGTTTATTGTTTTTTTTATCATTATAAAACTGCAAGTTTCGGCAAGTTTAAGAACAAAAGTATATATTTTTAGTTTATAACCATCAATGGTAATCCTTTGACTTCTATTCCATCTCGTAGGTAATGTATGGTCCAAGATGCTTTGAATGTAACGTTTTATAAATCAAGATAGGGAAGTCCGTAAGAAACCCTGAATACATACCACTTGCCACAGCATGGTTCTTATCGTGACTACATGGTGCACGAGATATAATCCGGTCAAGGCTAAAGCCGAGCGTGATATGACCTAGTACATATTTATCAGAATTACGTGTCTTTATGCTGCACACAGTAGTTAATTGCTATAACCCAGATTTGAGAATCACGGCAATGCCATTTAAGCACCTATCCAAACTTCAAATCGTCCGAAGTTGGTCCTTACAATATAGTTGGTGTTAGTATTGCTAAGTTAATACGACGGAACAATTGCTCCAGTTACATCAAAACGGACTGGGCTGTTAATACAAATCTAGGCCGATCAACGGCATATTAGATCACAGAAGGAAATAGTTCAGCTTCCTTAAATAACCTATTTTGTCAATCGAGTTGCTATAATAATGCCTTAAATAGAAACAGACTCCACAACCTCCTATAATTCATGCATTTTCGTGTCAAAAGATATTAACCTAGTCCAATCATATTCCAAGCTAGGTAGCAATTGCAGTGATATCTAATCGCTTGAATGCAATGGCGAATAAATAAGGCTACCTGCTGATTTCATAAAACCCCCCTCGAGAAACTTACTGGGGACAAAAGCAGACCTTGTGGCCTAGACCGTGATGGACATAAGTAACACTCTACAAATAAGCCATTGGTCTGTTAAGCTCTCTAGCCACTACATCACTCTATGACGTGGGGTTTGATAAATTACTATCACGAGGTGGTAGCCTTTTCGAGAAGTTCTCCCGGGCCAATAGAAACTAGTGACAAATCTTGCTTATATCACCTCGACTGCTGTATATCAGTATTGATAAGGCTTATAAATATCTATCTAGGATAATTACGTCAATGAGATATGCTTATTAAACAATGGCACGACAACTTGTTGTATAAGAACGTGAAATAGGCCCTTTCAACGGTTCTCGCTCCAGTTATACGGTTTATTTCTGGATCTCGAAGTTGAAACAACAAATACACAATTATAGATGCTAGGTGGAAATCTTGACGTTAAATGTATACTGTCCTAAAGCTATGTATGTCTTCGATGTTTCGAGTAAAACAAGTGCTACGACTTCTTACTCTCGGACACTGCTTACAATAATAACTCTCGGTGTTGTATTTTGAGTTATGTTGTTATTTACATTAGTTTGATTTATATCATAGCTTAAGTCTACTGTCATAACTAAAGGGTTATAGATACAAGTATAAGGTTAACTAAACAAAATATAAAGTAATACTATTTAATATCTAAATTAAATAATTTTCTTTATACAAAAGTCCTCAAGTGCCAATAAGCCATATGCTTGATTTAGTACAATATTATATCTGACCATATTCTTTAGGAAGTAGATATAGTATATTATATAACTCGCAGGCACTCGAGGACATAACTTACGGTAAATATTACGAAGCGAGAATCTTCGGTATATTTACCTACTTTTTAAAGTACGCACTTTATAGTCGGATATTTAGAAGTCAAAGTTATTTCCCATGGATAATAAACAAAGACCACCTATTGGTATACCCAGGTACGAATAGTACATCGTAGACTGAGTACCTAATTATAGAAAGCATCTTGGACTATGCCTCGGGTATCTACTATATTTAGCCGCACTCATATACTCCATCGCCATTAGAATGGAATGGATATCATGTTAACATTACCATTAAGACAAATACGAGACTACAACATAAACATTAAGTAAAACACAAGCACCAACATAAAGTAAGCAATATCTAGCCACCATAGTTGAGAAAACAAAACATGCACGGCTCCAAGAGCCCATCATAACCTATCGAATTCTTGTGACCTGGTAGGCCAAGTGCTGAATACAATGTAATGCAATACAATACAATACAATACAATACAAATGTGCTTGCGCACCGCTTCTCATGCTTATGTATATATGCTCGCTCCCCAACGCCGTTGCCGTTGTCAACACCGCAAAACGAACCGAATTGGCACTCGTAGACCCATATCATGCCGAGCTGCGACGTAGACGTCTAGGCAGATAGAAACAGTACTCGTACAAACATCATATCGTAATACGAAGACCACGCACTGGTAGTCTTCTACGCTGACCGACTCCGACTTGACACTCACTACGGAGCTATCCACCCATCCGTTATATTATCCTTTTGTCTGAAAGTGAAACGAATGAATGCCAACGCCATAACGTAGTCAAGCCGGTCAACTTCCGCGCTCTCGGACCCTCAGACAAACGCTTTAAAATTAATACTGCGTAAAAGTCCACATCTCCTCCACGTCCCCTAAAGCTGCTCTTATCATAGAGCGCAGAACACACACAAAAGTAGCTGCCACGACCCTCGCAACCCACACCGCCATCACCGCCGCGTATCCCGCGAACGGATCGCGCGCGGAGCCAGGCAGTCAATGCAGGCCTACGAGGCGTCTGTTCCTGGCCTGGAGCTGTCTGAATTTCTTATCAAGGACTTCGTGCTGTTTCTTGGCAAGGACGAGCGCCGCCTCCGCATCTTCGACGCTCATCAACGGGGCACTGCCGATAGCCGGACCGCCGTTAGCATTAACACCGGGGACGTGGTCGTGGCAGGCGTAGTCGACACCGCCGGCACTACTGCCGACGAACTCGTCGCCTGCACGGCCTCCAAACATTTTTCCACGCTCCTCGGCGTTCTCTACCGACGGGCAGATCCAGGGTGCCAGTTGCTGGAGATTAACGTTGCGGCCAGTTGTGGAGCTGGGGCCGCCGCCGGGGCCAGCCTTGTAGCCGTTGAGATTTAGGGACGGTAGGACGTGCTGGTTGATGCAGCTGATGGCTTCCTCGCGGTGCATCTTGCCGACGGGGTCGCTGGGGTAGTTGTCTGGTCCGGAGGGGAAGTATGATGGAGTCCCGTTAGGTACGGCGCGGTTCTTAACCAGGCTGAATCCTGTGGCGGGAGTATGGCGAGGTGCCGAAAAGGCGGTAGGGAGAGCGCTGTCTGCTCTTATGCGGTCTTGTAGCTCGAGGAACAGCTCTGCTTCTTCCTCGGTCAAGTTGAGAAGACAGTCTCCGTTGGGAGTCAGGAGTACGGTGTGGTCATTAACCGTCTTTTGGACGGGCTGAAATGCGTTGAGTTTGTCTTCGTCTTCCTTGGTGACGATAGTCTTCAGCGTCGGTGGTAAAGTTGTAGGAATGTTCCCGGGAAATTCCGAGCGATAGCCAGGCGCGGGCTTGAAGAAACTAATCGCCTCGGCATCGGGGTAACTGCCGCTTTCCATGATACTTCGAAAGACATCACGCAGGTTAGGAATGTCACCAACATCTTCGTCCATGGGTAGCTCTATTTTGGGTTCCGGGACGTGGCCGACGTAATCAGGAGTAAGAACCGTAGTCTTCGTCGACTCATTCAATCTTATTGAAGTGTCGATTGTGACAGGGCTCCTGGGAGGGCTCTTAGCCGGCTTATTCTTCTGCACTCCAGCAGCACTGGGCGGCTCGGATATCGAGTTAGTGTTCTTAGCTTTGCTATTCTTCTCGCTTACTTCTGCAGGAGCCGTAGCAGCAGTTTTCTGAGGTGCTGACGTATCCAGCTGCTGCTCTAAGCCACTGGGTGTGCCTGGGCGGCTTACACCGGTCGTCTTTTTCTCTTTCTTCTGTTTCTTCTTTCTGCCAAGGATGGGAGCTATCTCTACCTCTTGCTCAACGGGCTTTGATTCGACGATCTGAGCGGCGGCCTCCTTCGAAGCTTCTTTGCGTTGCTTGCGCTGCTGACTCTTCGTAGTTGCGCGCACAGAAGCGGAGCCAATCTTCGAGGGTGGCGGAGAGCTAGTCCGTGACACGGACACTGACGCACTAACGATGGACGCGGTGTCAGAGATGGCTTCGCTTGCAGGTGTCGCAGGTCGGTGAGCGGAACTAGCTATTCCAGCAGCTCGAATAGATGCAACAGCTGCGGGGGGCAAAATAGGTGACGCCTCTGTCTTTGGTGTATGGACAAGACGGAGTGTTTTTGGTGCAACCTTTGCTATGGGGGAAGATACAGATGCTGTCGTAGGCGTAGGAGTAGATAAAGCGGAAGCTCCCTGGGCCTTGCTGGCTTGGGAAATACTAGTAGGGATTTGTTGAGGTTTATTGTCCCACTTGCTGTTTCGCTAATAGCAGGTTGTGCAATAGTCTTTGTAGCGGCTGCGGTTCAACGTGCTAGGAACCGGACGTTTTTATCGGATTTGGTGGGCGTGGGTTTTGCTGGCGATGCCTTACTTATATTATCGTTCGAACCTTCTTAGCTTGGGACGCTTTGGTAGTAGTTGGTGGCTTGGACGGTAAGGCTGGGGTTACTTTGGGGGGCGAGCTCGCCTTGACCGAGTCCAAAGCTGGAAAATCCTCTTCCTGAAGGACACCTTTTCCTTTAGACTTCGACGCTTGAGCAGCTATGTCCTTTGATAAACCACTCTTTGCCGCCAATTCCTTGATGCTCTTCTTCGCTTCGGTTCCGATGGCAGGAGTGCTTTCTTTTCTTAGTTGAAGATAGCTTCACAGGAGTTTTAGGTATGAGCGGGGTCACGGGCCGCGGAATAGCGGGCGACTTTCCAGATATCGCTACATTTTGACTTCCCTGACCGTGTGGCAAGGGTTGAACTCCTTTCATCAAGCTGCACCGGCGGGTGGAAATGACCAAGTCCAAGCCCGGGTGTACAGACGGTATCCTTACAGCGTCTTTCAAGAACGGTATACGAGACTCGTCGGGGACATCGGGTTCCGCAACAAGGGCATCCACCGACGAGGAAACTTCGTCGAGAGGTAAAGATCATCGTCTAAGAGACACGGTACGTTAGCTTACACTTACTTATATACGCGATGAACTACAAACTAAGGAGACAGAAAAAGCAGGCGACGCATCACGGAGTTTCCATCGTCGTCTTCCACAAGTTTATATATAACAAGAGCATCGGGTACGAGGAAGAAATGCTATATTGAGCACCTCTCAGGCCTGGTCTGGAGGATCGACCTGCGTGTTAACGTACATGAAGAACTTTGTGGAAGACGACGATGGCTTGCCTGGCGTGACCATATGACCGAATAATGCGAGGAACAAACAACAGAATAGTGCCAGAAAAGAAGTGTGTATCATCTGAAAGGCAAAGCACTGGCCGCGAAGCCTCGTCGTTTTCCAACAATGGGGACGCCAAATGCAACCTAGACCCGCCCTGGGCCATGCCTCTCTGCAATGCTCGCTCAAACAATGTTGTGGAATATTCCGATTATTTCCTTTGACCCCTTCCGAAAACCTAGACGCCCCTGACGTACCCCTGGCGAAGCCAAGCAGAAAAGAAAACAAACGCGCCGCCATACTCCTTATGCGCTACAAAGCAGCTACCACCTGCCACCGTATACGCTGTTCCCATAAACCATGCTGGGGTTGTACCCACCTTGGGTTTGTCCTCCGTACAGCCCCTGTCCGACTCCGGTGCTGGTTCCCTGTTGCTGGTGCTGCATTCTCGCCTGCAGGATACTCGGGTCCGCAAGATCTACTAAGCCACTCCCCCCAGAGGAGGAAGTGTTAGCGTGTCTGTGCTTCTTCCCCTTCTTCTTCTGCTTAGGTCCGAAATCTTGGAAAGCCCCAGGCTGGGTACCATGGAGCGATGCCAGAAGGCCCGGAGCCGGAGCAGGAGCTGGGGTGGAGGAGGTGGAGGGTGGGTATTGATTACTGAAAGGGAAGTACTCACGCTTTGCCGCTTCGTGGGCCTGGGTGCTGCCCGCGCCCCTCCCACGGATGATAGACTGGAGGAGTTCACTAGAATTATCCTTCGATCCCGCGCCAAACGCTGATCCTCCAAACGAATGCCCCTGACCAAACATGCCACCATTAACAGGCGTTGAACCAGCTGACTTGAGTCCAGGCGGGGGTCCCGGTATAGAAGAATAGAGCTGGCTGCCTGGCTGCGAGCGATATGTGGACGGCATCATAGACGACTGTTGTGCCATGTACCGCGGGTCGGCAGTTGACTTCACATTGATCGAGCTAGAACTGTTCTCGTTCGCAAAGCTAAACCGAGACTGTTGACGACTGTGCCCCTGGCCCTGGAAGAGCGAGGACTGTGGCGAGATACCCGGCGGCATCTGGTCGGCAAAACTACCCTGGGGACGAACGAAGAGTTGCTGCTGTTGCTGTTGCTGCTGTTGCTGTTGCTGCTGCTGCTGTTGTTGTGGCGTTATCGTACGGCCGCCAATAGAACCGATAGCTGTGGGGTTCTGGCATAGCCAGATAGGCTCGGTCCAAACAGCTCGCTCGTGTTAGTCCGTTGGATCGGAGGTTGCGTCGGATTTCGTCTCTGGTCGTAACGGCCGTTATCGCGACTCTGTTCTCTATCTTCCGGTTCCCCACCAAGTGCGAGGCTACCGCTTTCAGGCTCGCCTTCTGATGCCTCTAGGTTATCGACTTGCTCTTCATGATCACCCAAGCGATTCTCTTCCTCTTCCCTCATAGCTCGTCTTTTCGCACCACCATTTACGTCGAATAAGGGGGGATAAGAGTCATCCTTGTTTTTAGGGGGTAGAAATGCTTCAGGAGGGCAATTGGCAATGACTTTAAAAAGTTCGCCAAAATCAGGCACCTCATCTTCCGGATCGGACGCAACTTTGGTGCTGGCGGGTTCAGACTTAGCAGGAGCATCAGCTACCGGCTGCTTCTCTGCTTTTCGACTAGCCGGAGGAGGCGGTTCTGCTATCACCGCGGTTTCAACAGCCTCTTGTGTCGATTCACTGGTAACCGGCAATGAGGTCGAGATGGCAGGACTCGAAGCTGCACCACTCGTGGCGTGGCTACCCCTTCTACTACGTTGTTGAGTAGTGCGCGCCCAGTTTGCTGAAGCTGGCAGGGCCGGTCCGTCACCAGCATCTGACCCTTCTTTACTAGCAGTGCGAGCCATAGGCTGTGAGATAGCTGCGGGTAAGTGGGAAACCTGTTGCCGTGATGCAGAACGTGACGATGAGGCGGCATTCGATAGTGGACGTTGGGTATGAACACTGTTCAGAGAGGAAAGGTCCTGTCTAGAGTAGCTGTCCTCTTCGTCGCCTAGCTCGTGTAGAAACATGCATTGTCGATTTCCACATTGCTCGTGCCTCAACCATGCCGAGCAGTACTTTGTCGTTCCCAACTGGGCCTTGAGGACGCGATCGCCATTATGTGAACCGTGCACAGCTTGTATACAACGAGCAGCGTCATCCTTCTTCTCGAAAGTCACATAGATACCTAGCGACTGAGGCTGGCCGTCGGCAGATTTGCGATTACTAATCGAAATTTTCTGGATATTGCCATACTGTCCAAAGAATTCGGGCTTACGAAGTGTCTTAAGCAGTTCGTCCTCTCGTACGTAGGTGTTAAACCTGTTACGTATACAAGGTTCTTCTGTACGACACGGACGCCTTGGAGATTCTTGCGACTTTCCTTCTCGGCCTCGCGCTTTTGGACCTCCTTTTGACGTTGTTCCGATGCTCGCTTCTTCTGGTTCTTTTGGATGTTGGCGCGGAATTCTGCTTCCCTGTATAAAATTAGCCATACACCCTCCTTGTATATTCTGTCCCCACTACAAACATACTCTTCATGTGTGACAACCTTCCACTTGATATCCTTTTCGTCATAAGGCCGTCGACATGCAGGACACAGACCATTCAGATTATTCTTCAGGTTGTTATAACAAAACTGACAAATCTAGCGAAGAGCCATTAGTATTATATCCAATAATTATGAGACGACTCGTGCTAAGCTCGTACCTGATATCCGCAAGGGCACGGTCTAAAATTCCTATCTGAAAGATCGAACTCTTCTATGCATAGAGGACTATATACAAGGTATCAGCTTTCTATCTTAATAATGTAGAGAATATGACTAGGTGTATGATGATATGCTTACCATGTATCCTCCTCATCGTCGATGAAGCTATCTTGAGGAGCCATATTGATCTGTGTGTGGAGAGTTGGCTTAAAAACTTGTGGTTGGTTGATATAATAACTCTAGCACTGGGCTAGACCAGCGACGCTTAGCTCGGGTATTATATTGTCCAATACCAAAGACCAGTAAGGCGAAGGCAGGTGCGTGCACTGAGGGTGCGTCGTGTCTATGGGTGAAGTTTGGGTTGAAATATCGGGTGATTATGCAGATGAAAAGAAATGGATATTATAGCGGGAGTAAAAAACATGCGAAACCCCCTTGTGAAAACGCGACGGAGGAAGACTAGAGGGAAGAAGGTCGCGTGTGGTAGGAGACAAGACGGACGTGAGAAACAGACCGTTAGTCAGTTTGCGGTGATGGCGTAAAGGTAAGAACAGGTGAAGGTTTGAAAAGGCAAAGGAGGTTTAATGCAGAAAGATTGGTTCAGAGCGCCGAGAGGAAAGGTTGACCCGATTCGCGCTAGGAAACTGCAATGACCTGTTATGGCTTAGCGTCTTAGCGTCAATTTTGATTTTTGCCTCAGCTGTTGTTCCAAGGCTGTGTACCCTGCTACCTGCGTTTGCCAGAGTACCGGGGCAAATTGCTAGGTACCGATTACATAAGTTGTGCTCGACCTTTTTCTTTTTTTTTCTTTTTTTTGGGTTTATTTTTTGTAGGAAACGGAATCAAAACCTACCTAGGTAACAGCGGGGTTTTAAATTTTAAATATGAACTGGCGGTTGTTGAATGTTTACGGATAGCGCATAGGTTTTGATGCAGTCTCACCGCTGCAGTAAGCTCTGTATCCAACTTTTCTGAGAATTTCTCTCTTGGTTTTGGTGTGAATCCGAGGGATAGGAACACTTATTATTAAGTTAAGAACTAGAAGTACAAAGGTCATGTGCTACGTCACGGATTCGGCAATATGTGATTTCGTATATCATTGGGTAAGTTGCCATCTAAAAAGTTAGTAAGATTTAGGTACCTAAGGCAGCAGGTACGTGTGTACCTAACATGAGGTAAGAGGTACTTACATAAGGTAAGTGCCCTGGCAGCCTGGGCAATAGGCCTTAGGTAAGGTACAATGGTCGGAGGGTGCCTTAATATTGTTCCGCGAATTGGGAATTGTCTCAACCTGATTGGACTAGTTCCCCGATCTATCTTGCACCTGTATTTAGATATGGCCCCCGGCTCTTAGGTCATGAACTTCCTGAATAATATAATAGACGGCTCAAAACCTCGATAGACTATAATCCCTCTATAATCAATTGGCTCTTCTGCCACCGTCTGTCGACCATGGCGACAAAGCTCTGCCGAAGCAGAGCTCTCGCCTCAGCCCTGCGACCTGCGAAACCCTCGTTGCTGTCCCGTACCGAGCAAGTCGCCGTTCGATGCATCTCTGCGACCGCTCGTCAAAATGTCAATATGCCTAAGGACGCTCCGAATATGAGGCATGCGCCTCGAGAACACCCCAAGGAACTTAAGGCACCTATTGTCAACCCTACAGACAAGTACTCTACTAAAGCCGACGACCTCCACCGGTACGGAGCTTGGCTTATGGGCTGCTTGCCCAAGTACATCCAGCAGTTTTCCGTCTGGAAGGATGAGCTAGTTATATATATCCCTCCCGCCGGCGTCATACCGGTCTTCTCATTCCTCAAGTGTAAGACACGCATCCATATTCCGAGCTGATATATCCGCCTAGGGATGAGCTTTTTTAGCTGACAGAAAGCTAGACAACACGGCTGCCGAATTCACTCAGATGAGCACCGTTACGGCTGTCGACTTCCCGACTAGGGACCAACGGTTCGAGATTATCTACAACGTACTAAGCGTAAGACACAACGCACGAATCCGAGTCAAGACGTACGCCGACGAGGCGACGCCGGTGCCGAGTGTCACCCCTCTATACGACGGCGCCAACTGGTACGAGCGAGAAGTCTACGACATGTTTGGCGTCTTCTTCCTCAACCACCCGGATCTACGCCGAATCATGACCGACTACGGTTTCGAAGGTCACCCCCTACGGAAGGATTTCCCCCTGACAGGATACACCGAGATCCGATACGACGAAGAGAAGAAGCGCATCGTCACCGAGCCGTTAGAGCTGACGCAAGCATTCCGTAACTTCGAGGGAGGCTCAACAGCCTGGGAGCCAGTTGGTCCTGGTGACAACCGCACGCCCGAGACCTTCAAACTACCCACACCTAAGCCCGAAGAGAAGAAAGAGGAGCCTAAGAAATAGATGCCAGTTAGGCGGCTTGTACATAACTGTGACGCAATTGACGCTATTACCATTTGGCACTCTAGCCACATTATTATCTATATTGAAAGAACATTGACCAAAAGCATAGGTGTATTTTTACTTGAGATGGTAAAGGCCTCATACGGCATTCTCTATTAGGCCGTAGTAAGTCAGGAGTGTAAATTTCACTAATACGTGCTGTTATTATAGTCAAGATGGCATATCGTCAATCTTGCGATTACAGATACCAATACAACTATCTCGATTCCAGCTAGTATTGCACTGCATTTTTATTACAAATCTTTGTATTTACGTCTCAAAGTGTTCAATGCCACTCTGCTCTTCTCCTCCAATGCCGCTCCGCGTTTTAGCCGCATTAGACATCGACTTCTTCACCGTCCTAGCTTGCTGGCTGGTAGTAGCGTCAGCCTCTTTACTTCCCTGGGGCTGGTTCGCAGATTGAGTGTTAGAATTCTCGTCTAATCCGCTGCCTGATCCGGATGTAGTATGGCCGTACTTGGCTACTAGGTATCAGCCTACTACATAGTAGATGTACCAAGACGCCGACACTCACTTAAAGAGGGCTTGTCAGTACTGTTTGCTTCGGCCTGCTGGAATAACGATGACATAGCGTAGTATCTGCTCCGATGTGATATGTTATTCTCGTTTGCTTGTGGGCTACTCCCTGATAATAGAACTGTTCTTAAAGGTATGATCACGCATTTCCTACTTATCTATCACAATCAACGCCACCAATACCCCTACGTTGAATCATAGATAACCCCCAACTTGTCGTCGCAATGATGTCATCGTGATGGACAAGCTACGCTGCTGTGTACCGCATCTATGCGCTTTCCTATCGAATTTAGACGCTGAGGTGTCTGTCTGCTGAAATGACAAGTAATTACCTAACTACCTTAGAGCGGTCCTCTAGCTAATAAAAAAATTAGCTGGACATTAGTATATACTTTGTGAGGAATGCTTCTTTATATAATATGTATAAATTAGTACGATCATTTATAATGGCTTTAAAGGGGATTGTCTTAAATCTAGTTAGTACTTTGAAGCATAGGATCGGGTTTGTTGAGATTTGACGTTGCTTAACATTATATTATTTTACCCCCCTTTATTTCCCCCCTTCCCCCCCTTTATTTTTGAATCTACGCTGTGTAACCACCTAAGCATACCGAGTATTGATATTGATACTCTACACACCTCAGACCTGAAAATAGTAAATAGTATAATATAGCTATCGTCCAAAGATCCTTTTTGTTTTGTCATAGTAGGTTTATACGTACATATAAATGCTCAACGTCTCTTAAATATCAAGTAGGTACTTACTAAATATGTCTAGCAAAGGTACGTGTTATATCCAACTACTTAGATAGCCTAGTTAAATAAGCTATAGGACATAGCTTCTAGACATATCCCACTCAACTAACCTTCCTGACCGCCAGCTTGAGAATCTAGATGTGACAGTAACCAACCTGTCATACATTTAGTATACACGTAGAACTGCAAATTCCCCCTCTAATGGCCGTGATAATACATCAAAAGCCATAGCATATATATATACCGTGACGATATACATCCCCAAACCCTCACTTGCAAAAAACGTCCAAGCCAAACACCTAGACAAAAGCTTGCGCCTTTGCTATAAAACCTCCTACGCTAAGCATTGATAATACCCAAAGCTTAACTCAGACCCTAATCCTCATCAGACGAAACAAGTCCTTACCTATATATATACCTTCTAGTCAGACAATAGCAACCAGAAGCATGGATCTCTTGTCTGACACCTTCACTCCTATTCTATATCATCACCACCACCACTACTTCTACTCGACACACAAATAAACAACACCCCAAAAAATCATATATAGGCCCTTCCTTCCTATACAAAGCAACAGTCAAGCATACCTTGCCCAACAAAATCAAAATGCCAAGCATCCCCATAAACCGCGCGGTCCGCCGCGACTCCACCGCCGACAGTAAAAGCTGCTGGATCGAAGTGCCCAACTTAGACGGCAACATGTCCATACATCTAGCCTCCGGAGAAGCCTGCGAGCAGTAAGCACTCTCCCTCTCCCCTCCCCCCTCCAACCCCCCTCTCACCCCAACCACCCACCCTCCTCACTAACCCGTCCCTCCCCCCTTAACAACAGATACGAGCTCGTAAACCACGACTTCTGCAGCCTAGACCCGGGCTACAAGCACCTCTTCCAGCACAGCTGTCCGCCCCCTCTCCTCGGCGGCGCCCTACTCCCGACAACAATCTATCCGGGCCCGCGCAGCCGAACCCCGAGGAATACGGGACCCCGGCGTTGATAATCGCCGCGGGATTATTTTTGATGACCGCCTTCGCTGCGGCTTTGTACCGCTCTAGTAAGACGATCCGCTATATCTATGATTTTGATTACGACTTCGATTGAATAGTTGGGGATGTTCGTATTGGCTAGATAGATAGGTACTTAACCTAAGGAAGTTGAGATTGGGGAGGGATGGATGGATGGATGTGTTTTGTGGCTAAAGCATTATGATACTCCGATTAGGACGTTGACTGGCTAATTAGTAGGCTGAAGCAAAGGAATACGCATTGGAATGCCACGTTGATTCTTGTCCAGTACCAGTTTATCAACCGGATTCCCACTAGGCCAGAGTTACGAGCTTAGTATCAGCCCGAATGCCATATAAGAAATACTCGTATCATTATATAACGCTATATCATAACGTGACTGATCCCTAATACTCTTACAAACCCGAGCATAATACCCTAATCGGATTCGAACTCCAAGCTATACCCTAGCAACCTTCCTTTCCCTTCAAGCCAAATAACATAGCCTATCCATGCAACGACGCCAATCCAGTATCTTACAAACACGCTATTCGTCAATGCAGTTTTCATCGTCATTCATTCAATCTGACTGCTCATCTGCAGAATCATATACAATAGGCGGCGGCACTTGAATCTCGTCGAGTACCAGACTATCCGGCAACATCTGGCTCCGCGTTTGGAACTGCGAGGACCTCAGAGAGTGATCTCGCGCGCTCCGGAACGCCGTCGGGCTGCTGCTGTGCAGGTTGGCGGCGGGTGAGTCGCTGGTGATGGATATTACTTGAGGGGGCAATCTCTCAGGAGATAGCGTTGGGCTTGAGACTGTGGTAGCCTGCGACGGTCTGACGGCACTGCGTGTTCTCTGGCTTGGAGGTGCTGGCGGTGACTGAATTGAAGAACTTGGCTGTAATATAGGCGGTGCGGGCTTTGTAAATCCTTGGTTGCTTTTTGCTTGGGTTCTCTTGCCTCTGCCACTAGACCTACGCGTAGACTGGCTCGAAAGAATCACTTCGTCCACGTTATCAGAATGATGCTGGGTTGAGAATTCTGCATCATCCTGTAGTTGAGCCTTGAGTTCTTGTGACTCGGTAACATTGGGACTGCTTGGCAGCAACGCAGCTCCTGCTTCTTGCTCTTCCTCATTGTCACCAAATAAAGCACATTTCAAATTCGCAGTAAGTTCTCCGATAACCGCAGGAGGAACCCATACATATTTCTGCGGGGCAGCATTTACCCAGCCCTTTTTCTTCATTTCGTCGAGGGGAACCGGGTCGTTAAGTTCATAGACCTGGAGTATCTCATATGCATACTTGGCGACGGCTTTACCTTGGTTGAACTCGACATTTCCAACCCCTTTGTTGTCCTCGATTTCTCCGGGTACTTTAGGAGGGCCGAGGGTGCACATGTATTTCAGCTCGGAGAACGGCCTGGTCGAATAAATCCAGACGCGGGTTACAGTAGGTGGTATTTTCCAGACCCTAAATTCGTGATTCTTCGTACCGTTGATTATCTTTGCCAAGGGCTCAGGGTGAAGAGACACCATGATATCAGAATTATCAGTCTGTGGGCCAAGAGCATGAACAACTTCCAGGGGGAGTCGTTGGCTCTCGATCCCTTGAGTGAATATCTGTGTTTGTGCCTTCGATGGACTTTCGTCTGACTGTCCTCTCTGCGGATACGGCGTCGGTGATTTCTCCGCTACAGAAACCGGGGAAGGTGTGGATTTGTTTACAACCTGCGTTTTAGGAAGTACACGTATTTTCTTTGGGTTTGGCGTGGGAGTAGCCGATCGTGAGCGACTTGACTCTGCGGAATCACTTTCTTCAAGCTGACGACTGATTTCCTCTGTTGAAAAGAAGCTCGGCTTGTGTTTCGTCTCCGATAACGCCGTAGCAGGTTTCTGCTTCTTCAGGACCATCTACTGACAGGACCTCACCCCCCTTTCGTTCTGCTGGCGCATTCTCGTCTTCTGTACTGGCCTCTTCATCTTCGACGTCACCCGTTCCATCGCTATCGTCATCGGAATCAGGCACTTCCCGTAGGGGTGGTCGAGCTGGTGTCTTCCTCAGTGGCTTTGGACTCTTCGGTTTAGTCCTTCCTGGTGTGATATTTTCTTTATCCTCAGGAAGTTCGAAACGAGTCTTCTTGACTGGCGTAGCTTTAATGGCAAAGTTATGGGCTCGTGCAGTTGGTGAGCTATGAATCGTACTGTACGAGTCTGGAATCACTCGATCCCTTGACGTCTTGCTAATCTTCTTAAGAATAGGAGAAGGACCTGTCAAGTTGACAGATTTAACTACTAGAGGTGACTTGTGTGGCGCTGGACTGTATCGCATCATCATCGGTGTTGTTGGCGATGTAGAAGATGGGATGACTGTCTTCGTCCGACGGTTGGTTGGGGTGACTGACTCGACAAGACTTGGAACTGAGGATCTGATTCCAGACTGTGGCTCATTAGCCTTGGAAGGGACAGGCTCTTTTGCTTTCTTGGGAGTCTCCAGAATGAAGCCAGTATCGTCGTCTTCCGAGTCATTGATTTGCCAATCCTCGTTATCATTTTCACCTTTAACTGATAAGAATTGAGTTAAAGTCTGAGTATGGAAGCTACTCGACGGGTTTGAACCAGGTGCGTCTCCTAAAGTCTTTCGTCTTTTGGTTTTGGTATCTCTTGGATTCTCATTCTTGACTAGTTCGTCTCCCCGCAGTCTTGCGTCGGGATCTCGAGTCTCTTCTTGGATTTAACTGCCTCTACAGGTGCAGGGGGCTCGGACTCTTCATCATTATCTTCTTCGATGTCTTCTTCATCTTCAGACTTGAGTAATTCCTTAGGCATTGATGGCGATATGAAATCCATCTGGGTTAGTGTACCTTGTTTTAATTCCCTTTTGGGAACGCGAGGACGTCTGTGTGTTTTTCCATATGTTTTCGTATTATTTTTGACAGTCCGTTGTCTTTCAGGAAATAATAGCTGCTTAGGGGCTGCAGGAGTTGACCTGTATGATTTGCTCTCTGATGGTTTGGATGGATTGCCATGGGACCTCGTTTGTGGCGCCATGATCGCAATGGCCAAGTGGACCTTTCGAACAATTTCCCCTGCACGTATACACCCAATAGTTTAGATATGTTGTAAAAGTTTGAAGGTAGATAATACGTCAGTGTTCTTCAACTATAATGGTAATCTTCTTGGAACCTTAATTCTTATTTTCCCTTGTTGAAGTTAAGATGTTGTTACTCAAGCCCATTTAATTAGGATTTAATTAGGCAGATAAGACTTGGAATGCGTCATGAACGCGGTTAAGGTAGAAATGTGGGTTGCATGGCGTGACTATCGCGTCAAGTGCATATCAATTAATTAAAGTACCGTTCCAAGTGCCATCTATACCTAATAAATGCATTAACTTATCTACCCCCGCGATAAGCCCCCGCCCCTTGCATCGACCGAGGTATAAGTTCATTATCCCTGCAGCTATTGTACATAAACAGATCGATCGGCTTTGACCATCACAACCATTAAATCGGTAGGTTGGTTCTGTGTATTATATTTAGACGTATACTCGTAACTTTGGATTTTCCTTTATATGCAAGATTAGTATACAGTCCAGTTGAGTACTAGCTAATAATCTATCCCAATTGGTTATTTCTTTTTCATATATGATCGACATCTATCCCGGCGTTCTTGGTTTAGGAACTATAAAGGACAGCCTCGGCTAAATATAACAACACCTCATTGACGGCAAGTCCTTAGACGAGACTCTATTTAGATGCTTTAATGCTTCTATTCTAACTAAAAGCCCGTTACTTGATGCTCCTAGTTATAGTATATCCCACCCACCGCTTATTAGAGTCAAGGGTTATTAAAACTCCCTCCCTCTTAACTAAACCTCACAAGCGATCAACAACAATCTAAAGACAATATAACCCATACGTTATATCTACCTGCCATATACTCCATATATACGCTTGCCCACCATGGCAACACCCAACCCCAAGCCCTTCCCCTTCCACATAACCGAACACACCATCCCCTCCCAACACATTCGAGAATTCCCCCGCGCAACATCCAACTCCCAAGAAGACATCCTCTACATCAGCATCAAGCAATACACCCCCATCGACAACCCCGCCCCCCAACCAGGCGACATAACCATCCTCGGCGCCCACGCCAACGGCTTCCCGAAGGAGCTCTACGAGCCGCTATGGGCCGACCTGCACGCTCGCTCCAAGGCTCACGGCATCCGCATCCGCGGCATCTGGATCGCCGACGTCTCTAACCAGGGGTACAGCGGGCAAATCAACGAATCCGCCCTCGGCAACGACCCCTCCTGGCACGACCACGCGCGCGACCTGCTGCACCTAACCAACGTCTTCCGCGCCTCTATGCCCCGTCCCATCGTCGGCGTAGGCCACTCCTTCGGCGGCGCCGTGCTAACCAAGCTCTCCCTGCTGCACCCGCGACTCCTCACCACCCTAGTCCTGCTCGACCCGACCGTAACAGAATTCACCTTTGGACGTTTCGGCCCCGGCAAATCCGCCGCCCGCGCATCCACCTTCCGCCGCGAAACCTGGCCCTCGCGCGCCGCGGCCGCCGAATCCTTCCGGCGCAGCCCCTTCTACCGGACCTGGGACCCGCGGGTGCTCGACGCGTGGATCGCGCACGCGGTGCGCGAGACGCCTACCGCGTTATTCCCCGACCCGGAGAAAGACGGCGGGGCAACACTGCGCACGACCAAGCACCAGGAGGTATTTACGTTTTTCCGCCCGCTGTGGCCGTACGTCGACCCTGTTACGCGGGAAGTCGACCGCGACGGGGCCCCGGATTTCGACCCGGACGTGCAGGCTCAGCTTCGGGATCCGGCCAGCGTGTTTCCGTTCTACCGGTCCGAAGGAGGGAGTATCCTCAAGCTATACCTGAGGTGCGGCCGTCCGTGCTCTGGGTCTTCGGCGGAGACAGCGAAGCTAGGCGTCCCGGAAGGCCGCAAGTTGAAGACGGAAACCTGTGGGATTGGAGAAGGGGGCAGCGGTGGTCTTAAGCTGGGGCGGGTGGACCAGGTCGTCTTAGAGGGACGCGGCCACTTATTTCCGATGGAGATTCCGGATGAATGCGCGAAACATGCAGCGACGTGGATAGGAAAAAGAGATGGTGCGGTGGAGAGAGAAGGAGCGTGAGTACGAGGAGTGGGTTAAGCTGCCAGTCAAGGAGAAGACGACATTAAGTGAGAAGTTCCTAGACAATGTCGGTCGTCCACCGCCGAGGAAGAGTGGATCTGTAGCTGGTTCGGAGTCTAAATTATAGGAATACTTCATACAATTACCGTGTTTAATTTAGACTATTTTCAAATGTTTTGGCTACGAGGATTTCAGGCAAAGGTATATATACCCTATATACCTTAAATAAGCATTTAGTCAGCAATTATTAGCTATAGATATTGATAACTTCGTTATTAAGGCTATCACACAAGACCGGGAAGGTAGCAAAGTAGCAAATCACTATTACCTAAAGCATAAGGGCGAACGAGTTGTGAACCAATACCTAGACAAATTGGCCAGTCTATCTACCGATGAAAGCCACTCCTTTTGCGAAAGTAAAACAAAGTAAGCACTAAGCCTTGTGTCAGGGTGTCCAGTCTGATGCCAAATCCTGCCGGGAATCATGTTTCATTCCTACGCCGAAACAACCTTTCCATGCATCAGACAAAGTCCTCTCGCAACCCGTCCATATCTCTCTTGTGCTTTGTGCCAACTTCCTTCTTGTCAAGAGTCACGGTGGGGCATCAGAAAGGAATTATGGCTTGTTTCCAAGAAAAAAACAACCGCTCCCTAGTCAGTTGCTCTAGGGAGGCGAAAAGGGGGGAAATAAATAAATCAGTGCCTCATTTTGCTCATCAATGCCATCCATGTACTGCGATATTAACGCGTATAATATTGCGCTTGTTTACTGCCCATTATACCGGTAGATATAGATATTTAGGACAGATGGAAGGCACCTTGACCTTCTCTAATAGCAGTGAACAACTGCCGCCTCATGCTATCGATACTACTGTAGTCGGGTAACTTTAGGTAGTTGACACAAGTCATAACGCTTGGAAGGTAGTCGTCAGATGTGTAGGGTGGCTCACTAGGCTTGCACACCACAGTAAACATAGGGGTCAGGCTCTTGAAACCTGTAGCTACGGTTAGAACCACATCGATGAGACAAGGAATCGTAATACATACCTCCAATTGGAAGCTTTGGACTGCCAGTAGTGAATTGCAAGAAGTCACGGCGCTGTGCAGGGCTAAGCTCGCTCATTGTCTGGAGTAAGTTTCTGACGGATTTACTATCCATATTGAAGCCATGATCTGCCTTTATAGAGTCCATAAGAGCTAAAAGAAAAGAAAGTTAGCCTCATCGATATCATTTATGGACGAACAAGACTTACTCTCTAGAGACCAATCCTCATCAACGCGACCAAATAGTGCTACCAACTCATCCGGTGTGAACGCGCTCAGTGCGGAGTACGGGAATACCTGGGAGAAGCCGGTGCGGAATGCCTCGACTTGACGCTTAACACGCGACCTAGAGTTAGATCGGTGACCTTATCGAGATATGACTCGACGTTGTAGATTGTAACGAGATATGAGATCCGCCGGGTATAAGCTCAATTTCGGGATAACCCGGCAGCGTGAAGTCCAATGCTAAGTCCTCTAGTGTTCCATTATCCACCACGATATCCTCAGTATCGGCAACCTTCTGCGCGGGAGTGCGATTAGGGTCTTCGTCGATAGCCTTCTTTGCCATAGCAAACTTCTTGATATGCTTAAGTGAATTGGCTAGCCCGGGGTCTACAATCTTGACCGCACCGAGAGATGGCTTTACGCTCGAAGAGCCTTCACCAATACGGAAAAATATAGGATTAAAGTTAAGGTCAATGATCCGTGAATCGATCATGGATCGCGCAACGAATTTCCCGAGCATCTTGAACAGCTGGAGAATTACGTTTGCGCTTGAATCGTCATCGCTCAGAGGTCGAGGGAATAATCCAGCAGGACCAGAGATGAACTCGTCCGAGTCGTTGGAATCCATATCACGCCAGAGCCTGAGTTTTTTCTTGGAGAATTCTTTTGATACGGTTGAATAAAATTCGAGAGTAGGTCCAAGACCTGTCCCAACCTCTTCAAAGTACTCAACCTCAAGAATACTCTGCGAGCTCCCGTAAAGTTCCATCACTTTCAACGCTGACTCCAGGATTTTGGAACGCGAAATTCGTACCTTCTGACGCTGGAGTCGGCCAAGGAATACGTTATCATCACGTCGGTCGCGACGCAACGTCTCCTCCTGCTGCGCATTCTGCCATCGACTCATAGATCGCGCATAGCCAAATGATGTCGACTGAAGGAACAGGTGGCGGGTCTCAAAGGGGAAGAGGAACGGGTATAGCCGGGCTAGGTCTTCACTCCAGCCTGGTAAACAATTACTGGCCACTATGAGAGGCTCCTCCAGTTGCCTATTAAGTTTGGCAGTCAACTTTGTGTTGACAAATTGTGATAAGGGTTCAACATTCAATTTCAGAGTGTTCTTGTTTTCCACCATAATATCATCGATGTTTGCGTTGAGATCATGTAAAATATTCAATAGTCGGAGAATAGACGCTGTTGTAGGATTATTCGTAAGCGAGGCGGGTACACCGTTAACATCAGGTGCACCGTCAAATGAAGGCCCGAATCCGATAGGTTCTGCGGGAGGAGGCCCAGGCACGCGACGAAACTTGATGACATGCATCGTTGACCAAACACTGCGGTTAACATGATCGTCAGGAGGCGACGAGTTGTTGTGGACAGCCCGATAAATAGTTGTCTCGTTCGGAATGACCCGCTCGTTAAGACTGAATTCGATATGCCAATCTTGGGGTATGGCTTGGATGGCAGCCGCGTAAGAAAGTGGTCGAGAAGCCGACGGAGCGGTGGGAGTTGGCGTGCTCTGCTGCGATGCTGGAGGTTGAGGTGGCGCGCTGCGGCTTGGAAGATTGGTACCACCAGTCTGAGCTGGAGTAGGGACCCGGGTTCCATCTTCTTTCCTGGCCGTGATCTTCTCCTCAGCTGCCTCTACCAAGTTGACTGCGGATGGTTCGCGGGCAGGAGCATCTTCCATATCCTCGTCTAACTCGCCAACTATAGCGTCGAGAGCACTACTATCAGCAGCCTCAACTTCTTCATCCTCATCAGTGATCGGCTTTTCATCAGCGCATTCCAATGCATTCTGCAAATCTTCGTCATCTTCCGGTGGCGGAGGAGGTGGTGCCGGGGTATGAGACTCGCTTGGTTGAGCTGGTTGGCGTCGGGCCGATCTACGGAGAATTGCCTTCTCACGGCCAGAGCCTGCTACTGAGCCCGGAGTAGACGGGGTATCAGACTGCCCCGGTTGCTTCGACTTAGATCTCCGCGGTGGACGAGAGCCGGAAGCCTGGTTCGGGACCGGAGGTGGAGGAGCCGCATAGCTTGATCCCAACCGCTCGGCGAGGCGTTCGGCTGACGACAATCCTGCAGAGCTGGCCATCGCGGCGAGGGCTCGAGATAATCCGTCACGGGGTCTTGGGCCACGAGGGCGCTCGTGTAGGCTAATTCGGGGTCGTAGCCAATCATCTAGAGCTTTAAAGGTTGCAATTGCATGGATGTGGACATTGATACTGCGGAACGAACGAGGAATATCGGAATCTTCGTCAGCAACCAGTCTAAGTCTTATCTGCTTCGCCAACATGGACGCCGCGCTGCTACGATTGCCATCAAACGTGCTATGGTGGACGGTAATAACCTCGAAGTGCTCCGACCTACTAAGCAGATCTTGAAGTTTATGGATCAAGATACTGAAGGGCGTCGCAGGAGAATCTGCAGTTGCGGTCTTCGATTTTGAACTCACGTAACGACCCATGAAGACCTCGAGGAATGCGGCTCGCGCAGCATTTGCTAGCATCTCGTCGGGGTTGCTGAAGACTTCTTCTAGAACGCGCACAAGCCCTGAAGAGAGCAGCTCGGCGCTTGTAACACTGTCCAAGACGTCAGCATCGAAATAGGATGCTAGTTTTTCAAATAGGACGGCCCCATTCTCAGGAGATAGATCTTTGGCAGTCCTTCGAAGGTAAAATCCCTCAATCCCAGAAGCAAGGGCTTCAAGATTATCTAGGATCTTTTTGGCCTTCTTCTTCATGGACTTGCTGTGCTTTTCTGTCTCATGAGTCTCTAAGAATTTCTTGGCGGTCTCGGCAATGCGGGTCTTCATAGATGGGATATCCCCTACATAAGGTCGAGGCGGCCCATCAATAGACATAGTAGATCCGTCAGAACTAGCAGGCGAACCGGACATGTCGTCGTCGTGATGATCATTCTCTTGATCGTCATCGTCGTTCTCATCGTCTTCATCGTCGTCCTCTTCACGGTCCTCTTCGTCTTCATCTCCAGAGCCGTTGTGTATCGAGACCCTGTCTCCTTCATCTCCAGATGCCATACTATGATCTGCCGGGGTCTCAGTGGCCTTGTTCTCGGGCTCTTGGTGCTCAGACGCCAACTTCATAATCTCAATAATGACCCCTTCGCGGTAAATCTGGTAGCGATAGATGTCATCCAGCCGGTTCAGTAGAAGTTCCGTTATCTGAATGGCAGACATAACAAGCGAAGGATGATCCTGCTGTGATAGTATAGAGGCCAAGAACGAAGCGTAGGGAACAGCCTTTAGGGCATCGACGAGAATATCCTTATCTAAATTCGATAGCATCTTCAGCTGAGCAGTGAGTACCTTTTGTCGAACGCTCAAGTTCACTGTGCTTGAAAATGCGTCCGTCAGCGTAGGGAAGAGGATTAACGCAAATCTTCGAACTTGGTCCTTGCACTCGTCGAGCAGCTCGAGTCTCTTTTCGTTAGATGACTTCTTCCGAGACCCAAATGAGGATGGGGTAACGGGCTCGGCAATATCAAGATCGGCTGGGATTGGGGGGCCCGAGCCGTCAGTCCATTTCAGACCTGGGAGTAACTCGCAGACGACGTTAAGAGTCTCGATAATTTGCTCACGTGGCCGATGGATCAATGCCTGCATGATAACCACACTGTCAAGCTTCGAAGCGACATCTTCCGTCTCACTAGGAGGAGAGACACCCGTAAGGATCTGATAGAGAGTCTCGACGACGTTTAACTTGAAGAGTTCCGCTGACAGACTCGGGCTTGCACGGGCCGTGATAGCCAGAACTCGGAGGAATTGGGTGTGAATATTGGCGCTGATGAGGTTCGTAGTTCCGGGTACCAGGAGTCGCAGTATGACTTTCAGCAAATCCACACTAACGAGCTGTTCCAGCTTCGATGACTGATATTTGAAACTCTCAATTATACGCGTGACACAAAGCGATGCTTGTTCCACAACTCGCTGGTCGTTACTATTCAACACGTTTAGGAGAATTGGCATAACTCCAATGATCACGTTAAACGAATCCTCCGGGATGTTGCGACAGCAGTTGGCAGCAGTTGTGACAGCAGTTCGCTGAGTACCCGTAGGAAAGAAGTCCAGGTAAGTAAGACACGCGGTTAAACCACCTTCTCTAACGATGCTTGTGGGATACTCCACTGAGATCTTTTCTAATGTGCTCAGCGCTTGCTCGGCGAGATCAATATAGTGGATCTCTAGGAGTTTCTGGCACAGGATTGGAACAGCGCCACCGTAGACCACGTTGGCAGCACTAGCCGGTAGAGCTTCCATCAAATTCGCAAGACATCTGCAGGCAAGAAGCATGATCTCCGAATTTTCTTCGCCGGTAATCTCATTGGGCTGCATCAGGGTCACCAACTCCTTCACGAAAGCATCGGGGGAGAAATGCCCTGACAGATTATCCTCGTTGGAAACAAGAAGAATCTCAGCCAGTTCCTGCAGAGCCACCAGCTGTGCCGACGGGTCCTCTTTCTGTCGAAGATGATGGAGGATATCTCGTAGCCTAGATGAGAGTCCGGACATCATACCAGTCAGCGCCCTAAGAGTGTTAGATAATCCGGATCCCGGTGGCACCCCAAACCCGCCAAACGGATCGTCGTCGTAATGGCGATGGGGTTCATCATCATCGTCGTCATTATCGTCGCTATTATCCTCGTCGGGATCATGCGCGGGCGGAGGTGGCGGCGGGGGGGGGCGCTTCCTCCTCTTCCTCATGATCCTTAGTACCCGTCATAGTAGTATCTTGGTCAGGAGGAGGTGGATGGTTGCTAGATGTTCGCTTCGAGCGGCGCGTAGAGCTAGAAGCACCTGTCGCAGGAGATTCTATTCATAAAGTTAGTATAAAATTGGACGCATTGGCATAATAGTAGGATTATTTCATACCTTGAGCTACCTGGCTATTCTTCTTGTTGCGACTCGACTTGCGGCTTGATGAGGCTGAAGTTAAATTGGTAGAGTCCTGCATCCTGGCGGGTGGGGGTGGGTCAGAACTACAGTGGGCAAATATTAATATCAATTATGCGTTCAAAATACCAAAGTGGCGCTTTGCGAAACATACCCTGCTGGACTAGACATAGAAGCCGTATTCTTTCCTTTCCGCTTACGTGTAGCAGCAGGAACAGGTGTAGGTACAGCCGGAGGTTGTGGGGCTTGCTCTGAAACTTTCTGCCTCTTAGATCGACGAGCTGATACAGCTGGCTCGCTCGGTGTAGGTTGGGTCGGCGAGCTATTCTCACCCGATGTTGGCTTTCTCTTTCGCGAGGATGTCGGTCTCGATGAAGATTGAGCGGATTGGTTCGTATTTGTGTTATTTCCGGCGGTTGCAGGCGAATGTCCAACAGAAGCTTGGGGAGAGTTAAGGTCTCCCTGCAATGCTCCTTGACTCGCTGCGTTGCGCGCAGAGGAGCGTGTAACTCTGGAAGACATGAGTATGAAGTTACCGGGGGTGAATGCGAAATAAAAATAAGTAGGGTAACTCGAAAAATAAGTGTGGAGAGTGCAAGAGAGACTTCAAAAGAAGGCGAGGAGGGTTTCAATAAACCTCGCCTCAGGAAGCTTTGACGGTGGGATGGCTCTCGTAACGAGATTTAGGTTTGAATCTGTCAACGCTTTGCATGCACTGTCAAATGCACCTTTACACTTGTCATGAGCTGTGCTTGGCTGCCTTTGTGACAAGTAGCATAGCAACCAACGACGTCGACCAGAGGTGGATTGCTGTGACTGGGGCAACAACACAAAGAGGGTATTGTACTTAGGTACGAATCGAGGTATCAAAATATGAATATATTTGAGAGACCGAAACTCGTACCCCTCCCTCGAAAATGTGACCGTCAACCACAAGGCACTAGCCTAGACGTATCGGCGACGAAGGACTAAGGAGGGAACAATTGACAACGAAGTAGAAATATGATAAGAGGAGGGAACGATGGTAGACAACGGGGAGATTACTGTTAGGCTGGTTGAAGGAGGTTTAAAGAGCAATCAGACCTGATACGGGAAGAGAAAAAAAATAAAGTGGTACTCGTTGTGTTGTACCAAGGTATCGTATATAATGTAAAGGTGTAGGTTTTATGTTTAGGTATGTGAGTTTGTAGGAGAAGGCAGGTATGTACGTAAATGTATGTTGTTTGGAACTGTATGTGTATCGTACCTAGGGGATAAGGACGAGAACGGCGACGAAGCAGGAGCGGCCGATCGCAAGTTCAAGTTTAGATTTAAATCTGTAATAGAAGGAAGTCGCGCTTGAGGATCGTTATCGACTGCCGATCGAGAGCGCGGGTTGGCAGCAGAGGGTTTTCGTTCTGCCATGGATTACGCCATTAGGCACGGCGGCGATTGATTCTTTTCTGATGAGTTCGAGACCTTGGCCACGCGCTCAACTCTTCTTCTTTCGTCTTTAAATACTACTTGTGGGAACTTTGTGAACTTGGGAAACAGGAGTAAAACGAGACGTCGGTCGAGATGGATTAATAGGAACGATACTATTCAATTCAATACGTTATTCGACTTCATATACAGGAAAGCGACTAACGAGCTGTCGATGCTATCACAGTTTGAACAATAGAAATGATGGAACTAAGACGGTAGGTAAAGTTATTGTCGTCAAAGCGTTAGGGACGGAGTTGGAGGTTCTATCGGAGGAGGTTCATTCGAATGCGTCGGCGGGCGGCTAGACGGTTGGGCGAAAGGTAGGGTGGGTTGTGCGGGTGTGTGGTAGGTACTTAAACCATAGTAGACTGTAGTAGACCCGATGCCAGGCTGTCTGTAGCCGTGCTATAAGACCCTGTAGTAGTTCGTGCGGGTAGGGGTGTGTAAGCTACCTTAGTGATGCTTTATTGATGGCGTAACAGGTGTGTCGATAACAGTACTAGTCAACTAAAGCACTGCATGCAGGGATGTATTGTTTGTTACAAGGGATCTAGTAAAGATACGTGCATATACATGTACTTAAGTATCCCGATGAGGTGAGAACTGGTGAGCAGGGGTGATTAGATCTTTACTACTTTTGTGCATGTACCTAGTATGTATTGCCCACCAAGCAATAACGTTGAGCCGTTCGATTATCAATATAAAAATTTACTTCTTGCGGCTCTTTTTGAACTGTCTACATTCTTATCTTGATGTTATCTTTAATAGTCAAAGTTAATTGCACTATGTATGCCTTTAGTTAATGTTTATAATGACCTAATGCTTGTGCTTCGATATTTAAACAGCACTAAGTCAAGCAATGACATCACCGTTTTCTTTTCTTACTTTCTTCCCACACAACTCAACACATTCATAATAAGTACATATTGGAAATACTTTATATAAGCAGATCTGACAAATTAAGAGAAATCCTGATGTCCCCCCAACTAGACCTAATTGGCAAAATCATATAAAATATACTATAAAATTTTAACATTCCCCATTTCTTTGTCCGACGTGGCTGACAAGCGTTGGTTGTCTCTTGGTGTCTACCAATTAGTAAACAGAAATTTTTATATTTCGTTATCATACACCCATAGTTATTCTTCTATGTTCTTTACAATTCTATGGTACTTTAAAGTGTAGGCATTTCAAAATGTATTTGCAGCCTCCTAATTAAATATAGATGCTTCTTCCCTTATACTGAAGGGTACCCCCAATCGTGGTAGTTTACTCATGATTTTAAGCTGTTAATGCCATCTTCATACTCGGCGACGTCGTACTCATCAGGGTACTTCTCAAGATGTAGCTTCAGCTGCTCCATTTGGGCTTTTAGATCAGGGGTTAGCTCTTCGTAGACATCTTCAAACATAGTCCGGATAGGTGGCTTCTTCTCTCGTTCTGCATCTGAGAATGCCTTTAGCACCTCCCGCCTGATGCTCTCCCGAGCTTCTTTCTCTTTAGACTCGTCCCAGAATCCCTTTGCCTCCATATACTTCCGTAGCCTCGCAACAGGGTTGTCCCGGCGTTTCCAGTCTTCAACTTCGACTCGGGCTCGATATGCAAAAGAATCATCGGATGTGCTGTGGTGGCTAACGCGATAGCTCATTGCCTCTACAAGAACCGGCTTGCCTCCATCTTGAAGAGCCATCTCCCTAGCTTTCTTAATAACCTCTCTAACAGCCCACAGGTCGTTCCCATCCACTCTCACAGTGTCAATTCCATACCCTATCCCTCGACTAGCAATGCCATCGCCTCGGTATTGTTCTAAGGTCGGCGTTGAGATAGAGTAGCCATTATTCCGACATATAAAGATAACGGGACAGGACCGTGTTGCAGCGATATTCAATGCCGCATGGAAGTCTCCTTCACTAGCAGCACCTTCACCAAAGTAGACAGTAGCTACGCGGGGAGGTACAGTTGGATCATTGATGTGTTGCATTTTAAGGGCATACGCAGCTCCAGCAGCTTGTGGTATCTGCGTAGCTAGAGGCGATGAAATTGTATGCTGCATAAAAAGGTTAGCAAAGAACCAGTGAAATATAGATTAGGTAGGCATAACATACGATGTTCAGCTCTTTACTTCCGTAATGCACGGGCATATTTCTACCCTTCCCTAAGTCGTGCTTATTTGCGAAGAGCTGGTTCATAAAATCTTTTAAGCTATATCCACGCTGTACGAAGAGCCCCTGCTCACGGTATTGGCAAAATATAACGTCTCGTGGGTCTAGTGCTGAAGCGGATCCGACACTAATAGCTTCTTACCAGCCGATACCATGTAAAAGCTTATACGGCCCTGTCGCTGCGCGTCGAACATAATGGATCCATTATCGAAACGGTTAACATATCTCTATATAGCTTTATAACTTCCTCATCGCTAAGATCCGGCTTGAATGAAGCGTCAACGATATTTCCATCTTGGTCGACCTCGGTACGTCGCTAAGGTAGGGTAATCGGAGGGTACAACAAATGTAAGATCGCTAGTGAATGCGCTCTTCACGGCTCCAGGAAATGACACATGGCTTGAAACCTGGGCGTTGTGATATGCTACTGGCTAATCGAGCAGGTTTTGGAAGTTGAGAGAACGGTGAGCGCGGAGTATAGAGCTCGCGGCCCTTCGTAGCGACGCTCGAAAGAGTACTTGTGACCTCATTATAGCTAGATCATAGCATCTTATAGATTATTCAATGGTACAAATTTCAATTGAGACTTACGTATAGTGAGGAAGTAAGATTTGGTAGTAAAGAGTTGACTCCATGGTCACTCCTCCGACATTCCAAGTGAGACGGGATTCCGAGGCTAAAGACGTCACTTAAGCCGGCGTAAAGCGAAGGGTCTACAAGTAGGCAGGATGTTCAATGTTTTTAGTGGAGATGTTACTTAAAAAAGGGAAGTATCGGAATACTCGAAATAATATGGTAAAATACATGTCTCGTGTTTTTGGGAAGACTTTTTTCATCTAAAATTACCTATTCAGGCAAAGATTAAGCTAGAATCTTCTAACGGGTTTGTATTTCACCATACAAATAAAGCAGCATAATACTTATTTAACTGTTTCAAGCAACATCTCCACTAAATAATATTGAACATCCTGCTTACTTGTAGACCGAGGGAAAGCTAACTTCCCCAGCTTTTCTAATTTATTACATAAGCGCAAGCATAAAATGACTTCTAATAACAAGTCGATTGTACTTAATGAGCAGTTAAGTTTCGAGTTCTACCTATTACAAGCCCAAGAACTCTTGTTATTATAGCCTTGACGTGAAGGAACCAAAAAAAAACCCCCCAAGCTTATCTAAGATTTTTAAGGACTGATATATCATTTAATCAATTCCACAAGAATTCTTGTCATTACTTTCCCTTAAAAATAAAATATCATGCCGTATCACAAATATAAACAATCAAGTCCGAGTACAAGAAATGCGTACATACAGTTACCTGTAAATAAATAACAAATAACGCACCTAATAATCAAGTTCACCTTAGGTACAAAGTGACATGACATTTCCAACATTAGCGTCGCTAGAGAAACCATATGCGGTCCTCTCAATGTATATACTACCATAGCAACAGCTCTCTACCACATGAATCATGCCAAACAGCAAACTTCTCAAGCAGAGAATAATAAACAATAAAACACAAAGCTTCATCATATTACCCTCTCCCCGTACTGTACCTATCTACCTACCTTACAACAACATAACATCCAACACCAAACACCTAATAACCACCACCCCAATCCCCAGCCAAGACACTATTACCTATCCACAGCGCCGGATATCCCGGGAATGTCAACAATGAACGAATCCACCGCCATCGGCATAATAATCGTGATACTCGTCCCGCTAATCCTAGTCCTGATATGCTGGGGCTACTCCGCATCCGAGAAGTTCGCCGCGCTGATGCAGCGCTCGACGCAGCATCACCGAGCCCACGTGCGAGCACAGCGACTTGCGGCCCAAGAGCAGCAAGCGCGAGAGTCGTCTACCGACGCCGCCGTTGCGGTTTAACAAGGTAAGTTGCCTATCCACCTACCTAGGTACATATTTTTAGGAGGTATTCGTACCTCTATATTTGTTCGTTGCGGGAAGCACGTGTCTTGAATAGATATATGTATATAAGATGGATGGATGGATGGGTATTTCAACCAATCATCTCAAATACCCCACACACCAAAGCTAGATGTCTTGGCGCCAAGCCTAAGCATCCTAGGCCCAGATATCGGGATTTATATCCCAAAGAGGTCAAGTCTAACAAGGCCCAGTCCACTGTGGCTAGTGCTCCATCGCGGAAGCCACCCGAGCGACCCCCACATAGGTACATGAGGACATGCGGAACGGAGATCGTCCTACCTAATCGACCGTCCGATCCGCAAGGTTTTTTTTTGGCCCGTAGCTTCTTCACCTTGAGCGGGCCGAGCTGTGTTTTACCTCTTACCGAACTACTCGAGCTTAGTTAGCTGTCTCAGCTAATACATACTACCCCCAGGACACCCTCCTCGAACCCAGGCGACGGCCCAAAACAGCGCAGAGTCATGGCCGCCCGCCCGCAACCAATCCTGCGCGCAGCTGTACGAGTATCAAGACCGACCTTTTGCTCTTCCGCCCGCCATGGTCGACTATTCAGCACAACGACACGTAACACACGACCCGAGCTCTCTCAAAACTCTACCTCTACTTCTACCTCCCAACCACATTCCACCACCGACAATGGCGCCAGCAGTAGCAGTAGAAATAGCGGTACAACCACTTCGGCTTCCAAGACGGCCTCTCCGAGTCCGAGAAGACGGAGCGCGTAGCCGGCGTCTTCCACAGCGTAGCCGAGTCCTACGACCGCATGAACGACCTTATGTCATTTGGCTGGCACCGGGTCTGGAAGTGCGTATTCTCCTTCCTTCCTTTTTTTTCTTTCTTTCTTCCTTACCTCCCTAGTCGTCTCTTCTCTTCTTCCCAGCCCTTTTCTCTCTCCACCACAAAACACATAGTCTAGAATCTAATCCCCACCAGGGACCACTTCGTCTCCTCCCTCAACCCGGGCCTGTCCTCCTCCACGCCCCCCAAACCCCAACGCATCCTCGACGCTCGCGGCGGCACAGGCGACATCGCCTTCCGCATGCTGCACCACGCGCACGCGCTCAACCACAACCCCGACGTCCACGTCACCATCTCCGACATCAACCCCTCCATGCTAGCAGTCGGCAAGCAGCGCTCCCACTCCCTACCCGCCTCGCAACAAGCCGCGCTATCCTTCCTCGAAGCCGACGCGACCAGCTTCCCCCCGCCGCCGTCCCCGACGCCTCCCTCGACCTATACACCGTCGCCTTCGGCATCCGCAACTTCAGCAACATCCCCGCCGCTCTCGCCGAAGCCCACCGCGTCCTAAAGCCCGGCGGCGTGTTCGCCTGTCTCGAGTTCAGCAAGGTCGGCAACCCGCTCCTCGACGCCGTCTACAAGCGCTGGAGCTTCAGCGCCATCCCCCTCATCGGCCACCTCGTCGCCGGCGACCGCGACTCCTACCAGTACCTCGTCGAGAGCATCGAGCGCTTCCCCAGCCAGACCCAGTTCCGCGACATGATTAAGCACGCCGGCTTCGTTGTTGGCGGCCAGGGCTGGGAAGATCTGACAGGTGGTGTGGCTGCGATCCACAAGGGTATGAAGCCCCTATAATCCGATCTCGTCCAGGTCCCGCTTATAGATCGAGGAATGGAGAGGGGAAAGAAGGCCTTTGTACACTACCAATGTTCCATAGAGAAAATAAGTTCGTGACGGTATCGAGGCTAGGTAGAAAAAAGGTTGGACGAAACTGAGTAGGGGCCAGAGTCTGAGTTTATTGTACCATACATAATACAGCGCAAGTGCGCGTGGCTTGTAGATTCCCCCCTTTAAGTAGCATATGCGACATAACCATTGCACGCAGTTGGGTTGACAAGGAGAGAGCCCCTGAGGCTTGTTAATAGCACAGCTCGCCCTACGAGCCCTCATGTTCAAAGAACCTACATCGGCTTTATCATAGATCCCCTTATTAAATCTACCAGAAGAGTCCTCACTCAACCTTATCTACGAGTTATGGCCCCTTTAGATCACTCCTTAGTCCCTACGAGCAGTGACACAAATATCATAACTTTTCAGGGTTCAATTCATTCGGTTGTATTAGCAAAAGCCTATAACAACGTCCGATCCAATCCGATCCCGTCTGGTCTGTTTCAGTCCGGACTAGGCTGGGCAAGTTCAGGGTATGTCCCTACGAACAAGCTCCGTAGATCGAATCATCATACGAGCTAGCCATCAGTATCAGCGCGAAGAAAAAACTATTCATCTCAGTAGGTTACGTCACCGAGAGAAAAATGAAGAACGGTCGTACGAAGTACGTTGGCAGATTTACGTCGGTGCAAACCATATACATCCGTCCATCCGTCTGTTCAACCGTTCAATCGTTCAAATCCCTGGCCTCGTCTCACTCCCTCCCCCTTCCCCTTCCCCTTCAATATGACGAAAACGACACTTGGTATTTTCTTTTCACTCCGAAACTCTTCCCTTCGCAGGCCGACAGATTCTCTGAACTCCACCTGGTTAACGACAGAAAAGTTGTGCTTCGCGGAAAGGATGTGCCAGAATACAAGCAAAAAAAAGTTATCTCGCGCCCGGCTACGCGAGGTCATTAGTAGAATATAGGTGACAAAGTGGGTAGAACCGTTATGTCGGACGATTCCTCTATGAATCGCCACCGGGAGCCGGGGAAGCGCTGCCGCCCTCGCCTTTGCCTACTCCTCCACGGCCGCCCCTGCCACCCCGACCACCACGCTCGCCTCGGCCTCCTCGCGCTCCACCTCGACCACCACGTTGACGACCGGTCTCGGGACCGCTCTCACCACCGCTAAGAGTACCGCGGTCGCCAGCGCTTCGGTATCCGCTTGCGTTATCTCTTCCTCGGCCACTACCCCAGGTTCCTGCTCCTCGACCGCCAAATGTCTGCTTGGATTCGCGGGGTTGGAATATCTTCACTAAGGGTCTCGATCGGTCCTCGGAATGGCGGACCTTGAATTCGTCGGCAAGACTAGAGTAAGCAGCCTCCCGATCCTCGATACTGTGGAAATGAACAACCTTATTGTTGCTATTGTTTCCCCACTTCTCGATCTTGGAGATCTTGGCCTTGTGCTCGTCAGGGAATATCTCCCGAGTTTGCTCGTCACTTTGGACATTCATAACGAAGAGCCCGATGATGCTATCCGCAGAAGCTCGAGGGGCCGGCGATGGTACAGTTTCCGGTCCATTGGTTGATCCATTAGTACCTGCAGGCTTGTCGTTCTCCTTTCCAGCAGCCGTGCTAGGAGCTGGGGATGAGGCCGTCGGTTTAGGCGTGGCAGGCTTAGGCGGCTGGAGAGGTGTAGCTGCGGTAGGCTTCGAAGGTTGCGCCCCAGCTGAGGCGTTTCTTTGAGAACCCGTCACGGGGGGTGCAGGCGTCACAGAAGTCGCAGGAGCAGCGGGGGGTAGACCGCTGCCGCCAGCCGCCGGTGAAGGTGTGCCCTGAGGTATCGCAGTCTGTTGCTTGGCCCCACGGTGCGAAAAGTTGAACCCCTGTGCTCGCATTTCCGTACCAATGCGGCCATCTTGAATCTCCAGGGCTAACCAACCAAATGCGGCGTCTGCTAGGTTGAAATTCCACATATTCTTGAACGCGCTTTCATCAACTTGACCTTGTGCGCCGGGACCGCCGACCGGGCCACCAAAGGGGTTTCCACCAGCTGCGGTTCTAGGCATCTTGTCAACCAGCTCAAGTGCATTCCTAAGCAAATTCTGCTGAGCTTCATTTTGCTGGATTGCCGGCTCAACTTCCCCTTTGACAGTCTCCCATACATCACTGAAGGAGGCCTTAGAGGCGGCAAGCTTACCGCGGTAGTGATCCAGAGTTGGATTAACGCTGAATTCGTTGTAAGAGCTACCGTATCGGAAATGTAGGCCGGCCGAAATAGAAAAGTCTGCCTTGAGGCTAACTGATAGTTGATTCAGTATACCTTCACGAGCGGGAGAGGCGTGCGTAATGAAGATGCGAGTCTCCGTAGGGTCATAAACACGGTTCGCAGTATCAACCAGCTCGCCCATCTGCAGCAAGGTAGTCCACATAGTGCCTTGTCCACCTGCAATAGTAGTTCGGCCTTCACCATTGTCAAACAACTTGTGCATGACGACCGCACCGCCAAGGCCAAGAAGTCGCAGCTTAACGCCGCCGATTTCTAAGAGCATGGATCGAGCCTCATCAATAATGTGCAAGTTCGGTACCTTGTACTCGCCAGATCGGAATTTCTCCAACACGCGTACATCTTCGCAGGCACCCCAAACGGTATAAACCGGAACTTCGAGTCTGATTTGTCCGCTGATGAGCATAGGCAGTTCGGATAAGGGTAGATCCTGAGGGTTGAATCGCGCCTTAACTGAGCCCGGTCCACCTTGACTGATACCCTTCTTGACTTCCTCGGAGATCAACGGCGAGTATTGGGCGACATGCTTCAAAGTCCTATTTCACAATACAGTTAGAATACTATTCAACCCACAAAATCGAAATAACAAGTCCAAATCTTACTTCTCTGCAATGCGCTCTAAAGATGTGTCGTCGTAGAAGCCAAAGTCTCCAGTGTGAATAATATGATCGGCTCGCGCTGTCTTCGCTAGTTCGTTTAAAGATCGCAAATTACCTATCGGGGAATTGTTAGCTTCGTTCCACTGCTAATCAAAATCAACGACTTTATCTTACCTCGTACGTCGGCTATGCAAAGAACTCGAATCGGCCCGGATTGGACTACTCGACCTTGGTTGGGGAGAAGAGGGACGGCACCTGGCGCAGGTTGGCCGGGGTTCGGGTGGCTACTGGGAGCGCCGTTGGGCATATAGCCTTGGCTGTTGTAAGAGCGTTGCTGAGAACGGTTAGCCGCGAGTGATCGAGGATCAATTCTAGCTTCTGGAATGAGTTGGCGACCAGAGTAAGGCAGGCGAGGTAACTGAACACCGCCTGGTAACTGCTGATGAGAGCGATCACTACCGCCCAAAATAGTGTAGTGAAGGCGATCAATAGCGCGATGATGGTCGTGAGACTGGCTATTGGGTAGATTGGGGGGAACTGGAAGAGGCATCGTGAAAGCTGCTCCGTCTCGCAAGCCGTGCCTGTTGGGGAGGAAGAATGCGATGCTGGTGCTGTTGATGCTGCTGCTGGCAGTGCTCACAGTGTTGGCAGTGCTGAATAGGAGGAGGAAAGTACAGAGGTGGGAACGGCTGTAGTTGCTGTTGCTGTTGTTGTTGCTGCTGCTGCTGCTGCTGTAGCTGTAGCTGTAACTGCGGCGGCAGCTGCGGCGGTAGCGGTAGCGGCAGTGGTGGGGGTGGAAGTAAATGAAGCGGATGAGGCTGATGAAGCATAGAAGCTTCAGGTCCACTAGGAGGCGCCATGACGTTTTGAGTAGGAGGGAGAGGAATACGATACATTAAGAAAGCATTCCAAGATTTTTGATAATAATCTTGGGAAGGTATAATTCAAGTAATAATTTTAAAAGTGATTGTTGAAGTTTAAAGAAGGAAACTATTCCGTCTTTTTTAATGTGCAGGTTGTACGCGCATGATTGGGAAACAATTAAAACAAGCACTCACAGCCATGGACAATCAGTCTCCGCGGTAATGAGGGATGTCGAAGATGAGCCGAGAAGAAGTTGTCGTAGCCTGAGAGCCGTCACCGGGGTTACCGTAAGGTATAAAAATTCGTAGAAGAGGAGGAAGTGTTGTCGGAAATGAGGCGCGTGTAAGAAGACCTCGAGATGGCCAGGTGGCTCGACGACGTTAACGAGTCGTAAGTTCAATGGCAAATGAACAGAACGGGTATCTAAAATGAATAATGTATCAAGAATTGATATTGGCACGACCTACAAAGATACAAACTCGAGGTAGACGGCCGTTTGCCAGTAGAAATGTTACGTATCGGAAGGTGGTGATGAATGAGGTCGGTAACTTTTTGGATTTTCAGCGGCGACAGCAAGTTTACGAAGGTTTGGGGCGCCGAAAAAGTTGGACTGGGAGGTAAGGAACTCGCGACAATCACAAGCTTTATTAATTTTGATTGGTTAGAATATTCAGCCTCGATCCACTTGATCATTTGCATGTACCGGGATACTCAAGAACCCGGTCATATATGGCGGGGAGAAAGGTATAGAGTACTTGAAATATTTCTTAATTATCTAGTGCACATATCTAAATGCCTAACCTTACCTAACTTTACGTGTAGGTACCTAAACGTCTTCATATATGAGGATGTACCTAATGTTTTTAAATTCTATACATGTGTTAAAGACATCTCCTGAATTAATAATATTTTCTATATTAAACACGCATTTATATAGGTGAATATTTATAGGTTAGACACATATATAACTCGGTTGATAGAAGTGTCTAGATTTATATTCTTGTCACGTCTATCAAACGCCCGTGTCACATTAGGTACGGTTGGTAGTACACAGTTGTGGATTTCTAAGTATTTTATATTAGGTACACAATTACCTACATGTAGTTCTCCCGATGATTAGGTATAACTATCGCAGGGTGATTGCTGGTTTAAAGGTTTGCTGGCCTATGGGGATATTTGCTTAACAAAGCAAACTAGAAAGACTTTAGAAAATAGAAGTTGTGAAAGTCTATAATTTATAGCATAAGAAACTATAGTCTACTCTAAATTATATAGACTTAATAAATGCTACTTAGTCAAAAATGCTATATGCTAGGAAAAAAATATATATCTAATAACCCCAGTACTTATATCGACGCGGAGCTTAAGGTCGATGTTAACTCTACCATACAGTACAAGAAAGAATTATCACTCAAACCGTCAACGGAAATTAAATGAGAAATATATTCCCCTATTGGTCCCATTTATCAGCTAGAGGAAATTACTTTCAACCCATCTCCGAAATACGGGAAGAACTACAAAGATTTTCCATTCACAAGGGACCCAAAGTATGCATTATGCTAGAGAGATAGCCTCTCAAGTCTTCTTACTTCATAAATAAAGATCGGATATATAGGTAGCTTGTAGAAGTATAATCTAAGCTAACTAAGCAATTTTTAGGGGACGTAGAATTTCTAGCAAATAGAGAATCTAAGGTGTATAGAGCCTTGTCTCTTGCGGCGCAACTACTTGGCCATAGGATATATAAGGCATATAAGCTTTACAGCGCGGTAGAAATACCCAAGTACGACTCGTCAGCTTAGACGACACAACTGCCTAATATAAAATTTCATAACACTGTCGTCCTCAATAGACCTACCATACCATCTATCCATCGAATGAATCTTACATGAACGTTAGCAGCCTCGACGGTATGAAGTATTATTCTGTTGCAAATATCCAATACCACCCGTAATACCCGGCATTAATCGAGTAAACTCAGCCCCTATCTCTCTAAACATAAGCATGTAAATATGCCTTATCGTATCAACAGCCTAGAAATCACATCAACATCACGAGACTCGAAATCAACAAAGCCGACAAACATCACGCATTTGTGCCCGAAGGCCGATTTAATTCTTATTATGACCCAGGGGTGCTATTCTTCCCACCCATTCCACAACACGACACCCACGTCCATACCCTCACCCCCCATCTACGCTCTAGGCCAGTCCGTGCTATGCTTCGCTTCATCCCTAGAAACATCCTAGTAGATGATACACTGATATATGTTATTCCCTCCCGCCCCTCAATTTTTCTTTTCCTTCCCTGCCTTAGCTCGCGCCGGTTCCTAGCTGTGTAGCACCAGATAGTCGAACAGACTCCGGGGAGCAAAAAAATGTAGGTCAGTCAGTTAGCCACTTCCATATCCCTGCTTCAAATGCCATTCAAAAATCCAACCTTGGCCACCAGTGATGCTGCCGCTACCCGCCTGAAAAGGGGGAAATACCGGATTTATGTGGATAGGAAAGGAGGAAGGATGTATTGGTGTCTTTCGTCGAGCTCCTGATGGGCTGCCCTGCACGAAGCCCGTAGCAAATACTTCCTGTGACCGAAACTCCGAGGCAATGCACTAATATGGTCACCACGCCGGTGTGCTTGTTGATCCCTGTCTGATGCGTATGGTTATCACCACATTTCTTCCTCTCCTGACTGCTGCTGCTGGCGGCGGCCGTTTTCGTTGTGGTGGTACTGCACATAAGTAGAGTAATAATCTTTATCCCCGTCCTGACCGTTATAGTCACCCTGATTTTCGCGACTCGTCTGGTCTTTGCTATTGTGCTCGTAGTCGTAGATCTCAGCTGCTTCTGGGTAATCTCCTGCTTCGTGCTGCATACCAGGATCACCGTATTGCTGCTGTTGATTCGATGACTGAGGACGGGTTAGAGCTAAAACTCATCGGATTCTGTATGGGAACTCACTCGATGGTATTCAAAATTGTACTGATCCATACTCTCCTGCGCTTGTTGCTGTTCCAAGTACTGCTGCTCCTGCTCGCGTCGCCGTCTTTCCTCTTCCTGTAATCTCTTCTGCTGAGGGGACTGGGGAACTTGTATCTGAGGATGCATTGCTTGGACCTTTGCTAGGTATGAATACATGAAATTACTAAGCAGGACTTGGCTATAAAGAGCACGGCGAGGGTTAGCGAGCTTGATATGCGCCATTCGATAGATAGCTCGTTCCTCCAAGAGAGGGAACCTAGTCCAGTGATAGTCGACATCGGGCCGCTGAGGTCGGTATGGGGTTGGTTCTGGTGATAATGATCTTTGAGCTTGATGTTTCCTGCTGGTAGAATCCCTTTCGCTTCTTCTCTTACTACTTCCAAAGAATGAGGCAAACAGCCCATCCTTTTCTTTCTTTTGATCAGTAGACTTTCGACTATCTTTCTTCTCTTCTTCTAGCCTGCCGTCGACGCTTTCACGATCGAGCAGTAGGCTCTCGCGTCCCTTGTGGATGGCTGTATCGATAGAGGTCTGGAGGACGTCGAGACGAACGTTGTCGTGGGCCTTCTCTACGAGTGCTTTAGTCTTCGACTTCCTGTTCTCATCATCCTTCTTTTTCTTCTCCTTGTCATCACTCTTGAACCATTTCCAGGATGTAGACTTGGACTTTTCGCTTTCACTTTCGCCCTTGTCCTTTTTACCCTTCTTTTCTGGTTTCCTCTCCTCGGGTGTGTTGAATGTGGGAATAAAAGTTAGAGACTCAGTGCTGGTGGCGCTGCTGCCCGGGAAAGGAGAAGGGCTCTGCGACATGTCATTAAGAGGTCGGTTAGAGCCACTCGGAGTTCTAGTTTGCTGTGAAGGCTGGCCCGCAGCTTGCGGTTGAGAAGAGCTTTGGAGCGGTTGGCCGTAGTTCGGTCTTTTAGTTGAACGCGCTGGAGGCTCAGCGGGTGCCCCTGGAGATAAGGGCTGGACAGCATTTCTCTGGGAAGACGATCGCTCCGGGAATGGCCGGTTGATTTCCATAGTTTGCGCTCCAGAATGATCCTCCTCCGCTACAGGCTGTTCGAGAATTTGTGGTGTCGAGCCCAAAGTCCCGATAGCATCAGCAGAGGGTGTACGGGTTGGGTCCTCCGGTATAGCGGAAACAGCTTGACCTGACTCCTGAAAATCCTGCTCCGGGTCTTCATATAAGTCCGGCGTTGTATCTCTGGAAAAGGTTTGCTGGCGCCGCATAGGCTTTGATGGTCGCGAAAAGCTATCTGAGATAGGTTCTGATTGCACACGAGTTAAACCGTGCCCTGGTGGTGCCTCAATAGTCGATTCACTATTAGGCATTGCACCAGAGTCTTCTTCGGCTTTCTTTGCTGCTATGCGCTTCGAAAAAGGAAGTCGGTCGTCGGACCTGAGCGAACCACTCTGCCGATTCTTGAGACTACCACCTTTTCGATACGTGGTGCGGGTTGACCGACGCAGGCCCATACCTGGCGCAACGGGAAGTATGGGCATATCGTCCACATTTGGTACTTCACCCCCTCCATCTTGGCGTTGCGAGTCAAGAGCAAGTTTTTGAACAACTTTTGACGGATCGTTTACCAAATCGTCGAGGCTGAGCTCAGACGGGCCTTGCCCCGACTGTCTTTGAGACCTATTCCTCTCTAGCCTTTCAGCACCATCCATATAACTTTCCGCACCATGACCCCCCGCATTGTCAATTTGCCTGGAGAGCATCGACTTCTTCCTCCGTAACCCGCTCGAATTGCTCCTGTCTAAACCATCCACAGAGAGCGAGGAATCAGCAGACCTCCGTTTCATAGTCTGTACCCTCTTTTCAACAAAGTTCTTGAATTCAGTCGGAGCTAGCTCTGGATGGACATTGGCGGGAACCCATAAAAGTCTCGAAGGATCGGCATCGTCGTCTCCTTTCGGTGCTATCGACGGCATTGCCATTAGAGACATTCCTTGGAAGGGAAGCAGGTCGGGGTCGCTATTATTAGAGACATCCATCGACATGCGCCGTAATGCTTGCAGGTTGCTTAGCTCTTGGGCAATATCATTCGGATTATCAATATTGGTTATCGGATATTGCTGGGCATCTTCACGCATGTCGCGAAGTGTAGGCGACATGGGAGTAATGGGAGACTTGGGACCTGATTCGTATGAACTGCTTCTCGACGTTGTACTTCTCTGACTTGGCATCCGACCGGGGAGGGGTTGTGATTTCTGTACGGAGTTCCCATTCGTTGTAGGACCAGATGAGATTTGCAAGCCAGTGTTATCCGAAGTCGTCCGGATAAGTGGAAGTCGACGTTCTTCCGGAGAAGAAGGATTTACCTCGCGACGTGGAGTTATCTGCTCGCCACCGCCGGGAGCTGCGATAAAGCTCATAGGGCGTAAATCATTATTCGGGTAGTCGTCGTCATCGCCGTACATGGTCCCGATGGTCTCGGTTATGTGATGGGTCGGATCGGATATAGAGAGCTGGTTGGCATGGCCACGCCGGTTCGAAAAGCTTCCACCGACATCGCGAGGCCGTTGAGAGGTCTAAGCATTTGAGCACAGGTCAGTTGCGAATGGTCTCAACACAGAAGGGATAGGCCAAGGGTGAAGCAGGGTAAACTCGGTAGTATTGATATATGATATTATGCTTCACGGGATGAAATATGTGGTATTCCAAAGGCCGGTTCCAGGGTATGCGACCATATTATCCTAGGTAGATAAAGGAGCTTACCATCATCGAGGGTGTACGTAGCGACCTCGTGCGAGGTCTAAGCCTCTAAGGGATCCCCTTATAATATTGTCGGGTTGCACGAAGCAGAATCTCGTCCGAATCGCGGCACTATCATGGAGGTGACAATGTCGGGCGGATTTCTAATAAGATCGCTGCTGACGTCCGATATCCAATAAAAAGATGTCCGGGATGCATGCAATGGACAGTTCAGGAGAGTGTGGCCGGTCGGTTTATGGTGTGGATGTAAGTGTTATTATTAGAACCGTTGGTAATATTTGCTTCTGGTCTCTCTTTAGTCGGGGAATCGGAGGGTGGGTTCGCGTCGGGGGAGGGAGGTGACAAGATGTTATCGTTGTTGCGATTATAGCGTTTGGATGTGGAAGTGGGAGCGGGATCGAACGAATATGGACATTAAGGACGTAGACAATAAACAGTTGACGGTTTGACGGTTTGACGGTTAGACGATTTAACGGTTAAGGTAAATAAAGGGGGCGGTCGGTCAAAGCTGCAAGTATAGAGTTGTTGGGCTCCGGAGTTGAGTTGATTTATTAGGTAGACAACGAAGTTTAGCGGTGCTTGGGTCCGAAAATATCATGACTTGAATGATCTGAAATGAAATATTATAGTCTCATCGCTATTAATCGCTCTTTTTCTTTGCCAAGTCATTCCTTAAATTCCCTAAAAAGAGGAAGAGATCTAAAGTCCTATGGTGGTATTAGTGGTTATTCATATCCCATCCATAGGTAACATTAAGTACATAAGATGGAAGGATAACCAATTCTTCTTCGCTTTTCAGTCCAGTCATCGATGTCCCCCATTATGGTCCCTCTTTTAAGAAGTTAGAACGTTGCATTAGCGCCATCAGGAGCCCGGCGCCTGGCTATCGTTTCTCTTTTTTTTTTTTTTCCCTCTCCCCCCTCGGGTTTATCTTACAGCAGGTAAACCCCCCTGGATACCCTGGATACCCTGGGTATTGTCACGTGTAGACACCCGGAATAGGGAACTAATCCCACTAAAGAGCCTATTTACACAGTACTAATTGGTACCAAAGCAAGTACCTACCTAAGGATCAAGTGTTAGCAGACTGGTTTAACTTGCTATTCGGTAGCCCATACTAGAACATATCCCGGCTCCCGCGACCCACTACATCATAATTTAAGTCCGCTACGAGTTTAGTGTAAGCCTAAAATAAATGATTAGCAATGCATCTTCACGATCTACCTTTCGTGCAGTACATATCGAGAAGATCTAAGCATGGGGGGTTGATGATGGTTCTACTCGATAGCTTGGTGAGAGTAAACCAGAAACCTGTTATAGCTATAATATATAATGTTTATACTCGTATAAATTGAATGGTGACAAATTAACAACGGGAATATTTTCTCAATCTAGCTTAAACTCGGCTAACCCACTCGCCCGAGATGATATTGCCTTGTGAAAGTTGGGAAGCCAATGCCATATGCTCCTCTTATATTTAATATGACATTTCGTTCCCTATTATGCCCCAAATACTACCGGATAGGGGCCAAATTCAGTTGGTTGCTCTCTTCAACACATCAGCTAGGGTCCGCAGAAACACACACGCCTTCAATCTAAAACCCCATGTTCACGGGGCTCTTAAATCCCGGTTATTCAGCCTCGCTACGCTGGAGACAAGACATCTGAGCGTATATTGAATAGAAATAAGAGTATGAGGCTTTGCGGCGCAGTTACAATTAACTCAAACTAACAGCATGAGACTCTCATCTCTTAGCCTTACATATCTAAGGGTTAGAAGTCTTCTAGTATTATAACCATACTAAAGCTAGCGTCGTCCATTGCTCATCCACTACAATTATGTTAGCCTTAAGACAACATTACTTCTGCGCATTACCAAAAATATTTATATTCACATATCTTTAATCTCCGAGATAGACTTATTCTACATAAGTATATCAACTTTACCTGTTGAACCTAATATAATATCTAGCAACTATAATAGACTTTATTATATCGTCCGAGCTTGGTTTTATCTACGCCCTGAGCTTCCATCTCCGACAAACGGTATTTGACACGAGCTACGAGCTGGATATGCGACAGCAGATGGGACCGCAAGTTGAACCTACCGAAATATCCGAAGGCTTTAGCTTTATGGTGCGTGGTTAGTTCGTCTGGTAAAATCTACCTAAGCTAGACGATAACGTTTGTCTGCTAGATCAGTCCACGACCTGGATTCCCCTGCGGCGGTATTTTACAGTTCGCCAACGCGCAATTGTTCGTGAAAAAGTAAAAATAAAAATAAAAATGCATCTGACGAGTAGGTAAACTCTCAAGACGATTAGCTCGTTATTTTAGGTAGGGATTAGTACTACGAAATCCGGCAGCGTGGATGTCTCTAAACCTAATCTCGCATGCAGCAGGGCCCTTTGCTCCTTCGCACGCTACCTTACCCAAGGGAAATACTTCATTAGGTACTTGTATAAGAGCTTATTAAACTAATCCATTCCAAGAATAAGATTTCAACGACGATATTACGTAACATAAAATCATACTACTGCTATTAGATAATTAATTACTTATAAGACATCTCGGAATCTGTACGGGCTCTAGACCAAAATACCGGAGACAAGTGGATCAAAGAACGGAGCGGGCTTATATTCGGCGGAGGAATAATACCCATGCCCTGTCGAGCCACCGAACAAAGCACCCCGCATAATCCCCATGATCACAAACAAGCCTAGCTATGTCTGGAATGCATGCAAACAATTGTTGTTGACAAATGAGTAGCTTTCGAAGCGTGCCTCATCCGGTCTTTCCTGTCTTTGGTCTCCAATATGTTGTCATCCGATCGGTTTAGGTCTGGTTCAGGCGGGGGTGCCTGCGGTGATTTCGGCAGGAAGATGGGACGAGCAGAGCATACCTTCCTGTCTTATACATATACATATACTATGTACATTCACTACTGTACTATTTACATATTTACATCACGCGAGCTTATAGCAAGCATCACCGCTTATGCGACCCAATTCACATACAAGACTGATGTCTATAAATATAATCTCATTTTATTCCCGACCCCTTTACTATAGGGTTGAGTCTTAATGGGCTAGGGTATATCTAATAGATTAATTCTATATTGTGTCTCGGTATGGCGTCTCATTTTCTCTTTGTTTCCACCCTTATAGTTTGGGTTTTACTCTTCCTGGGAAATGTTAGCGCCCAGACCTGCTGGCGAGATACGAAATGCACCGGCGCAGAGACAGCCGCATTCCCTGGTGAATGGGAATCAAATATATTTGCTCCCTCGTCACGCACCGTTGCCCCCAAGGCCGTCTTCCGGTTGGATACCGGAGAAAGCATTTCGATAGAATCAGCTTCGTTGACCAGCACTAACTCAGGCATCTATTACGATTTCGGCCTCGAAGTTGGAGGTGTTGTTACGATTCAGTACTCCGTGTCGTCTACTGATGGCGAGGGGGCCCTTGGCATAGCTTTTACGGAAGCTAAGGATTATATTGGGCCGATCTCAGACAAGAGCGCAGACATATCTGAAAGGAATGATGGTGCACTGTACGCCAACTTTTCCTCAGCCGGAAACCACACATATGAAATGCCAACTGAGCAACTCCGTGGGGGTTTTCGATATATGACAGTATTCCTTACTGGGGCCGCATCCTTTGTTACAGTCACCGGTGTCAGTTTAGAGATATCCTTCCAGCCAACTTGGTCAAATCTGCGCGCCTATCAGGGGTATTTTCATAGCAGTGACGACCTGCTTAATAAAATATGGTATAGCGGTGCCTACGTGAGTATATATTCGTTGTACATGGACTACCTATCCTCGCTACCAGCCCTTTCTATCACCTAGGAATCCGTGGCATGAGTCTTGTAAAATGTAGATGGTCTTCTTTAAGACATCATATAATCGCTAACCCCACTTCTATAGACTCTGCAGACAAATGCTCTTCATCCCTTGACTGGACGAGTCTGGCCTGCTCCGGAGAGTCAATGGCTGAACAACGGGAATATCGGCGTAGGCGACACCATCAACACCGATGGCGCAAAGCGTGACAGGACCGTTTGGCCCGGCGACATGGGTGTTGCGGTTCCTGCCTCATTCTATAGCACTGGCGATATCGAGTTAGTCATGGAATTTTCGTGGTTCTGGAGTTTTTGCTCATTATATTCAGGAGCGTAAGAAACTCGTTGACGACGTTATATGGTATTCAGGTCAGTACTACCTCTCATATAAGACTTACTCACGTGAATCCTTCCGTACACGAGCTCAATCTCACCGTATGTATAGGAACAAAATGGCCTACTCCCGTTTTCCGGCCCGCCGCTTCTCGCCAAAAATAGTGATACATACCACATGTAAGACCCCGTATGTAGGTAGTTGAGCTAGAAGATTTATACTAAAACCCTCATTTCTCTAGGTGGACGATGATCGGCACGTATAATTATGTCCTATATTCTGGAGACGTGGATTTCATTCGAGGAATATGGACCAAGTATCTCTTAGCAATGAGCTTCGTTACTAACCAATTCGATTCGTCCTTGGGCTTGCTCAACATCACGGGTTATACAGACGACTGGGGTCGCTTCAATGTAGTAGTACACAGGCATCAGCGCAAATGCTTTATTACAAGACGTTGATAACCGGTTCCGCTCTTGCTACTTGGGTCGGCGACACAACCGAGGCAAATTCAACGTTGCTCGAGGCCGCCGCAAAACTTAGGGGTGTTATAAATGCACAACTTTGGGACGGGAAGTCTGGCGCATTTCACGACAGCCTCGAATCCCGCGAGAGCAATACTGGCTTATATCCTCAAGATGGCAATGCCTTAGCAGTACTTTTCGACGTGGTGAACGCCACATCAGATCAGGCGCAGGATATATCGTCCTCTTTGTCTAAGAACTGGACCCCAATAGGAGCAGAAAGTCCAGAATTAACTGGCGAAGTGTCAACATTCATATCTTCATTTGAAATTCAAGCGCATCTGTTAGCGGGCCAGGCGCAGCGGGCTTTAGATTTGATCCGTACTGGCTGGGGTTGGTATCTAAACAACGAAAATGGCACCCAGTCTACCATGGTTGAGGGTTATCTGGTGGATGGAACTTGGGGCTACCGACACGATGCTGGGTATGAGGAGAACTACTCGTATACTTCTCACTCTCGTAAGTATTTTTTATATTCATAGTTTAACCTTCCTATCCCTATCCCTATTCCCTATTGATAGACAAGAGGGGTTCAAAAATAATAATAATTTCTGATGGTAAATTATTCTAGATGGATGGGCTACCGGACCGGTCACAGCGTTGACGGAATATATCCTCGGTCTCAGTGTTACTGGCCTCGCGGGTTCGACTTGGCGAATTGCGCCTCAGTTTGGAGATCTATCACATGCTGAAGGTGGTTTCACGACTAGTTTGGGAAAATACTTCGCAAGCTGGACGGTAAATAGCAACGGCAGCTATACATTAGACTATAAAGTGCCTGAAGGTACCTCTGGCGTGCTGGTGCTCCCGACTCCTAATCAGAACGAGAGATATAAGGTGTTGGTTGATGGAAAGGAAATGCCAAAGAATCTTGGCAAATCTGTCGAAACAAAAGGAAATAGGCAACAGCACATCTTCAAGGGGACAAGTGGGCGACACCACATTGAGGTCAGTTAAGGGGCCTCTTCGAAATTATCGGCCGGGCTAATGCTTGTTTGGAGATGTGCGGTGTTGCAGGCAGAAGCGCCTACGAAGCCTTTCTACAAGACAACCAAGATGCTATGTATAGAGAATTGTGACCCAAGGTAACACTGAGGAATGCGCACCAATGATAAAACCAGATAATGTCTGTTGGAACGAAATATACTTCTTTATGACTCATGATCGGCTTGAGATATCTATTATATCACGCCATTTTAATTAATGAGAAAACATATAAAAGATGCTGGCTTTTTTATATTTAATTTCATATTGCTCTTATTCTTATTGTTGCTGAAAGATGTAAGTTGAAGGAACTAAGAGACAGGTTAGTACCGGTCTCGATAGCAAATACCTATCCCACAGCGGGATATGCACGTAAGAGAACCACTATAATCAGCTGACTGCGACTCTTTCTCGCGTTAAGTACATTGCCCCAAAACGCGTCGGGCAATTCTAGAAAACAACCGTCCCGCCTTTTTTCTTGCTGGTCTGATGTCAATTCTATTTCTTCCATCTTTTGATATAAAACAGACAGCTCACCTAGGTAATCACTAGTACTCCCTAGTGCAAATACTTTGTTCTATTCTTCACTTTTCTTTTCTTCTTCTCCATCTCATAATTTAATATATCGCATTCATGAGAGGAATGCATTGAGTTACTGACACTACCCCCCTTCATAAGATTCATCCGCGTTGAATATCTCAATATGGCGGAGCAAGATGAGTCCGGTGGGCTTTTTAGCCTCTGCGCATTTACTTTCGTCCTTAGTAAAGAATTAAATGAAGGATTGATTGCCGAGGTATGTCGTGGCTCTTAATGGATTCATTATAAACAGCTATGCTCACTATTAAAGCTTTCCGAGAGTCTCATCAAGTTTGGTGGCTCAGTCTTGGCAGCGAAACGCGATGGTTCCTTGCCACTTTCGCAAGTGACCCACGTGATCGCCAACTCGATCGATTTCCCCCAGTATACCGACGCGACGGCTATGATGATCCCCGTTGTTAAGTCTAAGTGGATCACGGCATCCTTAGCTAAGGGGAGACAAGCTCAGATACGGCCGTTTACGCCTGATCCTCGAATGATCTTCTCCGATGTAGTATTGTCTTGCGCTGATATCCCACCTACCGACAAAGAAGCTATTATCGGTGCTACAATGGCCATGGGAGGAATGGACTCGGAGAATGTCACCAAGCTTACTACCCATATCTGCGCTCTCTCTATGGACCATCCCAAATGCCAGCTAGCTATGGACAAGAAGCTCAAATGCAAGATAGTTCTTCCTCATTGGTAAGCATATTCTGCATTTTAGATATGAAGTGTTAGATCTAACCTGATCAAGGTTTGACGATTGTTTCAAGCTGGGAAAGCGAATTGATGAGAGCCCGTATCTGTTACCTGACCCTGAGTACCTACGTGTAATCCCGAGGATGCGATCCAAGTGCCCCCAAGCCAGGCCCCCCCGGTGCTAATTCTGCTCGACCAGATATCTACCCAGCCCCGACTCCGACAACAACGCTCTAGAAGCTCGTCCTAGCCTTACTGTGTTTAACGGGAAAACGGTCATGTTATCATCAGATTTGTCGATTAGGAATCGGCTGAGGGATATTATTCTAGGACTTATTCACGGTGGAGGGGGTGAGATGACTGATAATGTCAAGGAGTGTGACTGGTTCATCTGCCAATATCGTGATGGACCCCAATACATACACGCCTCGCAGGTTGGGAAGACCGTTGGAAATCTGTCGTGGCTATATCATCTGATCACCCACAACGAATGGACGTCCCCTCTACGACGTCTTCTCCACTATCCCGTTCCGCGCGACGGTATCCCTGGTTTCAAGGACAAGCGAATTACGGTGTCAAACTACGGAGGAGAAGCTCGTGTATACCTGGAGAACCTGATAAATGCCTCTGGCGCAATGTATACGAAGACTATGAAGGCCGACAACACACATCTTATCACCGCCCGAGATAATAGCGAGAAGTGCGAGGCTGCCCGCGATTGGAACATCAATATGGCCAACCACCTTTGGATCGAAGAGAGCTACGCAAAGTGTGAGATGCAAAGCATAACAATACCCAAATATACTCATTTCCCGGCTCGTACGAATCTTGGCGAGGTTATTGGCCAGACGTTCCTAGATGAGAAGAAACTACGAGCGCTATATTATCCCGGCAGCCCAGAACAACTTACGCCAACATCAAAGCGGAAGCGCAAGGTTTTGGAGATGGCCAATGAGAATTCGTTCTCCGATGGCCCGGCTGAAGGTGTTGCGATTGGTCGCCAAGCTCACAAGGAATTTGACGTTATGAAGGATACAGATTCCGAATACGCGCAAAAAACCACAGAGGTATTTGGAGTACCAGCACCAGCACCGCAGAAACGTCGGGAATCATCCGAGCTAAAGACTCCGGCTAAGGGCCGTCACGTCCGCGCCGGGAAAGAAAATGAAACCCCTTCTACAGTTTCTTCAAGCCGAAGCGCTAAGGATAAGGCATTAAATAGGTTATCAGTCTTAGCACCTGATATTGCTCTATACGAAAAGGAAAAGAAACGGGGGCTTAAGGATGGCCATGGCCTCTGGGGTGGCAAACGAGCAGCTGATTATATCGACCGGGAAAATCTTAACCGTCACAGTCTCTCGAGTCCAAGTACGGGAGGCGAAGAGAGACAGATAAAGTTAGAGAGACGGCCCGCGAAGAAAGCAAGACCGACTCTTCCAGATGTGAATATGAGGGTAGTCCTCACCGGATTTCAGCGGTGGGTTAATGAGAAATATAAGGAGGATGCGGACCGAGTAAGTTTAGCGAACGTTCATATCTTATATTTGTCTAACATCTTAGTAGAAAAAGCTACGCGACCTCGGCATTGCCGTCGTAACAGATGGTCAACAATGCGACTATCTCGTAGCTCCACATCTAGTGCGGACAGTCAAATTCCTTCGCAATCTATCTAAGGGCGCTACTATTGTATCCTCAAACTGGATTGAAGAATGTCTAGATACAAAAGAGCTTCTAGACCCTCAGGACTTTATCCTCAAGGACAAGGAGAACGAGAAGAAATTCGGCATCAAACTCGAGAACTCGGTCCAGAGAGCGCGAGCGAATAAGGGCAAGCTCCTCTGGGGTATACCTATATACTGCACGGCCAGCATCAAGAACGGCCCGCAGGGCTACCAAGCTATCGCTGAGGCCAACGGTGCCCTATTCATGGTGTACGGTGCGCGCAGCGGGACGACGATCAAGCCCACAGCGCCGGAAGATGATGATGGGGAGCCCGAGCCGGTATACCTACTTAGCAACACGAGCCCCGAGGAGAAGAAGTTATGGCAGAAATTCGAGGACATGGCGCACAAGGGCAACATGGAGCCGCGTATCGTTGCGGCGGATTGGCTGCTTGATATTGTTATGACCCAGGAGGTTAGCTTCGACGAGAGGTACCTGGTGACGAACTTCTTCGCATGAAAATGAGGCTAGGCGTTGGTTCGTGGTCGCGGCGGTGAATACCATTTTTGCGTTTATCTGTTTGTAATGCTTGCGTTATGAGTTCCGCGTTTCCGCTGCATAGCTAGGGGTTCTGGACGGGGTGGCGTTTGGGAGTATGTTCTCTCGCATCTTTACTGTCCTTTTCCACGGCTCGGCGGAAGTAAGTATCGCTACCTATCCTATCCTATCCCACCCGCCGCGTTATACCATTTTAAGTAGCAGCTTCGTACCCATACAAGTAAGTAGGATGGGGCTTGCTTGTCGGATGGGTCTTGTATATATTATGGAACATATACTTGAGCACAGCAGTTACTAGTAGAGCAAATTATGGTTTAACTTGGACTTGGACTTGGGCTTTGGTTGGTGCGTGCGTGCGTGCGTGCTTAGAAGAATTTAACACCTTGCTGGTCTTCTTGGCCGAAGATTTGTGCTTTGCCGCGCTTGACGAGGACTTGGAGCGCTTTTTGGAGGAGCTCGGGGTCGAGACCGTAGAATTCTGTGATTTGTGTTAGCGTGGGTAGATTTTCATACTCATAGCTTTTGCTGTATTCGTTGTCTTGCTATTTTCTCGTATTATAGGATAATGAGGTAGGTAGGTTGGGCGTATACGAAAAGAGAAAAGAGAACCATCAAACTCACCAGTCCCCCTCGTCGCCTCCCATCCGTCAACTCATACAACGTCAACACAGCGCCCTTCTGCGCCGTCTCCTCAACCCAGGCCTCGATCAAACCCGCCCACTCCTCCGGCGTCCGCCAGTACACCCAGTAGACATCCCCCCCGCCGCCGTTTCCTCCACCACTTAACCCACCTCCACCTCCACTCCCACTCCCACTCCCGTCTTTCCCAGCCGCGACGGGTTCCGCCCGTCCCTCCTTGCGCATGAACTCGAAGATTTCCCGGGCGTCGGAGAGGCGTAAAGAGCGGCCTAGCTTGCGGTTGCGGAAGAGGGGCTCGTAGGGGGTTCCGTCGTAGGATAGGGAGAGGCGGTAGATGCGGTGTTGGCGGGTGTAGGAGAGGATGAGGGAGGACCACTTTTCTAGCTGGGAGTGGTGCGGTTGTTAGGTTTGTTTGGCGCGTGAAGAAAGGCGGGAAGTGGTATTCGCGGGGGAAGTCGAAGGGGGGAGGGGGAGGTGGTTGAGTGGTGGTGGTGGTGGTGGGTGTGGAGGACATGGTGAGATGGATGGATGGATGGATGGATGGATGGATGGAGGTATGTTGGTTTAGGGCTGAGTAGGTAGATTAATGAAGGATGGCGATGGGAGAGTAAGATAGGTAGGTTGGGATGGTCTTGGTTGTGAATTTATAACTAGGTATACCTAGTATAGTATATATAAAAGTAGTTGTAGCGGGAGTTGGTATGGAGCCCACGTTTGGCGGGGCTCCGAGTTAAGCTAAGCTGTTGTACTTCCCCCTGGAGCTTTGAACCCCACTATAGGTTCACATGCGAGCATGTGAAATACTATTAAAGGTCGATTAGGTAAGCCATTCATTATCTACATCTATAATGTAAGACTTTCTAGTTGCCAATATATACCTATGTTATAAGTAAACATTTTGTCAATTTCATCTTATTTATTTATAATAGGTCTTATAATGTTTATAAGCCTCAAATTAAGTTAAATAGCACCCAGTGTTGAGGTAGTCCAGCTTAAGCCAACCGCATTTATTTATACACCCAAGAGACATGAAGCGGGCTAGGATAATACTGGAAACATATGCAGGTGGGTATAGAATCATTATAATATTATAATATTATTTGCATATAGCTATAAGTGACCTATCCGAATGATATCAGTATAGGGTATCTCAAGTTTGTGCGTAATTTATGCCTCATGGCTACTTCGGAACATCAAGTTTCTGCTGTTACTCATATATTGAAACCTGCGCTCTATCCTATCCATAAGCACGCGGGCATACGTACATCAGGCATCCGTTCCCACCCATATTCAATAACGTCCACGGAGTCCTCATTACGGTCATCATCCGCACCCATCCAACCAAACTCCGTACAGCATAGCATCGTAAAAATTTAAACGCAAGTTCAACCGGGCAAAATCAAATATCAACACCACGGGTATCATCCTGCATCTCGTCGCTGCCGAGCTCCTTCTCGAGCTCGTCCGTCACGAAGCCCTCGTAGTCTTCTAGGTTCTTCTGAATGTGCACCTTGAACTTGATGATGTCGTTGAGCATCCTCTCGATCTCTGTGTGTAGCTCCTCGCGTAGCGCGTTGGCTCGGAGGGTTAATTGCTCATATCTGATTTTAATGTTAGTGTGTTTGTTCTAAACAGAAGGGATAAAAGACATACTCAATGTTTGTGTTCATCCCTCTGCTCCATAAGCTGAACGGATTCGGTGAGCTGGGCTCGCATCTTGGCGAGTTCCTTTTCCATCTTCTCAATCTGCGCATCGGAGGCGAGTTTTTGCGTCGTAGTGACCTAAGACATATTAGCAAGCAATCGTCGAAATATAAACCATAATATCTATATACCTCTTTTGTCTTCTCGTACTCCTCTTCTGCCGCCCTGACTCTGTGTTCCAGAGCCTCGACCTCGTTCCGCTTGTCTTCAATTGCCTCCTTAATGCCGTCAAGCAGATCGTGGTCCTTCATCATAGCATCCATGGCCGCAGTCCGTCGCTCCGAGATATCCTTGCGCAAAGCTAGGAAGTTGTTCTTAACGTGTCCGCGCAGTTCCAGGTTGAGGATATGTGCTGGCTGGTAGCCTGTCACAGAATCGGCAAGTAGGCGTTCGCTCCCCCCTCCACCCGAGTATGATCCCTTCATTATAGAGCCTGTAAAGTCCGACTCGTTGACGGTCACGGCTAGTTCGTATGCAACGCCCTTGGCATTGACAGCGGTCGCAGGAATGAGGCCGATTTGGTAAGCGAGCGTGTTGTACTTGTCGACAAGCCTCTCTAGCTCGTCGAGCTTACGGCTGGCTTCCATCTCCTTCTCCGCTACCTTTTTTTGCCTTCGTCAAGTCGCTGGGTGGCAGACTCTATACCCTTCTGTAACCTTTCACGTTCGGAAGTCATGCGGTCGATATCCTGCATGCTGATACCTTGGTCGTCAACCTCCTTCTGTAATGCGCGGCGTTCTTCCTCTGCTTCCCTTAGTTCCTCCATCAGTTTGTCAAGTTCTTCTTGTAAAACTTGGATGCGGCTTTCGTATTTGTCAGATCTCGATAAAGCCAACGCATTATACTCCTCGAACTTGACTTTGTCCTCCTCCATAATTTTGAAGTGGTTGTCGAGAACACGGGGATCTGGAGTAGACTTCTCGAGATCCTCAATCTCCTTGAGTAGCCTAGCATTTTCCGCTTCGAGCATCTCAAGTTCCGATAGGTATTTGGAGTTGGACCTCTCGAAAGCCCCCGCCATATCTTCCACGTGGGGTCCAAGTACTTTCTCAGCATCATCATCACCAGCGTCCTCATCCATAGCAAGCCAGTCGCGGTACGCTGAGCTCAGAAAGTCGAAAACAATATGATCGCTAATAACGTCTATTCCACTCTCAATACAGGCTTCATCGTAGCGATTAGACGAATAGCCCTCAAGCATATGTGCTAACTGCATCATCCAATGGAGCAACCCCAGGAAGGTGCTCCAGTTTTGGCCACCCACCGCGGAGATTTGTGATTTGGTGATGCTCTTCTCATAAGGATAACGTAGCTGCTTTAAGATCGGAGGGACTTCTTGGTCGATGTTTTTCTGGAAGCGATAGCTCGGATCAATACGGTGATATAGCCATTGGAACATGTAGTTGAAGTCCTTCTGGGTCGGTGATTTGATTATATTATGTGATAGAGTATGCTTCATTTCCATTTCGAAGTTGTGTTGCGATAAGTAGTCCAAAAGCTCTTGGCCTATTCGCGCTTGGAATGAGCGGTCCTTTAATGGTCGTGGATCGCGTGGTACACCAGCTGCTTGCGGGGCTTGTTGGAAAAAGCTCTGGTGATTCCCGGGGCCGTTTGTCGAGGTTCGGGAACGATAGACACTGCTCCTCCTTTCGTTCTCCGAATTTCGCATCGGTACACCACCGGAAGCATAACTTTTTATTGTAGAACCGGGAACATTCTGGAATGAGGAGCGCTTCACCGAAGACATTCCCATGTCGGCTAGATTCGTACCGGATGACGATCGAGAGAACATATGCTGACTAGAGCGACCGAGCGCAAGGGATTGCCTAGATCCCGATACGGATCGCATATGACTACCTCCAAATCCCCCTCCATGTCCGATTGAATTTGATCTTTTCATTGCCGATGCGGGTTGTGGTATAGCAGAGTTAGGATTGATGCCACCAAGGGTCTAGCAAAAAATAAGTTAGCTAATATATTCCCGTCGCGCTAAAGGGGCTACAAATTAGGCGCATAGAGTGTATTATACCTCTCGTGGTCGCCGAACACTCCAAAGTCCCGTCTCCTGGGACATGGTGTTTGAATTTAAAAGAGAAATACTTGTAGCCTAATGATATAAAGAGCTTTCAAAAATCTTTATGTCGACTAGTTGAGTATTGGTGAAACAGAAGCGGTGATTTAAGTGGTTCAATTATGTATTGTGCAGCTTGGTCAGTGCCCAATACCCCCCAGTCCAAGTAAACAAATCGCAAACTGTTATAATTGGTCCGATTAAAAATTCATCAACAAACCGAATTAAAGTAATTATGTGGGGCAATGGGTATGTTCTTGGCATTAACTGACTGCCTACGAAGTACCAGGATTATTAATTGTTAGGTACCTAAAACGTCACCTATTATGATCCATCTTCAATGTTTCATCAATGTTCATGCTTTGCGACGACAACTTTATTCCCTATACCATAATCCTATCTCTCGTATAATTCACACGATATTTAATCTTTCTTTGAGTACATGATGATTTTTCCTTAGGTCGTGATGGTGCGGAGAATTTTAATTCTCGCAGGTGCACCAGAAAGTCATAAGCTGGACTGGAAAGAGTCAGATCTCTTAAACCAATTCTTAGATCCAATATCTCAATTTGCTCGACTTGACACTTATCCAATCTCGATTACCGAAAGTACTGCTATAGGACCTTCCCGAGATGTTGCCGTATGGAGATCGATACCTCTAGAAAAAACTGCATTACCAACTGGCTTCTCTCAGCTTCATCAAGTGAGGCAAGATTATCATGGAGACGATGGCTTTTTCACTGTTTTTACACCCTCGTTCGAATCTACTTCTGACTTACCAGGGACCGACAAAGCAAGCCAAGAGGTATTAGAACAATTCTACGACCACTCTTTAGCAGTCCACGATGATATGCCATCTTCTCAGCTGCCTGTGAGCTTTAGTACTGATGAATCCTCGTTAAACACCACCACCGAGGACATAAGTTTCTATGACTCGATCCGGAGTAGCAACTCATCCACCCGCCGGGATCAGCCTCTAATTGCCCAGACAACTCATCTCAGTGATCTCGAAGATGTACCGAGCGCGTCGCATCTGCAATCCATCGCACCTCAGACAATGACTGTCAATCTTATCGTTGGCATAATATCCATTGCTGAACCACGTACCGTGAGAACCAGATGGGGCTCAACTAATTCTTTAATTGAACTTCTTGTTGGTGATGAGACCAAATCTGGCTTCAGCATCACTTTCTGGCTTTCATCGGAGCTTAGCGAATCATCTAGCAAGATTCTCAGAGAACTTCGCAGACAGGATATCGTGCTTCTCCGGAATGTCGCGCTAAGCGTGTTTATGAAAAAGGTGCACGGATACAGCTTAAGAAAGGGACATGACGCAGGATTGACCTACTCCATAGGAGAAAGCTGGACAGAGATGATCAAGGTGGATTGTATGGTATGAGAGACTTGTCATCAACAAAGTCAGCACATCCTCAGTTGCTGAAAACAAGAAGGGTACGAGAGTGGGTTATGAATTTTGTTGGAGACGGGGGTGCGGCCCTAGGGAAGAGAAAGAAAAACGGAAAACCCATAAGAAGCTGGGATATGCCGCCAGCAGATACGCAGTGAGGGGACTTGTAATGTCTACTATCTAATCTAACTACCTCCTAACCTAGTCTTCTCCAAGTTATATGCATTAGAATTTAAGTCATTCTTGTCATGATAGCTAAGGCATAATGAAGGAAGCGTTATGCATTGTAGCGCTGGTCTAGCCATAGTCTTAAGTCTTTTAAGTCCTCTCGGCGTGGGATCTGGTTACACAAGAATGTAATCAGCTTTAGATTATGAAATCTCTAATTGGCTTAAACAACGAGGGATCATCCTCAATCATTAGCAAAGTTTTGATTGGCTGAGTACTTCGTAATTACTCTGTAACAAAATTGTACCTCGTGGGATAACTTTTTCTTACCTGCTAGATCAGCGTGTAATCTAGCTACGGTACCCGAGATCGGCTTGAAATAAGTTTGGGGAATGCAGATATGCAGGATAAGATATACTATACTTAGACAAGTACTATGGGGTAATGTATGCACTTATATGCTTGTGCCTGACATCAATTGGCCAATCGACACCAATAGCTGCAACTACATCTTAGCTCATTATTCACCGCCTTCTATTTAGAGTTTCAAATTACCCCTCCATAGAGTTTTTTTACGCCATCCCCCCGCCAAATGGCAATATGAAAATTATCGGCCCTAGCCGATTAGGACAAACATTCGTACATGTATACCTCATCTTCCGCGCATAATACATACATACATCCTTACATAAACCTATAACGCGAATTCCTCAAGCTAATTTATATTTTCTTCTTGTGCCTTGTGCCTTGTGCCTTGTGCCTTGTGATCTTACCCTGGGGCTGATCAAGTTAGATCTTTTTTTTTCTCACCTCGGGTTATCTAACCCCTTTTTCTTCATTCAATAAGTTCTAGTTGTGCGCCTCTGTCCCACCAGGTACTTTTACAATTCGCTGCGCGATAAAATCATACTTCAACGCCTATCATATTTATCAACCTACCCGAGTGGCTTCGCACAACGGCATTTCACAATGGCGGGCTACGATTATTACAAAACGCCTCTGGATTCCCGCTATTCTAGCGAGGAAATGAAGAAGTTGTTTAGCCAGAGAAGCAGACATAGCACTTGGCGCCAACTTTGGTTATGGCTTGCCGAAGCCGAGAAGGAACTCGGCCTCGAGTCTAGTAAGTAATCGATTGCTTTTATTTACCTCTAAGCTATTATTTGCGTGTTTAAATATCCCCCTCGTAGTAAATTTATATATTACCATTGCCACGGGCCAATTACCTTTAATATCGTAAAAATTACTTTTATTAACTTAAATGCCATAGTCACGGACGAAGCGCTCGAGCAGATGCGATCTCACCTTACCGTGACAGATGATGACTTCAACCTCGCTATAGAAGAGGAACGTCGTCGCCGACACGATGTTATGGGCCACGTTCATGCATATGGCATTGTGGCGCCGGCTGCAGCTGGTATTATCCACGCTGGGGTATGGTCATCTTATAAATACCTAATGCATAGCCATATAAATGCTAATGACGACTAATAGGCTACTTCGTGTTATGGTAACTCGCGATGTATCTTGTATATCAAATGATTATTAACCTTATTATAGTTACGGATAACACTGAATTAATCCTTATGCGCGATGCGATAGATCTTATTCTGCCTAAGCTCGCCAAGGTCATTAGGGTAAGTCGATATATAAAGCGTAGACTCTCCTATTTTTCGGATTCCAATACTAATATCGTATAGTTCGTGAAATAAATACTCGGAATTATTGCTAGGGATATTAATGTTTCGTAGCAACTTATCCAACTTTGCACAGAAGTGGCGAGAGGAGCCAACTCTGGGCTACACGCATTACCAGCCCGTAAGTATTTTCTGAGACGATTTCCCACATTAGTTTTGGTTATACGACTATGAAGGCCAGCAATTCTTATGCTCCTTGTCATTATTGTACTTTGCGCGATGAGATCTTGCCATTGCTAAGTGCTACTAGGCCCAAATGATTACAGTCGGCAAGCGGGCTGCGGAATGGACCCAAGAACTAGCCATGGATCTTGAAGATATCGAACATGTCCGCCAAGAACTTCGATTTCGGGGAGGTCAAGGAACAACGGGTACCCAAGCGTCATTCCTTGAGCTCTTTAACGGCGACGAAGCCAAGGTCGACCGACTGAATGCTCTTCTCTGCGAGAAATCTGGATTCCCCAGCGTAAGTGGGAGCCCTAATCGCAATGAAAATTATTCTAACCCTAGGTGTTACAGTGCTACTCTATATCTACACAGACATATACAAGAAAGGTTGATCTTCGCATGTATGTATTGTTAAGACATTCTTTCCCCTTGAATCTATCTAGAAGGCCAGAGGTTCCATTAGATGCAAAAACGAATCTACCTCTTCTAAAATAACTGAATTTATTTACATACATTACTCAAAAATATCTACTGACTAATTGTTGTAGCTCCAATGCTATCGCGGGCCTGGGTGCTACTGCACAACGTATCACATCTGACAGTAAGCGATTTACCAATCTATAAAGCTAACAATGCTATACTGGAAACTAACTTTCATTAGTCCGTCATCTTGCCAATCTAAAGGAATTGTCCGTAAAAAGCTGTCTTTAAGGACCGTGTCGCCGTCGGCTAACACTATATTCAGGGAAGAGCCATTTGAGAAGGACCAAATCGGAAGTAAGTTACATGTCCGATTCGAATAGTGTGACTTACAATAGCTAATATTGATACTATAGGCTCTGCCATGGCATATAAGAGAAACCCTATGCGGTACGTACAATCCTACTAGAGTATCCGAGTGAAAAATCATAATATGGTATTAATTTGTTCAATTCAGTTCCGAACGTATCTGCTCGCTCGGTCGTAAACTTGCGAGCCTTCCAGTCAACTTCTCCAATACATTTTCGGCACAGTGGCTCGAAAGATCCCTAGAGTATGTAACCCTTTTTCATTCACCTTTGTTATTGATATCATACTACTTTGAGAAGTAATCGCTGACATTTGATGTTGTAGTGATAGCGGTGAGCATCGGCTTCTCCCGCGTTTAGTATATACCACTAATGTATAAATCTGCATAGCTATTCGTCGCATAGACATCCCTGAAATGGTGAGACTCGACGCCATAACTCCATCCGGAAGAACTAAGAGCTGATAATTCGTAGTTCCTATTAGCTGACGCTATACTAATCGGCCTTGACAACGTGACCAATGGTTTGGTTGTCTACCCGAAGCGAATAGATGCGCGGAATAAACAGGAGCTTCCCTTTGTACGTCTATTGCAACCCGGAGTTTACCCCCTTTTATGCTTGTCTAGTCTCGACGTGCTGTTTCACATACAATTTACTAATTTCGGATATTATAGATGATCACCGAAGCTATTTTGATGAAGATAGTTTCTAAAGGAGGTTCCCGACAAGAAGCGCACGAGAAAGTCAGAGTTCTTTCTCACGAAGCTAGTCATGTTGTTAAGCATGAGGGTACGTACAACAAAACATAACCCTGGTTTTCACCTCCCAAGTGGCTTGTTATGCATTTGAATATATACTAACCAGCTCTCATAGTGCGTTTTGTAAACTTCTTTTGATATAGACGGATTTAAACCCTATTTTGCTTGAAATGGAACAACATCAAGAGCTGTGGGCTATTGATTATTGGTTATGTACAAAGCTAACATAGAACAGGGTGGCAATAATGACCTTATCGAGCGTATGAAGAAAGACGAGTACTTCAAAGATATCTGGGACGACATTGACGCAATGCTGGACCCTAAGCTTTACATTGGTCGAAGTACCACAATAGTATGTGCTTGTTTTTCCTTGGTATCTATATTATAGAATCTATCAAAGGCGCCCATATATACACGCTCTACATGTATCTGTTACTAATTACGAACAATAGGTTGATAGGTATTGTGGCAAAGGTGGAGAAATTGAGAAGAAGCTGGAGCCATATAAGGAGTTCATTGCAAAGGCCGAGACTTCGCAACTCAACCTCTAAACGCTACGTTGTAGGCTTTGGTGTGGTATCTTATCTAGGTGCTGTTTCCTTAGACCGCTTCTGGCCATGCTTTTCATTTCCCCTTTGCATAGTTGTGGCTTCTCCGATACTATATATGGAGCAAGGAGTTTGTAGGTATGATATCTTATATGTATAATAAAAGATTTTAATTAGTGCTTCTCAGTTTTCAGCTCTGCGGCACCCCTCAACGGCAATTCAATTATTGGATGCCACGTCGCTGTCGTATTGTGATTCCGGAGATAATCGAACAAATCAAGTTCCTGCCTCGAACAGCACATCGTACATATGTGGTATTTCTGCTGGAAGGATGTACTCAAGGCTGCTTGATAGAGCCTGATCGTGCCCGATCTTTCCCTTCCACTTTCCTTTCATTTTATCCGACATTATTCTCACCTTTTTGTTACCTTAAGTGGCCGAAGATGAAATCATTCTACAGAAAATACGTGTATACAATCCAGTGCTAAGCATGGCATCGACAGCGATAGCAGGTTCCGCCAGCGATGATGTGGTGAGTTAACTCCTAAGCGAGATTATTTCGCTCCCCGTTGATCAGAGCAAAGCTTATTTGAACATTGGTGAAGGAGCTCCAAAGTATCAACGACGAGGGGTCCGCTGAAGCTCAAGCTGGTCCTTCACAGCAGCAACCCTCGAGCTCCGCACCCGCACCCGATGATGCGTCTCTTTTGGCCGCCTTTTGGAAGGAAAGACTGCCCACCTCCGACAATTTGAAGGCTAGTTTTAATGTCATCGATTATCTGCTCTTTAAGTCTGAAAGACGATTCTTTCCAGCTGCCTATCCAAAGACTAGCTACAAAGATATATACGCTGGATGGCCGAAAGATGGCTTAGTCTGCGACAAATCCTATGGACCGGTTTACGTGGTCAAATGTTTTCACGATCTAGAACACCAGGTTATTCGTGCATCTGATTTTCCTATTGATCGTCAGGAACCCCCCATTGGTGTCGTTTAGTGAGTGATTTTATAATCTAATGAAATTGTCGACTCTTAGAATCCTATTTATTTTGTGATAGTTACTAATACGAAAAAGCTGTTCACACTCTGTTTTGCTTGATGATGAGATGAGAAATCTAGATTTCGATGCTTTGGCGGCATTCTATTGCTTTTTTCGGCCGAATTTAGACAATGCAACGGGCAGGAATGTTCTGGGGGGCATAATACCTACCTTTCTTAAGGCGCATTTAGGTATTGATGAGTACCGCGATGGATCATTATTTCACTGTACTGGGAAAGGTCGACAGTGCTATTTCCATTATCGTTTACGGCATTTCTCATATTTTGACGCAAAAGAATCCTATTATGATGAACCCAATCCGTCCGGGATTCGTTGTCATAGAGATAATGGAGTTCTCTCCTCCCCAGACGGAGAATTTGCTATCAGACAGGAAATTACTTCTGTTATCTTCCTTATAGACCTCTCTAAAGCGGGTGCGTTCGTCATTACGATTTTTCACGACAGCCCCGATGCTGGAGAAAGGATACCGAAAGAAGCCTCCAAATCACACTATGGGGCAGATGGGATACTTTTCTTCCAAGATATCACTATGTCATTGCTGCAATATTGGCATGAACGATGGATTGAGTGTCTGGGTAATTTGGATAAACTTCTTATCACCAAGGTACGACACATGTCTACTATTGAAATAATAAGCTAGGACATTAATCAGCTCATACGTTCTTTTACTAATAACAGGTCCGGGACGTTACGAAACCAGAAACTCTTGAACGCCTTATGTATGATAATGACAAGCTACACCGATCTGAGCTATATTTTAGCGTCTTGCAAATCTTACGCATTTTCTCTACAAGTATCAAAGAGGACATAAGCCAGCTCAAGGATACAATGAACAATGCACGGAAAGAATGCGAGACCGTTATTAAAGAATTTGCGGATATTCAGGATTTGGATTCAACTATTCCGATCCTTGGAGAGAAATGGAAATCCATCAACGAGAAACTAGAGTCTAGTGAGAGTGACTTGATTGGCCGCATAGATCGGCAAATTGAAGACATAAAGAGTCTTCGGGATGGCGTACGTTTTATTAAACTCAATCCCATCGTATCATTATCAGGCGTTAAACACAGCACTAATAACAAATTTCAAAGCTTTTCAACGCTATGGCAGTACGGGAGGCAGTAAAGGGCAGACAACTCAACAGATACCTCTTTATCTTCACGATCATTACGATTATATTTACTCCACCGAGCTTTGTAGCGGTATGTTATTCCCTTCTATATGTTTATGCAGATGCTCTCAATATCTAACGCCCTTAGACGTTTTATGGCATGCATCTATTCGATGGTGTTGGCAGTATTGAAGATACCCAAAAAGGTTTCTGGAAAGTATTCGGAGGCATCACTGCTGTGACATACACTCTTGGGCTACTCGCTATCACTAGTTTTAGCTGGAGTAAATGGTGGCCGGATATTAAAAATATCATAATGTTTGTCTCAATAATAATTCGTCTCGTAATCCGGTGGCCTATTAAGAAAATATCTGGGAGCGAAGAAGATATCCCTCAAGGGAGGGGACTCTAGCCTAACCGTGGCTATACGTACCAAGTATCCTTTGTTCCAGATGTCTTGTTTAGAATTCCAATAGATCTACTATGTAGTGGCTCAGTCAACTGTAATGTCATTTCCATCATTCTCCCATGTCTGCCTGAATCGTAATAATCTCATGAAAAAAACCCAGTACAATAATTTTCGCTTTCGGTATTGTCTAGCAAACTACGGGCTAAAGGGAGTGATCTTAACATGTGTCATATCAATCCTGCGGCAACCGTTAGTTACAAAACACATGAACACTAAGTTATAGAACTTACCATGATGTCCCCTGAGAAGAGAAAAAGTTGGACAGTCGAAACTGCGCGACATCCGTTTTAGAAAGCTGTCGCGAGAAGGAAGCGCGGGTTTTGGTATCAGCCCCAGGACCATGGTTCTGATACTCGCCAAGCAGAGCCCCATCGGTCCGCGGGTCTGTCTTCGACCAGACAGACCACCCTGCCGGTGCAATTGACTTGTCGAGATATGTCTTAATATACGCAACCCGGGAGTACTGGTTATACGGACGACCTAGGAAGACGGATCCAGCAGCCGCATTCGCCGTCGCGGCAATGGTAGATTGGTCGAAGACGAGACCGCCGGGGGTGCTGGCTGACGCTCGCTTCATCGCCGCGATGTACCCGCCCTTGGTATTGGGTACGATTGTAGAGTTGAGGAAATAAGCCAACCCGGCGCCCCATATGAAATCAACAGATCCCTCGATCAGCGTGTTGTACGCGAATACGCTGGTCCCGGCGTTGGTGTCGAATGTGTCCTGGTTTCCGGTGACTTGGCACCCGTAGAAGGCGGCGCGGCCGTTGTTGCCGATGGCGAAGCCTAGGGACGCGAAGTTACGGGTCTGTCCGAAGACGTTGTTTAGGTTGATGTTGTAGAGCTGGATATCTGAGGCCCGGGAGTACAGGGTTGCGGAGTCGGAGTTGCTCTGGTCGCCTTGGGTGTCGACGCCATAGCTGTTTTGGATAATAACTTGATTGTGCTTGTTAGAGGATGTGTCCTTGGTGTATCCGCGGAAGATGGTGGTGCCGGAGCGGCTGAAGACGATCTGCTCCTTGTAGGTGCCGGGGTAAACGAATACAGTTACGGCCTTCGTGCTTGACACTTTCTGGATGGCGGTGATGGCCGCGCTGAAGGTTGCGTAGACGGTTTTTCCCTTGATGGCAGATTGTGATATAATGTAGTCACCATTGGCAGGCTCCGTGGCGTTCACAGCAGCGGTAATGGCATTCTTAGAAAATCCCTCGATAGGAGCTGCGTAACATTTAGAAAGAATCCTAATAAGAGTCGTTTGTCATATGTTCTGGTTACCTACAGACACTCTCTATCACCGGCTCTATAGATGCCGCATTTGATATGTCGGCGACGAAAGCTAATGAAATAAAGCAGGTGAAGATAAACTCTACTACGAGAGCAGCTCTGGACCCGAGCATTTCGGTGACTCAAGATACTTCTATTGAGATTTGCTTACTAGCTATCAAGTAACGAAGAAGATGGTTGGTGTACGTATAAGACCTCAGGGGTAGCTTTATGTGAGGTCGAGCTATCGAGCAATCTATTATTAGGGCTGAAAACATTTTCATCTATCCAGGTTAGAAGCAAGCTATGATTGATAGGATAAATCGCACTTGAACGATAAAGAGCGGGGTGGCGTGAGTTTCTAATATGAAAGATGCTACATATAGCACTGCTTGTATATAACCAGTGGGTCATTTAAGCTGGAGCTTGTCGACTGTTTCTTTAAGTCGAACCATACAAGTCATGATAGTATCGGTGAGAGGTGTAATTGCTATTAGGATCAGGCAATAGAAAGAGTGAATTGGTCTAGTGTTGAATAACTAACTGCCGAGATAAATTTACATGTTTTCTTCTCATGAACTACCGAGAAAGGTAAACTAATAGTATACGATCCACTCAATCGAATGAGCGTTCATAACTTTAGTTTAGCTTAGAAGAAACACCAGCTCTTCTTGAAGGAATATAAATGAATTTCCCAAGTTATTTGACTAGAAGTATCATTATGATTTAATAAGGCAGGCAATTATGCTTCTTTCTGCGTCTCTCGCCGTCTTCTCTCCGAGAAGTATGTTCACTCTGAATATGTGGAATTATCGCAACTTTAGTTGATCGGACTAATACGACTTGGCGATCAGTTGATATTTCCACTTTGCCAAAAGTACATGACCCCATAAGAGGTTGCGGACCAAGAACCATAGCAATTAACCTATTTCGATCAACCATGTAACAGCGCGCAGCCAATATTCCCCGCATTCTACAATTATACGTATAAATTAGTTCATAATATCTCCGCAGAGATACTATTTCGGTCCAAGAGAGACCGAAATACTCATATTGATATGCAGGTACAGTATTTTAAGGCGGTCTGGACCTCGCAAGAATTGGTGACGATGACCGAACGGTTTATGTAGCGTGACATGGCACTATTGCTACTATATTTTACATGTTCCCCTTCAGTCCTGACACCCGATTTGGCGTGAGATACACTCCGAGTTAAATCTTCCATTGCTAAAATGGTGTCGCTGAAGGCATTAGCCTTCGCCATTCTAGCCTCTCGGGCAAAGGCGCTTCTGGAGGCTACAGAGACTACGAGCCAGTATATCCTACGAAATGATGACTTGTCGGTGGCCGTGAGCAAAAGTAACGGGGCAGTCTCTCAGCTTTCACTGGGAAAACAGGACTTAATAGGTGCGGGAAGTGGGAGAGGGCCATATCTGGATTGTTCTTGTATTCCTAGCGGATTCTGGACCCCAGGTGGCACCGCTCGATTCAAGCTCATAAAGGGTACCGACTCGACCGGAACACCGTATGGCGGTGTTGTGATGAGCGATACATATGCGTCCACCAACCAGACATTAGAGCAGTACTGGTTCTTGCGAGAAGGCGAAACTGGTTTACATATGTTCTCCCGAGTCACTTATTTCAACCAGAAGACGCCTTTCCTCCGAGGACTTGGCGAGCTACGCACGCTCTTCAGGCCGAGCACAAAGTTATGGACTCACCTCTCCGGAAGCGAGGGCAACTGGGCACCGATTCCATCTGCTGATGCTGCTGGGAAAGCCATCACCGTACAGGACGCAACGACTTACCTTGGCAACTCGACGAATGATCCCTATGTGAAGCAATACTCGGATTACTTTACGAAATACACCTTTGCAGAGGTTTGGCGTGATCATGATGTTCATGGACAGTACTCAGATGGATCGACTAGTTCCGACGGAAACACATACGGTGCTTGGCTAGTTCACAACACTAGGGAGACATATTACGGGGGTCCATTGCACTCCGATCTAGTTGTAGACGGTATAGTTGTAAGACTTCCAACTCTTTTTCGATTCAATCCCAATGAGACAGATAACGCTTACACTTTTATCTTTACAGTACAACTACTTGGTGGCTGGTCATCACGGCGCGCCGGTTCCTAACATCACCCATGGCTTTGATCGCACCTGGGGACCGCAGTATTACCATTTCAACAAGGGTGGGCCGAAGACAACCCTCGCTGAACTAAGAGCCGATGCGGCGCAATATGCAAATCCGGAATGGAACAGCGAGTTCTATGATAGCATTGCCCAGTACGTACCCAACTACGCGCCATCATCTAAGCGAACTACGTTCAAGGCGACGATCGAATTGCCTGCAGGCGCAAAGCGGCCCCTTGCTGTTCTCGCCGAAAATAAGCGAGACTTCCAACTGAATGTTTTTGACCAGTCTAGTCTGCAGTACTGGGCAGATATAAATCCTAATACTGGAGTAGTGGAGATCCCTAGAGTGAAAGAAGGCACTTACAGGCTAACTGTGTATGCCGATGGGATCTTTGGGTGGTTCATCCAGGACGACGTCAAAGTCTCAAAATCCGGGAACAGCACTCCGTTCAAGTTTCAATGGAAACCCGAAAGTGCAGGTAAAGAAATCTGGCGAATCGGTATACCGGACAAGTCAGCTGGTGAATACAAGCACGGCTACGCACCAGACACATCAAAGCCTCTGCAGCCCGAGCAATACCGCGTGTACTGGGCAAACTGGGATTTCCCAACCGACTTCCCGGACGGAGTTCGATTCAAGATCGGAGAGAGCAAGGAGGCCGAAGACTTCAATTACATCCACTGGAGTGTCTTCCCCGGAAAATCCAACTTCTTCCGCTCGCAGCCATACTACGAAAACGTGAACAATTGGACCGTCCAGTTCAATCTCACCGGCAATCAGCTAGCTGGCGCTAAGAAGGCGACACTCACGATCGACCTCGCGGGCGTGAAAACGGCTAACGGGAATAGTAAGTGGGCAGATCTTCCAAATGAGAAGTACTCCAATGTACCGTACACCGTAGCCGCAAACGGCCGGGATGTGGAGACGTGGATCATACCGTCGTACCGTAGCGGCTCTTGTGGAGTGCGGAGTAGCGTTGTTTGTCAGAACTTTGGGAAGAAGTTTGAATTTTCGACGGGGTTATTAAAGGAGGGTGTCAATGAGCTTGTCTTGAGTTTACCGTTTAATGCGACGAATACGGAGACGGCTTTGTTGCCGGGGACGATATACTTGCAATATGACGCACTTAGATTCGAGTTGAGTTAGGCTAGTAGTCTTATATGAGCTTATTGTTCAATGGTATACTTGTGAGACATTTTAGTAAAAGATGTGATCATAAAGGGATTCGTTTAATTACCGTATTATTAATATATAGAAAGTCTAGTTCTTAACTCTAAGCACTTACTATAGTATCTTAGTTTAAGCTTGTGTAACTACTTAGGTTAATAATTAGTAGTAGAGTCTAAATATCTGAGTAACTCTAACTACACAGTAAAATTCTCCTAAAAAACAGCAAAATCATTTTTACGTAAGATACGCCACTACGAGCCACCACGCGCCACCACGTACGGCCATTTGAAAAGAATGGCCCGTTCACTTAACCCCATGTATATGTTCCACTTGCATTGTAACCATAAATATGCCTTAAGTTTACTTAAGGTTTTGTGTCAAGAGATTTTTAGTATGTTAGAGGTAAGTTTTGTTAGCCTTACATTTTAGCCTTGCGCTAATTATCTCAGTTTTACGCTAATAGGTTTTAAATTAATAAAATTAATTAAAATTATTATATTATTTTATTATTTAAAATTTTATTAATTTTATTTATTTTTTCTTCTTTTCTTTCCCTCATTCCCCCTGCTTCTCCACCCTCTCCCCTCTTCCTCCCCCCTCCCTCCCCTTCTCTCCCTCCTTCCTCCCTTTTCCTTTTCTCTTCTCCCCTTCCCCCCCTTCTCCCCCCCTCTCTTTCCCTCCTTTCCCTTTTTCCCTTTCTTTCCCCCCTTCCCCCTTTCTCTTCTCCCTTTCTTCCTCCCTCTCTTCTCCTTCTTTTTCCCTCTTTCCTCTCTTTCTTCCTTCTTCTTTTCTTTTTCTCCTTCTTTTCTCTCCTCTTTCTTCTTCTTCTTTTTCTTTCTTTTTTCCCCCCCTTTCTTCCTTCTCTCCCTTTTCTTCCTTCCTCCTTTTCTTCCTTTTCTTCCTTTTTCTTCCTTTTCTTCCTTTTCTTCCTTTTCTTCCTTTTCTTCCTTTTCTTCCTTTTCTTCCTTTTCTTCCTTTTCTTCCTTTTCTTCCTTTTCTTCCTTTTCTTCCTTTTCTTCCTTTTCTTCCTTTTCTTCCTTTTCTTCCTTTTCTTCCTTTTCTTCCTTTTTCCTTTTTTCCTTTTCTTCCTTTTCTTCCTTTTCTTTTCTTTTCTTCTCCTTCCTTTTCTTCCCTTTTGCTCTCCTTCTTTTTCTCCTGCTCTTTCTCTCTCCTCCCCCCCTCCCTTCCCCCTCCCTTCCCTTCCCTCCCCCCTCCCTCCTCCCTCCCTCCTCCCTCTCCTCCCTCTCCTCCCTCCTCCTTTCTCCTCCCCTTTCCCCCCCCTCTCTCTTTCCTTTCTTTTCTTTTCTTCCCTCCTCTCTCTTTCCTTTTTTTCCCCTCTTCTCCTCTCTTTCTTCCTCCCTTTCTCCTCCTCTCCTTTTTCCTTTTTTCCCTCCCTTTTCCCCCTTCCCTTCTTTCCCTCTCCCTTTTTTTCCCTTTTTTTTCTCCTTCTCTCCTCTCTCCTCCCTCCCCTTCCTCCCTTCTTTTCCTCCCTTCCCCTCCTCGCCTTTTTCCCCCTTTCTTCCTTTCTCTCTTTCTCCCTTCTTTCTCTCCTCTTTCTCCTCCCTCCTCTTCCCTTCCTCTTCTCCCCCGTTTTTTTCCCTCCTCCCCCTCCTTTCCCTTCCCTCCCTTCTCCCTTTCTCCCCCTTCTCTCCTTTTCTTCCTCTTTTTTTCTCTTTTCTCTTTCTTTTCTTTCCCTCTCTCTTCTCCTTTTTCTCCTCTTTTTCTTCCTCTTTTTCCTTTTCTTTTTCCCTTTCTCCTTTTCTTTTCTTTCTTTCCTTTCCTTTCCTTTCCTTCTCCTCTCCCCTTTCTCTCTTTTCTTCTCTTCTTTTTCTTTCCTTCTCTCCCTTCCTTCCCTCCCCCTTCTCTCCTTCTCTTTCCTTTCCGTCCTCTCCCCTCCTCTCTCTCTCCTTTCCTCCCTTTCTCTCCCCCTCCCTCTCCTCTTTCTCTCCCTTTTCCCTCCCTTTTCCTTCTTTTCCTCTCCTTGTTCTTTCCCTCCCCTCCTTTTTCTTCTCCTTTCCTCTTGTTTTTTTTTTCTCTTTTCTTTTCTCTTTCTCTTTTTTTCTTTTTTTCTCCTCCTTTTTTCCTTTCTTTCCTCTCCTCCCTTTTCTTTTCCCTCTCTTTTCTTTCCCTCCCTCCTCCCCCCTCCCTCCCCTCCCCCTCTCTCTCTTCCTCCCTTTTTTTCCTTTCCCTCCCGGTTTCCTCCCCTTCCTCCCTTCTTCCCCCGTTCCCCTCCTCTCCTCTCCTCCTCTCCTTTTTTCCTTTCTTCCCTCCCTCCTCCCTCTTTTTTTTTTCCCCCGCCCTTCCCCTCCTTCCCCCTCCCCCCTCCCTTCCTCCCTTGCCTTTTCCCCCCTCCCTTCTTCCCCTCCCCCTCCTCCCCCTCCTCCTTTTTCCTTTCTTCTTTCTCCTCCCTCTCTTCCCCCCCTCTTCTCCCCCCTTCCTCCCCTCCTTCCTCCCTCTCTCCCTCCCTCCCCTTCTCTTCTTCTCTTCTTTTCCTTTCTTTCCCTCCTTTCTTCCTTTTCCTTCCCCTTCTTTCCTCCCCTCTCCCCCCCTCTTCTTCCCCCCTTCCTCTTTTTCCTCCTCTCCCTCCTCCCCCCTCCTTCCCTCCTTTCCTCCTCCTCTCCCCTCCTCTTCCCCCTCCCTCCCTCCTCTCTTTCTCCCCTTTCCCCTTCCTTTTCCTCCTTTCCCCTTCTCCCCCCCCCCTTCCCTCCTCCTCTTCTCTCCCTCCTCTCTTTCCCTTTTTTTTCCCCTCTTTCCTTCCCTTTCGTTCTCTTCTTTCTCCCCTTTTTCTTTCCTCCCCCCTTCTTCCTCTTCTTTCCCTTTCTTTCCCCTTCCTTTCCCCTCGTCCCCTCTTTTCCCCTCTCTTCCTTTCTTTCCCCTCCCCTTTCTTCTTTCTCTTCCCTCCCTTTCCCCTCTCTTCTCCCCCCTTCCTCCCCTCCTTCCTTCCCCCCTCCCCCCTCCTTCCTCTCTCTCTCCCTTCCCCCTCTTTCTCTTCCTCTCTTCTCCCTTCCCTCTTCCCCGTCTCCCTTTTCCCCTCCCCCTCCTCTTCCCCTTCTCTCTTCCCTCTTTCTCTTCCTGTGTTCCCCTCATTCGAAAAGCGGGCTTCGTTTTCCGCCTTTTTTTTATTAACGCCACAGGCGCTATAAAACCCTTAATCCATATATTTATATTTATGGGTTGTAAAAAAAGCGTTCCTTAAATTCTAATCTTAGCCGCTATTTAACATTTTAGCCATACCTAATACACATTTTAAAATTTTAATTAAACTTTTAATAAAACTATATCGATAATAATACGATATATAATAATAACGTTTAAAATACCTTCTATTTTAATAACTCAAGGCTAATTTTTTACTTTCGCTACTTTTTTATCTTTTTTACATACTTATACGGCATTGTGTTATAATATTATAAACCTTAACGTTTAAATAGTTTTAATACGCTATACCCACACGCTTACACCCACACACTACTATACAACCACTTATAACCATGTTTAAAATATTTTCTATTTTAATTATTTAAAACTAATCCTTTACTTTTGTTACTTTCTTATCTTTTTTACATATTTATACGACATTACGTTATAATATCGTAAACCTTAACGTTTAAAAATACGTAATAACTTTAAAACGATATACCCACACATTTACACCTATACATTTATACTTACACAACCACGTTTAAAATACCTTTTATTTTTTCGAAACTATTTATTTAATTACTCGTATTTTTTAACCCTTTTTTTATGTTTATATAATATTGTGTTATAATATTATAAGCTTTAACGTTTATTACGGCTATTTATATAACTAACGTTATAACCGATATTATAATTAATTTCGACCTAAAACGCGTACGTTTTATATATAATAACCTATTTAAATAATAAAATTAATACCTATTTTTTATATAAAGATTTTATTTATTATAAACACATTAAAATAAATATTTTTAATTAATTTTTTTAATTAATTTAATTATTACTATACCAAATAAAAAAAAAATATTTAAATTTACCTTAAATTAGAAATTAAAAAATAGTTTAAAAAAGTATACCAAGGTATAATTAGTTAGGAAAAAATATGGTTAAAAAGGTACTTCCCCTCAAACCATTTCCAATTTTTAATCTAAGTTCGTTAAAATAAATTAAATATATAATTTTTTTAAAATATTTTTTTTAAAATTTTAAAAATATATATTAATATTTTAATATTAATATAATTATAATTTAATATTTTAAATAAATTATTATAATTAATTTAAATTATATTAACATTTATTTATTTATATTTTTTATTATATCTTAATATTATTATTTTAAAATTAACCTTTTTTCTTTTATTTTTTACTTTTTCTTTCTTAATTTATTTCTATCACCCTTTTCTTTTTTTCTCCTTTCCCCTCCTTCCTCTCTGTCTTTCTTTCTCTCCCCTCCCTTCCCCTTTTTCCCCTTTTTTTCTCTTCTCCCTCTTCCCCCCTCCCTCTTCCCCCCTCCTCCTCTTCCTTCTCTTCTCCCTCCTTTTTTTCCCCTCTTTTCTCTCCCCTTTTCCCTTCCTCCCTTCCCCCCCCCCTTTTTCTTTTCCCTTCTTTTTTTCCCTCCCCTTTCTTTCCCTTTCCCCTCTCTCTTTTTCTCTTTTCTTTTCCCCTCCTCCTCCCTCTCTCTCTTCCTCCCTTTCCCCCTTTTTCCCTCCTTTTCTCTTTTTCTTCCCTCCCTTCCTCCTCCCCTCCCCTTCTCCCCTCTCTTTTTCCCTTCTCTTTCTCCCCTTCTTTCTCTTTTTTCCTCTTCCCCTCTCCCCCCCTCCTCCTTCTTCCCCCTTCCCCCTTCCCCCTTCCCCTTTTCCTTCTCTTCCCTTCTCTTCCTTTCCCTCCCCTTTCTTCTCTCTTTCTCTTCCCCTCCTTTCTCTCCCCTTCTCCCTCTCCCTTTCTTTCCTCTTCCTCCCCCTCCCCCCCTCTCTTTTCTTTTTCCTCCTCTTTTTCCTTCCTCTTTTCCTTCCTTTTCTTTTTCCCTCTTCTTTCCCCCCTTTCTTTTTCCTTTCTTCTCTTTCCCTCCCTCTCTCTCCTTCCACCCCCCTCTTCCCCCCCCTCTTCTTCCCCTCCCCCTCCCCCTCTTCTTCCCTCCCTCCTCTCCCTCTCTCCTCCTTTTTTTTTCCCTCTCTCCTCCTCTCTTTCTCCCCCCCTTCCCCTCCTCCTCCTCCTCCCTCTTCTCTCCCCCCCCTTTTCCCTCTTCCCTTTTCCCTTCTTTTCCTTTTCTTTCTTCTTCTCTCCCCTCTTTTCTCCTTTCCCCTTCCTCTTTCTCCCTTTCTTCCTGTTCTCCCCCCTCTCTCCTTCCCTCTCCTCCCTCCCCCCTCTTCCTTTCTTCCTTTCTCCTTTTCTTCTTTCTTTCCTTTCTTTTTTCCCCTCTTTTTTTTCCTTTTTCTCCTCTTCCCCCCCCTTTCTTCCTTTGTCCCTTCCGGCTTGTGTCGCCCCTTGGGGTGGCCTCCCGTTTTCCCCCCCCCTCCTTTTTCCTCTCTTTTTTTCCCCTTTCCTCTCCCTGCCCCTCCCCTGTCTCCCCTTCCTCCCCCCCTTCCCGTCTTTCCTCCCCTCCTTCTTTTTCTTTCTTTTTTTTCCTTTTTTTCTCCTTCTTCCTCTTTTTTCCCCCCTCCCTCCCCCTCCCTCCCCTCCCTCCCTCCCTCCCCTCCCTCCCCTCCCTCCCTCCCTCCCCTCCCCCCTCCCTCCCCCCTCCCCTCCCTCCCCTCCCTCCCCTCCCTCCCCCCCTCCCCTCCCTCCCCTCCTCCCCTCCCTCCCCTCCCTCCCCTCCTCCTCCCTCCCTCCCTCCCCTCCCTCCCCTCCCTCCCTCCCTCCCCTCCCTCCCCTCCCTCCCCTCCCTCCCCTCCCTCCCCTCCTCCCTCCCTCCCCTCCCTCCCCTCCTCCCCTCCCTCCCCTCCCTCCCCTCCCTCCCCTCCCTCCCCTCCCTCCCCTCCCTCCCCTCCCTCCCCTCCCTCCCCTCCCCCCCTCCCTCCCCTCCTCCCTCCCTCCCTCCCTCCCTCCCCTCTTCCGTCCTCTCCTTCCTCCCTTTTCTTTTTCTTTCTTTTTCTTTCTTTTCTTTCTTTTTCTTTCTTTTTCTTTCTTTTTCTTTCTTTTTCTTTTTTTCTTTCTTTTTCTTCTCTCCTCTCCTCTCCCTCTCCCTCTCTTCCCTTTCTCTCCTCTTTTCCCCCTTTCTCTCTTTTCTGTCTTCTTTTTTCTTCTTTTTTCTTTTTATATTTTATTNTTCAATCTCTACCTAGTTTATAGCTTCAGCATTTTTCATAACTACACGCCGCAGTACCAAACAGAGCAAGCAAAATAATAAACACCCGATGCACGAGCCTTATAAGGTTAGGTACCTAGGTACGCAGCGCAGCATACATGTAAATTCCAACGAGCAAGTAAACCTCATATACCGTAGCAACAAAAGCACTGTTAATCTATTCCGCCATCTACTACAATTTAGCTCAACTGATCATCTCTCAAATTTACCATCTACCATCTATTTATTGGATATACTTCACCATATATATACATTCGCATCTATCTCGGGATAATGTTTGAGCTATTTAGCAACTTCGCAACTACTATATGACTGACCATTTTGTCATTTTGACCAACTTTTCTTTTTCTTTTTTTCGTCTTTATCTCAAGCCTATTTTTCTTTTTCGACTTTATCTATCTATAAATAGTTCGCCATTCTACTTCTTGGCTCAACTACTACCTAACTACCACTTATAGTTATGTATAAAAATGCTTACCTAACTTTGAGCCTCATTGCTGGGCATAAGCACCCATTTTTACTTCAACCTCGTCACAGATGCCGCGATACCCGGTACCGCCGTCCACTCCATTTAACTACCTCCTAATGCCCCTACTGGTAGCAAACATACCTAAATCATAAAATAAATAAATAAATGCAAAGCAACATGACCTATCATTTAAATACTTACTTACCTAACCTACCTACCTACCTATAAATCACCCCAACCTCGGACCCCCATCCGGCACCTCAACCCATCCTGTGCGACGAACCCCACCCCCCCGGAGCCGCATCAAGGGCCTATTTGCTGTAAGAGAACACAACAAACGCTCTTATCTACCTACAGCGATAGGCGTCTCGACTTGCTTTATCCTTGCATATGTTCGCCGGGTCCTTACATGACGAATTTTCCATCTATCATGTCTCTCAACCTATGGACCTAACTTATATAAACCCGGACGCGGCGCCGGGAATTATTACTCAAGACCTTCCTATTCGTAATCCATAACCTATAAATTCTCCTCGCTTAGACCTCCCCTTTCTTAAACCTCCAATCATGCCACCGACGCCCCCTACATAAATCCACCCCTGCGAGCGAACGCAACAAGGTTTAGGAATGGGGTCCGACAGCTCGGGACGCGCGTACCACCAACATTTAAATACTTTATATACTCTTCTTTTCACCGAGCGGGATTTTTAAAAAAAGGGCTACTGAAAAACACACATTTCTTACAATGTTATTTTACTTATTTAATCCGCGGCGTGACCAAGATGACCTAACCTATCTCCTAGGTAGGTAGTCAGTCATCTATATACAAGAGGAACGCATGCATGCGAAGATTTCACGATATTTCTACGCCTTCCCGTCCTCTCATGAGACCTCCCGTATGTATAAAACTCCCAAATGCAGCGCATCATCAATTCAATTCCCATTTACGACGACCAGCTCCCCTTAAAACGTCTCATAGTACAGTATGGAACAGGCCGGTCTCGTTTCGTATGCAAGAACCCAGGAACGCCACGCAAAATGTCATGGAACATCAGGTGAGGAAATATTACCACCGCTAGATTTGACCTTTTTTCGATTCCTCGTTGAAACTTCTACTACCGTCCCATACCACCCTCGGCTTTGAAGTCCGGACACATCAGATCCCACGGCTTCTTCTGGTTTTTTGCGGTGCAGACCGCTTCGTTCGCGAATGCTCGCCATCGATCTAGAAGATCGCTCTTATTGATACCATCCTTCTGGGTAAAGAAGCTAAAATGGCCTACTACGGAGCGGGTGTCGATTACGAATGGCCGTCCAATGCGTCTAGGAATATCCGCAGTGATATCTTGCTCGTCATCGTCGGCAATGGGTAGTTGATCCCTGATATCGGAACCCCATACGGCGCAGAAGTTCAAGTTGTATCGGTTGTACCCGGTATCATATGTCTGCTCACCACCGGGGCCGTCCCCGTTAGGGAAGACTACTGCGGAAGCATTGGGTCCCAAAGCGCTTTCCGGGTATCGGATATTTCGGCCGAAGAAATAGCGTTGCATCTTATTCTGCTCAAGATTGTACAAGAGAGAATATTGTTGCTGCGCGCCGATAGCCCACGACTTCCACGCCAAACCGAATGCAATTGGGTCGGAACCACGGTTCTGGTCGTATTTTCCCATGGGTGTTTTCAGTAGGTCATAGTGGTCGTCAGATATAAGGAGCCAAGGGTGGCCGCGGTACGACGGTTCCATGTCCATGATCTTATATTCGTCCACCAGTTGGTCTTTAGGATATTTCTTCTTTTCGGAAGCGCGCCACGTCTCCGCAGCATGAAACGAAGGCTTGCTGCTCGGGTCCGGGAGAAAGGGGTGGATCGCACCGTAGTGATATTGCTCCATTCCCGTGACGGGACTGTTAACTAGGTTTGACGAGATGGCATACGGATGAGGTAGGGCAATGCGAGTATGGACAAGTTGAGGGATGGCGTCGGGGTGGATATAAACCTGCATAATTAGGTCAGTCAACAAACTCGTCTCAGTCTCCTGATACCATCCAGCTGGATGGAAGGGTTTACTCACAATATCGTCATCTATTTTGACATAGATAGTTTTGTCCTCGACGGCGTAAGTCCACATGCACTTATATTTTTCGCCTTCACATTTTCCCTTGCCGACAATCTTATAACCGGGAGTCTTTTGGACAAGATCTTCTATCCAGCTAACATCGTCTTTTTCCTTGGTGTGGGCCATAAACCACACCTCGTCAAAGTAGCCGCCATTCGATGCCAGATTCTGCTGGAGGTAACAATCCAAGAGGTCCACATATCTCTTACGGCCATAAAAGACCATACCGATGACTTTGATACCCGCTGGTTTTTTCCATCCACCTTTAGGAGCAATGCTATCTATCTTGATCTTGTTGGCTCGGCTAGCTCCCTTGGGTTCGTATCGGCCATCTTCGCCCACGGGCCATGTGGTGCAATATTTGTCGTTGGCCTCGAGTTTTGGTGGTTTGTATGCAGGTGTTGAACTCTCGGTGGGCTTTGCGGCTTTTGTAGAGGATGCGATAGTACTTGTTGGGGTTCCGGGAGACACGTCGACGTCTGTCTGATGCTGGGTAGGTATTGTCGGGGAATAGGGGTTAAAGATGAACAGCGTGATGAGTAAGGATACGACAATGGCGAAGACGTAGTATTTAGGGCTGAATTTGCGACAAGGCGCCCAGATAGGTAACGTGAACGACTGGATACGGCGCCATAAAGGATTCTGTTCTATCCGACGTCTACGGCGTGATGACTGATTTTGGTGACTGTTTTCGGGTTCGTCGTAGTCAAATTCTTCGCTCGATGGTGACTGACTCTCCTTAGAAAGTAGCTGAGCTTGGGACTCGACATCCTCTTCTCGTTGCTTCATTTTGATCTTGCGACTCGTGCAAAACGCGCTCAAGAATATCGAGATATTCGTATTGCCAAGATAAAATGTTGATAGGATTATGCACCTCGATCCTATAAGTCTACAGGTTTATGTAGATGTGATAGGATACTTAACGCCGATACATATAGGCGCTTCTATCAAAGTCAAGTCCACAACGACGACTGCGGCGACAATGATGTTGACGAAGGGGTCATATTATGGAAAAGGAAATTAAAAAAACGATAGACTAGGGTATGAAGGAAAGGGGAGGGGAGAGAGAAAAGAAAAGATGGCGACAATTCAGGCAGTTAATAATTATTTTCCGTTATTAGAATGCGTAGGACTTCGTTGGCGCAATCTACACGGTACCTAAGCTGCTATGGTAAAATATTCCTTCGTATGCATGGGCTGGTTATGGACTTTGCATGGGCAAAATACAAAATGGGCGAAAGGTTGAGGTGGCTTAGGCAGTTTACGGGATACTACTTTACGAAGTGTTGCTAAGTGTTGCTTAGCTGCTTCTAAAGTAAATTTATTTAAGTTAGGGGATCCTTAAGCAGCTCACAGTTCTTTCCTTTCCCACGAGTAACTCTAACCACACAGTAAAATTCTCCTAAAAAAACAGCAAAATCATTTTCACGTGAGATACGCCACTACGAGCCACCACACGCCACCACGCACGGCCATTTGAAAAGAATGGCCCGTTTACCTAACCCCATGTATATATTCCACTTGCATTGTAACCATAATATTTTAAACATAAATTTTTTTATATTTTATTTAAAGTTTCATATAATAAAATCCCCTCTATCTTCTTTTTTCCCCTCCCCTTCCCCTCTTTCCCCCTTGTTTTTCTTTTTCTTTCTTTTTCTTTCTTTTTTTTTCCATTTTTTTTATCTTTCTTCCCTTTTTCCCCCCTCCCTCCTACTCCCTCCCCTCCCTCCCTCCCCTCCCTCCCCTCACCTCCCTCTTCTCTCCTCTCCTTCCTCTTTTCTTTTTCTTCTTTTTCTTTCTTTTTCTTTCTTTTTCTTTCTTTTTCTTTCTTTTTTCTTTCTTTTTCTTTCTTTTTCTTTCTTTTTCTTTCTTTTTCTTTCTTTTTCTTTCTTTTCTTTTTTTTCTTTCTTTTTTTCTTTTTTTCTTCTCTCCTCTCCTCTCCCTCTCCCTCTCTTCCCTTTCTTTCCCCTTTTTCCCTTTTCTCTCTTTTCTGTCTTCTTTTTTCTTCTTTTCTTTCTGTTTTCTTTTCTTTTTCTTTCTCTTTTTTTTCCCTTTTCCCCCCCTTCCCCTTCTGCCCCTCTCTTTGGTTACAATGCAAGTGGAGCATAAGCATGGGGTTAAGTAAACCAGCCATTTTTTAAATGGCCGTGCATGGTGGTTTGTGGTGGCTTGTGGTGGCTTATAGTGGCTTTTCTCACGTGATTGATTTTGCTGTTTTTTTAGGAGAATTTTACTGTGTGGTTAGAGTTACTCCTTTCCCACATCATTAGTGTAAAGTACCCACCTCATCATTATTACATGGATACCATACCAGGTTTTGGTGGATCGAATAAACAGTTCAATAACCGTTTACTTTTTTGACCCATATTTATACTGTTTATTTCATTTCAATATTTAAGATCAAAAATGTTAGCCATTCTTAGCGTTTACCACTATTTTAATATCAAATAATATCTAAACGTTTAAATTTTTTTCAACGTTTGACTTTTTAAATATTTAGCCTTTCAAATATTCAATATGCCTTCAAATATTTAAGCATTTATACCTACTCCCGTCGTTCCCGTCGTTCCCGTCGGTCTAAAGGCCTTTATCAAGGCCATACAAAACAAGGTCTAATTTAAATCAAGGTTGTACAGACAAGTCTGAGGCAATATACAGGTATACAGGTCTATATAAAGGGCCCTCCCTCCCTTCCCATTCATCTTTTTTCTTTTAAGTCTTCAACTTCTTGACCAACCAACTAGCTAGTCAACCAGTCAGTCAGTCAGTCAGTCAGTCAGTCAGTCCCCTGACCTTCTAATACCTTAGCTAATTAGATATATAACCAGTCTCCTAGCCAGTCTCCTAGCCAGTCTCCTAGCCAATCTCTTATATAGTCCTTTAGATAGATAGTCCCTTAAATAGTCTTATATAATCAATCTTTCAACTGATAATTGTATTCGTAATCTATTGACTGACTGACTGACTGACTGCCTGCCTGCTCCCGTATCTATATGATATACGTACCTACCTAATTTATACCTTCCCGTCGCTCCCGTCGCTCCCGTGGCCTTCCCGTGGCCTTCCCGTGGATTTTGTAGCTCTTTCTATAAACGCTATAACGTTTGAAAGTAAGTGAAACGTTTGGGAATATAAATAGCTATATACATAAATATTCCAATCACTTTCAAACGTTGAAAATAACTTCAATAGATATAAAATCTTATTCGTCGTTCACTTAAGTCTCGATTTTCAAACGTTTAAATATGCAAATGGTGAAATAACGGTAAAATAACGGTTTATTCGATCCACCAAAACCTGGTATGGTACTATTACATGGACCCTGTTATATACATGGGTACAGGGTTATTGCTGCTACGTTGTAAATGTATATCTTTATTATCTTAACGTTATGTAATCTGAAAATCCCATTCTATTTCTCCATCTAACTTATGCCGATCTCTGCGTGGACACACGGCACATATAATTCCACTGATACCAGATCTACGGGCGTTACTACGATTTCGTATACAGTCATACAATTATTCAGCATCCTCATCCTCATTCTCATTCTCATATTTGTCTTCATGAATACTACCATTTATCATCCCAGTCTAGACCACCACGTCCAGACCACATCCTAAAGAATCACCGGCTTGAGAATAGTTCGATTTATTTCAGCAGTTCGTATAGCTATAGCCTATCATCTGTCTTCAAACCCCCCCAATTGACCATTAATAAATCACATTGAACAAGGCGAACACGATTCTGACTGCATAGCACCTCGACACACGCATATCTACTAGGGTGAGTTACACTAGGGTCTGACGACCATCCGCATTTGTCGATTCAGCTGCACGACGCTTGGTACAATTTAGAGCAAATATCCGGGTTTGCTCGGATACCACATATCAGGAACGACCCCAATATGCGAGCTACGATGTAACTAATTTATTCTAACTTCAAGCTAGACTTACTAGAATAACTAATTCATCCTCTAAGAAAATCACTATTAATATACTAGTTTTTTTTTTTAATTTGAGTTTCTAGACCGCGCTGTTTAAATCTTTACATCCTGCCACTGTGATCGGCTCTGATCAGCAATTAAAAGGAGCAAGCGGTGTTGATCGCGGATTAAAGCCTCTTCCAACAATGTCGATGCCTAAAGCGCGATGGGGGGCTATGTTAGCTTCGACCGCATCGACGGACACTTTGACCGCAATCCCGCAAGCATTGACACGTGCGGCCGCATAATTTATCTCGTCAGCTTTTGTGCATGGGGGAGTAGGAAAGCGAAAAATACGATTCGGCCACCTCACTCGTGTTGAAGTAGAAGCTTCTGTGCCGCACATGGACAGTCCTGCCGAAATGGACTCATAAGCATCTGACGCCAGATCAGATGCCGGTCTAGAACATCAAATTAAGGATTACATGTGCCAAGCCTACTGAAGAACGCCGAGAAAAAAAAAAGATAATCAATCTTTAGACCAACCTTGCTAAAGGTACGGTAGCTCCCGATAAGCTGGTCGTGTCTTAGAAAGGCCAGCCTTATGCTTATTACCGTATTCGACGGAATTACTCAATTAAATGCGAGGCATCTGTCGGAGCCAAGACAGTTTGAACTTTACAAGTCGGCTTTTGAAAAAATAGGGGTTCTAAAGCCGACGTGCGCTGTCCAATTGACAAACAGACCCTATCTACATAACACAAACCGCCATGCAATCCTTAGGAATACCTGCGACCCGCCTAATTTTCTAATATTGGTTCAGACTTGCGAGGGTTTTATAGCCTATGCAAATGTTGTCAGATTGCTTTTACTATGTATAACTTAGATTATACAGGTCTATAACCAACACCCCAACAATCGGCGATATACCTAGACAATGTAATGTTAAGGCCATGTTCTTTATAATTATCCTGGGAAAGTCGTCCTGGTTTAGGCCTATAGGATCCTAAACGGTAGACGTTATACTAGATCAATAGGCTATCTAGCTATCTTGTCAGTCCTCCTGTAATAAGGCTAGCAGTCCGCCAAGTTTTGCCCTAACGTACCTAGAGGGAGAATATGTATCGCCTTATGCACAGACCATAATAATCCATATGCGTTCTCGCTATAGCAATACAAGGCTCGTTCCACAGCTCATCCCGGCTTACCATGATGCTAAGACCACTATCCTAGCACGACACCAGGGACAGGGACACCTACGTTGGGGGCCGATCTCGACTCGACTCGCACGTACATATGAGATTTCCACTTTTCCGGCTTTGCACTTGCAGAAAGGAATGGCAACGTGACTTGGCAAATCCCAAATTCCATCCCGCATCCTCAGATTGTTCCACGACGTCATGGCGATTTCATGAGAGCGCCGACGATCTCGACTGATTCCATCATAGGAAGATTTAGGGTGATTACTGATGACGATATACGATTTAGTCGGATTTCTTCGAGTTGACAACCTGACAGCTAACATCATCTGAAGTCAAACAGCTCTTGTGATACTAAGTATAGCCGGTTTTTACTAGCTACCTCTTGATATAGGTATTGCCAGTTGCTCATTCAAAGTCAGAGTCAGTTAACTAATGTCACCAGCAAAAGCTTACGGGTAAGAACATAGATCGTGGTTACAATGGCTTTTGCGTCTTGTTTTGTTTGACACAATGCTGAGCTATGATTATTACAGGATGACAAATCTACTTGTCCTTTGATATAACCCTAGGCTGTGGTGTCAATGGCCTTCTAGTTGGTCAAATCCCGAAGTAACACAGCAATGGACCAGTCAGGAGACTGTTAGCAATGGCTCGCATCGAGGGTCTATCTCGTGGGTCACAAATACCCCGTGAAGGAACCGGTTAGTTTCAAGATTTTATAATTTAAAGACATCTCTGTGTTTCTGTGCATCTAAAAGTTGTTAGTTGAGTAACACAACTTGAGTTACGCCGGATAAGGCCTCCGGGTTGCTTCTGCAAGATTGGGTTAGACATAATTATTCGTCAAAAAGCTTGATAATACGGTCCGATGAGGAAGCACAACAAATCTTTTGACATAGCCCCCGTAGATAACAAACCAGAACGATAATCAGCTCAGTACTAAAATCGGGCGTGTTATTCTTGAAGGGATTCCCCTCGTTGCTGTAGGACAAGGACAGGTTTAGCAGGTTTGAGTAGTTTTCACCCGCTCCTATTGGCTTGATATTGGAAACAAGCCGTTTCGAGCAAAATTAGAGGAGGACGGGTGTTTGACAAGCAATCTAGTCTAGACCGTCTGTCTGTGTGAGTCTGCAAATGTACGAATTACATTATCTGTGATGGTGTAAGTAAAATGTACTACATACCAAATTGAACCAAATTGAAGCTCAGCTAAAAGGGTGGGTGCTACCTAATTACCTAATCCAGGTAACAATTCTTATCAGCCACTATCGATAACACCTTTATCCATCCGGGCACGTTTTTCCGCCCGAGAAAAAAAAGTGCAGGTAGGAACTTTAGCTCCAGCAAAATTATTATTCGAGGTTTTGAAGCTTCAATCAAAAAAACCTTGAACTTTTCGACAAATTTGCCAATTCGCGAAAACGCGATCGTCAATCAACCCCGAAAAAAAAGCTACATAGCCCGCAGAGGCCAATTGACCTCGTAGCCACACGTCACTATGTCGAGAGGAGCGCCGCGCGGACGGGGCGGCTTCGGAGGTGGTTTCGGTGGAGGTCGCGGAGGAGGTGGTCGAGGCGGTACGTGTTACTCTTCATTCTTATCTTCACTCGTATAGCTTCAATTATAAGCTAACGAATTCCCCTTTTTGAAATAAATAGGCCGCGGCGGCTTCGGACAGCGAGACTTCGGCCCGCCGGACCAGATCCTAGAGATGGGCAGCTTCCTGCACGCGTGCGAGGGGGAAATGGTATGCGAGAGCATCAACCCCAAGGTGCCGCACTTCAACGCGCAGATCTTCCTCGAGAACAAGACCGCCGTCGGCAAGGTCGACGAGGTCCTCGGCCCCATCAACCAGGTCTACTTCACCATCAAGCCCACCGAGGGCATCCAGGCTACCTCCTTCAAGCCCGGCGACAAGTTCTTCATCGGCTCCGAGAAGCTCCTCCCCCTGGAGAAGTTCCTCCCTAGGCCTAAGCCCCCGCCTGGCGCGCCCAAGGTCAAGAAGCCTAGCCGCGGAGGCGGTCGTGGCGGGTTCGGTGGCGGACGTGGTGGCCCGATAAGAGGCGGTGGACGGGGTGGATTTGGTGGCGGAAGAGGGGGCCCGTCGAGAGGTGGTCGTGGTGGCTTTGGAGGCGGTGGCTTCGGCGGCGGCCGGGGAGGCGGTGGTGGTCGTGGAGGTAGCGGTGGATTCAGCCGAGGCGGCAGTGGTGGTGGTGGCTTTGGCGGCAATGGCGGTGGTAGGGGACGGGGCGGTTTCAGCCGAGGAGGAGGAGGAGGAGGAAGTCGATACTAAAAGCTGGGAGCGAGATAGATATACCCACCCCCTTTCTTCGATTTTCTTCTCCTGGCGGACCCGTGGTGGTAGTAGTAGTGGTGGGCCCGCTCTCATTCAAATGTTCTCACGCGGTACGGGAATGGCGTTACGAGGAAAGTTCTGATTAATTTTAAAAAATGTCCTGTCCTTTTTTTTTTTTACTTTTTCCCGCACTTGCTTGCATATGGGTGGGAGGTATATACCTAGGTATCCTAAGGTAAATAAACAAATGAACGAACGAACAAATGAAAGAATGAATGAAAAGTTCTACTGGTCTAGCTGGGATATCTAACGGTTGGCTGTAAACATACAGGTGTTTACCTAGGTAGGTATATGTATTACGTGAACGAGGTTGGATTTCTATTACTGTGTATTATTCTATTAGTTGGTATTATTGATTGGTTGCTCGAACGAATAAATTGTAAAGTGTTAAACTATGAAAGCTCTAACCTACTTCATAATCTCAAGATAACTATCAGCTAGGTTAGTTACTTGGGCATATACATCGAATTCGAACTATTTCAAGTGCCTAACCTTAGGTACTAAGTAAGGAGTAGGTGGTTCTCTATTCGAACAACGACGAGTTTGATGGGAGTGAGGGGAGGGAGGAAAGGGGGCTTAAAGACATGAGTAGGTACCTAATACGAAGACATAGACGTAGATAGATATATGTTGTAGTTCTAGGGGAGATTAAGCATATATGGCTAGGATAGATCATGATAGCTTCAATTTACCAGTTTGGAACTATAATATTTTAGTACAAGTCTATAGATGGCGAGTGACCATATCGGTTTTTATGTCAAACGCAAGAGCTGGCCTGGCCTTGAGGCTGGCCGTGGTAGCATTGGCTTTTTATATCGGATAGAAGGTTCGTCGTGATATATTTTCGATCCAATATTCTCCCAGGCCTGACTTAGATACGCAGGCCATGAGACGTATCCCGTAACTTAACATATCTCTCTTAGAAGCTTCTCAAATTTGCCATCACAACAACTACCAAGCCACTAGTCACACAAACACTCAAACAATATAATACCACACTCGGTCTAAATCATCCGGGAAAAAAAAGCATGTTTCTTATTGCGTATACCCATACCCATACCCCTACTCGTAACCACCCCTATCCATACCCATACTTATATCAATATTCAATATTCATATCCAACCTAACCCAACCTACCCGCACATCACAGCTTCAAGTCCCATTGCATCCCGCAACTCGTACGAGCAGGGTATCTATCTACCCCCCTGCCCAAAGTATCCCATCGTAAGGAAAAAAAAAATAAGCTAAAACATGGATTCAACCGGCCGCCGCCCCGCCCCCTTTTTGTAACCTCGGCTAGCTCTGGTATACAAAAAAATGAGAGAAACCAACGCCGCGCGGAAAAGAAAAGGAAAAGGAAAAGGTATACCCCCAGCATCCATCGCTTATAAAGACAGTTCGATCGTCTTCTTTCTATCAAGCATAAGCAAAAAGTAGCACCCTCTCGCCCTGTCCAAAAGATCCAGGAAGGAACCTGAAGTCATATAGCGCGGAACCTCCAATTCACTACCGCAACATGATATTCGCTCTGCCCAAGCCGCTAATCAAATCCTTCCGAGTATTTAATACGCACCCGGTGTACTCGCCGGCGTACCCCGTGGGTACTCGCCAGGGACATGAGGGTTACTACTCGTCCTACCATTGTACGGCCTCGGCTGTCCATCCTGCCCTGAAAACGGCATACCTGTAGCCGGATTTGGCAATGGCTTCGCGAACCCGTTCCCCGCGCCGACCATTTGCGGCTGCTCTTTGCTTGGTATACTATATGCCGCCCCTGCACCCGGCATATATTTCTGCTGCACGTCGGTAGCCATCTCGTATGCGCCGGGGTTGCCCGAATCTTGGCTGGTAGTAGTTTCTAGTGTCTGCGTCGTGCTATTAGACGCTGGGCCGGGGACAATGACAGGCCGGCCAGGCAGTCCCATCTGCTGCTGCTGGTGCTGGATAGGTTCTCCGTTATAAGGATTTACGCCATCTGCTCGCGCCTCATGGTCAATAATTACTGCTTGGCTGTGCGCTTGATCCAATCTCACGCTTGGAGTGTTCCCGTAGGACTGTCCAACTATCTGCGATGCTCGGTTTGTAGGATAAGACTCGCCCATGCCGCTGCCGGGTAATGCGCCCGCGGCTGCGATTACGTCTCGATCTTGGTTGATGCCCCCGTTGGCACCGCTAAGTGCGTATTCGTTCCCTACAAGCCCTGAACCGACGCTGCTAGGAGAGCGCGGTACTTGTAAGCCCCTCTGTGCGTTGACTTGTATGTCGGATGGGAACCGACCTCCTGGCTCAGGCCTATTTTGCATAGAGTCCTGTCGAGAACTTGGGCTCGCGACAGCGGGGTCGACTGAAAACGGCTCGTCGTCCTCATCGTCCACCATACCATCCGAACTCGTAGTACGCTGCGAAGTCCGCGAATACGCGCGAGAGTGACCTCGGACAAAGTTGCTAAGCTCCTCGGGAGACTTCTCCGTAAGAGCTTTAATATCCTCATACCAAGCCATCATAGTATCGTGGCTTTCGGCACGGAAGACCCAAGTATGACCGCGGTGCATAGCCCCAGTCTGTCGCCCCTTGAGGATGAACTTGTTGGAAGAACCACCTTCTGTGGAGTGAGAACCCAGCTTCTGCTCGGGAAGATACAGAGACATGACAGGCGCTTGAGTCTTGTCTGCAGATTTGAATTCATGCAGATGAGTTGGAGATAATACGTACCTACCCCTTTATGTTAGCTTACTCGCAGTTTATGATTTCAAAAAAGGAACATCTCACCATCCAGCCGTATAACTCTTCAAGTATTTGCTCTTCCGCTCAAGTAGACCTGCACGGATCTCTTGACAAGCAAAATGATCTCGGCCTGGGTAATGGATATGCTCAGCCGATCTTAGGGGCACGTCGGGATCGACGAACTGCGAGTCTCTCTGAATGAAAGTGATCCACTCGTGGTCCTTAGGCATCGTAATGGGGCCGGCGCGGAGCTCGTCGATGGCGTTGTACGCAGCGTCCGCTTCCCGCTTGATAATACCTACATACGCGTTGTACGATTTCTGGATCTCGCCAACGACAATCGATTCAAGCTCTCTACCTGACGACTCGAGGTTCAAGTATGCCTGTACTTCTGTGAGACTTTGATTTTACCTAGTTATGTGTATTGGGAATTATTTTACCTTGTGCAAATAGTTCTCTTCGTCGAGTTGCCTTTCGAGCTGGCGATCTACCGCAAGTCGCAAGAGATATGGATCTTGCTTCCCCGTAGTCGCAGAGGAATCTAACTCGCTCTGTCCTAGGACTTCTTGCAACGCGTTGACAGCCCTTCTGGTACTGTCCATTTCCTTCTCGACCGAATTCTTAAAGTCGCTCGAAAGGCCCCTTATCTCCTTTATCTTCTGATTAAGATCGCTTCTAAGACCGGTCAGCGCTAGAATGACATCTTGTTCAATCTCCTTGGCTTTGCTAGCCTCTGTAATCATGTTTTTGTGATGGTCCCTCAAGATTTGGAGCGCATCATCCAGGCCACCAGACGAAAGGAAGCCGGGCGGCGTTGCCGTATTGTTAAGTACATTAGCAAGCTTAAGAAGCGACTTGGATCGGTGCTCGTAGTGCGATTGTATTTCCCTAAAGTATGCGATGAGATCCTTGAGAATCTTCCTCCAAGCTACACATTAACGTCAGCGGCAACGAAACACATACGAGACGGACGAGTCACGGAAGACGTCTCAACCTACACTGAAATCTCTCGGCCAGTATTTCCGTCGGGCTACCCGAAGTCGGTACAGGGCAATAGAATGCACTGTGGACCTCGTCTGAATCGTGAGAACTTTGTAAAGCGAGGCTCCTCACGCTGCCGGCATTCATGCTCCTGCGACTGCTGCTGCGCTTGAGACTACCACTCCTACGAAGAGAACTCTTCTTTTTTAGGGTATTTCCTCTCGATAGGGATATGGCGTGAGTGCTTGCGCCATCGCCGGTATTCAGGATTTCGGGTCGTGAGGATATCGAGTTCGAGCGTTGCATGTTGGAATGCTGGTAATTGCTCTGCTGGGATGTTGGACCGTCGACGACTGAGTCACCTCTCACACTCGCATCCCACTCTTCGGTAAACTTGGTCTGACGATTCGCAGTTTGGTAATTCTCGTTCTGGGGTGGTGTAATATGAGAATTGGCTAGCGTGTTGGACAGAGTTTCGTTATCTACTGGTCTTTGTGGCTGGTGATACGGAAAGTAGCCACCGGAATTGGGCCTCGAGTAGCCACCTGCGTTACCGTTTGTAGGGAATGCTACGGGATCTAGAGTGGTGGTGGTGGCCTGGTTCATCATATTGGAGTCGATGGTGGGCGGAGCGAGAGGTAGTAAAGGCTTGGCGGACATGAAAGCGTTGACGTAACTCTAGATATAATTGCCGGTTAGAGGATACAACCGAGAAGGTTTGAGACTAATGAATAGAGGGCGGCAAGTCCGTAGGCTTAAGCGGTCTCAGTCTTATAAAGTCTCACTAGCGTGCGTACCTTGGCTAGAACTTTCGAATCTTTTTAGAACGCGCGAAGAAGTAGCACCGACTGACAACGTAAATTCGTGGATAGTAGCGTGGATATGTAGTAGCGAGGTGCATAGGGTTTGAGATGGCTACAGATTGTGGTAACGAATGGTGTCTTTGAATTTTGTTAAAACAATGTTTTAATCCTAAATAACAACCAGCAAGTTAGCCTAAAGAAATAATGTACACGTAGTAAGTTGCTTCGTTGGGCATTGTTCTATGCTGGAACAATCAGGAATATCCCAATGTTTAAGTCGAAATATCAAAAGTGACCAGTTCTAGGTGATAAGTTCAAAGGACCGTTACAAATTAGGTCGATGTATACGATTCAGGATTCCTTATCGTCGAGGGTTGGGCGGCAGCTCAATTGGGCTCTAGTATAAAGTAAGGGTAATTCATACTTACGGGGCTAATAAATAGTCTTGCGATTGAAGTGGAATTCGTAGTAAAATTCTGGAGCAACGGGTTATCGACGAGAAAAAAGGGTCGGGCCACTAGACATAGAAAAAAGAAGAAGGGGAAAAAAAGAGAATAGCTTGGTGGGATGCGCAGTGACGATGATGTGGTTGTCGTCACCTTTGCGACTTCCCCCCCCAGCTTTGCCATGCCCGATTCTCTTCACAAACAGGCCCAAAATAGTTTAGCTTAACTAGGATCTACCTTTACGCATGTACCGTTGGCCGCTGCCATACGTAAATCTTCATACGTTTACTAGCTGTCGGTTCGTACTATCCGCATTCGGTATTTCGAGCTAGCAAGGGTCCGGCAAAGTCGGCCCACTACCTAACATACCTAGTCGGATTGGCGGGGTTTGGAGTTCTTGCACGAGTCTTTGTCAGACAATACTATGACGTAGCCTATCCGTCGGGGCGTATACGGAAATATCCGCATGTCCATGGCTCCTAATGTATTATTGATTCTTTAGGTAACTAAGTCTCACACATCAGATCTCATATCAAGATTAATACACTACCCAACGTAGGTTTCCATACAAACCAAGTTTTGTATACCTACCTATCCTACCTCATATGCGCACTTAAATAATGTAGCTATCCATTACATGTGAATCCAAGGTTCCGCACGTTTCCGTCTATCAGAATTATTGAATCCTGTCCAATAGAAGCAGCACACCCTACTCTGCATATATATGGATATTTGATAGGACCATCATTGGCTCGGAGTTATATAAGTAAATGCAAGAATAGTTGTCCATAACCCCATACTGCCCCCAGATACCCTCTATTATTTATACCTTCAACAAAAGGTACAAGCCACCTACGTCCCTCATTACCATTATGAGCTTACGACCATGTGTATAATCACTCTTCACCATGCTGTACTACTACGTTGTACCTGCATACATATATTAAAATAAGACAAGTCTACAACACTATACTGAGTTCCGCATCGAGATTCGGGAGACTTATATTAAAGGATCATTCTCATCAATCTATCACAGCTCGCCCTTAGAAACTCGCATTTGGTTTTGAATACTAAAATTATCATGAACATTAACTATTTCTTACGGACTATAGGGCGCAGGTGTCATTTGGTTATTCCTTGTTTGACTCCAAGAAAGTAAAACCTCTCCCCGTCCTCCCTTTCCTAAACGCCTCGCCTATGCAAATGCTATCTCTGGGATATCGATTCTCAAGCATCGGCTTACTCGGTACGCCATTTCCCATGTCAAAAATGCCATTCTCTGCTGGTCGTTCCCACACGACACTGGGTCTAATCTCCACCGATGGAGTGTCCCGCCCCTAATTAATCAAATTACATCCTTGCTCTTAGAAAGCTCCTAAACCTCAAACCAGCTCTGATATAGACCTCACCGTCTCCGTAGTTGTAGTATGCTTAATTCTTCCCCTCCGTCTTGGCGGCGGCGCCTTGGGTGGTGCTTTCTTAACACTCCTAGTGTTATTTTCATGCCCCATAGAAACATACGGTACTCCGTGTCGGTGCTTCGGTACTTCAGGTAGTGGTTTCTTCGGCCTACTTGGCTTTGATGTCTCCTTCGTTCTAGCTTCCCCGCGACTGGAGCTTGGACGGGGTACTTCGTTCTTGACTTCTACTCCATTGTCAATTCTAGTCTTGCTTTCAGCTTCAGCCTCATCTTTAGCTACGGCTTCGGCCTCGGCTTTTCGGCTCGGTGTCTGAACGCCCGGCTTCTCCATAACCGCCGCCACATGCACGACGCTAACGTTGCTGGCGGTTTCCGCATGCGAGAGGCTAATGCCAAGTAATTTACGCGCGATCTCTCCAGCGCCGGTGCCCTCATCAGAAAGCCACTTGACTTTAGATACGCGGTCTACAAGCCTCAGAGTTGTCTCGTCCGCTGGAGCGAAGTGGGTATTTCCCGATCCGGCTAGTATTCTGAGTAGTTTTTGCACCTCGTCCTTCTTGTAATGAGGCGGCTGGTTAAGCTGTGTATGCGCAAGCAAGGGGTACATCACACGAAGGTACGTATGTCGTAAAGCCATCAATTCTTCTGGAAGGTCGAGAAGGTTGCGGATGATGACATCAAGAAGCACTCGCAAGTCATTAGTGTAGAAATATTCATATGTGGCTTTGGTGGTGAAGAGTAAGTATAAGAGCTTCAATATGAGAAGCTGTAAAGACGTTTCGGTTTCGCGATTGAGAAGTAGTATAATATTTTCGCCGAATGTCCTATAATTCGGACCGTATAAGCTAAGGCACTTAACGACTTTGTTTGTCAGCGGCGCAGTCAGCGTAGGGTCATTCATCGCGGCCGTGGATGCGACCATGTATTGCTCGTTGAGGACAAGCTAGCGACGAGTTAGCATATGAAGTACATTTCATGAGTAGTTTTCAACCTACTAGGACACGGATGATAGGATAGTGATATGGATCGTGTGCATCATCAGAAAAGTCCTCAATAAGTTCGAATAGGTAGGTAACAAATCCGTCGTCAACGTGGAGCAGATCCTCGACGCGAAGCTGTTCAATTCGCGACATCTCGTACATCAAATCTAATAGCAGTCGATGTAAACCCGGATCGGTGTCTTTTCGCCCGTTGATCAGTTCGAGTAGACGGTGAAAACAACTCTCCTCAATCATCCTTTTGAATGTTGCTTCATCTGCTCGACCATCCAGCAGGAGGAAATTAGCGATGACATATAGGGGTCCGGGTTCATCTTCTTGTAGTAAACTATAAATAATTTGCGTGCGCACGTAGTCCGGGTTGATATAGAAGAGGTTTCCATGGAGGAGTATTTGCGAGCAATTGACTACGTCATCTTCGGACTGGGAAAATTCGTCTCGGCATCGCGACGCGAGATATAGCCACGATCGCAAGGCATCATCGATAGTTTCGTGGGCTTCGGCAGGACAATTAGTAGCGACAGCTTTACTCAGCTCTATAGAAATAATATTAGCTGAGTTTAGAAAAGATGAGGTAACCAAGTATCTTCTCCTTTTTTGAATAAGAGGATTTGGCGTAGGAGTAGTCAAGACGAACCAGTCCATAATTGTTCCTCGCTCTCTATCGAGAAACTGTCTTCGGAGTCGGCCATATTGAAGATCAGAACCCCATCAACATGTCCGGCATCGCGTCACGAAGCGGGACGAATCTTAAAGCGCGCAATGAATACTGATAGAATAAAACAACAAATGAACAAATGATAAATAGCCAACGGGTCTATGATGTGGAATCATAACCGAACCTAGGAGTTCGTGTTTGTGGCTGGGGAACCCCGTAATGTGAAGAGTAAACCGAGTTGAACCGCCGATCAGACGTGCTTGTAACAATAAAATGGGTTGGCGGGTTGGTGGGTTTAGTGGATGAATAGGGAAACAAAAAAAGGGAAGGGTATAAATTCAAGCTAAGGTATTTTCCATTTTCGCCATGGGTCATTTACGAATTCCCCGCGTCGGGCACAAGCCATTTTTAGGTTTATGAACTCATATCCAAGGATGATTGTTCTGTTATCTATGCAGCTTGTGTATTAAATCTAACGGTTATCACAATTAAACTGCGGGGCTAAGACTTGGCATTATGGGTTAGTACATCTATAATTTAATTTACCATTATCCATCATCTTAGACCAATGTTGCCAGCTTAGTAAGATATCAACTTCACTGGAGGGCACCCCAGAGGGCTGCCACAATAGCCCGAGTTTACAGAGGTTATAGTTAAATATATTGAATATTTTGAAAGAGGACTCGGCACCCTGACCTCGATACCCTGACCTTGATACCCTCACCCTCGATACCCTCACCCTCGATACCCTCACCCTTAATACCCTCACCCTTAATACCCTCACCCACCCAAAAGGAAGACTCGACACCCAAGAGAAGGGCTCGGCACCCTGACCTCGATATCCTCACCCTCGATACCCTCACCCACGGCTCGGCACCCAAAAGGAGAACTTGTCACCCAGGAAAAGGGCTCGGCACCCTCAGCACCCAGGAAAAGGGCCCGAAGCCCTTACCTATAACACCCTCGAAACCCTCACCCTCAATACCCTCACCCTCAATACCCTCACCCACCCAAAAGGTGGACTCGGCACCCAAAAGAAGGGCTCGGCACCCAGGGATTCGGAAGCAAAAAGATACGTATTTTAAGAAAAAGATGAAAGTGGGGACTTTGGAAAATTCCACTTATTTTAGGGATGCACCCAATAAAAATGCCTAAAATTCGCGCACAGACGAACTTCCTACTTCGTAAACCAGACCCTAAGACAATATCCCTCGTAAACTCGGGCATAACACCACCTGACTCGACCGTCAGGTTGAATCTTACTACATGATTATAAGTTTTTACACATGAAGAATACTGATCAGATGTTCTAATTTCGAGCATGGCCTCTCTTGCTCGGCATACAGAGAACTTCCGAGTAAATATCTAAGAATACCCATTGCAACCCCTTAACCCCCCTTCGTCATATATTTTAGTTACTCAACACTAGGTTTAAAAATATAGTTGTCAAAAGACTAAACTTGAAAGTTTCTTAAACAGGGACCTTTTAGTTCACTCTTAATGTAATTTCGTTAAAGCTTTTATACATAGGTAGGAGGTACCTTATGATCCATATCGTATGTCTTGTAAAAAAGACAGCTATAGAAGGATAACCTAACAAAACGTGTATTAATATTAAATAACTTAGGTACTTAAGGTTAAAAGGCAACGCAACTATAATTACTAAATAATTTTAATATGCCTAAAGCATTATCACCTACTATTAAACTTGCTAAGCACTATGTTCTATCTCTCCTTAACTATTCATAAATGAATTCTTTTTTTCATGTTTATTGCTAAGTTTAGACGCCTGCAAATGCTACCTAACTAAGGTACGGCCAGAGTTTAGTAACATATCAACTATATCTACATTCGGCCCATGAGTGTCCGGATCCAGGAAAGAGACCCTGCCACGGTATGTCAGCGTCAACGGTCCAAAGTAAGGTTCTGGCAAACTGGTCTGACTGTCTGACCTTGTCACCGGCGCCGTCCTGGCTCTGATAGTGACCAATGCACCAACATCACCGCCTCCACCTCTTACGAATTTATCTTTGTTGGTGTATCAGTGTCAATGAGCATACTATCTCAGTATACAACAAAAACACGGGGAAAAGTTGACCACCGGCTAGTCTAGTCTTTGAATACAGTACTAGCTACCCAATGCGCGCTACGAGTCGAAGAGGCTGGCTAGCCCTTCTAGGTTGTCTCCGTTGCCATTCTCTCCACCGTTGCTTGTGGCGCCTGGTCTCGATGCATCGTGGCTTGGTACAGTCATGAACTGCTGGGCCATTCTACTGCGGGGTGGCCTCTTTGCCGAAGGGGTCTTAGTAGGCATTCTAGTGCTTTTGCTTAACTTGCCCATCTCTGAAACGCTCACGCCCTTTATATCACCTAGCAATTGAAGGACGACTGCTCGTTGGCCACGAGAGCTTGTTTCCTTCCTCATCATATATTCTATCCCACTGTCGACATCAGCCTGCTTCACGTTGGGAAGCGAGAGCAATACATCCCTAGCTGTTTTTGTGAAGTCGTTATATGTCACTAGGACCGTGGCGATCAGAGAAGCAAATTCCTTTTGCAAGTCAACAAAATACGGTTCGTGAATCGATGTGATACATGCTTTTACAACATCTGACGATATGTATTCGCGGATGGCGGCAGCTGTGCCTGCGGGTGGAAGGCCTGTTGTGAAGTCCGGAATAATGGAGCGGAAAACCCGCAGCATGATGCCACAGCACCGGGAATCATGCCACCTTATGGCATGGGTGCAGAACATCAGGAGGGGTTCTACAACAGAGGAATGCTCCAAGCAAAATTCTCGAAGCGTAAGATGATTTCCTGCATCATTGCTGTCTGGGCCCAAAGTTAGAATCTATGTTTCATACAAATAGGTCGCTGGTGAGTTAAACTTACTGGTCCGGGCTGGGTCTAAAAAGTCCGCAACCATCATTACAGCTGCGTTCGTCAATTGTCTTAGGATGCTTTCCGCCTTCATCTCTTCGGTCAGAGCATCTCCTCCCGTTTTTACCGCCTGCTGATGCTCAAGCTTCATCCACTCGGAGTTGATCCTGGCATCCATCTGCTGACAGCACGCAGCTAGAATTGGAGGGAGGAAATGCTCTCGCAGGGGAACCGGACAGTTGTCCACCAGATATCTAACCAGATTAAGGACATTGATTAACTGGTGGGCTGAAAGACTGAAGGAATCGGCAAGGAGAGCATGAGCCAAGGGTCCTGGCAGCTCGTTAAAGCCGTAGAACTGCACGTCTAAGCGTGTCATGCAGTAGATTATTGCGTAGCATGATTCGCGCACAAAGCGTATAGAACCTCGAATCGTCGAGGCAAGCCCCTCTAGTGTGAGCTTCTTCTCAAGCACGCGAGCATAAAATTCATCTTTACTACCTTCTGAAATACCGGCTTGCCAGAATCTATCAGTAAGGACACGACCAACGATCGATCTCATCTCGGGTGGTAATCCCGTCCAATTGTCAGGGGTATGCGAAGCGTGCGCATGGCTACATATGAATGTTAATCTTTTTGCCATCAAGTGAAAGTCGTGGGGCTCTTACTTCAGGAAATTAAGCAATTGGGGAAGGATAATCGGGAACCCATCCTGCCATAAGGCACATGAGACTTGGTAAGGGTCGCTATCCTTCTCTACCTTATCAGCGGAACAAGTCAGGAATGACTTTGTAGGTCGTAGTGGGAGAACCTGCACGCTGCGTTAGCAAATAATTTCTAACATGAGATACGAGATGTCCTAACGGTTTGTCGCTCTTCAAGCTCTGCTTGTAGTGCTTGTCCCTCAGCATCGAGTTCAACTGAACCCCAGTCCGAGATATTTTGCATCTGCATCCGTGCAAGATAGTTTTGTGCTTTGTCAAGAGCCATGAGTTCGCAAAAGCCCGCATATGAAGATAACGCCTGTTTGAGGCGATCATTTTGCCATTGAGTCACGACAGGGTCAATGAATCCTCGTAGCTTCTGGGCCTTCGTAGCCTGGTCGAGCCGAGTAGAGCGGTGGCTAAACTGGTTAGTACGTCTTTAATATGGCATAGAATTAGAAGCTTACACAATAGTAAATAGAAAAGTTTGATACGTAATTTGACGCTTCTCATCTAGCGTCCCCGAAGCGATCATCTCGTTTACCTTTGCTTCTATCTGGTCATAAACATCCTAGAATCCTCATTAATATAACTGTATCAGGTGGTTAGGTGTATTAAATAAATAGCATTGTGTTCTCACCAGCAAATGGTTGGGCATCTTAGCTGCAAGTCTTTGAAGCTCAACCATACTCTCTGTCTGCAACTCTTTAATTGCATCCGTATATACTCGATAATCAGGGTGCGTAGCTGGCCAAGTTACAAGAATGTGTTCCAGGACTTTTAGCATGAATCCTGCATTCCGATGAAGTGCATTGACGGAGAAAGCGACAAGAAGCTCTAGAATTCGTTTTCGGATAAGAGGGTCCTATAGCAATAAGTATACATCTACAGAATGCTAAAATAGGGGTACGTACCTCAAAGTTCATCGCTAGCAGACGATTACACCAGGACTCTAAACTTGCTTCTACCGCATTTTGCTGCTATGAAACATTAGTAGAGATTTCGGTGTCAAATGCAAATTAAACATGTTCATACTAACCTCATCTGCAACAACAAATTCTCGCCACCTTCCGTACCCCTTTAAAGCTGCCTCAATTACTGTCGCTTGAGCATCAACCCGGAGGACTTGTGGAGATGTCTTGGTATAATTTGCCACTGCTAAGAGTTAGACCGATATCTTCACAAACGCGAACAAGACATACTATTAAAGGCCGGTCCCTCATCATAAAGATGCTCTAATATATTATCCGTTTGGCCCAAGATGTGTTGCATTGCATCAGTCGTCTGCAATTCAACGATAAGCTCGATCACTGTTGAGCTATAGCGTCTATAGTTTCCCAGGAAAGCATGGCGCTCGGGGATTGTGTCCGTGTCTTCTAATAGGAATAGAAACGTAGGATCCTGCGTATCTTCAGGCAAGCTTTCGTATCGAACAAGCCTCGAACTACAACATTCTAAAAGTGGGCCGATGAGGGAAGGAAGGCTTGCAATGTTTCGTCCGAGAGATTCGTTATTAAGAAGTCGAGTCCACGTTACAAGGACAGGAATTGAGACTACCAGGCTCTGACTCTGGGCAACTAGCAGAAGAAGTTGCAAGAATACTTGGAAGTCGATGCGGGTTGGGTCGTTTGGTAGAACATTGAAACGTCGGTCCATGTAAGTACCTAGAAACGAAATCACCTTTATGTTATTAGCGGCAATAACACGTAGGCCTCCAGCCAAACTTACCTCAGAGAGCTTCTTAGAGAATTGGTATTTATCATCATCAATATCCTCTGGATCAACCACCGACCACTGGAAAAGCTGTCTGAACAGATCGATATATTTGCTGCTATATAGTGGGACAACGAGGTCTATAAACTCTTGGTCGACAAAGCTTGTTCTTGAATAGAGGGAATGTAGCGCTTCCAGGGATGCCTTTAACGATTAGTTACGGATACATATAATATTAGTAGAGCTGCGGCTTACCTTTTGGACTTCAATGTGGTTTGCTCGAAGTCCCTCACACATTACCGGTACACACTGGGTAGCAGTGACAGCATTGGGGACGACCCAAGGCAGCAGAGAGTAGAGTACGCCGAGAGCACGAACTGCGCAGCTTCGTATTTCCGAGTCGTTCTGTATATCTTCCGTTAAGCAACGACTTAATAGGTCCGTGATTCTTGCAAGCCAGCCTTCATTGCCACATCTCACATCCGGCCCTGCCTGCCGGTTGGGGAATGTCTCTACTAGGACCGCGGCGGGTGTGAAAATCTCAACAGATGCCTTACTGAGGACGCCCTCGCGAACTGCTACTACTGTGTCATCGCCACTAAAAATATCATCGGATAGCATCTCTAAGATGCATAGGACAAGCTCCTTATGTACCGCAGGGCCTGACCACAGTTGGCAAAGCAGTGCGTCCATATCCATCCACTCTCCAGCCCAGGTCCTTTTTGCGACCTCAACCCATAGCAGAGCAATCTTGTTTCTTAAGTAAGCCGGGTCATCTCTCGTTATGCCTCGTGAGAGCTCCAGGACACCGTTACGCAGATCGGTAGCTTGATCTTCGGTGTAATCGGCCCATTTGTGTTTGATTACATACTCTAGGAGTGATAGAGCATAATGTCGCACCACGGGGGACTGAGCCTTGTCGACGGAGAGATGAAAGCCGTAAAAAGAGGCATTTCCATTATTCTTTACGTCTTCGAGGAACATCTGAGCCTCTTGCCGTGCATCGTTGGGAGAGTGAGGATTATGAATGACCTCTAGTGCCTTGTGGATCTTCGGCAGGACCTCCATATTGTCGGCGCCAAAACCTACGCCGCCTGATCCCATATTACCATTGATCGCAGTATGTGTAGCCATCGTGTTGGGGGAACTAGGAGATGCGCGGTCGGCGACGATCTTGGAGGGGGTGGGCGCGAGCTGTCGGGAGCTATAGGTTAACCTTGCTTTAGGTGTGAATCATCAGGCAAAATCTAGATAAGATTGCTTAACTACGGAGATAGAATGAAAGATGGAAAAGTAGTGAGGGTATACTGAATTAGTAATGGCAATTCAGTAACGAGCACCTTTATTGATAGGATGACGATTTTTTTTTTTTTTTAAATTCTCGATATGTTCTTGCTTGAGACAGGATTGGAGGTGGAACGATGACTATAAATTATGCGCTAAGCTTAAGGTACCGTGATTGAGGTTCGTGTTTCTGGCGGAAATTTACAGGTGATGTGGTAATGTTGCTTCAGCGTGCCTTCTTCACGCGACTATTGGTGGGTCCACCTTAAAGTCCTGAGTCCTTTAATCCATAAGCTCAGGTAGGTAGGTACACTTTTACTTCTCTGCGCAATATATGTAATCATGCTTCCATATACAATGCATATACTAAACCATTGTTATCAGGGCGTACCTGCCTTGCCCTGCCATACAGCAACCCCACCTTCATAGGCTTGTTACCTATCATGTACTATTATGTACTTATCCGCATAGCCAATTAGCTGTTTAGTTCACCATGAAAGCCGCTGTTCTGGAAGCACTAGAACAATTCCAAAATTGTACCTACGACGCCCCATGGCGGCTGCTGTACTCCACAGTCTACTACCACAGTCTACTATGTACATCCGTTTATCTACTTCATTCTGTTAAGCATATGTAACTCTCATTTTGTTCCAACAACAAATCGAACTATGGCGACTTATTTGACAATAAAGCAATTGTACAAATATATGTGTATAATTATATAGCTTGGGAAATAGTAATTCTCTGCAACACGTTGCTAAGGAATAACTAACAGAAACGCGAGAACCCGCATCCGTCACATTCCAAAGTGGTGTTGAGACTATATCTTGTAACTATTACATCACTAAACTAACATTAATTCCTATTCGCACCTCGGGTAGTATTTACTAACTTAAGAGTCGATTAACATTAAGTAAATATTTATCGCTACAAGGTCAGGTCAAATAATTTCAACACTCAAAATCAATATTAGTATTCCCATAAACACAATAACTTATCATAAAAACTTGTTGATACACACCGGAGATTTCTGCTTCCCATTTCGGAACCCGGCTGAAAATCGCTCCCGTAGTTCATGCTCTTGTGCTCCTCAAACCGTCCGAGTATTTTAATCTCACAAAATTCAGCCTCTGTACCACCTGAGATCTCAAGTACTCGTGATCCCGCATGCATACATGAGGCGAGAATAAAGACTTTCCACTGCTTGCTGTCTCCCTTGGTGCTCTCCGTAGCTTTTTCTAATGTTATCAGTTTAAGTCTCCATACACCTCCTTGTAAATTTTGCTCTGCTAGTAACCTGGATCTGTAAGGAAGCATCCCCTTTCTTTGCTCATCGAACGCGTATACTCTAATGTAGTCGTCGTAGCTTCCAGTGACAACCACGGAATCGTGCGATGAAACTTGCAGATTTAGGGTGAGTATAGCAGTTACTCCTGCTTCGTGTCCCCTGAACACAATTGGTGGGCATGAAGTCTCGACTAGGCTCTCTTCAGTATCAATACGAGCCGGATAATATGCACAATTTGTAGTAAGGAGTTTAGAATCGTCACCTCCTGAGAATACTGCGAATTGCTCAGAGCTTTCCCCTGGAGAACCTGCTGCATCCGAGCTAGGCTTGCCTAGTGTCAACGATGAAAATGCCACTGTCCACGCTTCAAGAGTGTGAGTTATCACAGGCCCATCGCTTGTCTTAGAGACATCCCATGAGTCAGTAACACGCAGGATATGGACTTCGTAGTTGGAGGTTGTAATTGCTAGGAGCTCAGGAATATGTGGATGCCACGAACATGACAGGACTAGAACTCCCTCATCATCACCAAGCGGCTTGTGAGTAACGATTTCCTTTAAGGAAGCCGGATGTTCTTCTAAAGTAGAAAGCTTGAAGAACGACAGGCTTCCAGTACTGGAGACGACAGCCAGCACAGTAGAGCCTTCTCGACTAGGATGAAAATGAAGGTCAAGGAGAGCAGAAGGGTAGAGAACAGTTTGTACGTGCTTTCTATACGATGGTAAACTTGATATTAAAATTGAATAATAGAGATAAGTAGGTATATAAGGAGGTAGCTTACATATCCGAAGTCTCTAACAACTTAAAGAGAACAAGACTACCATCCCGAGATTGAGTTTTCTTTACCTCCTGTTGTTCTTGGTCATCTCCAGTAGAACCGCCCGTATCTGTATTATCTTCTTTCTGTAAATTATATGTACCAACGACGAAATAGTCCGGATGACCCGGACAGAATTCGATACAGCTTGGGGGGAGGTCCAGGGTTAATGATTTCAGCGACGTGATGCTGCGTCCGTGCGTATTCATGACGTTAGACTTTTAAGGGGCGTTTATACCACGCTTATATTCGTCAACGGAGAATATGTCAGCAATTAATATTCATGGAAACATAAGACATGCTGCGATATAGATATTAAGCCCCGCGTATGTAGATGTTGAGAGGAAATCTTTCCCCCTCAATTTTTTGAAGTTGTTTTTTTAGAGGAGATAGTGGAGACTTATAATAAAAATGGGGCACATACAGCTAAGCTACAGCATGCATGCCGCTTCTAAAGAGCGGCTCGGAATCATACCCGCTGTATAAACCCTGGAGCATAGCCTTATTATTGGACCTGGTCCAATTACTAGTGCCCGAGCGCCTGGTTCCTGCACTTGCAGAATGCAGCCATTTTAAGGCTCCTCTTATGGAAATACCGTGGTAACAATCGAAGCTGCAAGAACGAGGGGAGTCGGACATTTGGGTTGGGTTGGCAAGAGCACGTCAGTTATCAGTTATCCAGCAACCCCCGGTCTCATGGAGCAAGGACTTTTAAATGCTTTCTAACCTAGCCTAGAACCCAGATAGATACCTCATATTTTCAACTTTCTAAGCCTGACTCGTATTATTGACAATTGACTTTGGCTAGTTTATACAATATTTACTTATAATTCCTTCATTTCTTCTCTATTCTTATTCTCATCGTATGAACTACTGTTTATCAATTTAACGTACCTAGGTACATACTCATCTATTTTGAATTGCGACCATGAGTTCCGAGGACTCTGATTTCTATGGTGGAGATATTCGGTCTATTTAACTAACGCCAGATTACTAATTCGCGGTCTTAGGCGACGACGAAGTTCTGGCAGACCTCAAAGCCAAAGTAAAGGTATTCGACGTTGAAGCCTGGTGGGAACAAAACCGAACTCTCGATACACCGCTCAAGATGCAGGCGCAAAAGAAGGAAACCGTTGATATCTCTCATCTCCATAACCCGTATGCTGGCCTTAAGAACGCCTGGCAACTCACCGAGACCATTGAAGAGTTCGTACAACGCGTACCCCCTGCAACAACAGACGAAACTCCAGAAGACCCCTGGATTTGGGTTTGTAATCCATACATTAATCGCAAAAAGAAACATGAAGCAAGTAATCAAATGATCCCTGGCGGCGAAGACGAAGCCCCTGAAGAGGTTGGCGCGGACCTGCCCAGTATGGTTGAGGGTGGGATGGCAAGACTTCATCTTGCCTCAGAATTCATCGACGCATGTAAGAAGTCCGGAAATCAACCAGGTGCTATCACTCGAGAATGTCGAAAAGCCGGGATGGACGCGGCCAAAGATATTCTCAACCTGGCAAGGATGCTACGTGTGAGATGTGGCAAGGTTAGTATATGAGTATTATATGAGTATATGCTTGAAGCGTCATTCCTAATATATGCTAGTGGATGCTCTTTTGTTCTGTCTTCCAAGTTAACGAGATTTGGGAGACTGTCGCCAAAGCGACGGCAAATAATGAGCTTGGTATTGGTGCCAAGGTTGCGCCACGATCGACAACTGATAAGAGAACGGACCGGCTCATCTGCGTCTACACCGCCGATTTCTCCGATACGAAGGACGTGAAGAGAGTCGTCGAGAAGTTGAAGCAGCTCGGACTCATCCAGGCTAGGGATCGATCAATTTACTACAAACCTGGTAAGTTTATTATCTGAATAGCTTCTCTCGGGACAACGCTTACCAGATTAGACGTGTACACTTACCTAGGCATAGCACGTGGTAATCCTTGGGAGATAAGGGCCTCTATATACGATAGTACCTCTATGCTTAAGAAAGGGTAGGATGGGAGAAGAAAGCCAGAATCGAAGAAAATGGGGAAATATGAGTTGTCATGGAAAGCAGTTGAATTTGTCGAGATACCCTTTGCCACCGAAAGCTTGCTTCATGAATAATCAGACTTTGAGAAGTACAAGTACTAATCTGAATGTGACCCAAATAGGATCTCAATGCTTACTTACTACCCTTTTAACGCCAACAATGCATTAACCTTCTATGCTAATGTCATCCAAATTCCACAGCCCGATCTCGCAGCGCCCTAATTGTGCCACCCTCTTTCTTTCCACAGTCGTCCTTCGGGAGACTCAACAAATTTCTGATAGTCTGAATCGCCGTTGAGGCTGCGTACGTTCTGTATCCTGGTTCTAGTCATATCATTTCCACGGGCCACGCGCCGACGATATTGAAGTAACCCAACCCGCTTCTAGTCAGGTTGCTGGCCAGGTTCGAGGTCTGCCGACTTCAAGAGTAGTACAAGCCTATAAGCGCTGTTACCGTTTAGGTAGTATCGATGGAGCTTCTTCGATCGTAAGAATCCCAACCGTTCGTATAGTCTCATAGCTGGTATGTTCGTTTCTTCAGTCTCTAAAACAATTTCGTCGGCATGGCGCTCGGCCATTGCATCGATCGCCATCCTCACTAACGCCGTGGCTATGCCGTGACCCCTAAAGGCAGACGATACCGCAAGCATAGCTATATAACCTCGATGGGTCGGGGGTGAATGGGAGGCATGGTGTTCGAGTTTACAAATGATGACGCCCATAAGAGATTTATCGACGGGATTGAGTGCCTAATATCAGGGTATCGAAATATCAGTAAAACGCCTAATGGTAGTACGAATGCACGTGCATAAGCTTACCATATAACACAAGTGAGCCCATTGGTACAAGAAATACCGGTAAACATATATGCTATAGGGCTCGCTGAGATCTTTCGAAATCAAGGCCCGGATAGCGGGTAGGTACTTTTCTTCTAGTGCATGTTCGTATTGTATATATAAGAGTTCCCCCGGAAGCTCTTTTGCGCGAGCTATTTCCATAGCTTTTCTACGGGCTGGGTACGAAGGTCTGTCGGTACTAAGAGATCCAATAAGTTAAGCGGCGTTATCGGTATCGTTCGTCGGGGCTTGTAAACTTAGTATGCACACGGTCAATAGCGGAATAAAGTCAAAGGTAAGTTCTAAAAGGCGCGCCGTTGAGAAACCCGGGGGGGCGTTATAATGGTTGATATATTAGAAACACGAGTTGACTAAGACGGACAGATGATCCGTTACAGTAATAGATTAAGATGAAAGACGACAAGACGAGACAAGACGGCCCGCTTTCACATGCAAGTCAAAAAGAATTGATTTCACGTACTGGGTTACAACGGGGTCCTTCGAGCGAGCTGACCTCTCTAGGATAGGAATAGTTCCGCGGGGCCGCCCGGTTTGAGTTTAGATGGGGTTTAAATGTAATCCATGCTTGTCATGCAGTGGTACCAGAAGACCAAACCCCCCGAAAGAGCTACTGACCAACGGCCTAAAACGCTATAAACCTTCTTACCGTTCTAGACCTCTGATTGGTCAATACTTGAAGAAAGAAGGCAGCACATGGTCGCGGTGACCCACTATCTAATGTACTGACGTCAAAAATGTTACCAATTTCAATGCTATTATTTCTATCTAGACTTTCAAATGTTCCGCACCTGCTACTGTTGATCAGGTACAGCTTTTAATTTTATTTTTAGCTTTCAGCCATGAATGATCCGCGAGCCTAATATTATTCCTACCTCTCTTCTCCAAGTTCCATACCGCTCTACAATACACTACGGTAGCTGACGTTGCTTGCTTGGTCCCATTTATCGACGATCAAGCCCCATTCCGACAGCACCGCTGCGGTTCCGTGTCCGATTTGCTTCTTCTCACCTCCCCTCTCTCTCCACCGTCCACTTTTGCACACCGAGCTCTTCTGCCTGGTCATGTAGACCTGCCCGACGATGGCATCAACTCTCCGACGCAGGGCGCTCGCCCCCGATAACTCATCAGAATCTTCGTTGTCGCTAGCACCTACACCGAGAGACGAAAGTCCGGCGAAGCCGGTTGACAAGGTCGAGATCATACATCATGAACATAAGCCAAAGACGGGCAAGAGGCGTAATACATTTATTTTCTTAATGGGTAGCTTGTTCGGTCTTATAGCTGCCGGCCTCCTAGCTAAGAATAATGACTTAATTGAACTTCCGGAGATTGGTGAACTTAGTATGGACAGTTTTCTTGATGTGTTACCAGCGGGTCTGGTTAAGGATATGAGGGATCTTGTTGTACGTCTCTACCTTCAAACAGGATCCGACTAAACTAATAAGCTTTATGATTTGTAGAAAGGTGAGAGGGATTTTGTCGATAGCTATGATTCCTTTTCTGTAGGGGTGAAAGCCCGGACCGAAGGGCTTAGCGTTCACCATCCCGTTATTCTGGTTCCCGGTGTCATCTCAACAGGCCTTGAATCCTGGGGCACTGCCAATATCTCTCGTCCGTACTTTAGAAAGCGGCTCTGGGGTAGCTGGACAATGATGAGAGCGCTGGTTCTAGACAAGGAGATATGGAAGAAGCACATCATGTTGGATAAGAAAACCGGGTTAGATCCGCCGAATATCAAATTGAGAGCTGCGCAGGGCTTTGATGCGACCGACTTCTTCATTACGGGGTACTGGATCTGGAGTAAAATCGTGGAGAATCTGGCATCGTTAGGCTACGACCCAACCAACTCATTCACGGCTGCTTACGATTGGCGCTTGACGTATCAAAACCTCGAGCTTCGGGACCAATACTTTACGAGATTAAAGAGCTATGTGGAGCTGGCACACGAATTCTCTGGTCAAAAGGTGGTTCTTGCATCCCACAGCATGGGCAGCCAAGTCCTATTTTATTTCTTCCATTGGGTAGCATCTGCTGAAGGCGGTAAAGGCGGTGACGATTGGGTCGAGCGTCATGTCGAAGCCTGGATCAATATTAGTGGATGTATGCTAGGTGCAGTTAAGGATGTGACCGCTATTCTCTCCGGCGAGATGCGCGATACAGCGCAGCTTAATTCCTTTGCAGTATACGGGCTCGAGAAGTTCCTCAGCAAAGATGAACGAGCAGAAATATTTCGAGCGATGCCAGGAATGTCGGCTATGCTACCACTTGGTGGAGACGCGGTCTGGGGAAATCTAACGTGGGCACCAGATGATCAACCCGGGCAGCAGAACTCGTTTGGTTCATTTTTAAACTTTCGTCGTGGTGTTAACTGGACTACACCGCATCAAAACTTCACCGTTAGCGACTCGATGAAATATCTCATGGATACGACCGATGATTGGTACCGAGATCAGGTCAAGAAGAGCTTCTCTCACGGAGTGGCTCATACCACTGCCGAGGTAGAAGCCAACGAGCTTGACAATCGCAAATGGGTTAATCCCCTGGAGACGCGGTTACCCCTGGCTCCAAACTTGAAGATTTACTGTTTTTACGGCGTGGGGAAACCAACTGAACGAGCATACTACTACCGCAGCCCGGAATATCCGGCATTCACAAACTTAAACGTCACCATCGATACGGGACTAACCGTTGATGAAATTGATCACGGTGTCGTTATGGGAGAAGGCGATGGTACAGTTAATCTTCTAAGCAGCGGTTACATGTGCTCTAAGGGCTGGCGTATGAAGCGATATAACCCGGCTGGCGCCAAGGTCACCGTCGTGGAAATGCCTCACGAACCCGAAAGGTTTAACCCCCGCGGAGGGCCCAATACAGCAGACCACGTGGATATCCTAGGGCGGCAGAAGCTTAATGAATTAATCCTACGCGTAGTGGCTGGAAAGGGCTCCGTGATTGATGACTATATCGTTAGTAATATTCGCGAGTATGCGGATAATGTCAAGATCTATGAAGAGGAGGATTAAAGCCTAACGTGTGATGACGGGTTAGATTCGAACTGGATCCATGAACTAAAGATGGCTGTCATGAATAAATATTAATGAAGAGATGGAGATGATACTTGTGTATACCTTATAGGGCAGTCGGTGTATTGTATTTTACTAGGACGATATGCATAGGGATATATGTATTACCCCGCGCTTGGAGGAGTGGTGATGGTCGGAATATATCTTAGCTGAAGATAGAATCTTATAGATGATAATAGGGTGAGGTTAGAAATATAAGCCAATGGATAGATATGGTAAGAATTGGTTTCCAGGGGCCATGGACTTGGGTCAAAACTGGACGAGGTGGATTACGAGATTTATGTTACCCCTTTTCATGTCTGGTGGTTGATTGAGGAGTTTGAATTATAGGGTAGTTTATTTTGATTTGGAGAAACCGAGTATAGAGGTATCGCATGAATTAAGCTTTAGTGTTATAGATGCTTAGGTATTTACTTAATGTTAAATTGGAAGAAAAGTATGAAAAGGTATTCAAGATCTTAAAGGGAACCTATCCTACCTGGAAACTTACACAATACAAATCTTTTTGATCCTCGAATCTAGTATATGCCACAACCATTTCGTGGAAAGCTCCACCGTTCTTTCAAATTCAGTATGTGTAATTATCAAAGCTCACCACATACCTTATATATGGTATATTATGTGTCAATGATAGTAAGAGGTGTAACTCCTAGTTGTCCTACCTAAGAACTAGACCTAAGACTTACATAACTAACAACCAGAAAGTAGGACGTTAACTCACATATAAGCGCTCACGGTCTACTCAAATTGTGGTCGATAGAAAACATCATTTAAATCTAGGCTTCATCTCTCACTTCTACTATGGGTTGAGAAAGCCCAGTGCGCTCGCCCAATGTCACGAAAGGGGGTTTCCAATCTACCATACAACATACAGTAATACGGTATGGATAAGGAAGCATTGAGGTATGGGAATCCGTACTCGTGTACTCCTGCCATTGAGAGTCAGTTAGTAGTTCTAGATCATCCCTCTGTGTGACACCATTCCTCTAGAATTTCGTCTCGGTTGAATGCCTGGCTCCCGTTGATAAGCTTAGATTTTACTACGACCTTTTCGATGCAGAACCCGGTTGCTTAATACGACCTCTCTACGTTGTCATCTTAATTAATACAAACCGCGTCTACCTAAAGATCGAGGGAGACATTGACTGAGCGTAAGTGCTATATAACATCGAATAGATTTGGAGTCACACGCACTTCAACTCCGTATGTGAAGATGGGTTGAGTTACATGAAAGTGAAATCTCTCTATTAGCCATCATGGAGAGTTTCCATGATTACCGCAACAAGTAATTAGCAAAAGTATAATCTCATGTCGACTACACATTTTAAAAGGGTAGATAGGTCATGTGTACACGAAGGATGCTACGACAGGTTAGTATAATGGTCTATAAGAGCTTGAAGCATCTTGCTTGACCTAGAAAAAGTAAATACCATTAAAATATTTAATGTAGAGAAACTACTTAGTATAGGTTATGTATAAAGGTTACGTGAGATGTTATAGTGCCGCCTACCGCGTGGTAAATTTGATAACAATACGATAGGGGGGAGAACGAGGCAAATCTAGGTAAATACAGAGGGGAATCCCTAGGATTCAGATAAGATATTGAGTCGTATCCACATTATGTGCACTGCACGTGTGTCCCACGTGACTACCATAATCATAAACTTGTGCTATGTACTTCTTTGCCTCTACAATTAAATCGCAATTACAACACCACGAACCAAACTCCAATTCATAATACAGCTCGCATAAACAATCAGAAGTTACTTTCCCCAACCCTAATTCAATATCCTCATCCGCTATGGATTCTTCTGAGAAAAGAAAACAGCCTCCCTCTAATGGGTCCGATGGTCGTCCAGTCAAAAAAAGCAAAGTGAGATTATATAACCGTCTCTCGCCTATATATCCTATATCTCATCATTTCGCAGGGTGGTAGTAATGGCAGATGGCAGACACCTCACCAAAAGGCCAAACTCGAGGCCATAAAAGGCAGGAGTCTAGAAGTGGGTGACATGGGCATTTGGACCACATGTGTTAAAGGCAAGGAGCGACAGGCCTTAGGGGAAATGATGGATCTTTGCGAAGAGGTATACCTATCACTTGACCCAGCTATTTCGTTCTGCGAATGCTTAACATATATCTAGTACGGAGAGAAGCTTTACGATATCAAACGCCAAGACCCCGCTGAAGCCAAGGATGACGAGGATGATGATGATATCGAATCATCCATCAAGAAGGAAGTCCAAGATATGAAACCTGCGAGCAAATCGAAGGATTCAGTATTCGAGCCCATGCGCATGAATCTCGATTGCTTGCTTTTCATACGGACGAAGCCGCCTGTCGACCCCGTCGCGCTCGTTCATCAGATCTGTAAGGACGCAAAGGGAATCACCGAAAAGTCGCAACGGCGAGCAAGATTCATCAATAGATTTACGCCCGTCACTCTGACTGCGAAAGCTACCGAGGCTGGCGTCGAGGAAGTTGCCAAGAATGTCCTGGCTAAACACTTCCAGCTTGCAGGCGAGGACGAGCAGTCGGAGGTCCCTGAGGGGGATGCCTATTCGGTGCGCTCACTCCCCAACTCCCCCCAAAGGAGAAATTACTGACAGCTTGAGTTAGTACGCTATTCGGCCTAGCTTCCGTGCTCACAATACCCTCAAGCGCGACGACGTGATCAAGAAGGTCGCATTGCTTATCGCGCCGCGCCACAAAGTCAACCTTTCATCCCCGGACAAGGTCATTCTCATCGACATTTACCAGGTATATCTTTTTTTCTAAAATTACCATCCTTCCAAACTAACCATCGCAGACATTCTGCGGCATGAGTGTCGTCGACGGGGACTGGGAGTCTCTGAAGCGGTACAATCTCCACGAGATATACCTATCGGCGCTGGGGCCCGACGAGAAGAAGAAGCGGGAGAAGATTACGCAGACGGAAGAGTTGAAGGATTAGAGTTGACCCCCGCGTAGAAGGTCTTGGGGCGTATCTAGTCGTGTGGTGTTGCCGATGTTTGCGCGCCGCGCGAAAGCTAAGTCATAGTTCTGTGTGTATGCTATCATTCATGTACTATCTAGCGAGGTACCAAGATGCTTACATCAATGAGAAAAATGAAAAATACCAAGTATAAATCATTATGCTGACTACTCTGCTTGAGAGCTAATCTATGTCATCGATATAAGAACTAGAAGGTGGTGTTCTATTTTGTATCTTACACCCCCCTCTCCCCCTTTCGCGCACTGTTATAACTCTCAAACATCAAGACCAGCCTCACACGAAGCCAGAAAAAGCTAGAATTTATAGAAGACGGTAGGCTTTTATATAGTGCGATGCTACGTTAAAGAAACTACGCTAATTCTCGTGGAATGTAACGTAGACAATGCACTAGTATTTAATTTTAAGAGGTAATTGGTGTTTTGCGTTGCACGCATTAGTCCTACCCCGGATTTCAGGTCGAATTGCTGAGCTAATCCTATAGCCTCTTTTAACTACCTACCTTAGATAGGTATCTATTTCGTAAAGATTAACAGGTGGCGAATAGGTATTTGCTGGTTGATTGTCGAGTAGGAAGTTTTCACTTGAAGAGGTTATGGTACTAAGTTTGGAGAATTATATAGTTACCCCAAAGTAATAATGGTGTATTGTATACTTGGCTGGTCTGTTTTTAAGCATGTTGGTAGACAATCTGTTATTGAAGTATGCTGACCTTGTATTGTTTATGTTATACGCCTCTTTAATATCCCCCTTTTCAACGTCTATTAACTACACGCTACAGTAACCGAATCTTTAAAGTGATTGCCATAGGAGAAACGTTGCTTACATTCACTGTCAACCACATCTTGGCATAATCCTATTCGGAGATGATACGATGAGCATAATACGATTTTATGACTCCCCGGCTTTCTTGGAGATGGTATCCTGTAACTTCACTGTTGGTAAGGAGTTTCGGAGTCTTGCTCAAAAGAACTGCCTGTCCAAGCCAACGCAATGGATTACTCCAAGGCTCATCCTAAGGATCCCAAGGCCGCGGAGATATAAAAGAGGAGTCATCGCGTGTTATTAGAAGTCCCATGGTACGAAACGTCTCCAACGACACGCGAATTCCCTATTGAAGCAATATAACTCAACGTCGAATAATCAGAGAGTTGCCTTTTATATCAAATTTGAACCTATATCACACAAATATTGGGTCGGAGATTATGCTTAAATCCTAAGTTCTGGTTTCCCCACGAATACACAGTGCCCGCTGGCCCCCGTTGGAGCGGTTTAAATCACTGCCGGCGGTTAGACTTGAACCTTTCCATAATAAGATATTGATATTGATATGATTGGTTAGTCGGTACTCTTTCCGAGATGGCATGATATTTATTTTTTTGGTTCTCCTTTATTTACGAGTTACGACCTCGAGCTAAGGTGAACTGGGTGATCGGTACAATGCGCGCAACGCATATCATCGGGAGAAGAAACATATATGTGTCGTATATAATATCGTATAATGTTAGAATGTTGGAAAAGGCATGAAAATGCGATGCCAATGCTACTACGTGACGTGACAGCAGATGTACGAGATGAAATAGGGATGTAAGTTGTTATGTATGTTTTATATTGAATGTGACGTAGATTGACCAACCAATGGCGTGTGGGGACTAATTATTTCCCTCATTCCACTAATAACCCTTACATCTCTTACATCCTTTACATCTTTTAACCTTTTTTTACACTAACATTATTAATCAGAACGGACCGATACCGCCTTATTACCGCCTACTGAAACAAGCAGGTAAACGGAACAAGTTAAAATATAAAAACTAATGGAACTTTAGTGCTTATTTAACTTTAGGTATTTTACTCGATATTTATATTTAAGTTTTTTATATTTGATTGAAGAACAAAAGCAAGGTTCTAATCTAAAATCTACATCATCCTTTAACTTTTGCTTTTTTTCTTTTTCCCCGCAAACGCGTTCATGTATGTTACCCTGTTACATTGCGGCGTAAGATAAGGCTACAGAACACAAAACCATGGGTCGTCTCCACCCAAGTACTAAATATTGTTATGAGTGGAGGGATATCCGTAGTCAAAGGCGGAGAGGAACAATAGCCGAACAGAAATCCCCGGACGAAGGCGGATGGATTCCAAGCTCGACATCCGAGGCTTGGCAGAGATTCAGATGGGCGCCTTCACGACTAGCAGGCTATCTAGGGCTGGGAAATACCGTATCTTATTCAGATCAAAGCCAATGTCTGCTCTTACAAATGCCGCCTGAGATACGGCTTGCGATATGGGAGTACGCGCTTGGAGACGACGATACGTCCATATTGAGGAAAGCAAATAAGCTCGCGCACGTCGTGCTTCCGCGTGACCAGCAGAGGCTCGACGAGGCGGATCAGAATAGGAGACGTGCTTATCAACCGCTTTGGAGGGAAGCCGGAGCTGAGAGACGGTTCCTAGCAGATGATGTAACGGCCGAGTTTAACATACTGACGTCCCTCCAAAGCTGCAAACGGATGTAAGTTAACCCATTCCAAAGAGAAATAAGACCACCACCGATGTTAACGTAAAGAAACTAGGTACTGGGAGACATTAGGTATATTATATAGACGACATTTCAAATTCGAAAGGATGGAAGCATTTTACCGCTTTCTCGTACTTTCGCCAACAGCAGGCCTCGAAGCCGTGCGGTCAATTGAGCTCGACTGGTCCGGGTTCTACTACTGGGCGCGGTTCGAAGAAAAGGAGACTCTCGGGTCGCCCCTGAACCACAACGAGAGCTGGGAGGAGATCTGCGGCGCCGTCGTAGGTATGACGGGTCTGAGACGCCTGACGATCCGCGTGCTGGCGTTCGAACACCCCCTGCTGGAGGACGAGTGGTATTGCATGATAAGTAAGATAGTAGCGCCGCTCGAGCTGCTGTCAAATCGGGTGGATTTTACGGTTCTTATCCGGGATGAGGAGCTTGGACGGAATTTCCAGGATCGGTTGCATGAGGAGGGGCTTGAGAAGGTCCGAGTTAATAGTCTTTCTGCGGCGTAATATATACCCATTTCGTCTCTCGTAAGGAGGCTTTGGGTTAATTTAAAGAAATAAAAATTAAGAAAAGCTACGAATATATTTTTTGAGAATTAACTGTGAAATTTATATACCGCTGTTGCTTGGGGTTAAAGAAAGGGAAAGGGAGAGAGGGGTGAGTGGCATGTAGTCTTTTACCAAACAGCACGATGACAACAAATTCTATTATAAACCTGTAATGTTTAACATGCTTTTCTTCTTAATATTACTAGAATTTACATTTATGTAAAGGTAGACCCATTGATAATGTTAATATTGGAATTTGAGTTGAATTAAACGTGTCTGTCATGAGGCAAAGCAAGAAGTAAAGAAACAACCTTGTTGTTCCCAAGGAACTTTAAGGTAACTATGAGAGCCTACGGTTATACATAGATACTTGAAGCATCATTTGTTCTAACTAGATGATTGTTGTCATGGTCGAAGAAATAATTATCGGGGGCTGGTTGTATGAAGCACCCCCCGCCACAATGATCAGCCTAACGATAAGTATATACCACCTGATGATACACTAGAGCTGGCGGTTTCCAAGAGAAACGCTGAAATAGCTTTATGAGGAAAAGAGGTGGTTCGTATTAAAAGAAGATATTAGTATTCAATGTAGTTGTTGAGGTGTCAGCCTTACAGGACTAGCACCTAGCCCAGGTAACTATTTCCCCTTTTCTGGAAACGAATGATATTTTACTCGGTTTGCTTCGACAACTATTTATTTTAGTTATTTATGCTACACATTTGATAAGCTTTGAAATTAAAGATCAGGCTCAAAAAAACTTACAATAGGCTTCAAGTCTTACAAGCATCACCTAAGAGCTGGATAGCCTCTCAAGTAACTGATGATCGTAAGGCAACGAGCTACGAGCCTTTGAAACGTAATCAGTACTACTGGATGATGTATTTACAAGAGTGTATGAGATTGTAATGATTATTCATCGGAAAGAAAGCGTTACTGTTAATTCTAGAAGAGTGGTAGATATAACAGCCAGTCCATCAGCTTGGCGGGACTGGTTGCGGATTACCTCTAGCAATAGAGACATATGCAAACGCTCATTTAATTTATTACTTATAGATCATATATATGGTCTACTTTTGGGGCCTTAACATATGTGGATAGACATCATCGTCTTACCAGTTCTTGTCATACATTGTCGGCACATACTCTAATTGATACCTAGATTACAAGTAGTTGGTGTTTGGGAATGAGTAGGTTAGGGGTAGATTTAGGGGTATATCTAGTAGGATTGAGTATATAAGAGGAGTGCAGCGCTCTCGAAGGAGGGTAGAGATACAGGCGTTAATAGTTCAACTCGACTATCCCGATATTTACTCTATTTGCGACATCAACCAAGGGTTATTTTTATCGGACAGTTAGGAAAATGCGAATCTTCTGGTCTGCAATCCTGAGAATGGAGTACCATTGCGTCTTTCGAGGTCATCGCTCTCTATCATACAAGGCTCTCTAACCTAGAAGAATTAGGGATGTATTGCTGTTAATATGAGCATGCTCCTCGACTATCACGTTAAACAAGTTGGCGACACCAGCTTCAACGCAAGGGTCGTTAGAATCCTGTTTTGAAAACTACTTTATTCATTAGTCTGCTATTTTCAACCTCACCGATCTCCAGCACAGGCAATCGAGACATAAATCATAAATCATAAATAGCGCTGTTGATCAACTCTAATAATTCAGTATGCAAATCCCTTCGATTCCGAATGCCGAACGGCTATATACTTCCCGCAAACCCCTTAAATTTCAAAAAAGCTTGGAAGTAGACCGGATCGGTGCCTTTACTAGTTTAGCTGCATATCGCAAGTGGTTGATTGCTTCGAGATCTTATCGATTTGTGAATCTCCCGGACCGTACCTTGTTTTTGGACTCTGGGAATGGGACCGTACCCACTTGAGTGCGGGTTGTTTGCTGCTTTAGCACGTGTTCGACATAGTATCGAAGCTTTGAGAGGGGACGGGATTTTCGATGTCTTGGCTAGACAGTATCATTAGATTAAATATTTGTTGCGGCGTTTTTGGTGGGATCTAGTTAAACTTAACACTCTTATAAGTTGGAATGGCATCCTATAGGTAGTATTTTGACTCGGTATACCTCTTTGAGCTATTTAAAGATTTATGTGTAGCTAGTAATATTATCCCTCCCAGTGGATTCTATTATTTAATAGACCCAGGTCGTCAAAATACTATTCAGATGCAACGTAATACCGAAGGGCTTTGACTTCTGTATCCACACTACACTGCTAAATTTCAGCTTTCATATTTTACCGGTAACAAGGCGGGGATGTATGCATAAGCTACATATGAGTGATGTCCGAGCGTAGAATATTTAGTCGATAGATCTACGTCAACTAGACTGGCATCGCTAAAGATTGGTACCCTGAGGCTGATATTTGATTTGTGCTAGGCCCTGCAAGATCTAATAGGGCCTCATATACTATCCCAAAGAAGGTGACGCTTTCACCTGCTGACTTGCTAAGTCCCTACTCAAGAGCCTGAGAGTACCGGTATGTTAGTTGATGCCTTACTCTGGGGTCAAGACTCAGGATGTAACCATTCTTCTATCTTGAAGTGATGAGATTCTTTAGCAAGTGAGCCCTCGATAGATTAGACTCGTCGGTTTACCACTGGCTAGGAAGCGTTACATTAGAAGAACCGAGTCTTCGCTCTATCTCGACCTAGCAACGGCAACGTATCCCGTACTAAGACTTCATGAAGACACCTTGGATGTGGGGAAGATAAGCTATCCTGGCTATAAACAGGGGCTTTTCGCTTAAGATTACCGTTTGGCTTCACGGGACCGACAAAGACGCTATTCGTGGAGGGTCACATTGACTTCATCGATGATCAAAGCTTGAAAATGGAACGTCTCGGCTGCTTATATGGGGTTAAAGCAACGCATACTCTATCTAGGCCAATGGCATCTTGAATATTGCGAGGTGCAGCTACTCATTATCGCTTTCGTCTGCTTGGGATAGGGTATATGATTCGCTCAACCTTTCAAGCTGGCGTCTTACTCTAAGGGGTTGTTGGAGACTTTCAGTAGCTTTCGCCAAATAGGTAGATCTGAGCCAATAACGTTGTCTAGTATCATGATATCTCGCCTATGCGTGAAGCTAGGGTTGTTGCCTTCAAGCCACATACAATTACTTTGAACATCTGATGGAGAGGAAACTAACACGTCACAATAATACGATTGGAATTTATGGGATATCCGTGTCTACGTGTCAAATTTTATCTCCTATCTAGGTTTAACGAGGTTTTGGATCAATTATAAGGGGTGATCTGGCTGTCACGTTTTGCAGTTCTACGGATGAGTCGGAAAGACTTACCTGCCTATTATAAACTAGATAGAGATGTAAGAAGCCATTGGGTTTTTCTCATGGTAATGTAAATTAGGGGTTGACCATACGTGAATGCTAGGAGTTTGCTAACCCATCATATGGGCTTATAAAAATAATAGACTACTAGTTTACCAAGATATTTGCCTACGAGGTAGCTATTATTATCTAAAATACCGAACTCTCGTAACGTTCTAATGAACCTGAGTTGTGACTACTGGGATCTGCTGCTACTCCTTAATAACGCCAATTCATTAAAAAAACAAAATACGCAACAAAGGGATCAGGGCACGGACACGCCGAGTTAAAAATGACAACGTGCTCAGCTATCCAAGAGAGGCTATGTGGATCGTAGGTAAAGGATTTTTAAGGAATAAAGGAATAGGCCGTGTTTGCGAAACCCTTCTTACATTTTTAACACGAAGCCCTCATCCCTCACCGAGCAGACCGAGGCACAGCCGCGCTAAGCCCTATTGCGACAAAATTGACGACAAACTACATAAATACGGGTCATTGCGAGCATCGCTACGGTTGAGTTGTTATTGGTTTGTTTGTTTGTTTGTTGCAAGACCGTTGAAGATCGTGAAGGAGCCGGCATAGAGCGGGTAGATGAGTGCTACTACGTATTCTAGCGAGTGAAAGTTAAGAATAGCGATACCTCAAGCCTTTAACTGCCATATACGTACACATGCGTAAATTACGCGGGGACGATGGAGGTCTGGATTGCTCCGTACTGCCGGCACCGCACATCACCTTGCGTCGAAGGAACCGAGACGGCATAACACATCACATTTACAAAAGAAGTAATATAATTGCCGGACCGGGATGAGATTCTACGTGTAAGTAAGATGTATAGGTACCTAAAAAATGGACAGGTTTGTTTAGACAGGGACTTGGAGTCGATATGTAGTAAGATTTTGCGATACTGGACTCCGTGTAAGTGGTTAGTGGTGAAATATCTCGTGAGGCCGTAAGATAATATCGAATATTGTTGGAGATGTGATAGGTTTAAACCTGCATTGTCTCTCTTACATGAGCATACTTGCAGCATCGAATGTAGGTTAGGTGCTTGAAGACGGGATGGTCATATTTGATGATTTGATGATAGAATGGTAAGGTCAGCAATAGCAGAAGCACAGGGGTGGATGGGTAGTATTATACTATATACTTTAGGTTATGTACTAAAGTATGGTGAATCGGGTCGGGATAGCCCCACAGGATTTGCGGATTCCCCATTAGAAAGGAGGCTTAATGTGCAAGGGCGGAACGGAGTGACCCATAATTAAGGCTCGGGACCTTACTTCTTTCGATCATTTTCGCTTATTGGCAACCAATCAGAAATTCCCCGTCTCGCTTGCTAATGCAACTTCATGTAATTCACGTACCCAATCTGCCAATGTTAGGAAACCTCTACGGATCTATACTGAAGTACATTACATAGTACCTCACATAACACTAATCTAGGCATGTACCTTTCTTTTACCTAGGTATTCTAAGTCGAAGCTGCCTCTTGACCTACCACATACGTAGTAGCTTAATCAAACTGCCAACCTTCAAAACCCAAAGTTCCACGTTGTTGATTACATCTAACCAAGTTTGACTACTCTTAATCCCTTAAACCTAGACCAGCAACTAAACTACCATCTAGATTAAACCAACTAATTAATCACCTAATCATCAACTAACCATCTCATCACACACCTTTCTTTCCCTACGAGGCACACGCCATCGTGTTATCCTCGTGGCACTTTGTTACGCACACCGCTGGATTAGTACGCAACTCCGATGGATCTTGAGACAACCATCGTGCCAATGCAACTTCGCTTGTCAAAACCCAATGGCCGATATGTCGCCATTCTGATTCTTCAAATCCCGTCTTCATCCTATCTAGTCTTTTCAGCAGGTATCCTGATTTTCAACTTGGGACTTTTGGACTTTTAACCTGGGGTACACTTTGGCGTCGTATAATAATAGTCAATATAATGCGTGGGACAGTGGACTACATTAAAATGAGTCCCACAACAGCCCGTCTGCTCTTCGTGAGCTTTTATCAACCCGCCCGCTTGCCGCACCCTAGCTAGGGTCCCGGCCGTGGGAATGGGAATATTTTTAATGCACTCGGGCTTCGAGAAGTCTGGAATCTCTCGCCTGGCGCCTTGGCGTTCGGATACTTATTGCCCTTGAGTGGAACACTTTCATCATGCTTCATCGTTTCACCCTCTAGAGGCATGGATAATATGCCTTTGTCCATTTCGACGTACAATGTACATGGCTGCAGCCACTCGAAAGGTCGTAGCTCCACTTCCTTTGACCTATTTGCGCTTTACTTAGGCGAGTATTACCTGTTATTACCTTAGCTCCCTTTTTGAGCCGCGAGTCGGATGTCTCTCTCTTCGCCTGGTCGGCATGCCTTATTCGCCAACAGCCGTTGATGTATCTCATATTAGCCTCGCTTGGTATTCCTGTCGTCCTTTCATACCTATCATATCGTGTAATACCGCTCTTTTGCCCTTAGGCTGAGCAAGTCCTGCGGATCCCATCGGACAATACTCGTCTATTAGCTTGCTATGATGAGACAACTGGCTGTATATGGCCTCCGTTTCCTCGTATAAAGGCTCTTATATCGACGATATTGCTCGTTGTTTTAGGATACTATCCTGACCTATGTGTTTGCTACCCAAAATCATCTAAGAGCCTATATCCTGGACCCAAACGTTTGCATATCCATAAACTAGCTGTCTACTTTTTCCCATTGACTTGCAGATCTGGGGTTATCAAGCCGAGCTGCGGGCTCAGGCATTTACTGCCGAGATAATTTAAAGTAGGTTCTCATCTCGGTATATGTCCGGTTTGAGTATTCCTACCATTCACCGAAGAGCAAGCACCCGTCCCAACCTTCTACTTTGAGCCATTATTTGTCCATGTTATAGTACTTTACCCTATAGAAAGGCAGATGCAACAAGTACAAGTAATGCACCCAAATTCGAGGGTGGCCTTAGCAGTACCAGTCGACCCTTGCTCCGTCGGCCCCGGTGGCCATTTTCTTTCACACCACATTCCCGAGTCTCCTGCTCGAGCTCGTCCGTACAAAGGGAACCTCGAAGCACCCGGCCTATTCTGTTCCACAAGATGGCTTCCTTCACGTCACCAACCATCTTCTGTTTCACGAGCCCAACGATCGTTTCCTATATCCTCCATGGACCGAATCAACCCGGTCGAATCGATGCGTTTGGCAATACAAAAAGCATTGCCAAATATTACTGTCGAGTCTGTTAGGCCATTACCGTCCTGTCGACTCCTAAGATTTTTCAACGTTAAGATCTCGGATGGCAGAGAATTGGTTCTCAGCCTGCCACCACCTCCTACACTGAGGTTACTCCGATCTGAAAGGGGCTTGAATCTTTCAGAGACCTTTGTAACAAAGTGGGTTCTTGAAATAGTCCTTGAGCCTCCCATCAAGGTTGAGAATATATCTCGGAGAAATATCAGCTCCGATCAACATGCTCAAGGCGCACCATCTAAGAAGGAACTGGAGAGTAGTTTTGAGAAAGAAATGAACTTGAGACGAGATGTGCTCAAGTCTCTTCCCATCCTCGTCACCAATGTCCCTTCGTCAACGGAATTGGGTTCTCCATTCAACATCTTCGAGCCGGCAAGAGGGGTCACTATCCGTGAACTCCCTACACCCTTAAAGCCATCCGAGAGAAGTATGATAGACTTTCAAAAAGGCCAACTTGTACGACAACTTTCGAGTTTTGTGTCACCAAATGAGCTCTTCGGACCGGCTACGGCGGTGATCAGCCCACAGCCACCGTCCACCGACTTACACGCGGCACAACTAGCTAATCTCGGCCTTCGTAACTCGAGAACGTGGAAACAAACTTTCCATTCTCTCCTGGAGGGTGTACTACGAGATGCGGAGGATATGGCCGTCACAATTAGCTACGAGCCAATTAGAAGTTACTTTAATAGACTAGGCCATCTCCTGGACGGTGTTACCACCGCCCGGCTGGTAATACTGGACGCTGCCGATGACTTAAACATATTAGTATCACGGACTTCAAAGCCGGATATAAATAAGGACGAAAACAACAAACAGTTAATACCTACCCAAGATACAAAACAAACCAAAACAGAAGATATATCCGAGAAAACAATACCAGAACAAACCCTAGGAGATAAGAGTATAGAACCACCCAGCGCAAACCACCACCCCATCGCCGTCACCGGCATCCGCGACTGGAGCAACAGCATCTTCGGGGACCCTCTCTTCAGCGAAATCTTCAGCCAAGACCCCACCGCCGACTTCCTCCACGGCTTCTACCACCACAGCCACCCCAACCTCATCGAAGACCCAGCCAGCGCGTCCGCGCGCCTCCTCCTCTACGAGTGCTACCACGCCACCGTCAACGTCGTGCAGCAGTTCTACCGGCCTGGCCCTAGCAGCAGCGACCGCGAGATCGCGGCGCGTCGACGGCTGGCTGCGGCGCTGAAGCAGCTGGATGATGTCGTCGACGATGAGATGGTAGGGAAACGGGCCCGTAGGCCTAGTGCGAATGTGGAGGCGTGGCCTGTTAAGAGGAGTAGGGGGGAGGGGGAGGAGGGGAAAGGAGAGGGGGAAAGGGAAGGGGTTGATGTTGGAAAAGGGGACGGAGGTGGGGCTGGGGCTGGGGAGATAGAAAGGGGAAGGATAAAGGAAGAGGAGGAGGGGGAGGAGGAAGAGCAAAAGGTGTATGAGTCCATTGAAAAAGATGAAGATATACGTGGGCCTTGATGTATTTAATTTCTGGTCTTGTATATAGGAGGAATACTGGTTATATACCTAGGTAGATAGATACCTAAGGAATTGGCGACTATATGGCTATGGATGGATATGGATATGATATTATACGATATAGCTAATCATGAAGAAAAAGTTTCCCATGATATCTATGTATGTTATGTTGTGCATGATTTTATAATTCCAGTTCCTTTTGGACCGTTTTACTTCCTGTCTATCTGCTTTGCCGTGAATAGTACCGTACATAGTAATGTACACGCAATACGGACCAGACCACCTACTCATATACCTACTCCTTCTCCTTTTCCCTATTATATACTAAGATAACTTAACTCTCTCCCCTCTAATCCCTCAAGACAACAAAACCCTAATCTCCCCCGTCGTCCTCGGGAACATCGCCCTCAACCCCACTCTCTCCTCTCCACCCCCACCATCACCCCTTGCCCTTCGTTCCTCGACCGCCTCGTCCGCCGCAACAAGCAACTCCTCGACATGCTCAAAGTCAGCACAGAACCGATCCGCCGCCTCCTCCGTAATCTCGCGCGCCAGCCGCGCGTCGTGGAGGTTCTTGACGTTCTCCAACGCGTCCATGACGGCCGACGGTAGGAAGTCGTCTAGGCCCTGGGCTGCGCGCGCTAGGGCTTCTGGTCGAAGCTCCGGGAGAGAGGGGAGCGTGGCTACGTCGGAGGAACGTGCGTCGCTTAGGGGTGATAGGACTGTGAATAGGGGCTCGAGAGAAGATTCGGCGCGGAAAAAGGCGTATTGGCTCTCGACGAGGCGGGCGCTGTGATCGGCGATTGTGGAGCGTAGACCTTCGAGACGGGTGCGTGTGAAGGATTGGAAGGGCTGGAAGGCGGTCTGAGCGGCGAGGAGACAGTTTATGAGGAATATAGAGTTGGATGGCGCGGAAATGTTCTTGGCCATGTTAGAGCAGCCGGCGAAGAAGGGGTCGAAGGATTCGGCTAGGATGGGCTCGAAGTCCGCCTCGCGGTCGCCATCTGCAGCTAGTGAGGTCTCGTAGGTTTTCATGATGGCCGTTAGTTGTTTTAGGCAGTCTTGCAGGAACTCGGGTGGTCCAAGGTCGGACGGCGTGTGCTGGAATTCGCCCTCGAGGGTGGTGATGTGATCGCGCATTAGAGAGCGGAATTGCCGTAGCGCTTCGGATTCCAAGTTGCTCATTGACTGAAGCAGGACCGAGTCCTCGCCGAGAAGCTTGGAAAATGTCACGCGGTAGAAACTGAGGAGGTTGGCTAACTTGTATGCTAGGATGGTCTCCTCATTGGTCTGGATGACCTGCTCAACTCGTTGCCTTAATATACGTGCTGCACCAGAGACATCCCGGTCGACTAGCTCGTTTAGGGCCTTGACGGCGTCGAATTCCGGAGGGCCGTCTGCCTCGTCGTCCATCAGCATCCATCGTTCGTTTTCCCGACCCTCTTGGATGCCCTTGGCAATCTCGTTACCATCGGATATAAACAGGATCTCAAGGGCTTCGCGTTCGCTAACGGCGGCAGAATGCGTCCACGCCAGCATGTCGCCTGCATACCGTAGCGGATCGTGAGCTACAAGCTCGATTGGCTTTACGGAGTTATCCTTGGTACCGGCTGCGGATGTACCTGTCAGGGCGAGGTAGAAAGAATCAGATAGAATCTGCTCCCTAGCCTCAGCGAAGAAATCCAGACAACTCTGGAAGAGAGAGGGCCTCTCGGCAAGCACGCGGATGGCGCGGCGCACGGACGAGTTGATCTGAGGATTCTCGAGGTTGAGCGTCTTAAACTCTTTCTGGACCCAGCGGTATAGCTTCTGCATGGCCAAGTTCAAGTTCTTAGAAGTCTGGTCCATGATCTCTAGGCCTAGGGTCTGACTCTCGAAACCAAGCAGGAATTCGCAGTCTTTCCTGATGCGCTTTGCCTTGGCTAGGACGGCAAAGAAGCGGTCGTCGACAGGCTCAGCCGTTAAGGTTAAAGAGGCAATCTCATCCTCCGATAAAAGGAAATGCTCGCGGAAAGCCTTTAGGACCTGCTGCTTCGTCTCTATATTCTTTCTCTGGGTCATGAGAGAAGATGCTTCCTCGAGCATAGAAGAAGTCGATTCATGAGCCGCTGTAGCATGGCCTCTCATCTCTTGGTAATTCTTGTTGAGCTTATTAATAGTCGTACCGATCCTCCTTAATTGCTCGGCTACCCGACCGAACTCAATGATTATCTTCCCATTACTATCAATGACCTCTTTCTGGACGTCTAACCGCAACTGTCTCCGGGTATCAGCGGTGTTGCTGATACCACGCTCATCCAGCAAGGCCAGAGACTCGCGGAACTCAGCATCAGCATACGAGGTAGATAAAACAGATGTCACCTTGGACGACAGCGGATTTGATGATCGGCCCGGAAAAGAGGCGCTCGCAGGGGACAATGGTAACCCATCATGTCCAGGTAGACGTGGTGAGGCAAGGCCATCTGAAGCCATATTTCATATTACCAATTACTTTGGACGATCCCGGACTAATTTAATTTATATAATCTCATTTCCATCTTACTAGGGGATAAAATTCAAGAGAAAGAAGGGTCCAATTACTAGGGAGTATCCAGTATCTCGAATATCGAATATCGTAGGATGTTGGATGTTGTATTGTTGAATATATCCACTGTGTGAGACGCGCCACCTGGGAAATTATGTCTGACAGCTGGAGAAATTAATGCAAGTTTAATAGGTAGATTAGGTACTTTGTACATATGCTAGAGAATGCTAGGGAATGCTACGTCTTATCGAATCAAATGACTTCATCTATGCGATAACGATAGTGATAAGGATACTAACGCACGCTCGGGCATACTTGACCCATGAACGCGCAAGGCTGCCTGTGAACCTCAAGTCATAAGGTCCGGTTCACAGTTCAGAGTCCGAATGACCAACTACAACTACAAACTTATTCACCATTTTTAGTAAAAAGCACACCTGATGTTTAACCTCTTCTTTACAGACAATCCTTAAATCATAGGACCTTTAATGCTCTATGTCATAGTTAATGGCATGTAGTAAAAAAGGTCCTTATACTTCATACTGTTCTAGTTCTAAGTTGGAGCTTATAATCTTTGCCTTATGCTACAAGTTAAACCTAACTCAAGTAGCTCAGGCATTCATCTTAAACTTTGAGACGCTCGGCAGCTCCTCTTTTTTAATATATATATATAGACCCTATTCTTCCTATGCAACTGGTTTAATCTTGATCATGATAAGGAAGAGACACAGATCATAACACAGATCCTATTAAATTCGACATACCCATGAACCAACACGATGCCTCCAAACCTCTTCTCCCGCCTCGTACCGTCCAGCGACGATAGACCCTTATACGACCGACTTAGAAACGGACAAGATGACGATGTCGAAAGTAGAGCTGGCCTTGACCTAGACGAAGAGAATCTAGCCCAACATTTCCAAGATGATGACCTCGACCATGCTGGTGGTCCTGGTCTCGATGATAGCCATATATCCACACCACGTAGCCCTGTCACTACCGCAAGTAGAGCTCGTCGTACCGCTGCAAGAGTAAACTCACACGATGCGAGATCGCGGTGGCTTACACAAGAGGATGATATGGATAACGATGTTCCCGCCTCTCTCCTAGTAGAAGGTCCTGATGCTACTACATCCAAGCCAAATCAATACAGGACAAGCCCTCAACAGGCACGGAATTCTACCAGACGCCACTCTTCAAACCGGAGGATACAAGCGCAGTGGGAAACTGCGCAGGCGCATCAGAGGCTACATCAAGATGAAGATTACGGTCCGTCGACTAGCGATCAGCCCCAGAGAGGCGGCACTGTGAGGGGCCCGGGATTCACAGGCAGTCCCAAAGACAAGGCCATGTTTAGATGGGCTAACGTCTCTAATCTAGACGTCTTTATCAGGGATGTCTACGACTATTACCTAGGAGCGGGAATGTGGTGTATCCTACTCGATAGGGTTTTACATTTATTAAAGGTTATTTTCGTTGCGACTTTACTCACACTATTATCGCAGTGTATAGATTACAGTAAGATCCGCGATAGTAAAAGCTTGTCACAGATCATGATTCCCCAGTGCACGAAGCACATGTGGGGAATATGGAACTTGAGTCTCTGGGTTTGCAGCTTTTACTTTGTCTGGAAGAGCATTCAGTGGATTCTTGACATACCGCGTTTGATGCACATACGCGATTTCTTCGTCTACCTCCTGGAAATCCCCGAGGAAGACATGCAAACCGTCTCGTGGCAGGATGTTGTGGCCAAGATCACCGCCCTTCGCGACGAGAATGTGAAGACAGCTACTAATATAACACCATCGCAACGCCGTTTCTTGTCTAAGCAGCTGGGACAACACATAGCAAGCCAATCCAAAGAAAGACTCGATGCCCACGATATTGCTAACAGGTTAATGAGACGAGAGAACTATATTATTGCTCTCTTCAACAAGGACATATTAGATCTCACAGCCCCGGTGCCATTTCTACGAAACCGGCAACTATTCTCGAAATCTCTGGAGTGGACGGTTCAGTTCGGCGTTCTAGACTTAGTTTTCAACGAGGGTGGCCAGGTTCATCAACGAGTCCTCAAATCCGATCATCGTGGACACCTTAGCAGGGAAATGCAAACAAGATTCGCATTTGCAGCGGTGATGAACCTCATATTCGCCCCGTTTGTAGCGTCTGCCCTCCTCGTCGACTTCATCTTCACGTACTACAATGTGAGTATCGTTCGATCAGATGTATATATTGCATTATGCTTACATATTCGCTAGGAATTCAAAACGAATACCTCATCTCTAGGGGCCCGGCAATATACACCGCTTGCCAGATGGAAGTTCCGCGAGTTCAACGAGCTCCCACACTTATTCGAGGAACGGTTAAACATGTCATATCCTTACGCAAAACATTACATAGATCAGTTTCCGAAGAAGAAGACAGAATCAGCCGCCCGAACGGTTCAGTTCTTTTCTGGCGCACTTATTGCCGTTTTGGCCATTGTGGGATTTTCCGACCCCGAAATGTTTGTCGACTTTGAACTGTTCCCGGGAATGAATACGTTCGCCTTCGTTGCGCTTTTAACAACGACATGGGCCGTCGCTCGAGGAATGATATCCGAGGAGAATAACGTGTTTGATCCCGAATTTGCGATGCAAAGCGTCGTCGAGTACACACATTACCAACCAGATCAGTGGAAAGGTAGACTCCACAGCTACGAGGTCAAGGCCGAGTTTTCCGAACTTTACAAGTCAAGAATCGTCATCTTCCTTGAGGAAATCACCAGCGTCTTGGTCACACCCCTAGTGCTCTTCTTTAGCTTGCCAAAGTGCAGCGATCAGATCATCGACTTCTTCCGCGAATTTACAATCCACGTCGACGGGCTAGGCTACGTGTGCTCATTTGCTGTGTTTGACTTTCAGAAAGACCAACGCACGACAAAGCAGCAGCCCGGTAATATAAATGATGCTAGGGAGGACTATTACGCTACCAAACACGGGAAGATGCAGGCTTCCGTCCACGGCTTCTTGGATAATTACGTCTACCACCCTAGGACTGGTCTTCCCGGAAATCACGCCATGGGCGGCCCAGCCGGACGTCACCAATTCCACCCTCCACCCGCTTTCCCAGGCCTCATGTCACCTACCCTCGCTGCGGACATGCATTCCTCGCGCATCGGACCTAGCGAACGGCCTAGAAGCCGAGCACCAATCTCAAGCAGAACACCACGATTCGGCCCTGCCGTCGCGCCCTCGCCAATGGCCTCCATGCTACTTGATCCACACCACCAACCTTCCGCCTCGTTCATTGTGCCTCGAACCACCCCGCAGCGTACGCGCCAGCAGCGCGGCATGCCCTCCGGCGACACGAACATCATTGAGGAGTCGACGGAAGATGGGCCCTCGCGAAGCGTTATCCGTCGGCATGATACGGCGTATACGGACGACGGTGATATCGAAGAAAGCGTGGCGCGTCTCGGCGAGTCTACGTGGGAGGGCTCGCCCAGGCATGGGCTAAGTCGCGAGGGTAGCAATGCTACCGATGGCGATGATGGACCGGGCGTCGTGACGATGCTAAAGCAGTTCCAGCAGGCACATTTGGATCGGCGGGGCGTTATGTGATGGACCGGCAAGCCAGGTTAGGAGTTTGGTTTCAGAAGGGTAGCTTGATTGGCTTTCTTACTTGCCTACCTTAGGTACTTAATACACATACCGTGTCCGCATGAGAGAGTTAGTTAGCAAGGACAAGCTAATATAACATAACATTAAACGATGGGCTATGAAGGAACGGACGTGGAGTTTAGGCGGTGTTTTTTGGTTGTTTTTGTCTTTAGTTAGGGCAGGGGCAAGGGCATTGGCATAGGTACAGACAGTATCAGTACCAGTATCAGTATCAGTGCTAACATCAGCCTATGGAATAGATGGATCGCATTACTATTAAGCTTGAAGTACTTTGGGTTAACTATAATGCTGCTTGGAATAAACAAATGTTGCTTACCTAGATAGGTACCTAGGTAGATAAGTATGTTCAGTTTAGGTGTGCTAAAAATACCTTACATTTTACTCCTATCATCTCTTTAATAAAGTATTGGGACGATATGACATGATATATCCTAAGTAAATAAGCTCTATACATAGGACCAGAAAAACATCCCTCTATGAGTTAGATCATATTATCGATGCTTTAACACGGAGTCAATGGCAAAGTTCTACGGTGTGTATAAGTAGTCATTTGAAGCATCACCTACATTAGATTGTACTTCACGGGTAGATGTAGGTTACTACCATTTATAGATATATATCTATAGCCTTCGGCAAAACGTTACTTATAATATACTAATTATCGAGAATATATACTTTCTTCCACATCTCATATCCATTCGCCTATATCAAGTCAAGCATAGGCAGACAACGATAACATTGCATTCATTATATTACATTACATCCCATACCACTAGCACTCCTGGTTTAACATTAGACCAGTCTCTATCTGTTACTATGCACCGTAGTAGCTATACGATATACAACGACACATCACACATACAAACATATACACCAAGCCGCTCGACATCTCGTGTGTTCATAATCTACACTACACCCTACTACATATTAATTACCACAATCAATCCTACGACTTTCTCACTCTCACGATAACATCGGTACCGAGCTTAACCACTGCCCTTATAGTTAAAGCCTCCAGGCCAGGATAGTAGATCAAGCCCAAGCCAAGCCAAGCTAACAACAATAACCTCACTTAGCCCACGTCCAGAAAAATCCGAAATGCTATTCGCGAGGTACAATCTAATTTTATGCGTCTCAAGCTTTCTCATTTCCATGTAGGTGTAGTGTTGTAAGGGGCATCTCATTAATAAAAAAGCCACCCCTCCCAAACATCGCCGCCCTTTTTAATAACGCTAAAAGAAAAAGGGAAGAACCCAAAGAGAAAGAAAAATAAGAAAAGAACCCTTTTTCTGTGCCCCGCCGAACAACATGGAGCGTTGACCGCTCGCCCTCGCGTCGCGTCATATCGATGGTGGACCGCAAATTTAGTCATTCCCCTCTTTCGTAAATTACTAGTTATGGTAGGAGCTCGTCGCCGAAATGATGGTCTTAATCCCCGGCAATTCCTCGCCATGAGAACCTCGGATTTGTTGCCACTTCCAGTAGAGGGATACATGTTGAATAGAAAGAGAAAGAGACAAAGCGAGTGCTAAACGGAAAACGGGAACGAAGTAAATAGTACAGATATGCAAAACGGACATGGCCCCGCCCATTCCATCCCACCCAATCTCCATAGAATATCGATACACCCCATGTGATAGTTATATCGTATGGAAACTATCGAGATACTACCGACGTTGAACAACCAAGGGAAGCCCGTAGTCGGGGTAGAGCGGGAATAAACACCCGAAAGGTAGTGTTTTACATGATCTGATCTTGGGTCAGACCGCCATGCGCATCCGTATCCATGCTGTCTCCTCCACCTGGGGTTACGTATTTGATGAAGCTCAGGCCAAGAGGCCGTCCTCCGTAGTGGTAACCCTGAAACTTAGAAATGGCGGTCTCTGCAGTCGCGGTACTATCGAAACGAACAACACCAGATCCTCTGGATCTTCCGCTGGGCTCATACTGAATCTCAGCTTGCTCGACCTTTCCGATCGTCGTGAAGAGCTCAACTAGATCTTCATTACTAGTAGACCATGGAAGCTGATAGGAAGATTATGTTAGCAAAAAAATAATAAAGTAGAAAGATAATGCAGCCATACATTTCGGACATAAATTGTCTCACTTGGATCAGTTCCTGAGGTGGCGTAATCCGTAAACGGGTTTGGAGCGGCTGGTGTAGTGTTGGTGGCATCGAATCCACCAGTGGGTCCACCACCACCACCACCGCCCCCACCGCCGTAACCTCCACGTCCTCCGTAGCCGCCACCGCCGCCGAAGCCGCCACGACCGCCGAAGCCCCCGCGACCTCCATAAGAGCCGCCGAAGCCTCCGCGGCCACCGAAACCGCCTCGGCCGTATCCTCCCACTCCTTGGTGGGCAAAACGGTCCTCGCGAACCTCGAGTAGACGACCTTGCCATTCAAAGCCATTAAATTGCTGGATGGCGTTGCGCGTATCCTCGGGGTGCTCGAACATGACAATTCCGGAACCCTTCGGTCTGCCATCTGGGCCCAGATGGACATCGGCTCGGATCACCTGGCCATTTCGAGCTGTCGTCACCTAATATCAGCACTAGATTCGCGACATCTACATATTGGTTAATTAAACGAGGAGACTGACCAGCTTGTCGGAACAAGTCCTTAAGATCTTGCCAGCCTACGGTGTAAGGAAGCTACATGTGAAGTTAATACGAGAGCCAGCCACCTAGATTAGTAACGGGAGAGAAAGGAGCGGGAATAAACAAACGTTGGACACGTAGATCTGGCGGTTGCCACCACCCATGCCGCCAGCACCGCCGGGACCGCCGGGACCGCCACCGCCACCGTAGGCACTACCGCCTCCACCGCCTCCAGCACCGCCGCCGGCACTGTATCCGCCTTGCATTCCGCCGCCATAGCCGCCGCGGCCTCCGGTTGCGCCGATAAATCGTGGTTCCGCTTCTCGATCCTAACCCCGCCTTCAGTATCTACCATAACAACGAATATCGGAGGGTGTCCTACTTCACGAACGTAGACGAGTCGTCCCATCAAATTCTGGTTGCTGAGAGTCTGGACAGCTGTTTGCGCTTGCTCCCTTGTAGCATATTCCACAATTCTAGACAGTATTAGTAACCTTGAATGACCTAATTCTAAGGAGTGAATATCTTTGACTTACCCGCATCCCTACAAAAACCCGTGGACAATGTCCCAACCCGTCAATCCATCAATTCCAACAAGAGCCAGAGGAGAAGGAACCAAAGAGAAAACCAGCCATGAATCACGTGTAGAAGCCCACCTTAGACATCCCATTCGGAAGCAATAAAACATCGGCAAAGAGAACTTCTCCAGCTATAAGACAAATCGTCGTTAGCCATGACATTACTCTCTCGGGGCTAGTACTCCGATAAGTGATGACTTACCCTGCCGCATAAAATCCTTGAGATGGTGCCATTTTACATCGTATGACAGGTTGCCGACGTAGACACGTCGGTCCTGCTGCGACGTCTCGCGAATGTTATTCATCATCTGTTCTCGTGCTGCCGCACGCTCCTCGTACGACCGTTGAGGTGGTCCACCGTAACCCGAACCTGATCCTCCAACTGGCGCCCCAGCTCCAGTCATGGGAGATCGCGATCGTCTATCCGATCTACGATAGTCGTCCCGGCTTCGAGACCGGCTCCGCGGCGAATATGATCGACGGCGACCTGAGCGGCCCGGGCTCCTCGAACGGCCACGTCGGGGAGAGCGAGATCTCTCACGCTGCGATTCGTCAGCATCTAGGTGGGGTATAAATGACATTATAAGCAGAAATCAGCACGCCGTTAAGCCAGCGAGCTTCGACGGAATCAATTGTTGAGGCCTAGATTCTCTCTAGGCAGATTTGCTGAGGTGTGGTAAGAAAATCCCGCGATTCAGTGGAGGGCACAACGTTCAAAAACTTGCACGCGGCTCCTCGGGGAGGAAGTGAACTTTATATGCTAGAGTCGGCTCGATTTGTCTTGGTGCCCCTTTCTAGCTCAAAAGCAAAAGATAGCGTGGGGAGAAGCTGTCAGGCACAACTTTTTTCCCCTTGCATGGTCGATTTCTTCATTTAAGGTTTTGCCGTTATTCAAAGCAACCGACCCGCCAAAGAAAGTGATAGACGAATAATTCTGGGACTTGGCTGGAATACCAGATTTCCAATCGACTAAACTCAGAAAATGGACTGCTGATTTTGCTTACCTTCACAGGGCGATATGTATCTCCGGAATCAGCTATTGAAAAGGTCGTGAGTTAGAAGCCAAGTTCCAAAGAGCAAATATGAAAAGAAGCAATTTTTATGAACAATAGGTTAAATTGGAAAGTTCCAACTGTAGCGATCTAACGTGCCGTAGTCGCATACGGAAGTGTTTGAAGGCCAGACCATTAGTGGATCGGGAAGGGAAAGCGTCCAGGGACGGGGGTGGGGAGGGAACGCGGCGTATTAAAGGCCTCGGGATGGGTTGCGGCTTGTATATAACGGCACAGAGGATAGGTAGGTAGTGATGATAGAGAAACCCGTGGAGTGAACCGAGCAAAGGGTACCAGGGAAGAGTGTGATTGGGTGGTGGGGGTTTGGGGAGAAGGTAGGAATATGGGAGCGGGTAATGCTGTGGGCTGTTACAAGCCAGACGCGAAGGTAGAGGTAGTAACACGTCGCAGAGGCATTTGTTTTATGCCTCTAGGCAAGATTTTGGGGTAAGGAATACGGTTAACGGGTAGCCAGGATAGGATCTGATTCGGTAGCCGGGGGAGTATGCGAGTGCAGGAGGTAGTATGTATGTACGTACGCCTGTACAAAGCTGGATAGGTAGTGTGGGATGTGGATATGATGGATAGGGGATAATGGGCTATGAAAGAGAAGAAGGAGGAAAGGAAGAACGAGAAGGACTCGGAAGACGCGCGAGACCCTGTGAGTAGAAAAACAATCCACAACGTTGTATAGAGGTTTGTGTAGCTC